CCGACCTTACAAGCCCGGACGACCTCGCGCGCCTCGCAGGTCACCCGGATACGCTTCTGGCACGTTCCTGACATTGGCTGACCCTGGGGTGTGGGCATTCTCGTGCAAGATGACCCGGGGTGTTACAATTGTAGCACCGCCTCTGGTCAGTCCTCGACCTGTCGAGATCCATCAGCTGGGGGCCCGTCCCTGGTGTAGGACGGGCTGCTGGGGTGGGGGCGGAGGTGCGGGAGCAGGTCGTGGGGGGTCTGTGTGGGTCGGGCCTGGGATGGGGTCGCGGTCAGCGGAGGTCGAGCTGGCGGGAATGGGGGTCTAGGTGGGGGTGCGTGTGGTTGGGTGGCTTGGAAACGTCGCCACTGGTTATCCAGAAGCGTGGCTTCGTGCTTCCACTCAGTCCAAGTGGTGGGCATGGGGCGGAGGCAGTATATACTCTCCCTGAGCTGCGAGTTAATCACTTGCTCAAACCAGTCGACCAGCCCGACATCGCCTAGCCTCGAGGCAGGTCCCAATATCTCGAACTCCTGGATGACCTTATCCACGGAGTCAGTCCCTTGGCGGATGACTGCCAACTTCTGCCGAGCTGTGGCCTCCTGGTTTGGGTCTTGAAACATGGCATCGAGTTCCGTGTTGAACTCATCCATGGTTATGGTGGGGGAGCTGGCTGTCAACAGGGTGATCGTCCGTTGTGTCGCCCACGCCCCTGCGGGTCCTCCCTTCATGTAGGAGAGGACGAAGAGGATCTGGGATAGTTTGGTAGGGAACTCGGCTGCATGGACATGGAAGTAGATCCCGCACTTGGCTTTGAAGCGATCAAGGTCTTCACTGGCTCCCGAGAAGGGAGTGGGGGCAGCAACCTTTGGTGGTTTGGGTCTAGGCGCGAGTGTGGGTACGGGCGCGGGTGCAGGGGCGGGTGCGGGTGCAGGTGCAGGTGGGGGGTGGTTGCGGGTTTGGCTCTCCACAATGGCTTGGAGCTCCTGGAAGCGGGCCAGCAGGTCATCATACTGTTCTTCTGACACCATGGCTGGGGAGATGGGGGAGGCAGGGGAGATAAGGTTAAAACCTTCTTCTGCTGTCAGGGACGCATCCGGGGTCGAGAGGGCCCGGGGGTAATGTCCGGCACCGAGGCCGTCGTGGGGTGTGGAGCAGGCGTGTGTACTGGCGGGCCCGATCCGGGACAGTGGTCCCTGGCCACTCAGGCTGAAGTGGAGAATGTGTTATTATTATTAGAGGGGAAAACTATACTACTTACCTGAAGTGGAGAATGTGAGAAGAAGGTTACTTCTTCGGTTCCCACTTCAGGTACATTTATGTACATGCGGCTTGAGTCACATGACGGGTGCCACGTCATCCTCGGAGGCAGCCGCAGGCATCCGGGTGTCCCCATGGGGGATCCTGAGAGCGTCCGCTGCATGCGCACGTGCTGGGCACAGCGGGAAGCCATCCAGGGTGTGTGGGCCGGACGGGTCAATAGTACATCGATATAAAGGAAGGTGGTCCGTGTAGATAGAAAGAAATAAACAGGAAGAGGAAGATGAGAAGAATGAAATAAAGAAAGAGGGAAAAGAAAGGGGAGGAGAGGGAGGAAGGAGGGGGGAGGGGGATAGACAGCAGGGAGCAGGTGTGGTGTGGCCGGGTGGGTCCGGGTGGACCCGGGTCAGGCGGGTGTGCCCTGACAACTACCCAGCAGGACACTTGGATGCGTTCTGAGTAGGCAGCGCTACATTGTTGGGGACGCTGAGAGGGAGAAAAAGGTTAAGTCCGAATCAGGTGGACTCGGACCAAACAAAAACAAATAATGATCGCGACCGCGCAGCACTCGTTCATTCTGACCACCTGAGTCTAGGGCCATCGGATTTCTTTCGGTCAAGGTCACTAGGATGCTTGGAAAGTCAAGCAGCCATACCCAAACGTCCGGTGTGCACTAACTTAACAGCCACGCGACCTCGCATCTTTGAGTGTTTGCAGTTACCACTTCTGGGAGAACCATAGGGGGTCAAGGACATTTGTACACCCATTTTAGCCTCAATAGCTAGCTTTTGGGACTCAGAGCTGACTTCGCTTGATTGGGAATGGTCTGCTCCAGCCAGCATTTGGGTTATCCGGGAGCCGATGCACCTTCCGACTGCTTCTGTGCAACTCCATAGCCCGTCAAATCCCTCTGAACTTCGTATGCACATTTGACGGCTCTCTGGGACCATTTAAGGGATCTCAGTTACATGGACTTGGCTCGAACTCGGTATGGATGCCATTTCTCCACATGCTCAACCCCTGCGCTCTGGGCCATGTTTCTTTAGGAGATCACCTGCTTTCACTTCATCTGAGCCATTGTTTGGGATGGGCTCTTGAACATTTAGGACTAGCTTAACTTGCTCTGGATAACGAATTTATTGATTAATTATTGCCACCCGCACGTTAGTTTGGACTTGTATTGTTTCCTATAATTTCATCGCACATTTCATTCGGGCCTTGGAAACGTGCATATGTAGATACTGAATTGAAATCATATTCGGCACCCGAAAATTTGCTGCAACTTTGTCTGAGTGCACACGCGATAAAAATCCTGGCCTCCAGAAAGCTGTGGGGGCAGTCCGTGAAATTACGTGATTAAATCGTGCTCCTCTCAGCCCCCACCAAGCCGGAGGTGATGGTCTGTGAAATGACATGATAGCTGACAAAATCCTGCTTCCAATAATCCCGCAGTGGTGTAGGATTTTTCATGAAGTCCCGTCATATTACATGACCTTATCATGGAATCACTTTCCTCAGTGTATTCTCCTATACCATTCACCGAGATTTGTACTCTTCTTTTTAGGCTGTACGCCTCAGGTTCAGATCAGGTGGTATCGATGTCTGGTGAACCACAGGCTGGGAGTGTGAGTGTCCCATACTCGATGCGTCGGATCCTGAGGACGTTGATAATCCGTTTGGATGAATTCATTCTGCGTAGCTGTACATGACGACCAGACTTCCCCATTGGGTGACTAATGGGGGTAGGCAACGTGTACGCTTCAACGGAACTTATTATCTCCTCCCTGCCGTTGTGCTCACTTATCTTTGCTCCGGTGGATCTTTGAACCTGTGGATCCGGATGGGTCAGATCTTGAAGATCCGAACACTCCAAATTACCCTTCATCGTATTCACTTCTGAACCTTGGACCAAGTGATAGCGGCATATGACGACCGCTCGTTTGGTCGCGACTAAAGAGAATGGTCGGCCTTTCATGTATATTGTGCGTCCTCAACCCGACCCTCGAATTTTGGTTAGCATCAGACTGACATCATCTCAAGAGTCTGAATGAACCTGGTTTGGTTTGAGGAACACAACTGCATCATGCATGACTTCTGTCAAAGTGCCGAAGGGAGGGGGGGTTGTGGTATTACGGCATTTTCGCTAAACATTGTACAACGTTGCCATCTAACGCTACGACGATTGTAAATCTCTTCCGATTTGATAATATCTGACCAGCACTCTGCCGATCGCCTGAGAATACAACACACTGGCCTTGTCTAGTAACCCAGTCTGCGGCGGGGATAATACATGCCTTTGCGAGTTACTAGTGCAGGATCTGTTTATCACCATGAGATACTCAATACATGTATGTGTCATTCCTACATCATAAGAACCGCCTTCTGCGACGGGTGACGGTTTCTACAATATTGTCATCGAAAGACGATTGATATGATGCGTGACTAATTGGTCGTGTGAGTGCACGGGCCGATCCACATCAGTCGACATTCGAGGCGTATGAAAGTATGATCAGATGTGCAAGGTTTGCCATCTCAGGGCTATATATTTACTGGAATTATCCCCACAGCTCAGTGACCTCGCTGTCTCTCTTCTGTCCCACCGTCCAGCTAAAGTCGCGTAATCATACTATTATCTGTGAGACTGGAATCTAGCCAGGACGGATACCCTAAGCGATGATCTCCGTTCTCGACCATTCCGCCTACTCCTACTTGACGTAGAAAAGACTCTTCTCTAGCTGACCGTCGCCCAGAACATTTCGACCCTATCAGGCAGTGACATGGTATGTTTGCGCAAGGATCAGGCTGCATGGACGGCGCGTGGCATCCAAGCTGATACAGGCATCTCTTCTGCAGTGGCACACATCACATATCACTAGATTCGGCATTCCATCCTTTAGGTCGACACCATTTCATCTAGATCTGGAACCATATTTCACACATGGTGCCTCTATTTCAGATTTTCTGATGGACCTAATGGAATTCGTTCTTTGAAGGTTTCATTTTCCATTACCAATCACTTTCTGGGCTCAACGCAACTTACATCGCGTCGGGAAGGTGTCCCTGCGTCCTGCTTCTCCGTTGGAACGGGTCTCGGTGCATCATGGGATCATACACTACTTTATGCTGTCGGGAAACGTTAGCTGTTGAGTCAAAGGAAAGGGAGCGCATGTCTTATTAGGCCCAACCATCAGCATTCAACGCTCTCCACTCGGTGGAAGGGGATTCGAGAGTTACGGTGAGGTGATTTTTCCCTCATGCAATCACGTTAGCCCATACTGACTTACATGGACCATAGCATTCTTTTCTGAGCGGATAACTTGCCTGCGTGTTCATTGAAGGCGTGCAAAGTGAGGGTGTTGCAGCGACAATCGAACCCTATGTGGGACCGAAGTATTTAGCTTCAGATCTCAGGATCACTGACAGCTCTTTGTTCAAGCTGCGAATGACCAAGAATTTGAGGTGGGATAAGATTTCCACTGTGCCTATCTTTTATATGCTAAAGGGAGGATTTTGTTTTGATAGCAGACTAGTATGTCATGTGAGTTCATTATCATCGCTTCGTTGCTTCCTAGACTTACCCCCCGAGCCGAGATGCCTACAAGGACGCTCCGAAAAATACATTCAAACGTGCACCAAATCCCCCGTGGGCCATGATGACGGGGTACAATTGTGTCAACGGAGTACATTGCAGCGAGAATCCATTCTTGTTCTCGACTGTGCTCCACGGGGAATGAAGTTTCAGTGGATTGGTAATGAGTGTTTGGAACGGCACACACTCTCACGGAATGATCCGAGCTGGATTAGACTTGGAGATGCCCGTAAGCGTTCACTCACACCGACGTTCCTTCTAATCAATGTTTGTATCGTCTAGGGCCCCACTGCCATTCGAGGCGCCGCCTTTAATGCGGCATTTCGTTCTAGGAAGGTCTCCGAACAAAATATCGATGACAGGGTCCGTAACGTCCTCAATCTAATTAACAACGTGGTGTCCCAGAAGACACCCCTGAGGAGTCGAACGACGATCCAGAAGGAAAGAGAATCCTTCGAGAAGCTGCTTCCGTGAGACTTCTTTTCTTCACCAGTCATGTTAATAAATAACAAGACTGGACAGTCTATTCCAGTCTGCGGTCGTTTTGCTGAAGAAGAGGCAAATGCTCTTCCTTTGGATCCTTCTATTGTCAAATCCATTGGTGTCATCGGCCCAAACGCAAATAATGCGGTTGTCTCTGGTTGGGACTTCGTCGTGGGTGTCCAGATGAAGCAGGATTATCACTCATGCTCTGTCTCGTTCTGCAGCAAGTTAGACCGTTACACCGTTTGATGCCATTGCCGAAGCGGCAAGGAGCTCGGCATAAATGAAGTCCAGTTCGCTTTCGGAGGAACCGCCCATAAGTATGCGCCAGTTATCGCGAGTTTATGACTTGGTTAAAGAAAGGACATGATCTTATATTGCCCTAAGCACGCCAGGGTCCAGAGCTCAGGGCAGCCGACGGTGTGGCTGGAGTCGATCTCGCTTTTTTCAATGAGGACCCGTAGGTCAACCCACAGGTCTACCCGGTGTTTCGTGAGTTCATAGCTTTGGTCGTTATGCTATCATTTCGCTACTATTCACATCCTCTCATTCAGAACTACGACCGACATGTTCATGATTGATCACCTTTCATCCGAAATTATCAACTCACGTTGCTGGTTGAAAGCTAAAATTTACTTTTGAAGCCACGCCCGAGGCGAGTCCGTCGTCAACACTCCAGCGACCACCAAAGGAACTTGAGGGCTTTACGAAGACGGCGGTTCTTCAACCCAGGGGATCCGAGGATGTTTTTATTGGCCTGGCCTTTGGATTTTTCAACGACCAGAAGGATATGAATCGCGGGGTTGCCGAGGAGGATGAATTCAAAAACTTTGTAGGGCCTACTCTCGATGACGTTCAGACGTCGTCCAGTCTGGAACTTACGGAGACGTTCTCTTGGATTTAATCGTCATCCTATGCGCGCATCCGATCGAGGGTACCGGCTCTGCTCATTGGATTTCCCAATCTTGTCTGATCGACGAGACAGTCCTGGTTGGTGTGCAGTATCTTGTAACTGTTCCTTTGCACTATCTGTTTGCTAGCTTTCCGTGACGGCAAATGTCGCTGGACTTGAAAACTCGATCGGAGACGAAGCATGAATTGGACGCAGTGTACTTTCCCACCGGACATTCTCGCTTATTCAGCTATCCCCAAATTGCGATGACTTTCCACTTTGTGGACAGGGACCTAGCCAGGATGGGCGTCCTGGACCATTCTACGTAGAAAAGACTTTCGCAGCTGACCATTACCCGGAAAATTTCGATCTTGTCAGGCAGAGATTTAGTGTGCTTGCGCAGGGCATATGGACGTCCGAACTGGGCATTTTAGTATCGATCTACTTGGATCCCGAACTGCGTTTCACACACCATGTGCTTCTGTTTTAGGTTATCTGATGGACCTATGTAATGGAGGTTGCGCACACAAAACCCTTTGGAAGTATTCCCTGACTAATTACTTTCTGGGCTCAATGCAAGCTGCGTTACATCGGGAAGGTGTTCCTACGTCCTGCTTTCCCCCGGAAAAGGTGTCGGCACGTCCTGGGATCCTAAACCTCTTCACATAGCTCGCGGAACTCTAGGCGTTGGGTGGAAGGCAAAGGGATCGCTTGGGTCCAACGATTGACATTCAAAGCTCTCCACTCGGCGGGAGAGGATTTGAGGGTTACGATGGGGTCCCTACATTGCGTGCAATCAGGTTAGCCCGAACTGATTTATGTACTGTAGGATCCGTTCTTGAGTGGGTCACCTGCCCGTCGAAGGTGTATTACGACGACGATGAAGGACTACATATGTGAGACTGAAGCATTATTGACAAGTCATTGTTCGGACTGCGTATAATTTGAGGTAAGATAAGACTCCTATCGCCTAGACAGTGGGACAATTTTTGCATTAGTGGCGGACGGGCAGGTCATGTAAATTCGTTATCCATGCTCCAAACCTGCACTGCAAGCGTACTGTCTACAAAGATACTTCGAGGGATATATTCCCACCCACTTGAGTTCGCAATTAATTAGGGTACCTGGGGGGGGCATAATGATTGGAAGCAATGGGGCCGCAAGGGCCCGTTCTTGATCTCGACTGGACCCCGCGTGGCAGTGCGACTATCCAACATACTTCCTCAATGGGGTTTCGGAGGGTTCGATTCTGGTATATATTTTACCAAGCCGAAGATTCCGTTGGTAGTGACTGATCAACCCGATATGGGGATCATATCATTCACTGCCCCTATATATATATCGATGATCATGCACGGAGAGCTTTTGATCCGACCGCTTGCGATCCTGACATTTCAAGCCCTAGCTAGTGGCTTCTATTGGAAATGGCGAGTCACCGGAGATATCCGGGACATATGTGGAGGATAATGTGGAGGATGTGACTAAGCGCTTGCGTAAATACCGCGCATAGGAAGCTCCGGATTGCCGATGCATAGTATAAATATGGGTGCTTTAGCACCGTATGTTCTTTAGTTACAGTTTCTCTTCTCATTTCTATATTACATCTGGGTTGCGAGTGAACCGCTGAAGCGGGTTGCCATATATGGAACTCCGGAACACCGTTTACAACAGGTTATGAGCCCAGCCCTGGGTCTAACCGGAATACTCAATCACTGCATCCGTCGCTTATGTAATATGTGGAAACTGCGTATAACTCCCTGGGACAGTGCTGAAAGTAATGACCTCAGCATTTCCCTTGTACCCCGGAACCAGAATGCTCGGAATCGGAATGAATATCGACGATTCGGATCTGGCCGACGGACCGATCACGTGTTTGAACCCGAAGATCAATTACCATATCATTTTCCCCGACTTCCCACGCAATTAACCCAGAAGGGATGGACATTCTCAGAGGGCAGGGAGCAAGGATGGAGATGGGGGACATTTGATGCAGGGGGAAAGCAGACCAAAGAGAGGCCGATATGTTGAAGGAGGATACCGGCATCCCAGCCGAGAGAATAATAGGGAGGGCCCCGAAATGGAAACAGGAGTGCCGTCATGTGACTTCGGGAATGGGGGGGATCCGGATGTGGTAAGACTGTATAGGACTGGAAAACATCGGAGGATGGGATGGATCTCAGGCGCTTCGAGTTTGTCATACAGGGCAGGACCCTTCCCGATCAAGGAACCCATGGAGTATGTGACTCGAGGGGGAATATTGGAAATGGCGAGTCACCGGAGATATCCGGGACATATGTGGAGGATAATGTGGAGGATGTGACTAAGCGCTTGCGTAAATACCGCGCATAGGAAGCTCCGGATTGCCGATGCATAGTATAAATATGGGTGCTTTAGCACCGTATGTTCTTTAGTTACAGTTTCTCTTCTCATTTCTATATTACATCTGGGTTGCGAGTGAACCGCTGAAGCGGGTTGCCATATATGGAACTCCGGAACACCGTTTACAACAGCTTCTCTACTCTCGAGTTAGCATACTACCGTGTGCTCTCCACGCATACCCATCTCGACAGCTGGTATACAAGTCTATTTCTTGAAGTCGCGAAACGATGTCTCCGTTCACTACGAGCCTGGAAGAGGGTGTTGTCAGTCTACAATCTTTGCCTCAGAAATTGTTAGAGCGATCTCATCGCTGACACTCTTACATGACATCATTCGCGATTTGTAGTACCGAATCTGTAGTGCACTAGACTCAAACCTTTGGCTGACAATGGACCCACCCAACCCAGCAACTGGAAAGTCAGCTGTTAGTGTTAGACCGGACAATCCATCCGCTAGAAATCAACAAGTACGGGTTCGAATAAAAATACTTGAGACATGCTTATATATTGCCGCTGTTCGATAACGATTAGTGGAAAATCGTCTTCTATCCCAAGTCGAATAGTTATTCCTTTTTCAGTCTTGGACAAAGTCTTTACCTCGCTGCAGATGTAAGGACCTGGGTTCCTCAAGGTTCGTGCCCTTAGTCCCCTCTCACCTCATGAACAAGTGCGTAAGCCCACACCTTCTGAACGATTTGAGCAGGTCGACCTAAGCCATTTGCATTTCGTCTGCGTCCGGGTGGTGACCAGGAACAGTTAGTTTTGTCTTTGAACGCAATATTTTGATCTTATGGTGTGATCAGAAGTATCCTGTACTTCCCAACGAGATTCTTTGTATCATACGATGGCTCCCAGGTAAAGCCCTCCCCTCCCCTCCCATATCCCCGTGGCCTATTTTCCATTTTGTTTTGACATTCACCAATGTTTATCGCTCGATAGGTATTTTACCATGTCCATGGCAATAGTGGATCGGCGGGATCAGTGAGTTTTATGTCTCATTTCCTGTTGGACGATCTGACGAGTTGATATGCCCAATTCTCGACCCCCCGTTGTCTCGCGCTGATCCCAATAAATTTTAGAGGTGGAAGTTCAGGAGGGTTTCGAGATCTGTGAGGATTCCGAAGGCACCTCCTTTGGTGGAGTGAGTACTAAGTCATTCTTGCTGATGCTGCAGCACTGTCTGCTGACTGATGGTTCGGTTGTGGTTCTAATTTTGTATCGTTTCTTCCGGTTCTGGCTCTGGTGGTTCCACAGGGTCCCACCCGTTTCCGAAGGAACTGTGAATACCTTTCTCAGGTTACCATGTCCAATTCTACTGACCTATTTGCACCGAATCAAACCTCTTATATGCACAGTATCGAATCGTGAATGCCCATTCGAGGACGTACCTTACCATGCTCGACACGCCTGAAAGTGGGCAGAAATACCCCTATGCCGTGGGGCGGACGTACAGGTCCGATTTGACTGCCCAACAAGTAAGTCTTTGCTATTGTGCACGCTCCCTTCCGTACTTTCGAATCCCCCATTTTCTTCCCCTTCAGCCATTCTCCATCGTGAATCCGAACCACTCACTCGCCTAACTTTACATTTGCAATCACTCCAGTGGAAAGTAATACCCCACGATTTAACCCAAACCTACTTCCTCAAAAACGTTGGTACTGAACGCTGGTTGAGCATTCAAGAAGACGGGGCGCTTGAATCCCTTTTCACGGGTGTGGACGAGGAGATAGGCGCTGTGCACTGGGATTTAAGGCAGGGGGAGTCGGAAGGGGAGTTTTAGTGTGTACTCCGTTTCTTTCTCATCTTTTCCATTGCTTTCTGAGTGATCTCATGTTTGCTTTTCTTCTCAGTATTCAGCACCAGGGGGGGCTTTCATTCAGCGTCGCGCTGTTGGATGGTGGAAGTGGGAATGATAACACTACGGTTTGCAGCTTCCCCTCCAATCCCGCCTCTTAGATCATGGCGTCTTATGGTTCTTTCACAATAGGTCAGGCTTCGGGGTCGGATGGACGTTGATAATTCTTCTACCTCCATTTCATATGATACGGTGCGTGCGTTTAACGCTGCACTGGTAGTGTTCTATCCTAATGTTGTGTCGACAGTGGTCATTTGAACCGGCAGAGGAAGATGTGGATCCCAGCGCTTTGCAAGATCTTCCTTAGTAACTCCTTCATGTTTTCGGCAAGTAATGATGACTGACCTGATTTCGTGCTTGGACTTCGATTGGGATCTAATCGTTCAGTGGAGGATCTCTGAAAACAGGAACGGTATGATAGGACTACAACTTGCTATCGCAGTCCCCACTTACGAGGTAACAGTACAAGATCCGGAACGTCGAAACGAGGGCCCTTTTGACTCAAGATGAAACGTTTCCTCCATCCCCTCCCAAGCCTCATTGTTCAAGCCCTTTGTTGAATTGTTCAAAGGAGCTTTCAGGTGAGAGGAGTAAGTTCCAGCAGGTAAGTTTGGAGTGGATCTGCGTGACCGTATTCGCATGTCTTATATGTGTGCTCACAATTGTCGCTGACACTTTCCACATGCGCTACAATAACCTCGGACCCGGCAAACGATAATATGATCGCATTACATAGTGGAAAGTATTTTTTATCAAGGAGGCACAGCAGTATATCTTCCAGAGTGTATATTCTGGACGGTTCATCTCAACGTTGCACCGCTTCAGCACGGATTTTGTCGGTATGCATAATTCCATTCCCCTTTCCGTCCATATTTAGTTCACTGAGTGAAATATCTCGACCATTTTTCAAATTATAGCTTCCAATCAAGTTTGCCCTTGGGTTGTATTACAAGGTGAAGAAACGGGCGAGTTCGTGTGGGTATTAGTCGCCTTCACACATGGTGTACCTCCGTGGTGCAGTCTCTGCATTATTCTGCTCTACCGTTCATTGAGATCTGTGGTGCTCCATATTGTTCTTTTTAGATTGTACGCCTCAGGTTCTGATCAGGTGGTATCAACGTCTGGTGAACCACTGGCACAGACTGGGAGTGTGAGTGCCCCATGCTCGACGCGTCGGATCATGAGGATGTTGATAATCCATTTGGATGGATTGGTTCTGTGTAGCTGTCCATGACGACCAGACTTTACCATTGGCAGACTAATTGGGGTAGGCAACGTGTACGTTTCAACGGAACTTATTATCCCATTCCTACCGTTGTGATCACTTATCTTTGCTCCAGTGGATCTTTGAACCTGTCGATCCGGAGGGGTTAGATCTTAAAGACCCGAACACTCCAAATTACCCTTCACCACTCTCACTTCTAAACCTTAGACCCAGTGATAGCGGTAACGACCGCTCGTCTGGTCGCGACTAAAAAGAGAATGGTCGGCCTTTCATGTATATTGTGCGTCCCCAACCCGTCCCTCGAATTTTGGTTAGCATGAAACTGACATGTTATGTCCATCTCAAGAGTCTGAATGAACCTGGTTTGGTTTGAGGAACACAACTAAGTACATCATGAATTCTGTCAAAGTGGATTTCCACCAAGGGAAGGGGGGCTGTGGCGTTACGGCTTTTTCACTAAACATTGTACAAGGTGGTCAACAACGTTTCCACCTACGCTACGACGATTGTAAATCTCTTTCGATTTGATAATATCTGACCGGCACTCTGCCGATCGCCGCCTGAGAATACAGATAACAACGCTCAGGTTGCGTGGGAATAATGTATGTCTTTGCAGGATACCATGAAATACTCAACACATGTGTCATTGTTACCTTATAAGAATGCGACGGATGGCAACTTCTACATTATCGAGATTGTGATGCCAGACTCCTAGGAAGCCGCGCGGAGTTGCGGATAAACTTTGGCAATTCGGAAAGACGACTGGGGTAGGTCTGATATGATGCGTGACCGGTTGGTTGTGTGAGTGCACGGGCCGATCCACATCAGTCGACATTACTAGAGGCGTATGATCACCTGGAACGGATACGCAGGGTTTGCCATCGCCATGGCTTGTCAGGGCTATATATTTGCTGCTACGTGGGATTCTCCTCACAGCTTGACTTTTGCGGGCCTCACTGTCTCTCTTCTGACCATCGTGTCTCGCCGTCCAATTCAAGTGGCGTAATCGTACTGTTACCTGCGAAACTGAAATCTAGCCAGGATGGATATCCTAAGCGATGATCTCCGTGCTCGATCATTCCGCCTACTTGACGTAGAGAAGACTCTTTCCCAGCTGACCGTTGCCCAGAAAATCTCGATCTTATCGGGAAGTGACATGCTCAATGCATGGACGCTGCATGGCATCCGAGCTAATGCAGGCATCTCTTCCGCAGTGGCACACAACACTAGATTCGGCATTCCATCCTGTAGGTCCACACCATTTCATCTAGATCTCGAACCATATTTCAGATTTTCTGATGGACTTAACGGAGCCCGTGGCACCAAATTCTTTGAAGGTATTCGTTTTCCATTACCAATCACTTTCTGGGCTCAACGTGGGCTCAACGCAACTTGCATCGCGTCGGGAAGGTGTCCCTGCGTCCTGCTTCCCCGTCGGAACGGGTCTCGGTGCATCCTGGGATCATACATTACTTTATGTTGTCGGGAAAACGTTAGCTGTTGAGTCAAAGGCAAAGGGAGCGCATGTCCAACCGTCAACATCCAACGTTCCCCACTCAGTGGAAGGCGATTTGAGAGTTACAGCGAGGTGATTTGTCCCTCATTCCATGCAACCACGTTAGCCCGTACTAACTTACATGGACCATAGGACCCTTTTCTCAGCGAATCACTTGCCCGCGTGTTCATTGAAGGTGTGCAAAGTGAAGGTGTTGCAGCGACAATCAAACACTGTGTGAGACCGAAGTATTTGAGCTTCGGATTTCAGGATTACTGACAGCTCTTTGTTCAGGCTGTGAATGACCAGGAATTTGAGGTGGGATAAGATTGCCACTGCCTATCTCTTAAATGGTAATGGAAGGATTTTTCCTTGATAGCAGGCTAGCATGTCATGTAAAGTTCATTATCATCACTTCGCCGCTTCCTAGACTTACACCCCAAGTGTTTCCCAGCCAACATGTCTACCAGGACACTCCGAGAAATACATCTCCGTCCATTCGGACTCACGATCAGGGCACCAAAATCCGCCGTGGGCCATAATGACAGGGTACAATTGTGTCAACGGAGTGCATTGCAGCGAGAATCCGTTCTTGTTCTCGACTGTGCTCTGCGGGGAATGAGGTTTCAGTGGATCGGTAATGAGTGATGGGAATGGCACATACTCTATCACGGAATCGATCCGAGCTGGATTAGACTTGGAGGTGCCCGTAAGCGTTCACTCACCGACGTTTCTTCTAATCAATGTGTATCGTCTAGGGCCCCACTGTGGTTCGAGGCGCCGCCTTGAATGCGGCTTTTCGTTCTAGGAAGGTCTCCGAACAAAATATCGATGACAAGGTCCGTAACGTCCTCAATCTAATTAACAACGTACAGCCAAGTGGTGTCCCAGAAGACGCCCCTGAGAAGTCAAACGACGATCCAGAGGTAAAGAAAATCCTTCGAGAAGCTGCTTCCGTGAGACTTCTTGACCAGTCATATTAATAAATAACAAGAACCTATTCCAGTCTGCGGTCGTTTTGCTTAAGAACGAGGCAAATGTTCTTCCTTTGGATCCTTCTGTTGTCAAATCCGTTGGCGTCATCAGCCCAAACGCAAAAAATGCGGTTATCTCTGGTGGGGGCTCCGCAGCACTTCATGGGTGTCCAGCATGTCAGATGAAGCAGAATCATCACTTATGCTCTGTCTCGTTCTGCAGCAAGTTACACTGTTACACCGTTTGATGCCATTGCCGATGCGGCAAGGGAGCGTGGCATAAATGAAGTCCAGTTCGTTCTCGGAGGAACCGCCCACAAGTATGCGTCAGTTATCGTGAGTTCAGGACTTGGTTACAGAAAGGACACCAAATTTTATATTGCCCCAAATACGCCAGGGTTGGGGACTCAGAGCAGCCGACGGTACGGCTGGAGTCGATCTTACTTTTTTCAACGAGGACCCGTGGGTGAATCCACCTATTTCACATCCTCTCGTTCAGAACTACGACCGACAAGTTCATGATTGGTAACCTTCCATCCGAAATTATCAGCTCGCGTTGCTGGTTGGAAGCTAAAATTTCCTCCTGAAGCCACATCCCAGGCGAGTCCGTCGTCAACACTCCAGCGACTGCCAAAGGAACTCGAGGGCTTTACGAAGACGGCGGTTCTTCAACTCAGGGGATCTGAGGATGTTTCTATTGGGCTGGATCACCTGGCCTTTGGATTTTTCAACGACCAGGAGGATATGAATCGCTGGGTTGCCGAGGAGGACGAATTCAAAGTCTTTGTAGGGCCTACTCTCGATGACGTCGTTCAGTCTTGAACTTCCGGAGACGATCTCTTGGATTTAAACGTCACCCTATGCGCGCATCCGATCGAGGGCACCGGCTCCGCTCATTGGATTTCCCAATCTTGACTGATCGACGAGTCAGTCCTGGTTGGTGTGCAGTATCTTGTAACTGTCCCTTTGCACTATCTGTTTGCTAGCTTTCCGTGACGGCAAATTGTCGCTAGACTTGAAAACTCGATCGGAGACGAAGCATGAATTGGACGCAGTGTACTTTCCCACCGGACATTCTCACTTATTCAGCTATCCCCAAATTGCGATGACTTTCCACTTTGTGGACGGGGACCTAGCCAGGATGGGCGTCCTGGACCATTATATAGAAAAGACTTTCGCAACTGACCATTACCCGGAAAATTTCGATCTTGTCAGGCAGAGATTTAGTGTACTTGCGCAGGGCATATGGACGTCGCGTGTTATTCATGCGGACGCACATTTCTCTTCTGCAGTTGGACGCAACACACGTCACCGAACTGGGCATTTCAGCCCTTAGGTTAATATCGATCTACCTGGATCCCGAACTGCGTTTCACACACCATGTGCTTCTGTTTTAGGTTATCTGATGGACCTATGTAATGGAGGTTGCGCGCACAAAATCCTTTGGAGGTATTCCCTGACTAATTACTTTCTGGCCTCAATGCGGGCTGCGCTACATCGGGAAGGTGTTCCTACGTCCTGCTTCCCCATTGGAAAATGTCTCGGCACGTCCTGGGATCCTAAACTGCTTCGCATAGCTGGCGAAACTCTAGGCATTGAGTCAAAGGCAAAGGGAGCGCTTGGGTCCAACGATTGACATTCAACGCTCCCTACTCGGCGGGAGAGGATTCGAGGGTGGGTCCCCACATTGCGTGCAATCAAGTTAGCCCGTACTGACTTATGTACCATAGGATCCGTTCTTGAGCGGGTCACCTGCCCATCGAAGGTGTATTGCGACGAAAGAACATGTATGTGAGACCGAAGCATTATTGACAAGTCATTGTTCGGACTGCGTATAATTTGAGGTAGGATAGGACTCCTATCGCCTAGAGACTGAGGCAATTTTTGTATTAGTGGCGGACGGGCATGTCATGTAAATTCGTTATCCATGCTCGATCCAAACCTGCAAGCGTTTTCTGTCTACGAAGATACCTCGAGATATTCCCACCCACTTGAGTTCGCAATTAATTACCTGAAAACTCCCTGGGGGGGCATAATGATTAGAATCAATGGGGCTGGTGCGCATTACAGCAAGGACCCGTTCTTGATCTCGACTGTGTTTCGTCGCCACATTACCCCGCGTGGCAGTGCGACTATCCACATGCTTCCTCAATGGAGTTTCAGAGGGTTCGCAAGCCGAAGATTCCATTGGTAGTGACTGATCAACCCGATATGGCGATCATATCATTCACTGCCCCTATATCGATGGAGAGCTTTTGATTCGACCGCTTGCGATCGCAGCATTTCAAGCCCCAGCTAGTGTCTTCTCTTCTCTTCTCTACTCTCGAGTTAGCACACTACAGTGTGCTCTCCACAGATATCTACCTCGAAAGCTGGATACAAGTCGATTCAAGTCTATTTCTCCAAGTCGCAAAACGATGTCTCCATTCACTACGAGCCTGGAAGGGGGTGTTGTCAGTCCACAATCTTTGCCTCACAAATTGTTATAGCGACCTCATCACTGACACTCTTACATGACATCATTCACGATGCCCGCGATTTGTAGTACCGAATCTGTAGTGCACTAGGCCCAAACCTTTGGCTGACAATGGACCCACCCAATCCAGCAACTGGAAAGTCAGTTGTTAGCGTTAGACCGGACAATCCATCCGCTAGAAATCAACAAGTACGGGTTGGAATAAAAATACCACACAAAACGTGATGCATGCTTATATTACTGCTCTTCGATGCTAATTAGTGGAAATTTTCCCTCTATCGCGAGTCGAATAGTTATTCCTTTTTCAGTCTTGGACAAAGTCTTTACCTCGCTGTAGATGCAAACTCCTGGATTCCTCAAGGTTCGTCCTCTCCCCTTCAGAACAAGTGCGTTACCCACACCTTCTGAACGATTTGAGCAGGTCGACCTAAGCCATTTGCATTTCGTCTGCGTCCGGGAGGTGACCAGGAACATTTTCAGTTTCGTTTTTCTGTCTTTGAACCCAACGTTTTGTATTTTGACTTTGTGGTTTGATCGGAAGTATCCTGAACTTCCCAACGAATTACTTTGTGGCATGCGATGGCTCCAAGGTAAAGCTACATCTTTTCCTCCCCTCCACTCCCATATCCCGCGGCTTATTTTCGCATCCACTAATGTATCACTCGATAGGCAACTTATTCCTACAACGGTAGTGAAGTGGGAACGGTGAGTCCCATGTCTCATTTCCTGCTGGACGATCTAACGAGTTGATATGCCCAATTTTTGACACCCCCCCCCCCATTGTCTGTACTGATCCCAATGAATTGTAGAAGTGGAAATTCAAGAGGGTTTTGAGATCTGCGAGGATTCCCAAGGCACTACCTCTGGCGGAGTGAGTACCATGTTCGATTGCTTGGGATCGTTTCTTCCGGTTCTGACTCTGCATAGGGTCCCACCTGTTTCGGAAGGAACTGTGAATATCTTTCTCAGGTTACCATGGAATTATTGTGATCTGACTCTCCAACTCTCCAACCGTCGACTTAACTAACGCACGCCGGCCTAATTTCACCGAATCAAAACCTCTGATATGCACAGTATCGAATCGTGAATGCCCATTCGAGGACGTACCTTACCATGCTCGACACGCCTCAAAGTGGGCAGAAATACCCCTCTGTCGTGGGGTGTACGTACGGGTCCGATTTAGCTACCCAACGAGTACGTCTTTGCTATTGTGCATGCATTCCCCTTTCCGTACCCTTGAATTTCGCATTCCCATCCCTTCCACCCATCCTTCGTCGTGAATCTGAACCACACTCTTCTAATGTAACATTTGTAGTGGATAGTAACACTCCATGATTTGACCCAAACTTACTTCCTCAAAAACGTTGGCACGGAACGCTGGTTGAGCATTCAGGAGGGCGGAGCGGTTGGGTCCCTTGTCGCGGGTGTGGATGGGGAGATAGGCGCTGTGCACTGGGATTTAAGACAAGGGGAATCGGAAGGGGAGTTTTAGTGTGTACTCTGTTTCTTTTCTCGTCATTGTTTTCTGAGTAATCTCATGTTTGATTTTTTATCAGTATTCAGCACCAGGGGGGGTATTCGTCCACCGTCGTGCGGTTGGAAGGCGGAAGTGGAAGTGATAACGCTATGGTTTGCAGCTTCCCCTCCCTTCCCATCCAATCCCGCCTCTCAGCTTATGGATTCTTTCACAATAGGTCATGCTTCTGGGTCGGATGGAGGCCGAAAATTCGATTTCATATGATACGGTGGGTGCGCTTAACGCTGGACTGGTTGGGTTCTATCCTAATGGTGTATCGACAGTGGTCATTTGAACCAGCAGAGGAGGATGTAGATCCCACGGCTTTGCAAGATCTTCCCTAGTAAGTCCTTCATGTTTTCGGCAAATAATGATGGCTGACCTGATCTTGTTGCTTGGACCTCAATTGGGATCTAATCGTTCAGTGGTGGATCACTGAAAACGGGAAGGGTATGATAAGACTATAACTTGTACTGCTATTGCAGTTCCCACTTACGAGGAAATAGTACAAGATCCGAAACGTCGAAACGAGGGCCCTTTTGACTCAAGATGAAACGTTTCCTCCATCCCCTTCCAAGCCTCATTGTTCAAGCCCTTTGTTGAATTGTTCAAAGGACCTTTCAGGTGAGAGGGCTAAGTCCCAGCAGGTAAGTTTGGAGTGGATCTGGATGACCGTATTCTTCGGAGCGCATGTCTTATATGTGTGCTAACAATTGTCGCTGGCACTTTCTACATGCGCTACAATCACCTCGGACCGGGCAACCGATAATATGATCGCATTACATAGTGGAAAGTATTTTTTATCAAGGAGGCACAGCAGTATATCTTTCAGAGTGTATATTCTGGACGGTTCATCTCAACGTTGCGCCACTTCAGCACGGATTTTGTCGGTGTGCATGATTCCATCCGCTTTTTCCGTCCATATTTAGTTTACTGGGTGGATCGTGTTTCAAATTATAGCTTCCAATCAGGTTTGCCCTTGGATTGTATTACAAGGTGAAGAAACGGGCGAGTTCGTGTGGGTATTAGTCACCTTCACACTTGGTGTACCTCCGTGGTGCAGTCTCTGCATTATTCTTCTATACCATTCACTGAGATTTGTAATGCTGCGTATTGTTCTTTTTAGATTGTACGCCTCAGGTTCAGATCAGGTGGTATCGATCTCTGGTGAACCACAGGCTGGGAGTGTGAGTGCCCCATACTCGACGCGTTGGATCATGAGGACGTTGATGATCCATTTGGATGGATTCGTTCTGTGTAGCTATCCATGACGACCAGAGTTTACCATTGGCAGACTAATTGGGGTAGGCAACGCGTATGTTTCAACGGAACTTATTATCCCATTCCTACCGTTGTGATCACTTATCTTTGCTCCAGTGGATCTTTGAACCTGTCGATCCGGAGGGGTTAGATCTTAAAGATCCGAACACTCCAAATTACCCATCACCACTCTCACTTCTAAACCTTAGACCTAGTGATAGCGGTAACGACCGCTCGTCTGGTCGCGACTAAAAAGAGAATGGTCGACCTTTCATGTATATTGTGCGTCCCCAACCCGTCCCTCGAATTTTGGTTAGCATGAAACTGACATGTTATATCCATCTCAAGAGTCTGAATGAACCTGGTTTGGTTTGAGGAACACAACGGCATCATGACGACGATTGTAAATCTCTTTCGATTTGATAATATCTGACCGGCACTTCTGCCGATCGCCGCCTGAAAATACAGATAACAACACATTGTCTAGCTCAGCTAGTCTGCATGCAGGGGATAATATATGTTTTTGCGAGTTACTAGTGCAGGATCCGTCTATCATCATGAAATACTCAATTCATGTACCTTACAAGAACCGCCTTCGAATCTGCGACAGGGTGGGCTGCGCGAAGTTGTGGGTCAACTTCGGCAATTCGGAAAGTCGACTGGGTTACGTAAGGTCTGATACGATGCGTGACTAGCTGGTCGTGTGAGTGCACCGGCCGATCCACATCAGTCGACACTAGAGGCGTATGCGTATGATCACCTGGATCGGATATGCAGGGTTTGCCATCGCCACGGCTTGTCAGGGCTATATATTTGCTGCTATGTGGGATTCTCCCCACCGCTTAACTTTCGCGCGCCCCGCTGTCTCTCTTCTGACCATCGTCCAGCTTAAGTCGCGTAATCGTACTATCTGCGAGACTGGAATCTAGCCAGGATGGGTATGATCTCCGTGCTCGACCATTCCGCCTACTTGGCGTAGAGAAGACTCTTTCCCAGTTGACCGGATTTCGATCAGTGAACATGGCATCTTTGCACAAGGGCCAGGCCGCATGGCCACCGCGTGGCATCCAAGCTGATGCAGGCATCTCTTCTGCAGTGGCACACAACACCTATCACCAGATTCGGCATTCCATCCCTTAGGTCGACACCCTTTCATATAAATCTCGAACCGTACCTCACACATCGTGCCTTCATTTCAGATTTTCTGATGGACCTACTGGAATTCGCGGCACAAAAATTCTTTCAAGGTATTCGTTTTCCATTACCAGTCACTTTCTGGGTTCAACGCAACTTGCGCCGCGTCGGGAAGGTGTCCCTGCGTCCTGCTTCCCCGTCGGAATGGGTCTCGGTGCATCCTGGGATCATACACTACTTTATGTTGTCGGGAAAACGCTAGCTGTTGAGTCAAAGCGCATGTCTTATTAGGTCCAACTGTCAACATCCAACGTTCCCCACTCGGTGGAAGGGGATTTGAGACTTACAGCGAGGTGATTTTTCCCTCCTCATTCCATGCAATCGCGTTAGCCCGTGCTGACTTACATGGACCATAGGATCCCTTTCTGAGCGGATCACTTGCCTGGGTGTTCACTGAAAGTGAAGGTGCTGCGGCGACAATCAAACACTAGGTGAGACCGAAATGTTGACCTTCAAATTTCAGGATTACTAACAGCTCTTTGTTCAGGCTGCGAATGACCAAGAATTTGAGGTAGGATAAGATCGTCACTGCCTATCTCTTAAATGCTAATGGGAGGATTTTTCCTTGATAGCAGGCTAGCATTTCATTATCATCGCTTCGCCGCTTCCTAGACCTACGCCCCAAGTGTTTCCCAGCCGACATGTCTACAAGGACGCTCCGATAAATACATCTCCGTCCATTCGAACTCGCAATCAGTGCACCAAATCCCCCTTGGGCCATTATAATCGTGCCAACGGAGTGCATTGCAGCGAGAATCCGATCGCAACTGCGCTCCGCGGGGAATGCGATTTCAGCGAATTGGTAATGATGATTTGTTTTTTTTTGGTGGGACGTTTCTCATCCTAAATATCACCCAGCTACACTATATTTGACTACTCTGATGTCTCAGTTTCTGCAACCAAGTTCGGCCCCAAAGATACTGTCATTGTCCCGGTCAAGTCATCAATACCGACCATCGAGCTGGTCGCGAAGTTATCCAGGTTTAGTGGTGCCAACACCAGCGAACTTAGGGGCTTTACGAAGACGGGATCCGAGGATGTTTCTATTGGGCTGGATCACCTGGCCTTTGGATTTTTCAACGACCAGGAGGATGTGAATCAGTGGAGGGCGAATTGGGCCTACTCTCGATGGTATTCAGGCGTCGTTCAGTCTGGAACTTACGGAGACCCTCCCTTGGATTTAAACGTCGTCCTATGATCGGGGGCACCGGCACCGCTCTCATTGGATTTCCCCAATCTTGTCTGATCGGCGAGACAGTCCCGTTAGCCTCCGCTTGTATGTAAGGATTTTGTAACTGTTCTTTTGCACCATCTGTTTGCTAGTTTTCCGTGACGGCAAATGTTGCTAGACTTGAAAACTCGATCGGAGACGAACCACGAAGTAGACGTGTACTCTCGCACCGGACATTCTCGCTTACCTAGCTATTCCAAAATTGAGATGACGACTTTGTACTTTGTGGACGTGACGGGGCCTAGTCAGGATGTTCTAAGTGATCGTCTGTTCTGGACCGTTCTATCCGCTTGACGTAAAATTAACGGGCTTTCGCAACTGGAAAATCTCGATCTTGTCAGGCAGAGATTTAGTGTGCTTGCGCAAGGTATATGAAGGTCGCGTGTTATTTATGCTGACACACATTTCTTTTCTGCAATTAGACACAACACCCGTCGCCGAACAGGGCAATTTAGCCCTTAGGTTAATACCAATCCACCTGGATCCCGAACCGTCATGTGCTTCTATTTTATGGACCTAATGGAGGCTGTGTGCACAAAATCCTTCGAAGGTATTGCCTTACTGATTACTTTCTGGGCTCAATCCAAGCTGCGTTATATCGGGAAGGCGTTCCTACGTCCTGCTTCCCCCGGACAAGTCTCGGCACTTCCTGGGATCCTAAACTTCTTCGCGTGGGTGGCGGAACTCTAGGCGTTGGGTTAAAGGCAAAGGGAGCGCTTGGGCGGGAGGGTTACGGTGGGGCCCCACATTGCATGCAATCAAGTTAGCCCGTACTGACTTATCTTGTATGTATATATATACCATAGGATCCGTTCTTGAGCGGGTCACTGCCCGCACGTAGATCGAAGGTGTACTGCGATGGCGATGAAGCACTATGTGAGACAGAAGCGTTGAGCTTCAGCTTTGAGGATTATTGACAAGAGTTTGTTCGGACTGCGTATAATTTGAGGTGGGATAAAACTCCTATCATGCCTATCGCCTAGACACTGGGCAATTTTTGCATTGGTTCAAGTGTTTCCTAGCTGTCTACGAAGATACTCGGAGGGATGTATCCTCACCCACTTGAGCTTTCAATTAGGGTACCACTCCCTGCGGGGCATAATGATTGGGACAATTGCTCAACGGTGTGCATTACAGCAAGGACCCGTTCTTGTGTTTTGTGGTACCCGCGTGGATACTTCCTCAATGGGATTTCGGACCGGTACCGTCTGAAGATTCCATTGATCACTGATTAACCCGATATGGTGATCATTCACTGCCCCTATATATCGATGATCGTGGAGCTTTTGATCTGACCGCTTGCGATCCTGGCATTTCAAGCCTCCTCCCTTCTCGACCCTACTCTCCAGTTAGCATACTACAGTGCATCTCGAAAGCCGGTATACAAGCCGATTCAAGCCTATTTCTTGAAGTCGCAAAACGATGCATCCGTTCACTACGAGTCTAGAAGAGGGCGTTGTCAGTCTACAGTCTTTGCCTCGCAAATTGTTAGAGCGATCTCAACACTGACACGCTCTTACATGACATCTTTCATGATGTCTACGATTTGTAGTACCGAATCTGTAATGGAAGTGGCCCAAACCTTTGGCTGACAATGGACCCGCCCGACCCAACAACTGGAAAGTCAGCTGTTAGCGTTAGACCAGACAACCCATCCGCTAGAAATCAACAAGTACGGGTTTGAATAAAAATACCACATAAAACACGAAGCATGCTGATATTACTGCTGTTCGATGACGATTAGTGGAAAATTGTCCTCTATCCCGAGTCAAATAGTTATTCCTTTTTCAGTCTTGGACAAAGTCTTTACCTCGGTGTAGATCCAAACTCCTGGGTTTCTCAAGGTTCGTGTTCTTAGTCTTCTCACCTTATGAACAACTGCGTCTTCTGAATGATTTGAGCAGGTGGACTTAAACCACTTGCATTTCGTTTGCGTCTGGGAATTGACCAGGAACAGTTCAAGTTTCGTTTTTCTGTCTTTGAACGCAATGTTTGCATTTTGATTTTATGGTTTGATCGGAAGTATCCTGTATTTCCCAACGGATTACTTTGTGGGATGCGATGGTTCTAGGGTAAAGCCACACCTTTTCCTTCCCTCCCCTCCCATACTCCCGTAGCCTATTTCTTTTCGCGTCCACTAATGTATATCGCTCGATAGGCAACTTATTCCCTCAGCGGTAGTGAAGCGGTATCGGTGAGTCCCCTGCCTCATTTCCGGCTGGACGATCTGACGAGTTGATATGCCCAATTTTTGACCCCCCAACGTCCGTGCTGATCCCAATGAATTGTAGAAGTGGAAATTCAGGAAGGTCTCGAGATCTGCGAGGATTCCAAAGGCACTACCTCTGGTGGGGTGGGTACCGAGTTATTTGGTTCTTCTTCTTGCTGATGCTGCAGCGTTGCCTGCTGGCTGATGTTCCCCCATGGTCCGGTTGTGGTTCCAACTTGGTATCGTTTCTTCCGGTTCTGGCTCTGGTGGTTCCACAGGGTCCCACCTGTTTTCGAAGGAACTGTGAATATCTCTCTCAGGTTACCATGGAATTATTGTGATCTGACTTTCCAACTCTACAACCGTCGACTTGTCTAACGCACGCCGGCCTATTTTCACCGATTTGAACCTCTTATATGCACAGTATCGAATCGTGAATGGTCATTCGAGGTTGTACCTTACCATGCTCGACACGCCTGAAAGTGGGCAGAAATACCCTTATGCCGTGGGGCGGACGTATGGGTCCGATTTGACTGCCCAACAAGTACGTCTTTGCTATTGTGCACGCATTCCCCTTTTGTACTTTTAAATCCCTCATTTTCTTCCCCTTCGCGCATCCTTCGTCGTGAATCCGAACCACTCACTCGCCTAACTTTACATTCCAGTGGAAAGTAACACGCCACAATTTAACCCAAACTTACTTCCTCAAAAACGTTGGTACTGGACGCTGGTTGAGCATTCAAGAAGATGGGAAGATTAATTCGCCTCCGTTCTTTTTCACGGGTGTGGACGAGGAGATAGGCGCTGTGCACTGGGATTTAAGACAGGCGGAAACGGACGGGGAGTTTTAGTGCGTACTCTTTTTCTTTCTCATCTTTCTTTTCCGTTGTTTTCTGAGCAATCGCACGTTTCTCAGTATTCAGCACTATGCGGGGCTTACGTTCAGCGTCGCGGCAGCGCAGCTCGGAAAGGAAAATGGTGACAGTATGGTTCGTAGCTTCCTCTCCCTTCTTTTCCGATCCCGCCTCTCACAGGTTCTTTCACAATAGGTCCTTCTTCAGAAACGAATGAAAGTTTCTAATCCTTCTACCACCATTTCATGGGATACAGTGAATGCCTTTAACGTTGGACTCGTTGTGTTCTAACCTAATGATGTGTCGACAGTGGTCATTTGAACCGGCGGAGGAAGATATGGATCCCACCGCTTTGCAAGATCTTCCTTAGTAAGTCTTTCATGTTTCCGGCAAGTAATGATGGCTAACCTGATCTCGTGGTTGGACCTCAATTGGGATCCAATCGTTCAGTGGTGGATCTCTCAAAACGGGAACGGTATGATAAAACTACAACCTGTGCTGCTATTGCAGTCCCCACTTACGAGGCAATAGTACAAGATCCGAAACGTCGAGACGAGGGCCCTTTTGACTCAAGATGAAACGTTTCCTCCATCTCCTCCCAAGCCTCATTGTTCAAGCCCTTTGTTGAATTGTTCAAAAGAGGTTTCAGGTGAGAGGGGTAAGTTCCAGCAGGTAAGTTTGGAGTGGATCTACGTGACCATATTATTCGTCTTATATGTGTGCTAACAATTGTCGCCGCCACTTTGCGTAGTGGAATGTGCTTTTTATCAAGGAGGCACAGCAGTATTTCTTCCAGAGCGTATATTCTGGACGGTTCATCTCAACGTTGCGCCACTTCAGCAAGGATTTTGTCGGTATGCATGATTCTATTCCCCTTTCCGTCCATATTTAGTTCACTGAGTGAAATATCTGGATCGTGTCTCAAATTATAGCTTCCAATCAAGTTTTCCCTTGGGTTGTGTTACAAGGTGAAGAAATGGGCGAGTTCATGTGGGTATTAGCACACATGGTGTCCTTCGTGGTGCAGTCTGTGCATTATTCTGTGCATTATTCTGCCCTGCCGTTCACTGAGATTTGTAATGTTCTTTTTAGATTGTACGCCTCAGGTTCAGATCAGGTGGTATCAGTGTCTGGTGAACCACAGGCCGGGACTGTGAGTGCCCCATACTCGACGCGTCGGATCGTGAAGACGTTGATAATCCATTTGGATGAATTCGTTCTGCGTAGCTGTCCTTGACGACCAGACTTTACCAATTGCAGACTAATTGGGGTAGGCAACGCGTACGTTTCAACGAAACTTATTATCCCATCCCTACCGTTGTGCTCACTTTTTTTTTTTCTAGTGGATCTTTGAACCTGTGGATCCGGCGGGGTCAGATCTTGAGGATCCGAACACCCAAATTACCCTTCATCATTTTCACGTCTAAACATTAAACCAAGTGATAGCGGTAACGACCACTCGTCTGGTCGCGATTAAAGAGAATGGTTGGCCTTTCATGTATAATGTGGGTCCCCAACCCGTCCCTCGAATTTTGGTTAGCATGAGACTGACATGTTATGTCCATCTCAAGAGTCTGAATGAACCCAGCTTGGTTTGAGGAACACAACTGCATCATGACTTCCGTCAAAGTGGATTTCCACCGAAGGGAGTTGTGGTCGCTAAACAATGTACAAGGTGGTCAACAACGTTGACATCTACGCTACGACGATTGTAAATTTCTTTCGATTTGATAATATCTGACCAGCACTCTGCCGATCGCCGCCTGAGAATACAGATAACAACACATTGTCTAGCTCAGTCTGCGTGGGGATAATATGTGTCTTTGCGAGTTACTGGTGCAGGCATGAAATACTCAACACGTGTTGCTACTTATAAGAATGCGATGGGTGACAACTTCTACAATATTGTTATCGAGATTGTGATGCCAGACTCCTACCTGGCAGGAAGCCGCGCGAAGCTGCGGATAAACTTCGGCAATTCGGAAAGACGACTGGGGTCTGATACGATGCGTGACCAATTGGTCGTGTGAGTGCACGGGCCGATCCACATCAGTCGACATTAGAGGCGTATGATCACCTGGACCGGATATGCAGGGCCTGCCATCGCCAAGGCTTGTCAGGGCTATATATTTGCTGCTACGTGGGATTCTCCCCACAGCTTGACTTTTGCGGGCCTCTTCGTGTCTCACTGCGAAACTGAAATCTAGCCAGGATGGATATCCTAAGCGATGATCTCCGTGCTCGATCATTCCGCCTACTTGACGTAGAGAAGACTCTTTCCCAGCTGACCGTCGCCCAGAAAATCTCGATCCTATCGGGCAGTGACATGGTTTGTTTGCTCAGTGCATGGACGCTGCGGGCATCCAAGCTGATGCAGGCATCTCTTCCGCAGTGGCACACAACACCTATCACCAGATTCGGCATTCCATCCCTTAGGTCGACACCATTTCATCTAAATCTCGAACCATATTTCACACATCGTACCTCTATTTCAGATTTTCTGATGGACCTAATGGAGTTCGTGGCACAAAATTCTTTGAAGGTATCCGTTTTTCATTACCGATCACTTTCTGGGCTCAACGCAGCTTGCGTCGCGTCGGGAAGGTGTCCCTGCGTCCTGCTTCCCCGTTGGAACGGGTCTCGGTGCATCCTGGGATCGTACACTACTTTATATTGTCGGGAAAACGCTAGCTGTTGAGTCAAAGGCAAAGGGAGCGCATGTCTTATTAGGTCCAACCGTCAACATCCAACGTTCCCCACTCGGTGGAAGGGGATTTGAAAGTTACAGCGAGGTGATTTTTCCCTCCTCATTTCATGCAATCACGTTGGCCCGTACTGACTTACATGGACCATAGGACCCTTTTCTCAGCGGATCACTTGCCCGCGTGTTCATTGAAGGTGTGCAACGTGAAGGTGTTGCGGCGACAATCAAACACTATGTGAGACTGAAGTATTGAGCTTCGGATCTCATGATTACTGACAGCTCTTTGTTCAGGCTGCGAATGACCAAGAATTTGAGGTGGGATAAGATTGCCACTGCCTATCTCTCAAATGCTAATCAAGGATTTTGTCTTGATAGCGGGCTAGCATGTCATGTAAGTTCATTATCATCGCTTCGCCGCTTCCTAGACTTACGCCCCAAGTGTTTCCCAGCCAACATGTCTACAAGGACACTCCGAGAAATACATCTCCGTCCATTCGAACTCACAATTAGGGCACCAAATCCGCCGTGGGCCATAATGACGGGTACAACCGTGTCAACGGAGTACATTGCAGCGAGAATCCGTTCTTGATCTCGACTGTGCTCCGCGGGGAATGGGGCTTCAGTGGACTGGTAATGAGTGATTGGAACGGCACATACTCTATCACGGAATCGATCCGAGCTGGATTAGACTTGGAGATGCCCGTAAGCGTTCACTCACGCCGACGTTTCTTCTAATCAATGTGTATATCGTCTAGGGCCCCACTGTGGTTCGAGGCGCCGCCTTGAATGCGGCTTTTCGTTCTAGGAAGGTCTCCGAACAAAACATCGATGACAGGGTCCGTAACGTCCTCAATCTAATTAACAACGTGCAGCCAAGTGGTGTCCCAGAAGACGCCCCTGAGAAGTCGAACGACGATCCAGAGGTAAAGAAAATCCTTCGAGAAGCTGCTTCCGTGAGACTTCTTTTCTTGACCAGTCATATTAATAAATAACAAGATTGAACAATCTATTTTAGTCTGCGATCGTTTTGCTTAAGAACGAGGCAAATGTTCTTCCTTTGGATCCTTCTGTTATCAATCCATCGGTGTCATCGGCCCAAACGCAAAGAATGCGGTTATCTCTGGTGGGGGCTCCGCAGCACTTCGTCGTGGGTATCCAGCATGTCAGATGAAGCAGAATCATCACTGATGCTCTGTCTCGTTCTGCAGCAAGTTACACTGTTACACCGTTTGATGCCATTGCCGAAGCAGCAAAGGAGCTGGGCATAAATGAAGTCCAGTATGCTCACGGAGGAACCGCCCATAAGTATGCGCCAGTTATCGTGAGTTCAGGACTTGGTTAAAGAAAGGACATCAAATCTTATATTGCCCTAAACACGCCAGGGTCCGGAACTCAGAGCAGCCGACGGTACGGCTGGAGTCGATCTCACTTTTTTCAACGAGGACCCGTGGGTGAATTCACAGGTCAACCCGGTATTTCATATGGTTTCGTGAGTTCACAGCTTTAATCGTTACGCTATCGGTTCGCGACTATTTTAAATCCCCTTATTCAGAACTACGACCGACATGTTCATGATCGATAACCTTTCATCTGAAATTATCAGCTCACGTTACTGGTTGGAAGCGAGCGGGAAATTTACTCCTGAAACCACGTCCGAGGCGAGTCTGTCTCTGCCCGCGGTCAGCAAGTATAATTACCCCTCTAGAGCAGTACGAATTCGGGTTTCTGCCATCGGAAAAGCGGACTTGTATATTGACGGCAGGTATGAAACATGATCCATGCACCCCAACATTGCGAAGTTACCCCACCCCCTAGGAGGATAGTTGACAATTCGACCAACGTGCAGCTGGAGACACTTTCCTTGGGGCGTACGTACTCAACGATGGTCCCCACTTGGAGGACCAGCAAGACTAACCTCGTTATTAGCGGCTCCAAGGAGCGATTAGGAAGCACGAAGCTTGAAGCTGGTCAAAGCTACAATCTTCTTGTTCGGTATACTTATGACCTTGCATTTGCCTCGAGTACGGGAACCACGGCTACACTGAGGGGAGGGGCTCTCCGATTCGGAGTTTCCCCGCGCAAAACTGTCGAAGAATTTCTTGCTGAGGCAGTTTCAGTTGCACGTCAGGTCGATGCCGTCATTCTACTCGTTGGCCTAAATTCTGGTACGTATTGATTGGTGTCTACGCTTTCAAAATTGTCACCAGGAACGCAATAGACTTCGAATCCGAGTCGTCCGATAGGCCCCACATGAGACTCCCCTCTTACTCAGACGAATGGACAACTGCTGTGTTGGCTGCCAACAGGAACACTGTTGGTTGGTGAGCCTCAATTTTGAAGTACGGATCCACCTTAAGTCTTCCCTGCTTCAGTTGTCGTCCAATCCGGAACTCCGGTAGAGATGCCATGGGTTGATAAAGCCGCCAGTTTGTTGCAGGCATTTTATGGAGGGAATGAAGTTGGACATGGAATATCTGATGTGGTATTTGGCAAGGTGAACCCTTCTGGTCGCCTCCCACTCTCCTTCCCTATTCGATTGGAGGATAATCCAACTTCTCTCAACTTCGGTGGGAGGAATGTATACTATGGTTGGTCTGGCTTCTTGGTCTATTTTGGTTCAATGATAACGAATCATCGAGGCCGTAGGTGAAGGTATATTCGTCGGCTACAGGTGTGTCGAGTCGATTCTAGGACAGAAGGTAGATAACAATATTCCCTGGCGTTTCACAGGCACTACGAAGCTCTGAAGAAGAAGGCCTTGTTCCCCTTTGGCTTTGGGAAGAGGTAATGTTGATTTCTCTTATGATCAGTGAGACGTTTCTCGTCCTAAATGTCACTTAGTTATACTACATTTGACTACTCCGATGCCTCAGTCTCTGCCACCAAATTCGGCCCCAAAGATACTGTCATTGTTTCGGTCAAAGTCACCAATACCGGCCCTCGAGCTGGTCGTGAAGTTGTCCAGGTTTATGTCCATGATGTGGTGTCAACACTCCAGCGACCGCCAAAGGAACTTAGAGGCTTTACGAAGACGGCGGTTCTTCAACCCGGAGAATCCGAGAATGTTTCTATTGGGCTGGATCACCTAGCCTTTGGATTTTTCAATGACCGGAGGGTGTGAATCGATGGGTCGCCGAGAAGGGCGAATTCAAAGTTTTTGTTGGGCCTACTCTCGATGACGTCAAGGCGTCGTTCAGTCTGGAACTTACGGAGACGTTCTCTTGGATTTAAACGTCATATATCCTATGCGCGCATCCGATTGAGGGCACTAGTTTCGATTCCCCCTATCTTGTCTGATCAGTTAACCTCCGCTTGTGTGTAGTATCTAACTGTAACGGTTCTTTTGCATCATCTGTTTTGCTAGTTTTCCGTGACGGCAAAAGTTGCTACATTTGAAAACTCGATCGGAGACGAAGCATGAAATGAGTATCAAACCAAACTCTTTACCAATATAGCAATGGGGAATGTTTGATTGCTTCTTCTACATGTTCACCTGTTCTTGGGGAAAGTGATTTTAGTAGGACCACAAGTTCTCGTTGTAAATTGTCAATGTTGTCCGTCTTGGAGGAAAAGGGAAGCACGCGCGTCACATAGGTGCATCCGCATTTACATTTGCAGCAGCGCGGGTTATCTTGGGGTCACATCGCCTTTTCTGCTTACAATGATTCCCTAATTCCAACAAGGTCACTTTCGCTTCTTCTACGCGTGTCACCACCCAGAAATTTTGTACGAGTTGTGGCATCTCCCGAGCTCAGCTGGTATTTGATGCGTCTGATCGTGCGGTTGTAGGCAGGGCTCCAGCCTACATGACTTTGTAATATGAGATAGAGTGCGGTTGGCCTTCCTTTCCATCGGGCATTACCGCATGTGACGAGGACCATATCTCGGGATTTCCTGGATTGCAAGACACTAATCTTCCCAGGTCACGGCCCGAGACGACAGCCAACCCTCTGCAGCTAAGATGACTATCTCTAGCGACAATCACCCTGCTCGTCCATTCCACGAATTTGGTATCGAAGAAACTATCTCGAAGCTGACCGACGAGGAGAAGGTCTTGATCTTGTCGGGTAGGGATATGGTGCGTTTGTATGGGCTTCGTATCTTTTATGCTGGTGCACATTTGTCTACTGCAGTGGCACACAGCACCTATCACCAGAATCGGCATTCCAGCTCTTAGGTCAGTGGCAATCATCGGTCTGGATCTCGAAGCACTTGACGTATGGTGATGCCTTTCCAGAGTCTCTGATGGACCTAATGGCGTTCGTGGCACGAAATTCTTCGAAGGTATTTGTTACCCTCCGCCGATCACTTTCTAAGGAACTCAACACACATTTTATGTCGTATAAGGTGTTCCTGCGTCCTGCTTCCCCGCCGCAACAGGTCTTGGCGCGTCCTGGGATCGTAAATTCCTTTACCTTGTCGGTAGAGCATTAGGTGTTGAGTCAAAATCGAAGGGAGTGCACGTCTTATTAGCACCAACGATTAATATACAACGTTCTCCACTTGGAGGAAGGGGATTCGAAAGTTACAGCGAGGTAGTCTCTTTTATTGTATGCAATCATTTTCACTGCTGCTGACAGGTTTGTATGCGCCATAGGATCCGTTTTTGAGCGGATCACTTGCACGCGCGTACATTGAAGGCGTGCAAAGCGAAGGCATTGCGGCGACTGTCAAGCACTATGTGAGACGGAAACACCGCGCTTCAAGTTTCAAGACCACTGATCCATAATCGGTCTCGGTCCAGGTTGCAAATGAGCAAGAATTTGAGGTAGGAGTGCCACCCCTGCGGTCTTTTAGACGCTGAAAGGAAAGCCATGTATTGACAGCGAATGACCATGTCCTGTAAGTTTGTTTTCGCTGCTTTTTGACTCTCAAGACCTACCACTGGTGGTCGCCAGCCGACATGTCTATGAGGACACTCCGGGAAATATATCTTCGCGCATTTGAGCTCGTAATCAGGGCACCAAATCCTCCGTGGGCAATAATGACGGGTTACAATCGTGTTAACGGTGTCTATTGCTGTGACAACTTATTCTTAATCTCAACCGTGCTCCGTGGGGAATGGGGTTTCAAAGGACTCGTGATGAGTGATTGGTACGGGACATACTCTATCGCGGAATCGATTCGAGCTGGATTAGATTTAGAGATGCCCGTGAGTGTTCACTGACGCCAGCATGTTTTGAAATTCATGTGCATATCGCCCAGGGTCCGGCTCGTGTCCGAGGCGCCGCCTTGGCTACAGCCCTTCGTGATGGAAAGGTTTCCCAGAAAGACATAGATGACAGAGTCCGTAACGTGCTCAATCTGATTAACAACGTCCAGCCAAGTGGTGTCCCAGAGGACGCTCCAGAGAAGTCGAACGACGATCCAGATGCGAAGAAACTTCTTCGAGAAGCAGCTTCCGTGAGACTTCTCCTCTCACATCAATGGATAGCAAGATTGAGCGATTTTTTCCCAGTCCGCAATCGTTTTGCTCAAAAACGAGGTCAATCTTCTTCCATTAGACCCGTCCGTCATCAAATCCATTAGTGTCATTGGTCCGAACGCAAAGAGCGCGGCTATTTCTGGCGGGGGTTCTGCAGCTCTTCGTCGTGGGTAATTGACAAGTCAGATAGCGTCAACGTATCACCTACTCTTTTATCTTTTTTTTAGCATCGTACACTGTAACACCGTTTGATGCCATTGCTGAAGCCGCAAAAGAGCTCGGCATCAATGAAGTGAAGTACGCTCGCGGAGGAAACGCCCACAATTATGCACCAATTCCGGTGGGTTCAGGTTTTCGCTGAAGGCTGCGCAGTGAGCTCTGTATCGACCCTTGAATACGCTAGGGCCCCGAGCTCAGGGCAGCAGACGGCACGGTCGGAGTGGATCTCACTTTTTACAATGAAAATCCCTTGGAAAATCGACAGGCCGAGCCAGTATTTCATATGGTCGCGTAGGTTCCTATCTTTGTTGTTCTACCATTATTCCATGACTGTTTCGCGTTTCTGTCCCTATTCAGAACTACGACCTGCATGTTCATGGCTGACAACCTTCCCCATCACATTATCAACCCACACTGTTGGTTAGAAGCCAGAGGGAAATTTACACCCGAGGCTACGTCTGAGGTGAGTGTTTCTCTTTATCGTGACCTGGCTCATAGTTGAATGCTCTTCCGGAGCAGTACGAATTTGGGGTTTCCGCCAGCGGCAAAGCGGACCTGTATATCGATGGCAGGTGTGAAATATGGTTCATTCATCTTTCGGACATTGTAAACAAACTCCAATTCTCAGGAGGGTAGTTGATAATTCGGCCAACCCCAAGCCTGGAGACACGTTCTTTGGCACGTGCGTATTTAGCAACGGTGGCTTCTACCTCGAAGACTAAACCACTCCATCATTAGTGGCTCCAAGGAGCAATTGGGAAGGATCAAACTTGAGGCTGGCCGAAGCTACGATCTTCTTGTTCGGTATACATATGACCCTACCAGTACAGAGATCTCGGCCCCGACTAGCAGAGGCGGCCTCCGATTCGGAGTTTCCCAGATTAGACCTACGGAAGAATTCATTGGTGAGGCAGTTGCAGTCGCAAAGCAAGTCGATGCCGTTGTCCTAGTCATTGGTTTGAACTCTGGTATGTATTGGTCGGTCAATACCTGCCAAAATGTCACTAGGAACGCAACAGATTTCGAGTCCGAATCATTTGATAGACCCACATGAGACTCCCTTCCAGCTTAGACGAATTGGCGGCTGCTGTGTTGACTGCCAATGAGAACACTGTTGGTCAGTGGGCTTCGGTTCTTGAAGCATAACTCCAGCTTAAGTTTTCCCTCTCAGTTGTTGTCCAGTCCGGAACCCCAGTAGAGATGCCATGGGTTGACAAAGCTACCAGTTTGTTGCAGGCTTTTTACGGCGGGAATGAAGCTGGGCGTGGAATTTCCGACGTGTTATTCGGCAAGGTGAACCCTTCTGGCCGGCTTCCGCTCTCCTTCCCTATTCGGGTGGAAGATAATCCATCATACCCCAATTTTGGCGGAGAGAATGGACATGTGTATTATGGTTGGTTTGCCCTCTAGTAGTCTGGTTCGATATTAATAATAACTAAATCATCAACGTCGCAGGCGAAGATGTTTTTGTTGGTTATAGGTTTGTTGAGTTTGGTTTTGGATGGAGGCGTGGCATGGCTAATATCCTGGGTGCGGTCACAGGCACTATGAAGCTGTAGAGAAAAAGGTCCTGTTCCCTTTTGGGTTTGGGAAAAGGTAATGTAGATGGGCCCTAATTCGTCAAGCGTCTTCATTCTAAATATCTTCTAGCTACACTACCTTCGGCTACTCTGATGTCTCGGTGTCTTCCACCAAGTTTGGTCCAGAAGATACTGTCACTGTTTCAGTTAAAGTGACCAATACTGGCAATCGAGGTGGTCGTGAAGTTGTCCAAGTTTACGTCCATGATGTTGTGTCAACGCTACAGCGACCACCAAAGGAACTCAAGGGCTTTGCGAAGACAGCAGTTCTTCAGCCTGGAGAATCCGAAGACGTTTCCATAGTGTTAGATCACCTCGCCTTTGGGTTTTTTAAGGATCACGAGCAGGTCAACCGCTGGGTCGCCGAGAAGGGGGAATTCGAAGTCTTTGTTGGATCCACTCTCAAGGACATCCGAGCGTCGTTCAGTTTGGAACTTACGGAGACGTTTTTTTGGGTCTGAACACCACCCTCTGTGCGTAGTCTGTCTCGCTTCCCCTAACGCGCGAGATCTCTTCCATATCTACAGGTTAGCCTCTATGCATGTCATCTTGTAACCATTTTGTGTACATTATGTTTGTTAATTTTTTTGTGAATATCAGAGTCGTTAAACCCAATTAGAGTAAACCGAAAGTGCGAAGCTGTCGTTGAACTTGAACTGACTCTCAATCAAATGCAATTGATTGGAGATTCTCAATCGCGCGGCCCATCGGAGTTTACCGTTAGTTTCAGCTCCCTCACTTAGCAGGCTCAAAAAGCGCTCGCAACTACTTGCCCTTCCTCGTCTTTTCCTCTTAGTACCTACTTCACAGATCCTGATACTCTTCCCTAGGACCCCTTCCATCACTTTCATTGTCAATTGCTCAGGCGGCGGTTCTCGCTTACTGTCAGAAGCAACAGACTTTCTTCCATACCATCCTAAACCTTCTGCCTCGAGTTTATTCCGGACCTTGATAGTCTTGCCTTTCTTCTGAGTCATGACTTCCGTGGCTCCTCAATCTGTCAATGCAACTGCACCGGTACTTTCGTATGCAGAGCGCGCTAGAAAGGGCAAAAGTGTCCAGCCATCCACGGTTCAACGTAGCGATCCTCCGCACAGCAACGCGGAGTCATCGTCTATCCCCGTGGTCAAGGTAAGAAATGACGCCATTTGGCCTTCTGTGGTCAGCGCGGACTTGGATTCCGAGCTCCCTTCCGGCGTGCGCGCACCTTCCAAGGTGCCAGCTGTGAGCGCATGGGCAACTAGGCCGCAACCCCAAAGCGGATCTCGCGCGCCTTCTGAGTCTGCTTCCTTGAACAATCGATCCACCAAAGTGGCTAACAACACAACGAGCGTGTCAACTGCCTCTCTTCAAAATGGCAATCTCGAGACCGAATCTTCATTGGTGGATACGACTGCGTGGCCGGATGTAACTGAATCGATGGCGCTTACGTCGCATAAAAATGAAAAACATTCTGGGGAACCGTCAGCCGCGTCTTCCCCTCAGAAAAAGGGTGAGAGGCCCGCGACGTCAAGAGCACAGACGCGATTTATTAACTAAGTAACTCATTTGGATGCGCAGATAAAAGGAAATGGTTACCCGCTACAGATATCCAGGCTGCATTTGATGCCAATCGGACCCATATTGGGCCTCGCAAAAATAACTCTAAATCCGCTTCCCACTCCCAAACCCGTTCCCAATCTAGCACCTCCAACTCCATGGTTCACTCCCTACGTTCCAGTCCTCGCTCACATGACCGCAGAAATCTGAGCGAAGAAAATGGCCCAACAACTTCCAACTCCGACGTCTCTCATCCAGCCCCTGCCGATCATAAATTGCGTTCGCATCCCGTCGATTATATTCATCATCAACACCTCACGTGGAGTCAAACACCCCTTACAATCATCGACGGCCTTCGCCATCCAAATCTCAGCCGGTAGACGGTTGGACCTTCGAACAAGGAACAGCCAGCCCAATTTTCAAACCGTTATTTGGCTCATTCCAAGACCGCTTAAGCGTAAATGAAAGCCCACACCCTGCTCAGTTACATTCGTTAGGCGATGGTTCGTTGCCTCCGCTTGGATCTCCTGTTTTGCGTGGCGAACATGTCACGAAACAGAGAGGGAAGATTGCTATTGGTCTCGACGGCAACAACGTCTCCCAAAATCTCCCTTCCCCGGGCCAAACTCAGTTTGAGTTTGGCCAGTTCGACCAACCCACGTCATCGGGGGTGGACTCACGGCGTGCATCAAGATCCAGCGTAACTGCTGGAAGTAGCACGTACAGAGGTGGAAGTCGTCGAGAATCCTTTGGCGAACATTCAACCAATGGAATGAATGGTAATGGGAGTTATAGGACATCCTCCGTATACAATGGCGGTAGTAGCGGGGGGAGACGTGGGAGAGGTGGTGGCCGTCACTATGGACACAGGCACAGTGGAAGCTTTTCTCGTGTGTCAAGCTCGTATCGAGGGCCGCCGCCCCATGCAACCCGAGGCTACTCGCAGTTTGAGGGGATAGATTCGTATGTGCAAGGGGCGACCCTTACTTTGGTTATTATGGCCCCGTGGGCTCGTATGCAGGCCCTCAACCTTACCCTAGTCCTTTCATCGGACCGTATGTCCCTATTCCACCTACCGGGATGCCAATGTATCTCCCACCCGTCCCCGTTGGGGTCTCTCCGACCACGCTCCCACCCATTCCCACACCTGTCACTAAGCCTGGATTCCCATTGGACCCTCCAAGGTTTTATTTATTGGGCCAAGTACGTTCTTTATGCTTTTATCTTGAATATCCATTAACGGTCACAAAACTCCGTATCTGTAGATTGAATACTACTTTTCAGTTCAGAACCTTGCTACAGATCTCTTCCTCCGTCGACAGGTCTGCAGCTAATTCCCTTAACCAAAGTGATGGAATCTGACTCCGGTTTCGTAGATGGATGGGGAAGGCTGGATCGAAATTGGAATGATAGCTTCCTTCAATCGAATGCAGCGATTAACATTGGACGTGTCCCTTGTCCGGGATACCATGATGATATCCTCGATGCTCGAAGTAAAGGATAACAAGGTTCGGTTGGCAAATGATCAGTGGAAGGCATTCATCCTTCCACACTCGGAACAAAACGCTTTATCAAATACATCCCGATCATCTGCCGCATACTCTCTGGCGAACACGCTCTCAGGGTTGCAGATCAGCGGGGATGATGCAGCCACCATCCAAGCCAAAGTTACCGTGGCAGTATTGGGCACAAAATCTTCAATATTCCAAATCACGGAGGCAGATGGAAATGGGAAGGTTCCTGAGGGCGAAAAGGATGAAAGTTCGTCGAATACGACTACGGGAAGTGTTTTGACGGATGCTACCCCCGCTGCTACGACGTCACCGCCGACAAGTGATGAGGAGATTGAGAAGCGCTTGCCGGCTTAATTAATGTCATTCCTCTGGGAACGCTGTTTCAATCCATGAGGGTCTTGAGCTTCCCACTGCTATGCATCGGTATTTAAGGCATTACACTCACATACTGCTTTACAGTCATGACGCACAGAGACACGAGTTGCGTGCAAACAATTGCACACATTCTCGTCTCTTCTCTAATCCACTCTTGATGTATTTGTTTCTTAAACCATTTTTTTCCATGCATAACACATGTGCGCCAAGTTCTTGAGTTTTTTCTCAGTCCTGATGCATTAACCTACAGTATATCGCCTTTTCCTTCATGTTTTCCTTCTTATATTTACTTTTTTCGATCGTCCGAACTCCTCAACAGTTTCCTTCTTTTCCCGTTCCCGCAGGTCCCATACGATGCATACATGATTGTCAATATACATGCTTCATTTAAGTGTTCCACCTCATCATATATGATCAGCAACAGCGAGTCCGCTGTCGATGACATCAATCCGGCGGATGCAAATCTGACGGAAGCGGCGCAGCCTCTGCGACGTCATATAACAACCCACTTGCGTAGTCCAGTGCATGTCAATATCTACAATGTCTATCAGATCTTCTGACATACTCTTGATCATCGTGAGTTGCGCAGAGGACAGTTCATTCTAATGTGAAGAGGATGACTGAACTTTCGCAACCGCATTCATGGCTTACTCAGGTTGACATCATCTTCCCTCCAGCAGCTGGTGGGTCTTCGAAGAGCACTGCTCGGAGAGGCGTTTAAGACTTATTCACTCTCCCCCCAGCTGCGTTCGTCACTGGTTGCTCCTGTGACCTCCTGATCAACATACTCCTTGTTAGTCATCACTGCATCAGCTCCAAGGACGTATCCCACTGAGCATACATTTCCATTAAATTCGTATCCAGACCCTTTTGGGATACCTTCCTGGACTTATCCATGGGTTCTGGCTAATTTACAGGAAAATTCAAGCTGAGGAGCGATATGGTCGGGGGGGCTACTTGTGTAAGTGTATTTTCTTTTTTGGTTTCGTCCGACAAGCATTTTACTTTGTACGTGTGTTAGACGTTGGGAATGGAGAATATGCTCCCGCATACCAACAAGTTCCTGCTCAGCAGCCAACTCATTACGGCGCCACTAATGTATAATAGTTCGGTCGTTGTTTCTCGTTCCGTATCTCGTTCCCGAGCTTTTATGACAATTCAGTTGGTATATTACAAGTTCCAGTGTAGTTGTAAAGGGTGGAGCGATGCCCAAACATACAAAAAAATAGTTGACTTCCAGAAACGGCAAAAGTAACGCGATAGGGAAGGGATAAGGTCGCGGAAAAAAGTGTCAAAAGAGCTTCGAGGTTTAGGGTCTCCAACTTGACCCCTGGTAGTGTTGATGTGTATAACGAGACTGAGGCGTGTAATTCTGCGAAAATGTGAGTGAGCGCGAGGGTTGGTCACACTGATGCATAAAATGGCGGCTGACGTTTGTATGACGGTAACCATCTCCTTCACTATGCCGATTAGCACTGAAGACAGCGTGATCGCGCGCAGTATGGTTTCCTCGATCGCGGTAGCCTCTAGATCGGCCATGGTCATCATAAGGTGTGAATCTTAGTTGCCTGGGCAAATTTTGAGAACGAGTTGCGTCTCTAAGCTGTGATGGCGATTGTCTAGACTGAGTAGGCGATCGGTGTTGGGTAGGTGTGTAACTGGTGTCACGCTTTTCGTTGATTTCAGAAGGTCGAGAAATCTGCCCATCCTAAAAGAACCGCGCTTGTCAGGACAGTAAATTGTGGCCTTGTGTGCCACTGACACTCGGGGAATCGTCTTCCATCAGGAGGGGAGGTGTAGTTTGAGGGGTAGTACTCTGCGGCGTAACGGGCTATGGAACGTGAGACCAGTTAATCGGTGCACATAGGAGATTTGTCCATAAACTCACAGGAGGAGGGCCATCGGAGTTGCTTGAAGGTGATTCGGGGGGTGAGGTTTCTTGCTTCTCGTGAGGAGCAAGTCGGCTCCGATTGTTTCCTCTTTTGTGGACAGGGGGCGTACTACGAGCCTCATCGACGATGATCCTTGGGAAATACTACTTACTACCCTATTACTTTTGTCGTTTCTGAACAAATGACTCACCTGCGCCCTAGGAACATTTTCTGGTCTGCAGGGCAGTCGATTGGGTAAAGTTCCTACAAGCAACCTGGAGACAACTCACGAAACGTATCAATCACTTTTGAGGCGTCCTGGGAAGGTTTGTGGTAGGAATTCACAAAGTTAGAGAATAAGACGGCTGATATAGGATGGCTTCACCTTGGGCGTTTCGAATTGGACAAAGGCAATTCCTGAAGGGAGGAAATGAGCATAGGCGATTGGGCGCGTGAAAACCACCATTTACCCTTCTCCCTATGTAGATCCATTCCAATCGGGTGATGATACGCGAGGTACTAGTCATAGGAGTTAGGATTTTGTCAATGGCGTTTGGGTTGACTTGCCGTTCGAAGATCATGCGTGGAGATGTCAGAAGGAAGGCCTAAGTGAACTTTCAGCGTTTGCATGTGCACAGAGGCCGGGTTTGGGCCATACCGCCGAAGAAAACGTTCGTAGTCATGATGGGACGGGCAGCGCCTTGAGTCTGTAGTTAGAGTTGGAGACGACCTCGGTACCGAGAAGGCGCGGATTTAAGGGATCTTCACCCGTCGGGATCACGTGCCCATTTTATGGGGAACTTTCTTCTCACCATCGAGACAACTCCATCATGTCCTAGTGAGCATTTGTTAATGGGACTGCGACTATTGCGCGGGGCTTATGGGTTATTGTTTCTCGGCTTTTTTCGCTGCAACATGTATGCTTTAGCCGACTCCTTGGGATGACGTTAAAAAATGAGCACATTGCCCTGGGTGTGCTGCTCACTGCGGCTGGCATTGGTGTCGGAGCGTCACGAAAGGAAACCAAGAAGCCCACCGCTGCTCCAGAAAAAGCGTCAAGTATCGTCGACTCGGTGAAGACCACATTCGGCTCGGAGTATGTCCACTCTATTCTCCATTCTATTACCAGTCTCTCTGACTTTCGGCATTCTGGAATAGGGATGAAGAGAAGTTGTAAGTCCTATTTGTGCATCATCTAATGGTTCTCTCACTATATGGTGCACCTAGCATCCGTAATTGGATCGCCCAGGCGGAAAAAGAAGATGCTAAACACTAAAACATCTTTCGACAGTAATGAGATGCCCTTTTTGCTTTACGTAGAGAATGTCTCCAAGCAGAAGTAATATTGCATGATCCCTTACTTTCATTTCCCTCGCTGCCTCTGCCCTTGAGCAATATGCTGCGAAGCCTTGATTCTCCCCTCGTCACACTTGCGACCATCAACTGTCTGGGGTCACGACTGAGTCTCGTGTGTTTTGTTAGCGAGCCGCCACCCTTGTGTGTATCTATGAGGGTTATTCGTCGCGTCAAACGGCTATGGCGTGAGAGGCTTCCTTGGCAATCGTTTCATGCTCTCCACCTCATTGACCACCTGGTCTCTCTGGTCGCCTAGGACAAACATCCTCTAATCTCCCACTTTGATTATTGATCGCATTCCGTAGGCAGTGCGGCTATCACTTTTGGTGGATGTTTTGAAATTGAGTAAACAAATGGGCGAATGAATTCTTGAACTACTGGGACATCGATCATTGTAAACCTGAGGTTAGGACGAAAATAAGGGAGGCGGGTTTGAGTATACAAAATTTAGTACTTATGAGGGACGCGAGAAAGCGATCCCACCCTTAAATTTTGAAGAGCTGAAAGGGTGCTTATCAGCCGCAATGCTAACTACCCAATTAAGTTTTTTTGAGCGCAGTACCCCGTGAGGCTTGATAGCTCAGTTGGTAGAGCGCCTGCTTAACATCCGGGTTGTACGCAGAAGGCCGCAGGTTCGAGCCCTGCTCAGGTCATCTTTTGGAATTGGCTACCTAGAAAGGTCGTATGTTGATCTTTTAGAACCTGACATCCGACTTGTCAATGGACTACATGATCTGGATGATTTTTTACATTATTTCCATATATTTATTCCGACCCTGGTTGCGTGAACTAGTCACGTGTCCACACACCTCATCATCAGTGAACCGTTTTGTAGGTTTTCTTCTCATCATTAATCTTGTTGCAAAATGGCCAGTTCTTTGTCCCCGGAATGCACACCGTTAAAGAAAGAATATGATTCATGTTTCAACTCGTGGTTTGAAGGCTACTTGGAGCCGCCCTCCCATGGTGTCGGGAAATCTCTTACGGATGCCGAGCGCGAGAAGTGGAGTCGAGAGAAGGCAGAGGAATACGACCGAAAGTGTGGCTCGATCTGGAGAAGCTACAAAAAATGCGTACAAGTGGGCTGTATCCTCACCTATCTTTATGATATGTGCTAACTAGGGCGCTATGCATTAGGAAGCAGTATCGGGGAAAGGTCTGGATAAATTACTAGAGGATGCAAGGGAAGAGAACCCTCTCAAGGATCCACCTCCCCCTTCCGGCGAGGAGAGAAGTTCATGAATCGCAATGCACCTGGACAGAAAGTTGCCATGTAATTGACCAGCAGATTCCGACCGGGAGAGGCCCACCACCGCCTTTCGGGAGGACATAGTTATATATGTACCCAAATAATTAATTAGGTTGTCCCATTGACACATTCCCTACAAATCGGCACTCTGCGCCTTTGCTTTCTTACCCCAATTCATCATCTGTTTTACCCTGCCCGTGAGTTGCCTTTCTGATCCACCGAATCCCGTCGTTTGGCCGTTGCCTTCATGATATTTTTCTTTCCGCGCACTTCCTCTCGCCATGTGGGTTTCATCCCAAGTGAAAGAACCTGAGCCTTTCTTCTAGCGGCTTCAGTGTTGGACTTCGCCACGAGTCGGACACCGTCGACTGCAGGAAGAGGTGAACCGATGGATCACCAGTGAATGGCGGTCGGAGAACTGGCAAGGTGGGAGATTACACCGAACAGCCCTGGTCTGCGTTGGTAGGATATAATTCGTTGTACGCTCGTCATATGCCAACTAGCACAGATACGGAGTTTAAAATGACAACATCCATCCAATAGTCGTGTTCATGTCAAGTGCAAGAACCCAAGACGAGCACAGAACAAGAAGCAATAGATAAGTGCGAAATGGAAAGCTTAGGTGGTCATTGAAGGAGTGAACTTCATATTCAACTCGTCAAAGTCCTTTCCGACGGGTATATCGCTGCAATCGTCATGGACTATGCACTTTGCGATAGCCTTTCCACGCGCCTCTCCCTCATAGTAAGCGCCATGCATATACCTGCATGGCACCATCAACGGTTCCAGCAACGGAAGAACGATCCAACGACTTACCCATAGTAATCTCCAGACGTAGCTTCTCCGGCAAAGTGTACAGTAGCAGCCAGCGACCCACGAAGATTATTCATGTGTTCAACGTAAAAGCTAATGAAGCCTCCCTCAGAAGGCAGAAAGCAAGAGTGTCTTGTGGAAGGGCTCACCTTGCAGGCCAATTCGAGTATGAACCACGGAATAATGGGTCTGAAAACCATCTGTTGAAGAAGATTGATGTAGGCTCAGGAATGTACACCACTGGATACATGGAACGCAAGACCCCCATGATTTCGCATTTGACTTCATTGTCGGTCATAGTCTCGATTCGCTCGCTTTCATCGCCCTAGTGTTACGACAAAAACATCAGAACAACGCCCTCACATGTAACGCACTAGACTTACCGTCACAGTAACAAAGTATCTATTCAAGAACAAGATTTTAACGGTGCAAGTACAAGAAAACTTGATATTCCAGACCTACATATGACTTCCTGGCAAAAAACGCTCATGATCAAGAGATTGCCATACAGGATAATATCCACGACGATGTGGATCAGCATACAGTCCCATCTGGATGAGAATTCCACGTTAGGCCACGCATGATTCCAAAAAAATAGGCAAACCTCCGAATTGTCCCACCACTTGCGGTCAAATGCTAGAAATATCTTTGTATACGTCGCCATTCGCATGGATAACACAGCTTCACGTTTCCAATAAGGAAGCGGAGGGTGGAAAACGACGTCGTTGTACTGCAAGACCCCGACAGAGAATGTGACGAGAACGTGGTCGGCAGTGAGCTTGTGTCCATCCCTCGTGAAAACAGAAACTCCAGAATCTGTGTAGTCAATAGTTTTCACAATGGTATTCAGTAGTATTTGGGGCGGCTGAAGGAAAAGCTCTGCTTCCTTCACAATGAACTTTCTGAAACCTAATCTGGCCGTCTGGCTGGTAATTCTGTCTAAACACACTGGAACAACATACCCTCTTGATCTATACACATGAGATCTGAGTCACCAAACCCATAAACTGGATCAAACGTGCCGTTATAGTTGAGACTCGTAGCAATCCACGATGATTCCTGTGAGAAAACAAAGCGGTCAGCACCCACTGGTGAGACATGGACACTGGGCTTACATCTGGACGTTGGCCGTATTCCCAATCATACGTGAAGTACTCGGATGCTTTGTCGTACTGACTTTGAGCAACGTTCTGGCTCGAAAGCCTTAAGCCGGACCGAGCAGTCAGGTCAACCTTCCCCCTGGCGATTCGCTCGCCTGAAACATAGATGAAATGAAGTAGTACCCTCAGAAAGTGGGTCCGTTACCAGCGGAACTGACTAGAACAGCTTTTTGCTTGACAGCGCGAGCGAAACTTTTAGGGAATTCCTTGGTATTTCGTCCATGCTGGTCGTAGAACGCCACGTCTGTCCAGTTATTATATACCATCCTGAGCCCATGTTTCTGAGCTAGTTCATATATAGGATTCGTGCGCCCCCTATCTAATAATACCAACAACAATGAGATGCATATGGCACTTGTTCCACTACGAGCCTCATACCCGAATGAACTCCTTCTATCCAATTGGGCCCGACTTCAACAGTGTACCCTCCTACTTGCACATTTCGAAGCCGACCGCCAAGTGAGTCTTGAGCATCAACGATGAGGAAGTCGGATATGCTTCCTCTGTGCAGTTCACGGGCAGCAATAATACCCGTTATGCCACCACCCAGAATGATAACACTATAATGTCGCTGGGCGGCAGCAGCAGTAAGAATAAGTGGAAGATGGATCGCAACCATGAGAATCAGGGGATGAGACCAGTGAGGTGGAGGCGTTCGACCAACCCATATGATTCAGGGGCTACAACTCTGCTCACTATTTATCCGGGAGAAGACATGCAATCAGCAACAATCAGCGACCAACGTCGTGTGATATTACCAGTACAGACTCCAATTACATTAGTCGCGGTCCGACAAGGGAGGCAATCGCCTAATGCAGCATCATGCGGGTAAACAGATTCCCTGAACCGGGGTCGGCGCGCGGAGGGTCGGAGTAACTAGTGGCGATGGGGTAAGCCCTCACGGAAGAGTGCCTTTCGGGGGGTTCAGGCAATCCACCCGCGTTCACTAGCTGGACATCGTGAATGGCACTCGAGAAAATGACGACTAAAAATATTGCAAATTAAAGCGACGGCATATGTCAGATCACGTGCCAGCCCATGTCCCGACCCCACGATCTTTAGATCCCTGTCGTCCGCGTAGATCGCGAATCATACCAAAGTGTCCGAACATCCCACCGTTACCGGTACTCTAGTTTCTCCAGCATTCGATAGGAGTTTTCTACGCACGGACACATTATATCGAAGGACAGCTTGAAGCGAACGGTTCTAGTAGGAACAAAACTAATCCAACATCTCAACGATTACGAGTAAACATATGTAACAGGCCAAAAGCAAATAATCCGGTTCAGTCAGTGGAGTCCGCATCAGAATCGAGTAGGCTGGAACGCGCAAGGGTAAGTGGAGAGCACGACAAGGAAATCATGTACACACTTGTATTGCTTCATCAGTGAGCATTCACCTCCATTCTCCAGGTCAATGTTATACGAGTAGAAATACCCTTCGGAGGAAACCACCATGACATGAGGCATGTTCCTAATTGGGAAGAAAAGTATTATTGCCAGAAACTGACTCACTCGAGCCTATGACGTACGGGCTAATTGCCACCAAACATCGTATCCCTGAGGTTGGCAGTTTGAGATACGCAAAGTCTCGGGATGGTTCCCACATCTCCGTCAGAGAATTCGGCAGGTAGCCGCCGACGCCACCAGCTAGTCCGCGAGCCATGCCCAAGGATTTTCGCCTTAATGATAATCTAAAGTGACTTTAGCAAGGGAATGGCGGAGTCATTGAAGTGATGTATACCCCATGTTGCTCTCTTTCTTCTTCTCTATATACGCCTCATAGCCCCCTTCTATCCCATTTTGGCTTCTATTGTCCTGGCTATCCACGGAACCTCCAGGACTCGATGGGCCACCGGCCTTCTTGTCATTCATCTTCTGGCCGGCCAATCGGAAAATATGAACAGTATCAGTTCCGGAACTAACGGCTAGCAAGCTCGAGACGGCATTGAACGATATTGAATGTATCTTCGCCTCTCGTGTCCCCCGCCTAAATTGGTAAAGCTTCTCGGCGCTTGGTATAGCGAAAACACGGATGACAGTTCCTTTATCCGATGAAGTAGCTAGGAGAGTCCCGGTAGAATTGATGGCAAGGTGGGATATGGGCGATTTGTGAGCTTGGATGACATTGACAACGGTGAGGGTCCGTGTGTCAAATAGGAGAACATCCCCTGAGAGCGAGCCTGATCCTGCCTGTGTCGAGCGTGTCTGCGGGTGAGTGGAGAGTGGAGATGTCGGAGAGGGAACAGGAGATGGGTAGGCAAGGTAAGAGGGGTCAGAAGAAGGAGAGAGGGCACAAATTGCTACGATAACTCGGAGTCATTTCAATCTATGTTGAGTGCAAGGCTGTTGCTTACCGTCTGGGTTCTTGGTCGTGTCGATAACGTGTAGCAGGCGCATGTTACTTATGTCGTAGATGTAAATTTCTGTCTCGAGAACAACGACGAGCGTTTTCCGATTAAGCTTGACGGCGAGAATGGAAGACGGAAATAATAATTCACAAATCATGGATTGACGCTGTATGAATTGGCTTAGTGGCCCCTGTATCCATCGAGCAATGGATGGAACACACTTTGGTATTGACTATTTGGAGCTTGCGTGGACTGGATTGGGGCTGATCCGCAGCGCCAACCAACGCGATAAGAGATGTACAAAACAACATCTCCACGATGCCTTTGGCCCCGTCATCTATCAGTGGACGGATGAGCGCCTTGAACAGTACAAATCTCCCGTAGGCTCATGTCTCACTCTTGGTGTAAACTCGTCCAAATGGATCGCAATTAGTGATAGTGTACCCCTTTCGCGTCCCTATCGAGATGCAGCTGCATGAAAGAAAGGTGAACGGCGTCATGCCATACGCGTACCATATGATGCTCACGAAAAGTCCTGGTTGAAGTTAGCAAAGAGCATCTGACTGCCTGCCATCGTTGGTGTTGAAATGCGGAAGCGACTTTCTGGTTGTAGTAAGTTCGGCTCAGGTGCAGGCGCAGACTGAATGGCCCGGCTTTAACCGGGCTTCCGCCCCAAACTCACCCCACTCTTTCCCAACAATAATCCGGCTGTCTCTTGCTTGCTGCCATTCTTAAGCACTATGGATGATTTTTCTTTAATGGATCAGCTTCGGGCCTGTTTTCCTTGCTTCCATGGCGCTGCTCACGAAAGCGACAATGAAGAAGACCAACGTGCACCAGAACTAGATGGTTTATTGTTCAACTCTGAAAATGAGCAAACTGGTGCAGAAGCAGACGCAATGTCCTTGCACTCCAATGTCGGAAGACATGGACAGTCTAATCGGAGACGGGTTCGACAAAAGGGCTCTTCCAAACCAAAGACCATCCGGCTCTTCGGCTATAATCTTTTTGGACGAAGATCAACCAATCCTCCTTCTCCCTCTCAGTCAGAAGACGAGGCTCCCGCATTTGAAGGCCACCAAAGAATCCGGACCATCTCTGGCGCTTCATTGGACCCAGACGCGACCCCTTTACCGGATTCTGCGATCGACAGCATATCTCGTGGCGTGAATGTATGGACCTCGTCACTAACAGATGAGCAAATAGCTCAGGAGGAAGAGGAGCAGCGAGAGAGGGAGGAAAGGCGCGCTAGAAGAGCTGCCCGTCGTCTGCGGAAGCAACAGCTTGCTGAATCTGCGGATGTTCAAAATGAGGGTGCAGTGTTCGAAGGGTTTCCTGGTGGGGATGGGACTCTTGCGCGTGACTCGTTTCGTCCATCGTTGCAAGAATTGGAGTTTGACACCCACGAGTTTGGCCCATATGTCGAGGCACACGGGACAAACGCTCTCCCCGAGCAAGAGGAGCCCGACGAGGAAGTGGACGTTGGCGGGGAGTATAATCGCAGGTCAAGGTCGAGCACCAAATACGGATCTGGGGACGGAAGTAGCTCGTGGTCACGGTCGCACGCTTCTTCTGCTCTTACAGATGGATCCCTCTTTGTGCCTCTCGCCTCAAGCTCAAGGCGGCCAGCCAATCTTAATCTTATCCAACAACGGCAGGCCCCTCATAACGTTCCACTCCCTCCTTCCTCTGTGGGCTCTTCAGACGGACGTCGCACGCGGAAATCCAAATCAGCTAACCACGCTCGTTCGCCATCCTCCGCATCGACTTCTCAGCCATCATCTATCCCTTCTCCCATTGAACCCTACCCATACAACCCCCAGATCAGGGGCGATGATTACGGGGAAGGTGTGACGGTTAGTACGCAAGATCACAGTTTCCCCAGTGCCGGTTTCACGATACCGAAAACCGGGAGACAAGGCTTGCAGGCCAGTCAGGGTGTCGCCTTGGCCTGGAATGGTGATTTATAACGGGGCCTTCACGTTGAAATGGTTTCACGAGTCATTCGGGTTTCATGATATTAGTATTACCAACTCCTCTTGATGTTACACTACTCGTACAGAGAACACCTGATGAGACTTATATAATAGGCAGTCTATACGCGTTTGAACGCTTCGACAAATTTCATGGCGGCATTACCAGTCTGTTCGTCGATGAATTGCCCGATCTCGTCGGCTCCTCGAGTGTTTTCGATTGCTCTGGCGACACTCCATGCAAGGAAGTCGGACTGTGAGCCCTCCCACCTCCGCTTTTCAGGGTCTCTTTGTCCAATACGCGGTACTTCATCTGGCAGTTCTTGAATCTTGTTAACGATCGATGTGACGGTATCTGGCACTGTGAGAAGCACCCGTTCATCTCAGCTGGATAAGCTATAGAGAACCGGCCAATGAAATAAACAGACTGACAATCTTTCAACGAGTCCGTGGACGAAAGGAACTCAAGTTGTTTCAGGTTCCTTTCGGCAAGACTCTTCTTTTGCGCGGACACTTTCACAGCGTCAGCTAGTAAGACTTCAAGTCGACGCGTCTTCAGACGCGTCAGCATTTGACCTCGTCTGACGCGATTTGAAAGGCTCACTGCATCCAACTTTTGCTTTTTCTGGCTGAGCTCGCGCTGGAGACGCGTCTCTTCGTCCCCTGGTATTGTGAGATCTAATCCTTGATGATGCGGAGTAACCATTGGAATGGGAGGGATCTCGAAGATGTTCCGCCATGCCCAAGCTTCAAATAGATCGAATGCCAAGTCCGTGTGCGAGTCAAGAAGCGTCTGTAAAGCTGCTATCCCAGTTTCCAGTTCTTTATTTAGTGCGTCGAGTTTTGAACTGTCTTGCTTGTCAATCCAATGCCGGAGGAACAACTCAACGGCTTCCACAGTCATTCTTACGTTGCTATGAGCGATATTGGTAAGGTCATCAAGAAACATTTGGGGTGGGAACCCAAGGATTTCAGCGAGGAGGAGTTCGGCCGTATGTGTATCCCATATCGTCGCCTCGGCGGACGTGTTCATCGATTTTGTTGCGGGTTGTTTGGGGGGGGGCTCGAAGACCCAAATCGTGCAAGGCAAACTCCGGATTCTAGAATATTTCATAATTAGCGCCGTGCGCAAACACCTCCATGACACGTCGTCATGTCGATTAGGCTCTCACATCGATTGATCTTCAAGCGATCGTTGCCACTTACATGTTACATCCTCTTTGTTCTTTTGCTTACGTTCTACATTTATGAGAAGCCAAGACCCTTAGGGAAATTCCAGCACATTGGCTGGCAAGCGTTCGACACTATCACTCCGGGGGTTCCAGCTCCGTCTGAACCGCACGATCCATCCCGACCAACAAACACTAGTTCAGTGGACTGGTGGGACGTAGTGAATGATGACTCCAATGTGCCTCCGACTAGCTTACCTCTTGATATTTGGAATCCTCTGCTTCCACATCACACAGGCTGTCCGTGCTATGTCTCTATGTACCCATGTGTCAAAGTGGCCTGATATGTGCTTTACCATTTAGTGACGGAAATTGCTGTCAAGCCTTGCTTGTTACATCCTTCCCTCGTCCCGTATTGCCATCCACGGTGTGCAGCTCCTCCCCCTCCCATCATATCCATCCCTGTCATTGACCACAATACTGCTAAAGAACGACATTGGAAGATGATGCCCTTAAAGGGAAATGGGTTCGAGTTGAACGCGACCTGAACTCTCGAACGGGTCGTTGGTATTTGCACCTTTGGTACAGACGGTCAAGACGCTTGGACGTCCCACTCATTACTTCCCTTCTCATCTTGGCTGACGACGAGATTGAGTTGATACCTGAACCCAAGTCTGCCTGGCACAAAGTTCCGGGCTCCTTGGTTGACGGGGTGCATCCTTCTCAAATGGACATCTACCTCTGGTACAAGCTGCGACCACCGCTTCAGGATGCTTCAGACGATGAAGAGATACAGGAAGCGATCACAGAACTGGACAGTAAGTCCACTGCCACTACTTTCGTATCGTGTCGCAAATACGAACTCGGACAGTCCTGTATGGGGATGGTCCTCCTATGTTTGGCTTCGAAAAGCTGAGCAGGCAAATTTTCGTTGGCCACGGGCCTAGAACCTCATCTGTCTCAGTTGTTTTCCGGAGAGGTGTGAAGCGTAAGTAATGTTACCGCATACATGTCTAGACAGACTCCATTCCTTTGTCCCAGGTACCCCAAGGGGAAAACCACCCCATTTTAACCGGGATGGGACGTATAAAATTATGCAAATCGCTGATTTACACTACTCGGTGTCAGAAGGAGTGTGTCGCGATACAAACATGAGCCCACCATGCAAGAAGGGTGATGTCACAACAGATACGCTTCTCTCCAGAGCTCTAGATATAGAAAAACCTGATCTGGTCGTCTTCACCGGTGACCAGTTGAATGGGCAGGGCACTTCATGGGACTCCAAGTCTGTTCTTGCAAAGTTTGCGAAAACCGTGATCGATAAGGGTATAAACTGGGCCGCTGTATTTGGGAATCATGATGACCAGACGGACTTGAATAGAATTGAGGAGATGAAGATATTGGAGGCCCTCCCGTTCAGTTTGTCGAAGGCTGGACCAAGGGAAGTAGATGGGGTAGGGAATTACGTTCTGAAAGTCAGAAGCCCAGATCCGTACGTTCTTGTCAATTGATGATGATGACTGGCTTAACAGCTTACACAGGTCGAAGACACATTTGTTGACGTTATACTTTATTGATTCTGGTGCATACGCTAGCAGAGGCTGGTCGTTTTGGAAACCTCCGGAGTATGATTGGATTAAGCCAGTATGTGTCGAGGAGCACGTTCGAGATCCCGTCTTGACGCCACCTTACTTCTAGAGCCAGAGAGAATGGTTCCTTGGGGAGTCTCATCGTATAGATCCCATTGAACGACCCTTCACTCCAGACGGTGGGAAAGACCTTGGACATATTTGGAACGTCGCATTGGAGTCTCGGCAAAATCAATCATCGAAGACGCTCGCGAAACCCAACGCGATGGTTTTCTTCCACATACCTTTGTGAGTCCTCCGCCCCCCCCATACAAATTGGACTTACTGATAAGTACATAGGCCCGAAGCGTATTACCCCGCGGATGAGGACACAAAGAAACCGTCAAGATTCAATGTGGGCGAGGAACTTGATGGACCAGGCTCCCCAAAACACAACAGTGGTTTCTTCGAAGCCGGCATACTGCGCGTGACAGAGTCGGAGGCTGGTGGACGCGAAATCAAGGTCATAGGGAATGGGCATTGCCACATCACCGACCGGTGTAGGAGAATAAGTGGAGTATGGATGTGCTTTGGTGGTGGCGGTTCGTATTCGGGATATGGCAGGATAGGGTAAGTGCTTTCGTTGCTAGGCTCCTTACTGTTCAAGGACAGCTTGCGCCTGCTAGGTTTGACCGAAGGTTCCGGATTTATAACGTGAGCGACTTTGGTGAAACCATCCAGACATACAAGTGGACCGAAAGTGGACATGTAATTGACCAGCAGATTCTGACTGGGAGAGGCGCTCCACCGCCTTTCGGGAGGACATGATTATATGCATGTAATTATATATGTACCCTAATAATTAGATTGTCCCAGACACATTCCCTACAAATCGGCGCTCTGCGCCTTTGCTTGTTTACCCCAATTCATCATCTGTTTTACCCTGCCCGTAAGTTGCCTTTCTACCGAATCCCGTCGTTTGGCCGCTGCCTTCATGATGTTTTTCTTTCCGCTCACTTTCCCTCGCCATGTAGGTTTCATCCCAAGTGAAAGAACCTGAGCTTTCCTTCTAGCGGCTTCAACCTGGTCAATGTTGAACTTGGCCACGAGCCACTCTCGATGAGCCCTGCGTTCTTTCCGAGTCATTTCCTCAGGCATATGAGGGAAATAAAATGGTTCGTGCAAACCGACGACTACTCGTTTATAGGTCTTGTGGGATTTCATTCGCCCTTTTGGCCGGCGAAATTGTCGTTCGATCGGAGCGTAATATATGTCGGTACGAATGAAGGTGACTTTGAGTCCATACATGGCGAAAAGATAACCTCTAACGTCGGTCTTGGTGAGGCTTAATGGTACGCGGAAGGTGGCTTCGTAAGGGTTATATGCTTTGCCTGGAGGGGTATAATTGGGGACCAAACGGAAGATGATATTGGGAAGATAGATTTTTCGTCCAACGCCATAACCCCTGATCACGCGCTGCCGAGCTTCTCGTTCTTTCACCCAATCGGAAACCTTTGGTGGCTCCGCAAGATGAAGAAACTTCCCTCGAGCTTTATGCATTTCGTAGGCATACTGCTTATCTGCAGTGACACCAGTGTTCATCGATGCATCTGGTACACCCAGAGCCTCTCGACGACGCCGGACTGCTAATGGTGTCGAGTCCAAACGAGCAAGCTCACGCTGAGATAGTTTATTCGAGGTAATCTTGAGTGTCCCTTTCCGATTCTGACGGGCCAAAACTTGGGCTGTAGTGCTTATACATGCGACTCGTATTGCGGAAGATGGAGCCAACAACTTGGTTGACTGTCGAACGAGAGCTTGGAACATAATTTTTTGGGACACCTGAGGGGAAGTGCCGAGCGTGGGAAACTAACTGTCCTTCTGTGCTCCGATGGTCGCGTGATCCGACTTGGGCTCCCGGGACAACGGGCTACGATCGCCGTCGCGATTGTCTGTTTACAAGTTTTTCTTTCTATTTTTGCACGAGTGCCGTAACCGATCGTGTGTGAACCGGGCGTTATGTAATCTCTCATTTCAGTTATTTTACGTCAAAGACCGAGTTGATAAGCGTATAGCCATGGATCAGACAGGCAACTACTAGTGTGGCGCAAGTGCGGGTGCCACAACTCACGTTGACCAACCCCAACGCATCATCATCATTATATTACCATCTTTGATGGTGTTGAGCCCTTTCGCTACAACTCATTTCATGGCGCGTCGCCCTGAGCCTATAATTAACTCCGTTTTCTCGTCGATCGCCCGGTCGTGAACCAGGAACAACTTCACGGCATTCTGAGAACCAGTGACCACGTTCCCTCTTCACTCTTAAAAACCCCGAACTCCGCCAAGACTCACAAGTTCTCTGTTCTCGCTCAAACTTGTTCAAAGTTCATTGCCAAGGTCGCTCGCCATCGCTGTGATGAATCCTTTGTCTCTTCGCTGCCCCGCTTTCTGGGCAACTCTATACAGCCTCTTCTCAATCAATGCTTGGGCCGTAAGACTTTCACACCATTTCTCATTGTTGGGTGTTGACAGCTCACGTTAAACCTCCTCCCTACGCAACAACACCCCACTCGGGCTACCCTTTCGATTTTTCGACATTGGTTTTAGGCTACAATTCCTGTTCAAGTTGGCGCCAATAACCAGCTTGCCTTCAGCCCGAATAACTTCACCGCTGCGAAAGGAGACGTTGTAATCTTTCAATTCGCACCTTCCATACCTCATGTGAGCCAGCCTCTTCTCTTGCCAACGATAAAAGCAAACACGTTTTTATGTCATGCAGTCCGTTGTGCAAAGCACTTTCGATAATCCCTGTACCCGCAGCGGCTTCGATTCCGGAATGTACGTACATCGTTGGTGGAAGCGCGGACATTGCAATTTTGCCCGATGCTGACTCTTTATGGTTCTCTGGTTTGCTTCGTTCAGACACACGGGACCTTTCACTTATAATTACACGGTCGACGACACGGATCCTTACTGGTTGTTCTGTATTGTTGACGGGTAAGCCGACGACGGTCTTTTCTCCACAACGGCCTCTTAATATTGACATCCTTGATTTTTTAAAATCTCAGTCATTGTAAAGCAGGGATGGTAGCAGCTATCAATCCTCCCACTAGCGGAAACCAGACGTTTGCAGCCTTTGTGGTACGTCCAAACCCCGCTCGGAGTTTCCATGTGTCGCGGCTATTTGACCACAAAATGTGCAGGCTAAAGCTGAAGGTACTACTCTGCCGAGTACGTCCCAGGGTTCGACTTCGAATCCGTCCACCCGAACTGGTAGCAGCGCCACATCGACTGGTGGTGCCGTATCGACTGGTACGCCAGGTACAAGTCATTCCTCCAGTCCCAGTACCACGAGTCGAGGAGGTAGCGCCTCGAGAACGGTTCCAATGGCGGGTATCGCTAATATCGGAGCTGGCGCTTTGGTCGCTAGTGTGTTGATGATCGTTGGTGCTGTTGTTGTGCTGTGAGACTTAATGGGTCCGTCGCGCCTGTCATTCAAAGTGCGCTCTCTGGTCAATTTCTTTATTCTGGTCCAGAACTGCTTTTTTTTCTTGTTCCTTATCACGAAGTTGTTTCCCCTTTTTTTTTTTTTTTTTTTTCCTTCCTACCCCCACCCTATTTTTTTTGTTTACAGCTTTGGAAAGGTTCACCGTAGTTCTGCTGTACCTGTTCTTCGTTGTCGCCGCGCAAGTCCCAAAATTTTCTGTTGTTTTGTTAGCCTGATGTCGATTGTCGGGACAAACAAATGTGAATCTATACATACCCGTTTACATGTTTCGAGGTCGATGGCCAATATGCTTCCCCCTCCTAGCTTGGACGCGTTTGTCGAGGTAAAGCAGGTTTTAATCCACCAAACACTTCGATTTGTGCATTGACGGGTAACAGGAGACATAGACATCTCGACTCAGCGGCTTCCATCATGCATTGCGCACACCCTGCGTTGCACGAGCTTGGTCGAGTACAATGAATCAAAATCTGAATCAGGACTATGCCCTTGAAAGACCACTAGGTATCCGACTCCTAGACGAAATAGTTACGTTCAGTCTGGCGGTTGTGGACGACCATGCATTGAGCCAGAGCTTCCAGCGCTGTTTCTGTATAGAGACACAGATACAATACTCAGATCTGTGTCATCATTGATTGTACTGTTCTTCGGCGATCCACCTTGCAGGCTGAAAGCGCCAGGGGTTATTGGCCTCTCAGTGTCTCGCATCAACACCTCTGAGCCTGGTAAATCTGTGAATGTGATAACTATGCAAGGCATGCACCAGGAGCGCCTGCATGTAGCACTTCAGAAGACACCAACCGGTAACTCCTTTAGTTGGCTGGCCGATAAAGGAATGCGCCTACGGGCCTCTCACCAGTCGGATATACAAAAACTCTGATCGGCAATAGTACAATGCATTACCCCACGGCGGGGTTGCTTGCTTGGTGTACATCCGCCAAGCAAACTTTCTAGTAGGAGAATTGATTTTTGCGCAACCTGTCGATCCGTCGGGAAACCGTTCGCTGTTGCGCGGGGTATATATGTATATGCTCTCTGGGCACTGGGCGGCGTGTCGCCGGCTTGGGAGGAAGAAGTTCTTATCAAGATCTGGACTCACACTACCATCCCCGAAGGAGACATCCACGAGTATGGAGATAATCCGTTTACTTTATTCTTATGGAGCTCAAAACCTGTACACTTGAATTGACCTCCTCGTGGAATGCTTACTGGCTGAACTGTTTATGAAAGGAGGAGAGACCTTGGGGGTCTGGAGAGCCACTTTCCCTTGTCTTCCTTCCTGATGGACGGGGAAATGATAGTCATCGGATCAAAAAAGGACAGGAAAGAAAGAAAATGGCTGCCGTTTAATGTCACCCTCAACTTTCTCCGTTGATCTGCACCAAAAAAATTTTTCGCATCCCACTCAACGAGGAAGCCTACCAGACAGATTTTCTTACACTCTGCCATCTTGGAACGTGGGAGGTAAGTGGGGACCACGAAGAGGTCGATTTAGCTCAAGATTTTCCTTTTGCATTTCATTACGGGTTCTGGCATGGCAACGAGGTGAGATTGCTTCATCCTCACCCTCCAGATTGAACACATAGTTGCTTCCAAGATGAACATTTAAGTATGCTGATCCTCACGAGCGAGAATACTTGACAATCTCCTAACTGTTTGAGCTCATTCCTAGGCCACTAAACCCCAGCGAACATACCCCCCTTCCCCCCTTCCCTCCTGAACATGTACTCTGTAGGGCGATGAAAGCGGGCGAATTCTAGCGGGGGTAATGGTGTCCCGGAGACTTTGTGTCTGAAAATTACCGTTCCTCAGCCAATGGAACCATTGTCCTCGAGGTAGTGCTCAGATTCGCTTCAATAGCGAGAAGGTTCGGTCCTATATGGAGGGTGGCATGTAACAACCTGTGGGGAAGCGTAAGTTAGACCGGAAAAGGCACGTCCCTTGAATTCTTTCAGGTACGTCGTTGTGATATCCTTCATTGCTCGCACTTTGTCCACCGGTATCGCAACTCGCAAATCGGTATGTATGTCCATAGGGGTGAGATGTCACTAAATGCTTCTAAGGCGATTTAGTGATGTGCCCTGGTCGGGGTTCCCACCAGCATGATCTACCCGGCGTACCGCAAGCTAGCGGCAGGGCGATTGGGGACGGGCCACTGCATTCATTGCACCGTGGCCCCGCCAATGTCTCTTGTCATTTTTGGAACGTAACAAAACGCTGTGGGTCCAAGCTAGTCTCGTTGCTACGGGCCCCGATGGGTGGCTCGCAAACGCAAAAAGTGAGGATATTCCATCAGGAATGACCTGAGCAGGGCTCGAACCTGCGACCTTCTGCGCATAACAACAAGTGTTAAGCAGGCGCTCTACCAACTGAGCTATCAAGCCGTATCGGCGGCAAGGTCTCACAAACTTGACTGGTAATTGTGTAATAAATTACAGAATTCGTGCGCTACCCTGTGGCGAACGGCACTCGACCATGGGACGGTGTCATTCAATCCAGGTGGACACATTTTTCTCTTTATGTCTCAAGATATTCATTTGGCGTAATGGTGTAGGGCCGAAGGGTGTTTGCAAGGTATATGACGACGATGAGTTAGGTACGTATCTGTTACACTGGGTAAATTGCTCATCCGACATTCGAGTAGGTTGTATGATAGTCGATGTTTATATTTCGCCACTCCTTTGACCAGACAGAGTAGATCTCATTCGATACATACAATGATATACGCCAGAATTAGAATTTTCTACCTATTCATTTAACTACCTCACTCCAAGCTGCGCCAACGTAGCAACAGCATCTTCTTCGAGCGTGTCCTCAAGTTTTGCACGGCTGGGTGTCCAACCATCAAAAAGGCCTCTATTACTTACGCTTTGCGAATTTACCGTAATCGCCTTGGGCAATTCCTTTGCGGCAATGCTGATCGCCTTATCGTTATCTACCACCCCTTTTCCGTACAGGATAGTTGCAAGGCGTTTCGCAACGTCGCCCCAGGCATGAGACCGCACAGAGCCAAAATAGAAGCGTTCGTAGGGATCGGAAGAGGTGGGTTTTCCCCTAGCACGCTCGCTGAGGGCCTTCTCAAATATCAGAATGTAAAGGTCCGCGAGGTCGAAAACATGAACGTTGTTCCAGACATTGGTACCTATAATGAAATGTTTGAGTGGGTGACGAGATGGATAGAGTGAAGGCAAAATGCAGACCTTCGCCACCATAAACAGTCTGATGACGCTCCACAGACGCTCGAATCAGCGCAGGGATCTGCTGAGAGATGCGGTTACCCGGATTGTCGAAGGCGACGCCATAAATCGTAGACGGAGCAATGATGTAACCGATGAAGTAATCCTCCTTCCCTGCATTGAAGATGCTGGTTGGGCAAGTGAGATCGGTTTAAGCAGGTGGGGATGCATATTGGAGCAACCCACGCTAGATCAACGTTACGATGGGGTTGGTTGGGACCTATTGCTTTAATATCCTCAGGTTTGCTGTCCTATATCCGTGCTCAGCGTTTCGTGATACTGGCCAGAAAGGCTGGATGGGTTGGCCTACATCCCAAATTTTCTTTGCAGTTTCTTGAAAGCCGCCAGTGGGCAAATCCGCCAAAACGCCAGTGCCACTGTGATGGTAACATACTACTTTGGTAGGCGTCGCTTGGTGTCCAGTCAGCTAGCTTACCTCGTATGAATCAGGATCGGAAGCTCCTTAACGCTGTTCTTGAGTGCTTCTAGGATGGAATTAACTAGCTCGAGATCGTCGGCGTCTGCAGTATTGATAACAACATCCGCGTCCGCCGCTTCCTTCGCAACGACGTTTCTGTCCCATTCGGCGTTCCCAGTGCCTTGAACGACCTCAAAGCCAGCAGCCTTAACGGCTTCCGCGGCTTCCGCAGAACGAACGAAGGCCTTGTAGATGCTCGTAGGATGTTTCTTTTTAAGGGAAACACCAATGGCACCTAGTAGATGTTCCATCGAGCTGCAGGTAAGCTCTTTAATTCGAATGCTGGTATGTACCCACCACCAATGTAACCAGTTACTCCAAGGATGAGGACGACCAGACCCTCAGAACTTTTGGCCATAGGTGTGATATTCGACAGGCGGGCTCTCACACCAGCCCCATCGAATTTGACTTGGAATTAAGCATGGATAACGGGGTCCCCGGGGAATGCCGTTGTCTTTTGGGACCCACACGTTTTCTGCAAGACACAAAATGAGCATCCGAGGTCAGCATAATCAGCATACATGCACTTGTTGGGCATATCCGAAAACTGATATGCATGCATTATTTAGGCTCTGAGGCCCCAAAGGAAGAAGGTGAGGCTGATTGTTTCATTCAGTATCTGTTTTTCTCGACGCCGCTGCTGGTGCCATCAACCTTAATCTCTCGCGTTTATGTCTAGCTAGCTAGCATTGTGACCGATATGACCCGCTGCATCAGGTATTAGGTCCAGGCAATTCTCCAAATGATCGTTTTTTTGCAGCTTTACAGCGTGCCTTGGCGTCGTTCACCAGCTCTTGTTTACTCAGTCACTTTATTTTCTCCCATAGACCGGCACCGTGATGATGGCGGGCGCTCCCAAAGTGATCGCGTATACCGTTCTTCACGACGTGATTATGATGATGACCGTTATAGACGTGATCCCAGAGATGACCGTTATGGTGGCAAATATGATGACTCTCGGCGCTCTGGGGGTTCTCGCCACGAGGATGATAGACGTCGCCGAGACGATGATTACCGTGGCTCGCGCGATGATCGTCGCGATGACCGCCGTGATGACCGTCGCGATGACCGTCGTGATGATAATAGAGATCGTCGTGGTGAGGACAGACGTGGAAGAGACCGTGGACGGGCTGGAAGCAGCCTCCGGGATGACGTCCCTACTCCTGAACGTCGCTCTCCTACTCCTCCAAGTGCTGTCCCATTGTCAAAACGTCCCCGAAAAGCTTCAGGTTGGGACTTACATGCCCCTGGTTATGAGCAGTATAACGCGATTCAGGCAAAAGCCACAGGTAACGGTCCGCGCTTCACCATTGCTATATCTTTCAAATTCATTCATTATATTAGGTCTGTTCAACCTTCCTGGAGCGAACAGAACACAGCCGATTCCAGGCACGATGCCACCACCAGCTGACGCACCTGTCCCCTCAGCGCCGATATACTTCCCGCAGGCGGCAGCATTTGGTGGAGGCAACCCTAATCTTGCCAGACAATCTCGCAGGCTCTACGTTGGAGGCATCACCTTCTCAGCAAATGAGGAGAACATTGGTTCTTTCTTCAACGCAAAGATGGTTGAGACAGGCCTCGGAACGGGTGGCCCAGGTGACTCTGTGGTTGCCGTTCAAGTTAACCATGAAAAAAGCTATGCTTTCGTCGAGGTGCGTTTTATTGCTTTGGTTGAGGCCCTTAGCAAGACCTGAGTTCAGGAATATTAGTTCCGTTCAGCCGAAGATGCCACTGCTGCTATGGCCTTCGATGGCATCGTTTTTCAGGGGGTAACGCTGAAGATTCGCCGGCCCAAGGACTATGCAGGGCCTGACCCTGTCGCGCCATCCAGTTTCCATGTTCCTGGCGTCGTCTCCACGAACGTTCCCGACTCTGCCAACAAGATCTTCGTTGGTGGTTTGCCTACTTATCTCAATGAAGAACAGGTTATGGAGCTGTTGAAGAGTTTTGGTGAACTAAAAGCCTTTAACCTCGTCAAGGATAGCAGTACCGGCACTTCGAAGGTAGCGAGGGTCTTGGATGTGATGTTGATGCTTGCTAAATAACTTACGTCCCCAGGGTTTCGCCTTCTTCGAATACGTTGATCCATCCGTCACTGACATTGCAACCCAAGGTCTCAATGGAATGGAATTGGGAGATCGCTTTTTGGTTGTACAACGTGCTTCCGTGGGTGCCAAGCCCGTTGTAGGCATCCCCGGTATGCCGACAGCCGAAGAGTACCAGACGGCTCTCACAGGTCGTCGTACCGTAATCCCGCGCGCACTGGATCCGTCAGAAACGAATTCCCGCATTTTGCTCATGCTGAACATGGTCACAACTGAGGATTTGGTCAACGATGACGAATACCAGGACATTCTTGGAGATATCCGAGAGGAATGCGAAAGTTATGGATCCGTCGAAGACATTCGTATCCCTCGCCCCGTCAAGCGGGAAAAGAAATGGTCTGCAGATGCAGCGGCCTTGATCGCTTCCCAGCGTCAAGCTGACGAGGATGCAGGCGTTGGTCGGGTGTATGTCAAATTCGCCGATACAGCTTCGGCGGGTAAGGCTCTTGCTGCGTTAGCCGGGCGATCTTTTGCTGGGCGATCTATTGTTGCTACTCTTCTTGCCGATGATGCGGATACAAGCCCGCCTCTGGCTGTCATCTTTGCTCCTCCAGGTGCTTCCCTCGATGCAATCGCACCGCCACCACCTCCTGATGACGCCTTCGCTCCGCCCCTTCCTCCAGGTGCCCCCTATGCGCTGCTTACCGGGCATGAACCTCCGCCACCGCCGCCTCCTACTGATGCTCCTCCAATTCCCCCAGATGCGTACATGTATTGATAATTTCTTTTTGCGACTTCGTTTCACTTCAATGATTAAACAGCCTCGGTCTTACGGCGTATTTTAGGGATTCCTGGCATTGCATATGGCCCTAGGTGGTCCAGTATGGGACTACATGTAAATAGCAAAGCGAGATTACTCATTTCGCCCTCGTTTTCGGGGTCTCCCATCATCCCCTTTTGCTGCCACTCTTTCCGGTACAGAGGTTGAAGAATCCTTCAACTTGTCTGCTAAGATGGCAGTGACGGCCGACTCCCAAAGTGCGTTGTTGAGACCTTTTGCTTTGGCTAATTCGCGACGGACCTGTGCTAGTTCCCGCTCGAGATCGGCCGCTCGCTCCGATGCATTGATTGACGCCGCTTGATTGGAGCCTAGGAAATATTGCTGATCTTCGAGCAGTTCTTCCATTGTGGGCGTTACAGAAGGCTGATTGTAGAACAGATGTTACGTCACAATTCAGCAATTGTAAGGACTTGTTAAACTCACAAGTGGTGCTGGGACAGGTATGACCAAAACATCATGCGCTTGTCGTATCTTGGGGTCTTTCATGCGATGGAAAGCAGTGATAGGCCGTATAGAAATGTTTTCATTTAATGCGGAGGGATTGCCAAGGTTTGCGTGGCCCATGAGGTCTGGCGGTTTGAGCATCGTTTGCAGATCGTTGACCTGTATTCCCCTTATCGAGGGAGCAATTTTGCGGATGAGCTGGTGAGATACAATGTCGTAGATGTGAATGTCGCCCAGTGCAGTGCCGACAAGGAGAAAGGCACCCGTCATAGATATGACCATTGAAGTCACGGCTGATCTGGTAGTATGATGAGACATGATAATGCAACTGGACTAGGGGAAGCGTGGTCATACCCCACAGAAATCAGTCTTCGCTTTTCAAGTTCATCAAGCTCAACCCGCTCAGATGTACCGAGAGAATCAATCTTGTGGTGACCGAGCTCATCTGTGTGTTTTCGAAACAGGTTGATTTGATGGATATCACCATTTGGTGAGGCCGCAAAAATGACACGCTCCGTTGAGTCCATGATAACTCTTGTAATTGGATGAGGGAAGAGGAAAGTCGTAAGGAGAGATCGTGAGGATATATCCCAAAGCTATGACCATGGTCAATCATCAAACATGAAAATAGATCAAAATCAACTTGCCTTGCATGTGTTATCTATCGAGGATGTAATAATACGGCTTTGTGAGTACAGACCAATGCCACAGTGGATATCAGTCACAGGAAGAGTGTGATCCGAAAACATTATGTAGGGAGCAGGAATCTCATGTTGCATTTGATTATCAAGTAACCTGCGATCGGGTGAGCCCACAGACATTGTTCGAGAAACCAACGACACCTTGACATTAACCAAACCGCAACGCCGGCATCCTCGCTAGCAGTGACAAGTGCAGAACCGTCCGACGTAAACTTCAATACATTTATTTTACGATAATGTGCATCAAAGGTGTTAAAGAGTATCCCTGAAGCAGCCTGGAATGTAACAGTTCGTTAAAGGAATGTCCAGTTCGAATAGTATAGGGACTAGCCTCCCACAGATAGACCCTCCCATTTTGTGTGCCCCCCGCAACAAAGTCGCAATTATGGTCCGCAGCAATGCAAATCAATTTTTCAGGAAGCACAATGCGGAGGTGCAATTGGTCCTGAACAGACCTGCGGTTAGCACCTCAAAGCCTAATGCAGTGAGCGTATGACATGGACCTTTTGGTAGGAATACACATTCAGAAGGGCTTTGTCTGACTGAGCTGCAAGGATAACCCCACCTTGCTCGTCAAAGGTTTCGATTGCAACTGTGCATTGTTGGTTTGCAGTCGTTTGCTTCAACGAAAACAAGGATGCGCCAGTGTTAAGGTCATGCATTGAGATGAAACCACGTCCATTGCCAGAAGATGAAGGCGCCATAGATGCTAATACTACTTCTTGAAGAAACATGTGGGCTGCCCACAGCACTCAAGATCAAAGCAAAAGTTTAAAATTCTAGGTTCGCAGTGGACCCGCGGAAGCAAAATCATACCTGAATTGGCAATAACCCTGGCCCTCCATGTCGGCGACATCGTCCTCCACGGAAACCGTCATCGACTGGGATGAAGCAGCTGTAAATGAATGGCTCGCTACTCTCGGGTTCACCCAATACCAACAGCAGATTTTTGGTGGGTATTCCATGCTCGGGCAGGCATAGCTCATCTTGCCACTCAAATCACTGACCATGGATTCCGTAGACCACGGCATATCCGGAGAAATTCTCTGCCTGCTTGACCATGATGGGCTGAGGGAGGTCGGCGTTCACTCGGTCGGCCAACGACTTACCATCCTCCGCGAGGTCTACCACTTGAAGGTGGCTCATGGCGTTCCCATTGAACCTGAGCATTATGTGCCGCCCTGTAAGAATGTGTATGAGCGCTCCTTTGCTAGCCACATTTTCAAACCCGTTCGATAGCTGAAGTAATTGAAACCGCTGACCAAGAGGGCGTCTCACTTGATCGCTTGCATGGAATGATTCATGAATTAGGTACGAGCAGGTGGCATGGTTGTCTAAGCCTGGTATTGACACATCTATCGCTCAGCTGAAAGAACTAGAATATTGGAGGAGGAGAACCGGAAACTATATGACAGTTTGCAGTTGTGCATAGAAGAAATGACAGCACTGCGGATATCAAAGGTCAGTCCGCCTCATGTTGTTATCGCAATCTTTCCCATTAGTATGATAAAACCCGAAATAGTTTTCAAATGGTCGTGAGCCCGGCATCGTGAAGCAGCCGTCGTTCCGGTGGGCTGATTACAGTCAACCAACACTTTCACCGACTCGAGCTGCTAATGACACTACCCATGAAGTATCCCCTCGCCCTTCACCACAGAAGGTGGAGCATGATCCATCATCCATGGTATGAACCATTCTTCTTCATGCACTTGACATCTTTGAATTTTCAATGATACGGGTAGTCAAGCCACGCGCGACGTCCACCGCAGACCGCTCCAGTTCCTGCCAAGTCTGAGATCAGCCGCCCAACTATAGATCGTACTCAATCTAACCCCACTCTCAATCCATCAACCCCATCTGCCTCAAAACTCACACAAAGCCGAGATGCAAGTTCGAGTTCAAGCTCCACAGCAACACCGACAGGGGAGAACCAGTTCAAGAGCTTCAAAGTGAGCTTAGATGATCCGTGTTGGAAAGTCCTTCCCGCTGCGCTCAAGAAATACAAGATCAGCGATGACTGGCGGCAGTATGTCATGTTCATCTGTTACGGGAGTACGGGTATGTCCCCTACGCAACGATTTTGTATCTTCTAGATGGTATGGGTGTTGATATTTGTCTTAATGATAGAACGCTGTCTGAGCTATGACGAAAAGCCCCTCTTGCTATTCCAGAAATTAAAGGACGCGAACAAGAATCCCGTTTTTATGTTAAGGCACATCAAGGATATACGTTCTCCCATTGCTGTCGCGCAGCAAAAGCAGTCTATGCGGATTCGTGAGGCCGTTGCCAACAATCTATCCCAGCTGCCAAAAGGTGCAAACGCCGCCCAGAATGCTGTCGCGGCAGCGCCGTACTCTCGTAACACGAGACTGCATCAGCCACCAGTTTTACATCCCGTGAGCGTCCAGGCGCAAGCTGTGAAAGCCGCTAATGCGCAAAACACGAACGGGGGCGGCGCATCTTGGCCCGAGACCGCTGACTCACAGCCTGATTCTTCACGCGGCAAGATACAAAGTGGGGATGAGCCAAGCCCTCATCCCGATGTAAAAGATAGTTTAGCTGCAGCTGCGGGTGGCACGTCTTATGCTATCGCCATATATCCTTATTTGGCCGAACAGGACGATGAGTTTAATGTGGTAGTGTGAGTGATGCCTTCAAGGTGCCTACACGCAGTTTTGAACTCAGTTCCTTCCAGCGATGACACGTATATAATCCTGTCTAGGCGGCAAGGCTGGTGGATTGTCCAGAAGGATCCCAGTGGCGAAGGCGTGATTGATGACAAAGCTCCAAAAGGCTGGGTCCCCGCAGGCTGCCTTCTCGAAACTCATGTGCCCACCGCATTGGCTATATCTGAAGCAAAAGCTGCAAACTCTCCTTCGCGAGCCACGGGATTAAGTTCTAACGAGTCTCCGGCGACCGCCCATAAGTCTCCCATCCTGCCATCGAAGATTATATCAACAAGTTTCCCCGGCATCGCGCTTATGAACTACCCTGGGAGGGGTGAGCATGAGCTAACACTAGCGAGAGGAGATGTTCTTCGGGTCTTCAAACGATATAACCACTGGTCCTATGTAAGCCGCAGAATTCGTGTCCATCGGAACCTTTGGAGTTGATTGAATTTTTACAGGCAATAGGAGAAGACACAGGCGACCGTGGTTGGGTGCCGAGTTGGTTCGTTGGTAAATATACACCTGGAACCACGCTCCCGTCGTCAAGCATTGTTCCCCCAACTCCAACTGGCACCCACGTAGGTGAATCGTCCACTGATAGCTCGGAGATTGGTGAGCGTTCGGCTAATGGGAACGGGTTGTTGAATGGTTCGCCATTAAGTCCCGCATTCACCACTCCACACACGAAAGGCGGCTCGGTCCTTCCCATCTAACTTCCCCAATTGTGTGAAGAACATATTCGTTAGCCCCGGTGTTGTCGATATGTCTTCCCGCATCTGTACACCTGGGCGCTTCTTGATGCATCCCTCGTTCATTTTTCGTTGCCCTCTGATTGACATTTTCCTTTGTATTTTCGCTCTGGATCTTGCTCACTTTTCCGCAATCCATATGCTCCCCCCCATTTTCCTTGCCGAAATCATTACTGGGCAATACATAGTTGATGCTACCGAAGCAACTGACGGACATGCACAGCTGGAAGCACTATCAGCTTCGTGAACATGCAACATCTGGGTTGCCGAGTTGGCGCTCATTACGTCGCGATCCTCCTAAACGAAACCAACCAATGGCCAATATATACCTAGGTAGATCGAGTTGGGGGATACATTTTCAATTCAGCTATACATGGAGGTGAAGGAGAAATTTGGGCGCGAAATTAATTTGGGAGTATCCAATGTACGCGATAGTCAAATTTGTATGTGCATGAAGTGAGCCCATTCACAGAGGGAATTAGTGATGCGTAAAAGATCATCTTAACCATTGTATAATACGCTCATTTTTAACATGATTAAAGTTGTGTTTTACAACGTGGTCCATTGCATTTTACCAGGATCCCTTTACCACGTTAAAGGATGTAGATGACCTGTTTTCTAATGATTCTCCACCATGATAACGAGTGTAAACGGTCAATTTACAAGGGTGCATTTTGTAATTTACCAGTCGGATTTCGTCATTTACAATGTTGTTAATTTGGTGAAAAACGTGGTTATTTATCGTCATTTACGACTACATTTATGGCGATATACAGCGAAAAATCTAGGCTACAGTTGCGATGATTTGAGTGAGGAAATGAAATGCCAATTTGAGTGACAAAGAAGAGCTGATTCGGTAGAGCATGAGGCAGGGTTGAAACCTTGGAAGCATGGAGTAGAGTGTGAGCAAGAGATAGAGTTGAGCATCAATCCGGTACAGTTCAATCTTGATATATGCTGATTCAGGGTAACCTAATGAAAGCGAGGGAAGCCTTGGACTGAGAATAAGATGGCAGAAGATCAAACCATAAGCGGACTTCAGCCCTTGCGCGCAGCTTCGCGAGGCACAGGACGGGGTCTTTTCTTCTGAGATTGAGATGGGCCGGGTTCATTTGCAACGTCATTTCGGGTATTCTTCTTTCGAGGTGCTGCCATACTGATGGCCATGGGGGTTCCTTTTTTCGCAGTAGAGGTAGATGGCATCAAGTCCTCCATTGTATGGACTTGGTCATTGTTATCGCCTTCGAATTCAGGTTGTTCGGGTATGGTATTGTTTCCTAGCATAATGACACATTAGCAACGTAGCAGAAAGTGGGAGAGGCGGACTGGAAAGGAAACTAATGTAGGCCAAACTACACACCACGAGGCATCAACCTTTTCCTTTTCTGCTCACGTTCATCAGAAGGATTGTTTCGGGTATTCTTTCGAGGCGCTGCCATACTAACGGCCACGGAGGTTCCTTTTTTTGCAGTAGATGTAGATGGCATCAAGTCTTCCGTGGCATGGACTTGGTCATCACTGTCGTCTTCAAATTCAAGTGGCTTGTGTTTATTGTTTCCTAGTTGTAAGGATACGTTAGTAAGGTAGTAGAAAGGGGGGAGAGCTAGACTAGGAAGGAAACTGAGGGCGCACGGGGGGGCCAGACTACACCACGGGTGGATGCACGAGCCTTTCCCTTGTGAAGGTGGCCTTTGGCCGATGTGTTAACGTTTGCTGGGGATCCTAGCCCTTGATCTTCTTGGTCTTCAGCAGTGTCGTCATCATAACTCTTGTTGTCATCTTCGGCATGAGCACTTGATGGATTCATTATATCCTCCTCCTTCACTTCAGCAGAACCCGAATCTGATGATGAATTTATTTTCTCTGTAGTTGACAGTGAGTGTGTACCCCAGACTGAGAATTAAAAGTACGTACTTAGCAACCTGCTGTAATTGCCTCGTGCATTGACTATAACGTTCTGGACCAGGACCTCGGCAATCCAGCCCCCCTCATACTCCTCTTTGAGGTTGGGATACTTGTTGAAGATCTAGGGAGGATCCAGATAACAGTGTTACATGCAGAAGTAAGTGTGACATGCCTTTTTGAGTATCTCATGCCGCGCCAACACAGAAACTCCTCACCATGTAATTTGCCCAACATTCGGTATTACGGAATGCACCGCAGCCCTGATGTTCCTCTTTCCATCCACATATCAGGCATTGTCGAATGAAATTTGATCTCAACCACTCACCATGAGTACATTATACTGGACATCATTCAATCCCAATGTTTCTCGAGGCGCATACTTTTTACTGTTTTTGGTGCCACGTGGATCGGGAATCTTGATCTTCTAGGCCTAGGAAGCGGGCATCAAGGCTTGGGCAGTGGGTAGACTGACCTTGTTTGTTACAGGGGGCATGATGACTTTCTAGAGGAGAAAGACGCGTAAAGACGCGTAAAGACGCGTCCAGGTAGGAAGCATTTGCAAGATTGCTGTCCATGACTGGGTACGAGTACTTACCTCAGAAGGATATTTCTGGGGGAGTGTGGCTAGTTGCAGAAGGGAGGGGAAGCTGAATCGGGAGGAAATGAGCAGGTTTAGGTGAGTTGCAGAATGTGTGTGGCAGAGAGAATAAACGTACGAAGTGTTGCGGAAATTGCTGAGAACAACTTAGCCCGATCTCAGCGCCCACTGTTGTAGAAGCACTTCACAATCCCCACACTCCACTCATCATCTCCACCACGACATTCATGGAGGACACATCCGAGAGGGTTTGTCCTTGCTGTGGCACTGTTGGTCTCTCAGAGCGCACCATCAGGCGCCATCTTCAGTCTGCTGACCTCAGTGTGATCGACGCACTCAGAGTTTCACCAGAGAGGGAGATCGATACACCTGGATCTGATGCCTATGAAAGTCCAGACAACAATTCAATTGATTTTTCCTGTGATTCCCAACATTTCAGTTCCCCAGACAGCATCAATCCTCACTCCCTTGCACACGACGAGACAGCTGGAGGCCCTGACCCGGTTGACTCGCTTAGAAAGCTGTTTTCTGACCTTTCCCTTGTTATCGAATCCCACCCTGTGCCAGAGATGCTTGAAGACTGCGAGTCTGTTGGCGATGAACTGGATGAACCACTTCCAGTGGACGAAGTGGACATAAATGACTCTGACGAAGATTCTGTTGTGATGGACGAGTCTGATAGTATGGAACTTGACGAGGAGCTCCAGGATATGTATAATTTTAGTAAGTGAAATCTTCCCCTACTCAAAGGCCACTCTGACATTCATACAGACACCGACTCCTTGACGGAAGATGACATAGACTCAATCAAGATGTTCAGCCTCGTCAGTGAGGGGAACATCTCTCGAAAACTTCATGTGACACTGGCCCGGCATTGGGGCCACTGCATTTATCTCGAATCATTGTATAAATTAAATCGAAGGATCGCGATGCTTTCTGGTGTGCAATCTGTCTCGTATGATTGCTGCATCAACAGTTGTTGTGCTTTCATTGGGGACGATCTTTCCAATGCCGACGTATGTCCCTTCTGTCAAGAACCACGATTTGATGCCCACAAACGCGCTCGAAACATCTTCGATTACATCCCACTCACACCTCGCTTCCAGTCCATGTTCTCAAACCCCTCCCTTGTCGAAAAGATGTCATATCGTTCCACCTTCCGATTTGATGAAAGCGTCTTTGAGGATGTTTTCAGTGGCTCGCACTACCAGACTCTCACTTCTGAGAACGTTATCATCGATGGCATCAAATATGCCCACACCTTCTTTAGCAACCCAGAGGATGTCACTCTTGGAATCCTTACAGATGGATTTCAGGTTTTTCGTCGAGCGCGAAATGGATCTGCAACGTGTTGGCCGATCATTGCGATCAATTTCAACCTTCCACCCTCCGAACGAACACATATCTGCAACATCATTCCAATCGCCATTATCCCAGGTCCAAAAGCACCCCATCATATGTCCTCATTCTTACGGCCACTCATCGAGGAATGCAAGGATCTTGCTGCTGGAATCCGCGTGTATGACACACTCCACAACAAGTGCTTCAACTTGCACGTCTATCCCATCTCAGCTCACGCAGATATGCCAGCCGCAAAACATCTCACCGAGCTCAAGGGGTCAAATGCATATTGCCCCTGCCGAGCATGTGAGATTACTGGCGTCCGAGGCAATAATTCTTCTGTTTATTATGTACCGCTCACCCAGCCTCACGTCCATGGGACCAACACCACTGAATGGGACCCCGAATCACTCCCGATGCGCACTCAAGAAAGATACGATTCCATGCTCACTGACATTGCATCTCAAAAAACAAAAACCGCTCGCGACGATCTCCGCCAACAGTATGGCATTTCACACATCAGTGCCATTTGTGAGATTCCATCCATCAAACTCTTCGCCTCCTTCCCACACGAGTGGATGCACTTGGTTCTCGAGAACCATGCAAAGAACCTGGTTCTTCTTTGGAAGGGAAAATACAAAGGTCTGGTTGACAGTAGTGTGCAGTATGTTATTAGCGAAGGGAATTGGATACAGATCGGGCTGGAGACTGTGGAATCATCCTCGACAATTCCTTCTTCCTTCACACGACGCACTCCGAACATCTGGACAGAACAGCACCTGTTCACCGCTGAAGATTATGCTCACTGGTTCCTCTACATTGCACCTTTCGTACTCAAAGATCGATTCCCCTCACGAAAAATTTACGACCACTTCATGCTCTTTCATTCTATCTTGCGAACCACTGTTCAGTTTTGCGTCACTCGACAAGAAGTTGATCAACTTCGAAAGGATGTCATCGCGTACATCAAGGCTTATGAAAAGTGAGACCCACATCCTGTATCCCACGTTTCCATTAGATGTACTGATGAACTTCAGGATCTACTACCAACACAACATTGAGCGTCTGTCAACCTGTCCCCTGACTGTTCACGCACTCCTTCACTTGGCCGACGATATTGAGAATAATGGGCCACCATGCATGAACTGGACATTCGTAATGGAGCGCTGGTGTGGACGATTACTTCCAGCAGTCAAGTCGCGTGTCTATCCATATAAGTCACTGACTCGCCGACAAGTTGCAATCTGTAAGGGATTAACCTTACTTCACTATAATTCCGATTATAGTGATATTTATATTATGTTGCATCACCATAATTCCCATTATAGTGATGTGTTTATTTCTTTATTTATTTGTGCCGAGATATGTAAATTACATATATATACCTCGGAGTAGTTGTAAAGGCCCGGTAGCCTTTTACCTCTACCCCGTTGAATATACAGCACATTAAAGCTTATATTTAGATGGACTACCTGAGGCCTGAGGCGAACGGGGGAACGGAACGTACCGTCCCCAAAATAGTAAGATAACCTTTCACAATCGCTCAAGAAAATGCCATACTTTCTCAGTACAACCTCTTCAAGATCATTCATGGAGAACACCTGGATCCTGACAAACCACGGATGGGTGAGGAAATTTTTGATGAAGGTAAGTCTCAATCGGTGCATTGCTGTTACATCGAAATTTTACTATATTTTTAAGCGCCGGCCTCCATACTTGGGGCTCCTCGCAACAAGAAACACATTCCCAACAATTCCATTCGTCGTAAGATCGCGATCTACTTCACCAACGTGTACAACAAACCCTACCAACATATCATGAAGCTTCTGCCGGAAGTTATGCCTCGCTGGGGGAAGTCACGGATTGTTGGAGGAGGTGACAAAGTTTCCACCCTATGGGCCCAAGAACGACGAACCAAGTACAGAGACTCATCCTTTGTTCGGGTAGGAGTATCTAAATTTTCATAACTCCACTATTGAGCTGACCTTCACTGTTAGTATGAAGTCGCGGTGGACTCCAATCCCCGAGTACGTCGTAAAACCCCGCTTGTGAGAAGGATTTGTTATGGAGAGCTTCATGAGATACTCGAATGCGTCATTCCCCCCTCAGAACTCCTTGGAACAGGGATGCCCACGCGGCACCTTCTTGCCCTTGTTTCGGACAGCGGCGCTTATATGGACGCAGCGTTGACGCCAACTTCTTTCACCAACCTCTCCGACACTACTCAGATTATCGCACTCGCATCAGTCTCATCGGTCTGTGGCCGCTTTCTTTATGGCACGAATTCTCGTCGTTGGGCCATCGTTGATCGCAGTTGCGAGCTCGCAAGGCCAATTTTTAGTGTTGACGATGATGACTAACCAAACTTCGACATTTCCCGTTCATGTCTGACGCTTGTAAAATACATCGCAGCTCAAATACCACGAATTGAGCGGTAATTTACGCAGGGAAGGGTCTGGTATTTCGCATCGTGAGACGCATCTTGTAATTTACAATGAAGAAAATATCACGAAAACAGTGGTAAATGGTCAAAAACCAGACCAAAAATGGTTTTTTACGGCCATTCACTTCCCACAGTGCATTTTGCTACTTGGAATGCATCTGCAGCCCAGATTCGGTGATGGCTTGGGGGTTCTTATTACAGGGTAGGTTCACAGCAGAATCGGGTGAAAGATTGTTAAAATATATAAAGGCTATTTCACGTCAGACTCAGACTTGTAAGAGGCATGTAATTCTTTCTTGCACTCCGTGGTGAGACCGTCGCGCTAAGAGGTGATGAAAACAGGTGTAAAGATGGAACAGAATAAAAAGTCCGCCACAAATCATCCCTATCAATTACCCTACCTATTCCCCGTAGCCACCCGGTAGAGGGAAATAAACGTTGGATTTATAATCAATCAATCAATCCATATTCTAAAGCTGAACAAAAATTAAGCAGGCGGAATGCATCAAGCAGTTCTCGGGGAGAGGAATGGCGACTACATACGGAACCAGCACAAAATATCGGACATGCAACGGGGGATGTCAGTCAAGATAGGCCCGCCAAACATTCTCTGACGAGTCAGAACGTTGACGTTTAACAAAAACAAGCGACGAGGAGGGCGAGCGCAGTGGTCATTAGAGCAACATATTTGGTCGCCAATATATTGAACAAGGATGATGGGCGACATGAGTTGTGCCAATTAATGCCTTAAATATGCGTTATATGATTGGGCAATCGGCATAGATATAACTCTACGCAGGTAGAGAGCAAGGTTTTCATATCTCAGTCCCGTCGACGGCAGAAAAAACGCCCTGCAGAGATACAACAGGCCTGAGGTGAGAAGGCTAACAGGCAATGTCAAGGCTATATAGGAATCAATCTCCAAGGGAGGGCACATAACTAATCAAATGAGATTGGTTACACGCAGGCAGCTTTAAGGTACAAAGGACATAGATGGAGCTGCATTATTCGGGGTCGCTCAGCAGGCGCAGTTTCCCTTGGGGCAATGGCAACTGTAGAGCAATGTTTGAATATCAATATCAATGAGTAACAGGCATGTAACCGCACCCCTCTTTGCAATGACAATGGTCCGCGTCGCAGTGACGGTCAACTGGGAATCCCATAGTCTGATTGCGGGGGTGAGAAGGGCTTGAAGTGGAGAAGATCGAGAGACATACGGTCGACATGATCAAGACTTGGTTTCGCAGTGGAGATTTAGTATGAGAGAGGCTTAGAGGATGGTGATCGTGCGTGGGGGGTACTGGCAATCTTTATACTCTTCCGTTGGTGTGAGCATATGACCTGGAACAATCACGCGCAGGGGTGGATTGTCTTGTCTCATGCTCACTACACTTGAGCTCAGATTCTACAGACTATAGTCCCATCGTTATTGATGTGTTGATATTATCTGAGTCAGCAAGGTAGGTACCACTAGTTCCGCTGCTTCACTTGATCCGCTATCTAATCCTTGATATCTCTGTCCGGGGAATTGAATGCACATCACCGTAGCACTGTGGTTTGGGCACGGTGGCGATTATGCATACTCAACGGCTCACCAGTGCTCTGGACGAGCTTCAACATGTCGAGTCCAGAATCCAAAACTGAACAGGTGATAGTGCTGCAGATTAGCAAGAACCTACACACATCGCATCACGAATAATTGAACTTAGTATATGCGGGCGTCACGCCGCAGCACTTTTTTGCTGTGGAGGGACAGCATACATATCGGTGAGAGACCCAAGAATAGTTGGAATTGAGGATATTTGCGAATGAGCTCCATAAACGTTCCCCCCGGAACGTGCGACGCTCCAAGGTAGTTCGTAGTTGTTGGAGTGGAGGCAATAGACATCATTGATGGCCTGAGCAAACCTCCAGAGCAATTCAATTGACTCGAGCCCTCCACCAAGGCTGCAACCCTCCACCAACCCTCCACTCTCAATTATTCACCGCAATCGCCACAATCACACTATCTTTAGCCTGTGTTCTATTTACGCAGATGTGTTACCTGTGTATGTAATTAGATTATAGATGGGGGCGATGAGGATGATTAAGACAATAAGTGCAGAGCCATGTTTCCCGGGAAAGATCATGGTCACGTTTTCATCGTGCATTGCCCAACATCTACCGCCCATATCTACTTAATCCTCAACATTTTGTAGCACAAAGCCAGTGGATGTCTTGGATTAAATCTCTACGCCCATCAAATTGTAAGGGAAAAGCCACATCCTGTACCGAGTACCTCATTGACCACTTAGCTTTCCTTCCTCGATCGATTTGCTCCCCCACTCGGACGATCGCTGTGCACTCCATCACACGGTTCTCTCGACGGACTCTATTTGCTACTGCGATAGCTTCTGCGGCTCCGAACACGCCAATGGCTCAATTACCAAAGGGAAAGCCTGAAGACGAATGGAGGGCTACTCTCACCCCTGAGCAGGTTGTTGCCTGAGTTCGCGCATATAAACTCGTTTGTTCAAAGAGTTCTGGTGTTTTCTCTTAGTTCCGCATCCTTCGTCAAAAGGGGACCGAGAGGGCTAGCACTGGAGAATATGACAAGTTCTACGAGGAAGGGGTGTATACTTGCGCTGGGTGTGCCACACCACTGTACAAGAGTAAGACAAAGTTCAACAGCGGGTGTGGATGGCCTGCTTTCTTTGATGGTGCGTTGTTCCCCAATTTGGCCTAGAATTCATCGACAATGCTGACCAGCAATTGTACCATGTGCCCCGCAGCTATTCCAGGCGCGGTGAGCCGGCATGAGGATCGAGCGTTTGGAACAATTCGAACGGAAATTACATGCTCGGCTTGTGGTGGTCACCTTGGGCATGTGTTCAAGGGGGAAGGCTTCTCTACACCAAGTGAGCTATTTTCCGTCCCATCTCCGTGGCCTTCATTGCTAACGGCAACACCTCATCAGCGGATGAGAGACATTGTGTCAATAGTGTTAGCTTGACATTCCACGATAAGGACTCACCCGTGGCCGCGGGGAACCCAGATAAATAAGATTAACCCGGGTGCTCGGGTACGCGTCTCTGCGCGATTTGCGCCCCATTCTATGCAGCTTTAATCTCTCAACCGTATTTCATGCTCACGGCATGGTTGTAATTATGTAGCACAATGATAACTGGCCACAGGCATGCTGCAAAGATCAACAGACATGTTTGCGATGAGCGAATGCTATTGACTGATTGAATCGGGGACTAATGATTTTTTATGTGAAGTGAAAGAGAGAATAGCGAGCAAAAAGAGTGGGGAAACACATTAATACTGAAATGGAATGAAGAAGCGTTATGAAACGACGGGATAGAGCTTCCCCTCAGATCGACTCCATGTTCAGGACGAGCTCGTCCAATTCTTTCTTTGATTGATCGTGCTTTATCTTCATATCCTGTACGGTGAGAGCTCGTAAGCATTATACATGCCAAGCCAAACGTCTAATAACGTCAGGAACTAGGTGAAATACTACTGACCTCGTATTTCTTCTCCCATTGGTCGCGCTCTTGTTCTACACGTTGAACTTGCCGCTCAAAATGTTCCGCTTTGATATCTACCTGCCTCAGTCTAGGCATGTCCGCAATCGATCACAAACCGTCAGAGATCGGCGCTTCCTAAACTAGAGCCATACGAGTGCACCGAGTAACCAAATTACTTACTTCTCCACCGTTTCCTTGACCGTCTTTTCTGCGTTATCCAACTCTTCCTCGAGAAGCTGTATTTTCCGTTGCAGAGCCTCCGCAGTTGTTCGACTTGACTCGCCTTCGGCTCCTAGACGCTTGAATTCCGCCAATTTGGACTCTGCCTTATCGAGATCGCTTTCTGCAACGCTCAGCCTATGCTGGAGGGATGTGACATCTTGCTCCCTCGACAAAAGCGTTTGCTCGACCGTCTTGACTTTTGCTTCTGCGGCCTCAGCGCGTTCAACCGCAGCATCAGCTTCAGCCTTAAGGGATGCGAGTCGCTGTGATAGTAGATTTGAGAGGGCCGATGGGCGCCAATCGCGGCAATTATTCTATAATGACATACACACCTCCTTGATCCTATCCATACTGTATCGCAAACACCTGGAGCCTATGCTCGTTCGATGATGCTGGACGTGATTTCAGGAGAAACCTTTATATAGCCTGTCCAAATAACCCGTGACCTAATTTCATTTCCAACCCCACTTCCTAATCTGGCGAGACTGGGCTGGTGACGGCCGAGACCATCCAAAACTTCTTTCCTCCCACTCACGTCTACCCGTTCTGCTGCTGCTTGCACGCATTAGCTGCATCCAAGGGTTGGAAAGCCCTTCGTTGCTCTCGTGCTTCGAATCAACACACTGGTTTTGGTCAAAATTTGCTAAATTGCGTCGTTCTTGGGGATCAACAGCGTTATCTCGGCATCCAATCCTCCCCCAGGTCGTTTTCGTCCCTCTTCGGATTGCTTCAATACCCGATCGCATTCCCGGAATTTTCTTTCTGTCTTAACAGAACGCCGCTCGAATTCAGAGCGCCATCTGGGCTCTCCACCTCGGTATCTTGGCATACTCCCGATCTTTTATAATTTTAAGTTACAAAGGATGATCGGTCCATTATCTGGCGAAGAGACCGCAATCCTTGAAAGACTGGTCAAGTAAGTGTAAGAGAGCTGATACATTTGATCAACTGGTAATCGTCTGTTTCGTGTGGATCTTAGCATCCGACATCGTTTAACGGTCCTAAAAGGGAATCGTGGTGGATTCATCAAAGCAAACGATGTCATGGAAGTTTACAATGATACCGTCAGCGAAGGTATTGCGATTATCGCTTGAGTTGTCAATCGTGTGGCGTCACATATGTTCAATTAGTCAATCGCCTCAACGAGCTACGAGACCAAGCGCAGTTTGATCCCAAAAATAATCGTGTCGACCAACACTATCTGACGTATTTCACCTCCTATCACTCTTCTTCCTCACAGTGGGTAAAGGAAGGGAAGCACCAGCAACGTATTGTCAACTACAAAGTATGATGGTTCGTAACAATTCTCCGATGGCTTCCCCAGCATCAATTTCTGTGTTTCCACCTCAACCAATGCCGGTACCTTGATCTTCTTTTAGCAACTCCTTATGCACATGAGCGAATCGCTGGTATACAGCGAGACAGATTTAATTCCCTTCCAGCGACGCGTGGAAGAACTCAGTGCGATCATCCACAAAGATGGAATAGAGGAAAAACACCCCGAAGGAATACAGATTTTGTTGGAGCGCAAATTGGATAGATGCAGTGAGTTACCCAATTCGCAAAAATGTCGTGGATATATTGATAATGAATCATGTCTTCAGCCAAATTGCTGAACACACTTCATGAGTCGCTGTCAGATCTATCACCGGAGCTGGTCCCTATTCATCAAACACTCGTCCGTATTCGGCGGCAACTCGTTGCATTGGCAGCCAAGCCTAAACCCCCAAAAGCTGATCTGAAGCCTCTGCAAGAGGAACTGCGACGAATTGATGCGTACGTAGCTACATAATGTTCATCCCTTCCTTTTCGCGTGCTTCGTTTCGTTACCTCACAATCCCAATACTCCTTGCCTAGTGGGCGGGTGGGCGACAGGTTTATGATTCCCCATGAAGATGGAACCGTCGATGTCCCAGAATCTCAAGCCATATGTTCTTCCATCCTTGAGGAATGCTTTGAAATTGCGGAGGAAATCAAGATCCGTTCCAATGAGGCCGAAGTATCACACGCGCTTAAACCCATTTACGATCGTTTATGGGAGACGAGAGCCCACTTGGAGGGGCTTCTTCTCACGCATCGGTGGACGCTGAGAGAGACTGATCTCTGGAATTACGCCAGAGGGTTACAGGAGATTGACAAAATGAGAGTAGATGGCAAATTTGTTGATTCAGATGGCCACAGACCCGAGGGTCAATATGTGAGGGCATTCAAATGTATCTTTTCTCATCACCGAGTGACATTGTCGATTAGGTTCTCCTGTATCTGCTGAGGCGATGCTATGGCATCATCTACACACTGTTATCGAGCAGTGAACCTGTCAGCGAAGAACTCATCCCCATTGTGAGGATCAACTGTTTTGTTCCTCTGTCCTTTCTTAACGCGATCTCCCAGGCAAACAATCTAACGACCATAAAGAAATGCCTCAATGAAGTACTGAAGTACGGGGGTCCCTTCAGTCCGCACGAACTCTACCCGGTATGCTGCTACAGGGTTTCCACAATTTTAGATTGCTTAACTCACGCGCCGTTTCTGATGTTCCAGTATCAACTATCGTTGCATAAAATAGAATCCTTACGAGTTGACGGCACGTTTCGCGCTCCGGACGGGACAATCCCTGAAGGGCAAGCTGTGATAATGGCACATTGAACGAGTGTCACGGACTTCTGGAAATGGTATCGTCTGTTCCTCACTTCCCGCGATCCCCGGTCTCAAACGTGCCAAATTCCCTGCAGCTGAAGGAGGCAATGATAGAGAATGAGAATGCGAATGAGTATGAATATGACTACGGGGACTACGAGAGAGGGGACCCCGAAGAATAAGCTGCTTTGGTGTTTGTATACGTCTGCTTCCTGTATTCGCTAGCCCCCATCTCGCCTTTCTCCCACCGGTTTCCAGAGATTTTTGTAGCCCAATAGATGTAACAATTTAAAAAATACATAACAATGCTGGTGTGGCGGTGCACAGCCAAATTGAATCCGGCAAGTCCCATCATCGTGGTTTGAGGCTTTCAACACTTCCTCTGGACTGATCTCAAGATGGTGTGTGTCTTTCTGTCGAGTTCTGTGGTCTCTGTATGCTCTATGCTTGCTGCTGGCATGTTGAATCGTCGAAAATGATTGCAAGAGGCCTTGGATGCGCATTTTGAGATTTGGATGCAAACTTGCTTGTACTATCGTTTCCTTAATGCTATCCGCCCTGAGAAATGATTTCGCGCTATCCAATGTGTCAGCTAGCTTGCATAGGCAACTTTGGGACCCTTACGATAGAGTCTAGGCTGTACTGACGAAACGTGTTGAATCTTTCAATGCACGCAGGCACGCGGCCCCAAAAAGCACCTTAAGAGGTTGGCAGCACCTCGCTCATGGATGTTGGATAAGCTCAGCGGGACTTACGTGCGTCCGAATCCTTGTATTCGACTAACATTATCCAAGTGAACGTTTGTTGGTGTGCAGGCACCACGTCCTTCGTCTGGGCCGCACAAGCTTCGTGAATGCCTTCCACTCAACATATTTATTCGCAATCGCCTCAAATACGCTTTGACTGGTCGCGAAGCCACCATTATCATCAAGACGCGCCTGATCAAGATCGATGGCAAGGTGCGCACCGACACTACCTACCCCACCGGCTTCCAGGGTTAGTACCCCTCCAATTTTCGACGTATGAGCACTTTTTGAAGACTCATTCTTCGTTAAGATGTCGTCAGCATTGAGAAATCGAGTGAACACTTCCGAATCATGTTCGATACCAAGGGTCGTTTTGTTATCCACCGCATCACACCCAGTGAAGCCACCTATAAGCTTTTGAAGGTCAGGAAACTGGCTGTTGCTGCACGGGGTGTCCCATACATCGTCACCCACGATGGTCGGACTATTCGATATCCCGACCCACTCATCAAACCCCATGACACTGTCAAGTATGACATTGCGGAGGGCAAGATCATCGGCCATCTTGAGTTCGAGATCGGCGCCCTCGCCATGGTCACTGGTGGACACAACCAGGGTCGTGTGGGTACCCTTGTTAAGCGTGAGCGGCACTTGGGTGGTTTCGATATTGTTCATATCAGGGATGAAGTAGATCGCACATTTGCGACGCGGTATGTCTGCCCCGTCTGAGGATTGAGTTTTCGCTTCTGATAACATTTCGATTTGTCAGGTTGCACAACGTTTTCATCATTGGGAAAGGGAAGAAACCATGGATTTCGCTGCCCAAGGGCAAGGGTATCAAACTTACCATTGCTGAGGAGCGTGACAGGCGTAGGAAGAAGGCTGCTGCTACTGCCGCAACTGAGGAAGAATGATTGCCTCAGGTTTCTTAGTGTCATATGGATCCAATCATGCTTCCCTTGGCTCTTTTTTTTTTGTATGACATGTTACTCACACTTCCAAAATGCGACCTACTCACCATGCATACTCCTATTCTCGACTTACTGTCAATCCGAATAATTAATCTTCTCGAGTACGCTGATGGTTGTGCGCAGCGGAGCCTCAATGTTTCAACATCGGATTGAATTGTTCACAACGTGAACAAGCTATGTGAATCGTTGCCACATCGGTTGCCTACATTTCCCGGACACCGAAGGGTACTCGAAGCGATTGAATTCAAGTGTATGTGGTTATGGAAATCTTACTGGGATCATTGACTATGATTGGACGAAGTCAGCATTGGCTGGGCCCAAACACAAGCGGTTACTGCCAGATACAACATACATAACGCGCTGCCTGATAGGCTTATCTTTGTAATTAGTGTTGGTGACATGCAGAAGCCGCTCGATGCGATCAATACTCCGGAGAATCATAAGAACTCTTGTACAATTATATTCGAGGGCTACTCGCCTCCCCATGTTCGAATCAGCGGCCTATCTACAGCGTCTTTTCCCCGCTTTCGCATGGACATGTATAGTATTCATTGCCCCACCGGCACTGTCATGGGAAATGGGACAAGTGTTCCGGCCGCTCATGACCCATTGACTTCAACTCTGTTTTCTCTCCGTACACCTGGACCAACTATGGCACGGCTAGATTGCGGTCTGGTTGCATGCTCCTGTCCGTCACCGCTATTGGTCGGAACTTCTCCGATTTCGGTCGCATGGCAAAACCTTCCCCCGTCAGTTGATATCTAGAGTTCAATTCTTACGGTCTGATCCACTTAAGCGGACGTGGACCCGGACAATAGGGTTTCAGCCCTATCAACGATTGTCCCTTGAAATTCAGCGTCAAATGCGATGCCTCATGATATGATTTGTGCTATAATGCTCACATAGTTTCCCGGTATATACCAGCTAACGGTTCCACCCTCTTCGTGCCGCTCGCTTTTGTCTCGTCGTTCCATGATTTCTACACCATTGACCTATGCTGCCTGTGTAGCGCTTTCGGCATGGTGTGCGCATCGCTTTCTGTATAAATTCAATTTCAGGAGAAAGTCTGATGTGCATCGCCTTAAATACCCTGTAAGGTTCATTTCTATCCTCAATCATCGCGTCTTGCTAGCTTATTTGCGGTTGTTGGACACTTCTTGCAGAAGCTGGCCATTGGTTTTGGGGCCATGAGAAAGAGGTCCTTTATGATCAAAACTATAGCGATGTTTACTCCGAATGGATGGGAAAAATGGGGGCGGTTTTGAGGACGAAAGCAGCTTTTTGGGTATGCACTATTTTTACATTTCCCCTGTCCCAGAGAGTTTGAACCACAGGCCAATACGCCACAGCATTCAGATATTGTAGGTTCTTGATGGGCATATGTATATTTGGTGTGTTGCTGATCAATATCGGCATCTCGTACAGCTGGTTGTTGCGGATCCTCTGGCTCTTTGGCACATTGACGTCAAGAATCCCAATGATTATGTCAAGTCGAACCTTTCACGCGCTTTGGTTCGGCGCCTCATGGGGGAAAGTCTTGTATGGGCTGAAGGTACAGAACATAAAAAACTTCGGGCCGCCTTCGCGCCCTGCTTTTCGTACGTCCCTTGGGGATACTATCAGAGGGAATCTTATGTTTCTTCCAGCTTTCTCAAAGTCAGAGAAATGGAGTCAGTGGTGCTGAAGGCTGCTGATATGGTAAGTCAGTCAATCATTTCAGTGAGTTAATGTCTTAGTCACCAGGCGGCATAGCTGGTGGGTTCCATGAAGAACTATATCATCGCTATGCAATCAAAGACAAGTAACAAGTCGCTGCGAAGTAATCCTCCGATCATCATGAATTTGAGTGGATGGACCAACAAAGCTACGTGAGTTACAAATATTCCTGTTTCTGACAATACACGATGCCATGATTTTCCGGCTCAGACTCGACGTGATAGGCCGCGTGGTTCGTGCCAGATTTTCTCATCCTTCTGCAATAGTATCATTCACTCATTCGGTGGAGCCAATAGGGTTTCGACTTCGACTTTGGTCTCGGGGAATCACCGGAAGCCAGAGAGCTTTCCCGGATCTGGGAAGAGCAGGCAAGAGAAAGTGCTACCTTTGCTGGCTTTGTTGTGCGTCCCCCGTTCATCATCTCTGGAGTATGTTTATCCAATGGCTTGTATTAAGGGATTCCTTGCAATGCGGGCTTTTCCATTCCTTGCGTCTTTACCAATCAAAGCTATGGAGAAGCAGTCTGCTTACAAACTGTATGTTCGCAGCATTGGGTCGAAGATCGCAGGATCGAAGATAGCGCGCATTCAAGGAGAGGATGATAGTAAGGACGACTCTGACATTATTAGTGCCTTCAGTATGTGTCATCCCGTCATCCGCATTTCTCTATGATGATAGTAATGACTTGGCCTCGTGTTCAAAGTTAGGTATTCCCGAAAGGAAGGAAGTGAAGCATCAGTCGACAAGTTACTGGATCATGTGGGTGAGATCTTCCCTTTATTCCTCATTTCTTCTAATAGGGTTTCCTCCAGTTTACAACGTTCATGTACGTGCTCTCATGGAGATTCGTCATCCGAAGCGCATCTGGTTCATTGTCTCTCAGCCAAGCCGGAAATGACACTACCGCCACATCCGTCAACTATGCGCTTTTGACACTTGCTCAACACCCAGAAGTCCAAACTCATTTACGGAACGAGCTAGAAGATTTCGGCAGAGAACCCACCTTCGATGACCTTCACAACAAGGATGTTCTTAAGTTTTTGGATGCCGTGACAAAAGAATCGTAGGTGTTAGTTTGGTATCGCCCGAAACAATGCCTCACTGGCTCTTTGGAAGCCTACGAATGTTCCCCGTTGGGGCTCATTCAGAGCGGGTTGCTTTGAAAGACGATTACTGCCACTATCGGAGCCTATCAGTACTTCTGATGGTGGTCTTCTGACCTCGATCCGTATCCAGAAAGGCCAGGCAAGTGTCGTCTCTGCGTGGCCGTATCTATCATATTCAATTTCCCCTTCAGGTTGTAGCCATTCCCCGTGTTTCGATTAACACTCGTCCAAGTGCCTGGGGACCAGATGGAGAGGTTTTCAGACCCTCTCGATGGCTGGATGCTGATGTCAATGAGGTGAGAAGGGTCCTACCTTACCGCAGGTATCCGTGGATGGATGGAACAACTTCGATGCATTCGGGGAGGGATCGCGTTTTTGCATTGGTTATCGCTTGGCAATCTTCGAAATGAAGGCCATTATGGCGGCATTGGTTAGGGCATTCAAGTTTGAGGAAGTGCAAGGGATCAAGATCAAGAAGAGAAATTTGTTGACTCTACAACCACTCGTGGTAGAGAATTCTGGAGAATCGAAAAACATACGGATGGATGGGCCTTGGTTCCCGGTTAAGGTTTCCCTTGATTCCGCGGCTTAAGCGGGTGGGCATAGAAGTCAAGAAGTAAATTTATTCTCCCGCTTGCGCACTTCCTTTTGAGGCAGCCGTATATCTCAAAGGTCATTGTGCCCACTACGTTAGTACTGCGCTCAAGGCTCAGCAGGGCTGTTGCATGCATTTCAATTATTCTCAATCCGGTTGTCTCTGTTTCCCACGATTGTCACCACTACATACCATTAATAGAAATCCGGGCTTCAGTTCGTGGGAAGCGGGACCGTCGCCCGCGCGACGTCCTAACCAGCTTACCTAGTGACCCATTGAAGGGTCTCACTATCCGGACTCCGGTTGGTAGATAGTTGTATGGTAAACATGAGCAAATAATTTTCATCCTGAAATCTCCCTTCTATTCGATCCGATCCTATTGATTATACAAGCCACGGTAATGGCCTCTCAACTGTGACAACTCAGTAAGAGTCCACATAAGCCATCCGGGGACTACACCTTGTGCCAGCGCAGTGTCGAAAGTGAGTCGATCTCTGCCGCCAGCCACCTAATTAAGTTTACGATCCACATCGAACCCAAGCGTATGAAGGCTTGCATCATGATTCATCTCCAACACCAGATAACTGAAACCTTCGAGTCTCTCGATCCTAACGCACCATTAAAAGGAACCAAGAAGGAGTAAGGTTTGGGATCTTCGCGACCGTCTGCACAGGGAAGATTCTTGAGAAGGCCGGCGCAAACATCTCGGTCGTCTATGGAAAGCTTCCCCCGCCATCAAGCAGATGAGAGCCGATCATTCCGAGATCCCGTATGATCCTGAAAGCGGGAGAAGCTTACCGCTGGTATTTCACTTGTTATCCATCCACACCACCCATTTTCACCCACCGTTCACGCCAACTACCGCTACCGCTGCTTTGAAATCAACGATGAAGTTTCTCATAACGAGGCTAATGGAAGTCAAACCGAATCGAGTAACGCGTCAATACCAGAGGGGGATAAAATCTTGGCATGGTGGTTTGGTGGCGGCTCTGGCCTTGCCCCGAGCTACCCACTCTAAGAGGACGCGAAACACAACACGCCCAAATCCGCATGCGATGCACGCGGAAGCTCAATTTACCCCACCTTCAAGAAATGGTGCGACGAGTATTTCTACATTCCTCACAGAAAATAAAGCAGAGGCGTAGGCGGGGTATTCTTTGGTGGTCCCTCCACCGCGCATCATAAGCAATTCGATGGCGATAGTGGTAACATTCCCATCCTCAAACTTCACTCGTCGCCCCGTCGTCGCCATTCATAACCCCACCTCCTGACCATTACCACCCAACGAGCCACTTCCCATCCCTTACACCCTGTCTCGTGCTTTCGACAACGGCAACTGTTCAGGTCTGGTCGCTGCGTCGAATTTAACCTAACTTACGACCGAGGCACTAAATTCGGGCTCCAAACACTCGGTGCAAGAATTGAGAGTATATTAATGAGTTTGCCAGAAACGGCAAGGTGGGGTATATGAACGAGCTGGAGTATGGCGTAGATGGGCAAGGCATAGACGGTACTGAGGAAAGCAAGATCTTGGAAGTGTTGCGATCCCAAAGGAATGAGTTTGACAATGTGGTTAGAAACAACATAAGGTACATAAATGGGACAGTGGCGGAATATGGTGGCAAAAACGACCACATATGGGCATTATGGATATTCATAGCTGCATCACAAAACGGTGAATGAAGTTCATGTACTTTACATAAGTGCGTTTTTGATCACGAAAATCACCAGTTCCAAGCTTCGTCGTCGTCGTCGCCAGATCCACTGTCAGAGTCTCTGAGAGGACTGGGGGGAATGATTTTAGATGTTGCGTGGGATGGAACTTGCACCGGAACTAGTATTCCGTGGTTGTGAAAGTAGTTAGGGGCAGCGGCATCTGTGGGCGAGCTTGCTATCCTACCATTCTCGAGGGGCCCGCGTTCAGTTTCTGCACTTCCTCATCTTCTTCATCCAATATTGAAGGAGGTCCTGTGACTTTCGGGTGAGAACGATCCGGGGCATTCATGGGAACAAGCTGGAAGTGTTTGGTGTTTGGATGGTTTTTTGAACGTGTGGAGAGGCTAGCTGAAGAGGTGGAGTGGGTAGATGAGGGGATGGGGGTAAGAGCTGAAGAGATGCTTTCGAGAAAATTCGAAGACGCGCTCGTTACGTCGCTGAGCAGCAAAGATGCTCTCTTGGATGACTTAGTGAATCTGGAGCAGCAATTGGTCAGGAAATTCAGACGGGCAGATGTAAGCCTGAACTTACGCGCCGGTCTTCTGTATTTCTTCCCATTTCTTGTTGATACCGGACCATGGAGATGAGGCAGAGGATAGGGAGGTCAAGGTCTTCTCGGTTACTCGTTCTCCCAGGTCCCTCGCAGGACTAGAGGTCCTCGGGTCTTTTGAATCAGCAAAGAGCGTGTTGAATAGCAATGATGGCGGTCTAGCGGTGCTCGTTACTTCGGATACAACTGGCTCCAAGATATCCTTTGTATTATTCGAGGCGCTTTCATCGATAGGAAATTGAGCAGAGGTTGGAGTAAGTCCACCGACTTCTGTGACGTTCTTTCTTGGTATGGGGGGTTCCCCTTCACTATCAGAGGGCGAAAGGGATGTTACAGAAGACACGGATGATCGATCTGTGGCGGTTGAGGACGTGACTGCTATTGATGAAAGAGATGATGAGCGAGAACCAGTTGTTCCAACAACTGTTTCCACATGAGACTTCGCCATAGAAGAGGAATTTGATGTAGGGCTCATGGTCGATGACCCCAAACCTCCCATTACAAGCATCCTGCCAAGACCTTGGACTCCATCTCGAATGACACCAACAACTTCTCCAGCAGTTGGTGCCAATCCAGCAGACTTTGACTCGTGGGGCAAGGCGGCCTCAGGCAGCAGTGCAGGAGAGGTGGTGACTGACACATCTCTACTCACAGCGGTGGAACGTTTTACAATCCGCTCCCATTTGCGTTTGAGAGTAGCGAGTTCAGCTTCATGAGTTGCTAATTGCCCCCTTAACTCGAGACACTTGGACTCTTTCTGTGCAATGAATGAAAGAAGGTCGGCATGCCTGTCAATTGATTTATTGTCAACTATTGACGGCGTGGGATCGATGGTTGAGTGGACACACTTTTCTACAAGAGTCATCGGTGGAGGGGTTTGCGCCTCCACTATTAAGTTTGAGTTCCCAGGAGACGTGTGATGGGTAATTGAATGACGGGGTAATGATGCGGTGCGTCGCAATGGCAAGGAACGTGAATGATCGACACTCGAAGTTTCATTGGCTTCACGAATGACGGATGGTGGTGGCGAGCGCAAAAAGCTCGAAACTACCGGAGAGCTAGGAGAAATATAACATATAGAGGATGTGCGCTTTGGACCCATGCGCTTGCTGTGGGGAGGGGAGGGGGAAGGAGCATTCTCGCTGATGCGAGGACTAGCAGGAGGATGTCCATTAAGCGCCTCGGGAATCAGACTAAGGCGTTTCAAGCCTTTCAGCCCACGTTCCCGTCCACTACGCCTGAGGACATCGTGTACAGTCAGACAAGGAGAGAATTGTCAAGCAGAAATGCTGAGTTCAAAAGAGTGACAACGAAACAATGAAGGAGAGTTGCGGCATTTTCCGAGGCTTGGCGCGTTTACTCGAGCGCATAACGCAGCGGCGGCGGGGAATATAAATTACACATAGCATATGCAGTAGTGGAACATGAATGGAAGGGACCAGAGGAAGGTGAACATAACTACGGTGTCTATATTGAGGGTGAACGCAAAGAACTCGCGGGTCTCGAAGGCATGCAAAGCGATTTATTGTCAAAAGTGAGAAGACTGGTACCGTCAAGGTGCCGTGTCCGGTGGGCAGAACAACATCTCGTCAAAAATGGCAACCGATGACGCGAATTTCGTCTGGAACTGCAGTTTATGTAATCCCAACATGGCATGACATTTGCATTGCAGGTAGTGTCGAGTCTATGATTTACAGGATCTCAAGCGATTGAAGAGGCTCTAGCTCTGTTAACAAATCGCTGCAATGCATTACTAATGTATTATGCTCTAAGAGTATTATGACGTATGCTACACACAAACTCAACGATGTAAATGAGCTGTGAAGCGAATAGATGGACTAGTGGCCAGAGAAAAAAGAGCGATAGGCAAAGAAGTGAATCCAGAAGTCTGAAGACCCAATGGGAATAGCAGATTTGAGTGCGGTTACCTTACGGGCCTAACAACCCGCATCCCATAATTCTCACAGTACTTCTTGGGGCACCGAGGTAATCTCCAGAAACACTCTTTATTCCACTCAGCCCCGCCAGAGTGGCATGGTTAGGATTCCTGGCGCGTCCGAAGCAGGTTTCCTTTGGGGAGACATACGAAGAGCCAGTCGGGAACAGCGTGATCATGAACTGGGTGCAATATTGATGAGTCTGTGCGCTAATTGAGGGACGTTAGACATTTACCATAGAGCCCCCACGATTGTTCGCATCAAGTGTCATGACAAGATACCCCGGTCCATCCGGGGAGACAAGCCCAGGCGACTCTGTGAACCTTTTGCTCAAAACGAAACCCTTGAGTCAACGAAATATTAACCTACTTAGAACTTCGCGTCCCCACAAGAAATAATTCGCAGTTCCGGAATTCGAAGTAATATCGCCACCATATATAGCGCCTGAATAATTCATGCCAATTACTCTCTGCTTATTAGCCGGACAGACTTGACGGCTTGCTTACTTCCAGGATGGACTGCGTGGAACTTGTTGCCCTCATAACGACCGCCATGTCTCCCTGAGCACAGATCCCTGAAGTGAGCACCTGCGTCGCAGTCGAATATATCAAATTCAATGGGGGGACACGGGACGCCATCGATGGCAATCTGAGTCTGCTCCAGTTTGTGATTAGCATAAGTCTTCGTGTCTTTTTGGGCTGAAATGGCCGCGTACCCAGACTGAGCACAGACTACAGTTGATGCTAAAACGTGAGCAGGGAGAATGGGTGGCAAGTATGTGTACCACGAACCTGCGATGAAGGGAGCTTCGAGGTCAGAAGGATGTCGCAGTGGAATTTAAACAGGACTTACTAAGGTATTGACATCCGGGCTAATGACTGCCGTGGGTGGTTGGCAATGCGCGTTATGTCGAACTTAGCATTGTTCCAGCGCAACAGGATTATAGAGGCTCACGAAAGGATTATCGAATTTTCCAAGGAACCAAAGCACAAGAAACCTCGGAGCGAGACTAAGACGAAGTCGAACGATGCAGAAACTCACAAAATTTCGAGGAGGTTTTATAGACATGCTAACGATTCGCAAAGACAGGAGGATAAGAGACTCCGAGGGACCCTATTGGTAAGACACCACCAAAAGATTGTCATAGATAGTCACATCTCAGGCGCTCGGGGGCAGTGGGCTCGCAAGTCGCGGCCACCGTTTCACCAATACGCCGGCCCCTATTTGGTGCAATGGGGATCAGCACTCTCCGGCCGGTAATGGGGAGTTTAACTGGGAGACTTGACTTGAAATTTGGCAGTTTTGACGCATCGGAGTCCGACCATCGCCATCTAGAGACTCACTCCAGATATTTTGATTTGTTGAATCCAAGGATATGTCACAGAAACCGCTAGACCCCCGGGAACTCATAGAGTTTCTGAGATGACTCGCTCGCGCAAGCCATCGAATGGTCCACAGCTTCGTGCCAGTACACACCACCAAATATGGGAATTTCTGTCCAACCTACACGGCCCCTCGCTGCAGGGGCCCAGATAAGGAGAACATCGCTTAAGACCAGAAAGCGCTCGTGCAGCAAAGAATAGGACGCTAAATGGGTGTTGCGTCGTCCAGTCAGGAGGAACACCAAACTGGAAAATCAAAACAAAGACGATCCGAGGTAACTCTCACGAGAGGCCTGCAACGTGAAACGACTGAAACCCCAGGCAGGGGTCCATCAGAGAGGACGTATCCCAAATTTTCCCAGAAAACGAATTCCGTGAATAGATTTGCCTGGAGAACGCGTTAAGTACACAAGGGAAACTCGGATGTTTCGTTCCCCAAGAGAAAATCTCTTCAGTGATTAATAGGGGTAGCCTCATAAGGTATGGGGTTGTGGGGAACTACTTTATCTCTGCACTATCGGTGTTCTTACACGAAACGATCCTGACTTTAGGCGCGGTGACCACTTCGTTCCCATCCATCTTGAAAGTTGCATTATGAACATCAAAGGTCCAAACGTCTTCGCATAGTCTGTAATTTCTCAAATGACCCTGAGACGCCTCAGCTGACGTGACGTCAAAAGGGGACGTAAAATCATGCACCTTGACTGTAGTTTTGTATTTTACCTGTTTAGCCAGATTTTCTGCGATCGACTTATCGAACTGCCAGAATGAGGAAATTAGGAGCCTTTGCGTCTGGGAAGTCAAACAAACCTGAAGCAGAACTTTCATGGCAAGCTGCGGCGAAATACTGCCATTGGTAATAAGCTCATCAAGGGAGTCTGTCAGGGCGGTCCCTATTCTGAGGGGTAATTGCATGAGATCGCATGGGTACTATTCCCCTGTAGTGCAAGCGCTCACGATGACTCTCGATAGAACTCATAAAAGCTAGGCATGCCGTGAGGTCGATGACGAGAACACAAGAGTGGGAGCACGTGCACTGTGGGTATTCAATAAAGTGGGTCCCGTGCTCCGTAACCTGCCCAATTCCCTTGCAAATCCCCTGAATTTTTGCACCAGCAGGAACTCTCAATAACATATCCCTAATGACTGCCCAGTACTCCCCTAGTACCCCCATCAGGTGTTCATCATCGTCAACTCCTTCATCTCCATTACCGTCGTCGCCTTTAAATCCATTTTATCGCCAGCATAATCCACCCTCACAGCGGCGCCCATCTTTGAAGAGCGGTTATCAAACGCGTTCAAGATATACGCGCACCCCCTGACATGCCACCATGTAGGCCTTTCCGGACCTACTCTCTCAGGTGTACCAGAAGATCCTCAAAAAGCTCTCTGGCGTGAGAAACTTCGTCAGCAATTCCTGCAACGTACGGAACGTGATAGGCAAAAGTATCGAGAATCCAAGAGGACATCTTCTACTCAACGGTCCTGTGATGATGCTACTTTTGGCGCTGCCATGGACGAGATGGACTCTGATGAAATTGACCCCGATGACTACGAAGTGAGGATATTTGCAGTTTTCACCCGAAGTCCCCCCGCGCGCGTCTGACCATCAAAATCTCATATAGATGTATCGTTTAATGAACATAAACGAGAGAAGACGCGAAGAACACGCGTTGAGAGCCCAATTTGCGCGAACAGTTGGTTCGTCTCTTGACCCCAACATGGACAATTTTGAAGAGATTGAGCGTTTCCTAACGGGGCCACCGCCAATCGAGCTTGAGGAACAGTTTCCTGCAAGCCGATTTGAGCCTATTCCTTCTGAATTTGATATCGGTGATGATGAAGTTTCATTGGTTGACCCTGTTGCAATGGATATCGCCATGGATTTGAGTTCGCCACCAGCGTCATCGCCCCCTAATTATGACTGCTCCCTTCCCACCAAAGAAGAGGACACCTCCTTCCAATCACTGATACTTGATTGTCCTTGTCCCTTCTGTAATGCACCATACGCCCTGCATTTCCACGACGACGCAGAGAAGAGTAATTTCGAATGTGCTGTGTGCAACAATGGCTTCTTGCTCGCCAGCGCGCGATTATCTTGGGACTCTTTTCACCCGAATCCATCACCGTATGTTCCCCAGACTCTGCTGTTCCATCCGCATGCTGATTTCGCCGCTTTCCCAGCGCCCACACCCCCGTTCTGATTGTAGATCCAGCCTTAGCAGAAGGTGTGGTAGCGTTATGTTCCGATGATTCTTGTCAGTGGGGGTGTGCTTTCTCGATCTTATGATTTTAAGATGATCCCGAACAAAGTACTTAGTGTAATGATTTTCGAATCGCTCTAGGGTACTGTACTTTATAAATTTCCGATTATGTAGTTATTGATCATCAATTCAATGCAGAATAATGAAATCAATCATAGAGATTTGGTAGACTGGTAATGTATCGATACGAAACCGGGCGTCATTAAGAATGTTTCAACCTTAACGCTTGACAGTCATCAAACTACCGACAAATGTGAGGATCTGTAGCCAGCATGTCAGCAGCAGGAAGCTTTACGGTAGAAAGAACTCACCAATCGCGGCCGGATGTCTACAATATCTTCAGGTACAAGAAAAATCAAGGCATTCAACTTTCGAGCAATAGAGATTGCCAACTTTGCTGAGATCGTGCACAGAGAAGTTAGTACTCCATAGAAAGTCAGTAGAGGTTCACTCGCCATTTTGTCTTCTTTCCTCGTAGTCGCGCGCAGGACGATACACCATTGAATAGTCGACGATACCAGGGGTGAGGGCATCAAGCAAATCCAAGAAGAACAAGCCATCCGAAACAGCAGGATCTTTGAAGCTGCGAATCTGCGCGGCAGGCCTGGGCTTATTAGGGGAAGTCGAGTTGCGAACAGTGTCGTTAGCCCATCTAAGCATATCTTGATCGGATGGCGGGCGTCCACTAGAACTGAGCGAGGCAAGTGTTTGGGTAATATTTAAGCTAAATATCATCTAATTCAGCGACACAACCGCCATGCGAGCCATGTTCTGCGACTCACCGCATGAGTTGCCAAACAAGACCAAGGATAAGTGTCTTCCTCCCATCAACAATATCGGCTCCTTGGATTCCAACCATATGCATCCTGTTGGCTTTCGCTAGATCAACTGCGTAGTTCGTATTCTCTACCGCTTTGAAGCGCGAGATGCCGAGAAGTGGGGGAGGCGCATCTTCATCTTCATCCTCCGGGAGCGCGGCTTCAACGGCCGAGACAGGCTTGGGCTTCGTGACACGTCTCCATACTACAGAACCCGGAATAAGCTTATCAAAAGCTTGAAGAATAACATATCCATCCTGGCGTGCACAAATGGAATTGGGTCTCCTACTTCACCACAACAAAAAGAGACAACTCACTTTCAGATTCTCGAAGAGGTTGTAGACTGCGGGCTCAACATTCAATGAGTTAAGCCAGAGGGTAAACACTCGAGCCTCCCTCTCCCCCTCGGCATCAAAATCTTCCACGATCTCGGCGATTTGCTCCGGCTCCACGGGCTCAAGGCAGGGGTGAGTGTTGAAGAGGTTCGCGACGAACGCAAGGTTAAGACGTGGATTGCCAGCTACTAGTGCGGGTGGTGTGAGGTATTTTCGGCAGCCAATTTTCTCAGCGTTATCCAGGATCTGGTCCATAGAGAGGATTAATGCCGGACCACTACAACTTTTATTTTAGGTTCATACCTGAATGGCACGTTGCGTAAGGTCTCTTATCTGGAGTGGCGCACGGGAGCATTCGGCCGGCTTCAGTTGATTTAAGAGGACAGTGTAATTTTCTCCGTCCTTGACATCCTTGCTGAAGTTGTTGACTCTAAAGGCCAATGGGTCATTGTTGCATCGGTCAAATGAGATTGGTGCTTTACCTGCGATGCCAGCCTGCCGCCTTTAAGTGGTAGTTGAACCACCTCAGCAATATCTGATCTGGAGGGAGTTTCAATAGCTCCTCGATCGTCTCGCCATCTTCCAACAGGCGGTACAATTCAGGGTGCTCCTTCAATGAGATTCGACTAAGTAGCCCCCGACGAATGATTTGCCAGATTAACCCAAGAATCAAATGTTCTCTCCCTTCAGAGATATCAGACGACCCAATGTTTACCACGGAACACCCTATGGCTTTCGCGGAGGTGATGACGACATTGTTGTTCTCAGTAATTTTGAATGCATTAAGGGGCTTCCTTGGCTGAGGGAGATTAAGGACACGAGTGTCGATGGTGTCCGGAACAGAATCATTAATCAGTTTGCAAAGAATAAGACCGTCTACAATTGCAATTAACATATGGCTCTGAGTAGAACACGGTGTACATACCTCTGCACTCATCGAACAGTTGCATAGTATCCGTCGGAATAGGTAAGCGATGGCCAACATCTGTATCACCTTCCAATACCTATAGCAGAAATGACGCTAAGCGCAGACCAGATAGGAGCTACGCAACATCTGACTTACTCCGTTAATGTGTGCCGTAAATTGCGTCCGCTCTTCCTGGTTAATGGTGTGACTCGATGCTTCGGTTGTCCCTTTCACTGTCACCTTTCCCGCTTTGGTGGGTAAGATACTCTGAAGGGCCTGAGACTTCAATTTCGTAATAAGCTATGAAAAGTTGGGCACCGCCGGTCAGCTTCGAGACCATGAAAAGAAGAGATTGAGAGCATACATCGACGTAATCCTCCAGCTCCACTTTACCACTGGCATCGACGCTCACTGTCTTCAGAGTCTCGCGAGCTAGGTCGTAGGATGCCTCTCCGCTCTGCTGTAGGCTCTGAATGACGTTAGCTTTGGCTACTCGACCTGGCGTATCCGTGTCGATCGCGCTGACGAAAAGTTGTGTTAGCAACATTGGCCTTGGTTTCAATTATGCCGATCGTGGCGTACTTGAAGCGATCGATGAGTTGGTACATTTCCTCCTGGGTTACTTGAGGGTACTTTCTTTGCAGTTTAATGGCTTGCATCGTGCTGAACTATGAGAGTATTAGTGAGAGGGGGGATATTGGAAAGCCTTCAGAGTTGGCAGCCGTGAGGTCACGTCACAACTGTTATTTATCGCTGCCTTCCAACTCCACTTTCCGGCGTAGCACGGCACAGCCTATTTGTAGGCGCCGCAGTAAAGTCGGGGCGGAGGTCCGCACTGCAATGATCGAGCTAGTGCGCTAAGCCTTTGATAACAGGGAATGCACAGTAGCTGCGATATCACTGCGACATGACAGGGCATTTTGATTTTCGTTCGACAAGAATGCACATAGAATGAATTACACTGGACACAGAATCAAGCAAATATCACACATGTAGAAGACGACAAAATCTATTTGAACTGCACCAACAGAAGTCACTACTTGGTTATGCGGGACAAATTACGCAATGTACTCACGTTCTTGCCATCTACCCACTTCTTGCCATGGACGTCCAAGTCCCAAGCAAGAGCACCCTCGAAGTAGGCCTTCTGTGCGGCGTCATTCAGATCAATTGGTGAGAAAGAGTAAGACTCCCAATCGGGAGCGACCTCGACGACCGGTTTGATGTCTTTACCACGAGCGATGAAAACACCCTCAATCACCGAGTTGTTGGAAGTACCAAGGACACCAACGGAACCGAAGAGATACTTTCGGGAAGCCTCCAAACGGTCTGAGACGATCAATCAGTCAAGCACCGATGCTTCAATGTCGAGATAGAGGCGACTTACTAAAGAAACCGCCAATCTGATTGGAGGACATAAAGGTCTGGGTGAGCTCTTCAGGGTATTTGAAAGCAACCTTCCAGATGGAGTATCCCTCCGGGTCCCACCTACCAGAAAGGGACACAATCATTTTTCTATGCCAATCCAGCATCGGCATCGATCCATGGAACTCACTTGTCGTAGAACCACTCCAAGCTTCCACCTGGTCCCTTTGTGTCCAAGTTGGAGTATGTACGCTTCCAATCTTCAAGGTTCAACGTGCTCTTCGGCAGCGAGTCAAGAGGATTCTTAGGTTTTGGCTCCTCTAGGACTGAAGGCTCCTCCTCCTCCTCCTCAGGCTGCGCTTCAGGTTTGGCCGGTGCAGGTTTCTCCTTGGGAGGTGGGGGTGCGGGCTTCTCTTTAGCGGGCTTCGGGGGCGCGACGTATTGTTGGGCCTTCTCTATGAACTGAGGCTCTCCGAAAACAGGCTTGAGCGCTGGCTGGTTAATGATAGTGAGGAAATGACGTATGACGTTAGGATACTTTGCACGCTCCGCCGACCCGGCAATGGTGCTAAAGATTCTGTCAAGAAATGAGGCGATAACGATATCAGCGTAAGTGAGGCGTTGTCCGACGAGGTACGTCCTGGTCAGCAAATGGTTATCTAGTACTTCGAGAGAAGTAAATATGTTCTGCCTAGAGGAGGTATCGAGCTAGGTGCACATGACCGAGGAATCAGCACTTCTGCAGTCAAACCTAATTGCGAAGAATGCTGACTGGCTTGAAATAGGGAATATATCCGAAAGTAAATCCAGAAAGGAGTCTGATGTGAGGGGAAATGTCGGAATCGGCAAAGGCGACCCATTGGTTGACCAATGCGTCCTCGTGCTTGGTTGATCCAAAGAGCTTGTTATCAGGTGCAAAGGAAGCAGCTATTGAACGCAGTCCAGCGGAGGAAAAGAAATATCAGCATAAATTCCAGCTCCCTAATCAGGGGCATTTTGGAGCAAAAGGGTGTATTTCGTGACTCAACCGTCACGGGTCCATTTTCAACGACGAAACCGTTTTAAGGAAAGCGCATACGCACCGTAGCGAGCGATCGCAGTTGACTCCACCAAGAGTAAACCATCATTTCCTTCGAAAGCTGGCACTTTTCCCCTGGGGAATTTAGCCAGGAACTCTGGGGACCTGTTTGTCTCGCGGAATTTAAAGTCCTCGACAATGTCGATCTTGACGCCCGCAGCCGCAGCCGTACCGAGGATCTAAGGACGTGGGGTATCACCAAGATCGGCACACATCGGGTTTTGTGACCAGAGGTGTCGAAACACATGGGAACGAGAGAGTAACGTGTTAGAGCGCCGATCTTGCAAGCAACTTGCAAGTGCGTGTTGCTACAAGTTGATGACTGGTACTCACGCGCTTGGTGTAATTTGGAAGAGTGTAGAGCTTTCCGATGGTTGTAGACATTGTTGCGCACTCAACGTTGGAAGCTTGAAGAAAGAATAAGATGGAAGACTTGAAATAGTTTCGAGCAAATTTTCGATGAAGCACACGTGGCGGGTTTATGAGTCACCAATATTTCAACACGTTACAAATCATCTACGATGTTTGTGGAGGTAACAAAGCTAATGAAAAACCGCCCAGACAAACAACACAGTTGTGCAAGGAAAAGGGAGTTGAATACAAAGAATAAGGATAAAGATTAGTAGACGGCAAACTATACTCGGGTGGTATTGACGGTGTGTGGTGGCTTAGTTGATCTTGATCGAGCTCGCGATTTCTTTACCGCAGCCTTAGATGATTTCATGACGGGGAACGAGAGGCCCTCAGCCAAGGGCTTGTCCTTTCCGGGAACCTTGGTACTTTGCGAGTACGATTGATCTTCGTCGATTAAGGTTGCCTCAGACGACTGCGACAGTGGCATGCAGAGTGTCCCGGTATCCGATGATTGTGAGAGTGGAGGTGCCACCACGAACGGATCCGCAATATCAATGCTCATATCAGCGATATTTGACGGCTTGGTGGGCACGTCGTACACAAGCTTGTCAAAGGTTGGCTGTCGTGAGATGGCCTGCCGTTTCCGGGGATGCTGAGCAGAAAGGGGGTCCACAATAACCCCACATTCATCGTCCCCATCACCGGAGAGGTCAATATATGGAACATGTGCGGTTATCGGGGGGCGCCTCTTCTGGGGTGACGCAGGTAGAGGAATCTGGGATGGGGAAATAGGCCGCTGAGGCTCGGCAGATTGTTTCTTCGGAATCGGTCTCGATGGGATAACGGGAGGAAGTGAAGGCACCGCATTAGCGTTCTTTACCAATTTGAGGCGAGATTTTGGAATGTTGGAGATCAGCCGAGTGGGGGATGAAGGAGGAATGGGCCGAGATCCTGAGGAACCTAAACTAGGATACAGGTTTTCAGATCCCGTCAATGGGATCTTGCCACGGAAAGCTGAGCAGTGGGGAAACCTCAATGCATTGCCGAATGAGGATTTATGCTGAAAACGAACCTTTCCCTTTCCCTTTCTCCTTCCCGGTAATACCATAGTCCTTCACCACATGCCAATGATGGTTCTCCTTTGAGCCGCCTTCCTTCTCCTTGTTCACTGTGGAGCTGAGTGAGGATTGTACCTCCCAATCTTGTGGTCTAGCACGTCGCCAATCCGCTTCGACTTTGGCGCACCATACGTCCGTGTCACCTTCAACCCAAACGTCTATAAATGATGCAAGATCTGCGGGCGGTGGGGTACGGTTTACAAAGACAACTAGCCTGGTGTTTTTCATTGTGAGGATTACCGAGGAAGGTTTGCAGGCTTGGGAAGGACTCGTTGGAAGAGTAGTCTGGGTGGCGTCGGGTGTGATATTCTTGTCCTTCGAGGTGGCATGGACAGCACCGGCGAAGTCTTTCACTAGGCGCTTAATGCCATGTACTTTAAGCGAAGTGCCCATGATGATCACAAGGTCGGGTTTGCGACTAATGTCTCGGGTAGAAATGATACCAATCTCATCAGCATGAGGGTGGGCCTCATCATACAGAATTATGCTGGGGCGAAGAGTGCCAACAGCAAGCGCTCGCGCATTACGGGCAATTCGCGATTCCGCTACAGGCCTTGTCAACCCCCAGGATGTTGACGGAAATGAATGCACATACAGCGGTTGGAGCAGTCAGGACACGGTGGCGGAGCACCATTGAGGAATGTCGATAAATGTTCATCCATATAAGGAAAGCTTGCATTGCAGATAACACATCTGACACGGCTACAATCGATTTCACCGTTAGTTACCGAAGGCGTAATCAGCGACAATGCCACGCACTGAATGTCCCCATGTAGCTGAACATTCTTAACTTCCTTAGAGTTAAATAGTTTCCCCTTGCCTTTCGTCGAATATGCGGAGCTTGGGAGGTTCACTCTATCCTCCAACCCATCGATGTTTTGGGTATAGGATCGCAATAATTTCCCTTTTGTGTCGAGTGTCTTAATGAAGTGATGTGCAGGGGCAGGATGAGCTTTATCGATGCAAAGCTTCAACTCTGCTATAAAGGAATAGAACAGGCGTGTAGATTCGGGTTCACGAAAAAGGGAGGCAGAGAAAAGGTCACGCCCTCTGAGCACGACGTTGGGGTATCGCGACTTGACCAGGTTGTAAAGGCCATCGCTTGAGCGAAAATCCTTTTTAATAGCAATAAGTGCGCAAATCAGAACGCAACACGAAATGACAAGTTTTAGCAAGACGCACCGGAATCCCCGAAGAACATGAAATCCCAGCACCAGTGACAACTATGACACGCTTCGATTTCGCCACTGCAAGGCTCAGCGCGTGAAGTGATTTGCGTGATCCAGCATGATCAGGCGTTGACGGCGACGACGCGCTCTCCAACGCGCCGAGCTCGAGATGAAGTGGCATCGAGGCGAGGGGATGTTGACGGGTCACTCAGAGCGTCGGATGCAAAATCAGTCCAAAACAATCTTATTTATTCAAGGTCACGTGAATGGTATTCTGTCAAATTTCCTAACTCAGGGAAGTCATAATCATAGAACCAGAACTGCTTCCAATGCCAATGAAAGACATATCATGCGTGAAATGATTCCGCTTAGTTGCCACGATAGGCAGGAAACTTTGCGATCTGGTGACCCAACTAATGGTTCCAGAACCCTCAGCAAAATTGCGTTCTGCAATGTGCCCGGGCAATAGGCAGGTGACCAGCCTGGAAGAGAACCCGGGCAACTCAAGGAAAGGCCGCTCCCAACACGTGCAATCTTTTCAAATCCTGGGATTGAGTACTATGTATTTCAAAATCAATCATGCCTGCCAAACAAGGGATCATATACATAAACAGATACAGACAAAGCTCCGCATTAGACTTCCCACGACGAGCACGTGTCCTGCTACACGGTTCCTTCAGCTTACAAAGCCAGAAGTCCACGCGGTTTGCGTGCTACACTTAGCGCTTCTGGTGCGAGAACATAAATCTGCAGTGTCTACAGCAACACTACTCGGATTATGGCTCAGAGCTCGAGGAGATCGTCCATATCTGGGCCATCGCAACATAATGCCCTCGTGGTATCACAATGGCAACCCATCCTTCAGTCTCAAAATCAAGTTGTCCTCTACAATGCGTCAAGCAAGGGCTTGACAGTCAATTACATACACCCTGCTTGCCATACCGTTGAAGAGCCAGATGCCTCTACATGTCCATACTGCCACAGACCCCTAGACGAGTACAACCATTCAGCTCCCCAAGCTCCTACGAGCGATCATCGTGCCCCCAACTACTTCCATTTACTCGCCATTCACAACGAGTCAACCTCGAGGCCGTTGACTCCGCCCCATCTGGAAGATGAAGCTAGGCCCCCGCTGAGTTCAGAAACTATGGCCGAAGGCTATTTCGACGCATTCTTCCGTGAAGAGTCTAAATTAGGAATGGGTGCTAATGGATCGGTGTTTCTCTGTCAACATGTTCTTGACGGAAACCTCCTTGGTCGTTTCGCCGTCAAGAAAATCGCCGTTGGATCGTCGCATAAATATCTCGTAAGAATACTGAAAGAGGTGGGTCACTGCCATCGTCTTCAAGATGATGAGCATCATGACGACATTGCTTAGGTCCGACTACTTGAAACGCTGCGTCACCCTAATATTATCACTTATCACCACTCATGGTTAGAACCATGTCGCTTCTCTACATTCGGGCCATCTGTGCCCACTCTTTTCATTCTAATGCAATGGGCAGAAGGAGGGAGTCTAGATGATTTTATTGCTCAGCGTCGGGGTATTTCACATGGGGATACCTACCAAAACTCTGCCTCGCCAGAATCAGAAGAAGCGCATATGACCAAAGCTCAGAGAATCGCTGCCTTTAAAGCGCGGACCGGAGCAGGAGCCAGTGGGACTTCCCGGCCAGCAAACTTGAAGGCAGTTCATTTGCTGAGCACGGATGAGATCGTAAGCCTCCTGTGGGACATTACTTCTGGCCTAGCGTTTCTGGTGAGTTTGCTGTTCAGCGCATCGTCACCTGGATGATAACATGCCTTTAAGCACAATCGGTCGATTCTGCATCTAGATCTGAAGCCCGGAAACGTTCTACTCACCTGGGACCCCAATGTCTTGATGTTTGTATCACCAACTAGTTAACCCGCTGAAGCTTATGTGCTTCCAATACAGACCCCGAGGCATGCTGTCCGATTTTGGTGCTGCAAGGGATATGCTACACCAAGGGTCTCGTACAGGTGTCACTGGGACGCAAGTCAATCTTGTTAGCATCTGCGAGCCACCGCCTTTTTAACGCCATTCCATCCACTTAGACTTGAATATACTTCCCCTGAAATAATTATGCCCGACCCCATGACTGGCGCCTTGCGTCAGACGGACAGCAAATCCGACATCTGGAGCTTAGGGATCATCCTTCACAAACTGATATTTTTCCACACCCCATGGAGGAACGGGAACGACGATTTCTCTCTGCTGGAGCAGGAAGTCATTGCTTATCCAGGGTGAGTGTCTAGTGGTGTTAGAAAGTGACCCATTTTCTGAATTGATGTTGCAAGATTCATCCCGGATCCCTCTATAACTAGTGCTTGCTCCCGACGAGGCCTCCCAACTGAGCTTTTGACACTCTTGCAAAGTCTCTTGGATCGCGCACCTGGTCGACGACCAAGTTGCGAAAAAATTCTCTTGGCGATAGAAGAGCACAAGGTATGAGTCTCGTTCCACACACTTCTTTGACCCAGCGCTCACCCCCACCGTGTATGTAGACAAGATATGTTCGAGCATCATCATCACCATCCAACAGAAGTCGCTCAATGAAAAGGGAACGAGATGGCGTGGCCGTGTTCCCTACGACCGCAAACACACTCGTTCGAACTCATTCGCACACCACATCAGACACATCTCCAGAACGGGGTCTTAACCCATCAGTTTCTAACGGTGTCGTCAGGCCGAGGCTGAGGCTACCATCAGATGCTGGGACGATAATACCTGACAGAGCTTCCTTCGCTACTGAACCAAATGAAGACTCTGGTTCCATGGATGGCTCGAATCGAAGTCCAACATCCCGAAAATCACTTACCCTTTCCGCCTCAACGAGGGTATCGAATTACGATTCCCATGAGGATGGTTCTGACGATAACCCACTTCCCCGCACACCTGTCGCTGGCTCCATGAGACATCGAAGACAAGGGAATGTTCCTCCTGCGTTATTCGCGAGACCTAGAGGAAGACGAAGGAACGGAGGCGGAACGGCACCAAGTACTCCCATCGTGCCTACTCATCGGAATGAAGTTGCTTTGCCAGCAGTGAGTCGGGATTGGATGTAGAGAACAAGGCTAATGATGATTAATCCCAGTTTCCTCCTGAGCATTCTCGTGCTGTGTTAGGAAGGTTGTGGTGGCTTGCCTTCCGGCAACCTTCTTGGCCTCCGGATGAAAGGCTCGTTAAAGATATTCGAACTGTAATACTTATTGGGAAGGTATAGTCAACTCGTCTTGATTTTTGATGTGAACTGTTCCTCATGATCCAACCTAAACATTCTTTTCTTCAGATGATTTCTCTAGCCCATACCGCACGCCAATCCTCGTATTCTCATCAATCTCACTTTCCAATATCACTCCCTCCATCAGTCGTCATCCCAGTTGCTTCAGTTCTCGCAGCAGCTGATGTGTGGAGACCTCTAGGTTCAGTTGACGAGCCTGGAAGGCTTTCCCGGCCAAGGCATGGTCTTGGTGTATCCGTTGCACTGACAGCTGTTCATGCGCTGCTAATGAGATTGATGTAACTCGTTGCTTCTTCACGCTCTTGCATCATACCGATACCAAATTTTACCCCCTCCATATCCACACTCGTATTCCCCTCTTGATCCCCCTTACATGCATACTCTGACCCACCGAGCAAAAGCCTTCATTCTAAACCCCTTATCCTCATCCCTCATAATCACTCGTATCAGTCCATTCTTGCCACTGCCACTCGATGCATTCCACTCCCCTTCCTCTTCACCTATGCCATCTCATTGAGTTAAACTGTTTAAATAGTTCCATACTGGATATGGGATATACATTTGTGAAAAATAGTTCTTGTAGCATGTACAACGTGAGGTATTCAGTAACTCTTTGAAAATTCGCACTTCTGTCATGTACATGTACCGACTCCAGGATCGTTGTTCCAGGTGGACGTGCCCTTTATGGTACTCCCACCAATTTCCTAAATATCTTCTCTTCTGCTGGCTATGCCACTTCCTGGGTGGTCCTCTGCCCGCGCGTCGAAAGGTCACTAGTGTCGTTAACTAAATTGCGTACTTTCATGTTCACCAGAACAGGAGTGTTCCACGCCTGAAAATGTATTTATTTCCTACTATGTCATGGTCCAAAACAAAGTTGTTGGTGTCATTGAGGTGGGAGGGGGGTGCGTACTTTCAAAGTTGTCGCAGTAGCTTCGGCTGGAAGTCAAGCGCTGGTGGCCATATAAGGCACTGTGGGAAGTAAATGGCCGTAAAAAACCATTTTTGGTCTGGTTTTTGACCATTTACCACTGTTTTCGTGATATTTTTTTCATTGTAAATTACAATATACGTTTCACGATGCTAAATACCAGACTCTTCCCTGCGTAAATTACCACTCAATTCATGGTATTCGAGCTGCGATGTATTGTACAAAGGTCAGAGGTATGGACGGCCGGAGTTCGGTTAGTCATCGTCGTCGATTGACCTTGCGAGCTCGCAACTTCGATCGATGATGGCCCAACGACGGGAATGCGTACGTACCATAGGGAAATCGGCCACATACTGAAGAGACCGAAGCGAGAGCGATAATTTGACTGTAGTAAAAGAGGTCGGTGCCAAGGCAGCATCCATGTAAGCACCGCTATCTGAGACAAGGTCAACGAGGTGACGCATGTTCTCACAAGCGACGTTTTGTGACGTGCTCGGGGATTTGAGTCCACAGCTACTTCAGCTCAATAGTGAGAGCCATGAAATTCAAACACTCCTACCCAGACGAAGGATAAGTTCCTAAATTTAATTCGTCGTTTTTGGGCCCACATTGTGGAAACTTTGTCATCTCCCCCGACAATGCGTGATTTCCCTAGCGAGGCATAACCAAGGGCTCGATTATATGTTGGTACGGCTTGTTGTAGACATTAGTAAACTAGATCGCGACTTTGCGATGGGTGGAATTGTCAGGAATGTTTCTTGTCGCGAGGAGCCCCAAGTATGGAAGCTGGCACTTAAAGATGTAAGCAGAGACTGTGGCGCTTAGACTGAAATCGGACTAAGTTGTTCTCGGCAGTTTCCATTCCACTCAGTGCCTTATCCTCTCCACCATACCATACACGTTCTGCAACCTGCTCATTTCCTCCCAATTTGACTATCCTTTCGCTATGCAACTAGCTACTCTTCTCAGAAGTGGCAAGTACTTATGAATATGGACACTGGGCATGCTGCCTCACTGACAGCGATGCCATGAATGGCTTCCATCTGGACGTGTTTCAACGCGTCTTTACGCGTCTTTAACTCATTGGTGAATGAGAAATAGCATTTATTTATTTATTTTAGAAAATCGTCAAGCCTCTCACAGCAAACAGGAATCTATGTTACCCAAGGGTCACACCTGTGGTAGGGAAGCTCATGCATCTGCTTAGGGCATAGTTTGGCCCCATGTGCGCTCATTAGTTTATCTCCCAACTACCTCTTCTCCCTCTGCTGCCTTGCTAATTTCCCCCTGTGCTAGTAACCAAAAAACGCGACTGGAATTCGAAAGCGATGATAATGACCAAGGCCCGATGACAACCACCTCTACTAGTACCGCCAAAAAAGAACCCCCGTGGTCGTCACTATGATGGCCCCACAACAGAAGAAAGTCTGAATCGATTAACCTGGCCCACTCAGAAGGAAAGACCGCCTCGCGAAGCTGTGCACAAGGGTTGAAGTTCACTTATGGTATCTTCTACCGTCTTATTCACAGCCCGAGACTTCCTCCACTTTCATTAGGTTATGCTCTGTCAAATCAACCTCATCAAAATCGAATCGATGCTCGACTTTTATGCTGCCCGTCTCTTGCTCACACTCAACTCCGTACTTTTCTCGTGAGCCCGGGGCTTCAATCCTGCGTTATGCTTTCCGGATCGGCTCTTCTTCGTCACTCCTCGAATTGACCTTTGTGTCTTTTGTTCACCTCAACTCGGTTCATTTCCTCACTTGCAATGACTGCTATTCATCGCAACGTAACCTAGAGTCTCCGCCATAAATCTCAGTTTAATCCCATTTCACGTGACTAATCAGGTGGATCCGCGCGCGCCTCAGAGGAGGCCGTCTTGTTCTGCACTGTCGCAGTGCGGATGGAACAAGACGGACGAAACCCTCCTCCGGGCCCAAACTTGGTCTCAGACCAGCTGCGGGAAGAGACAAGTTGCATCTGGGAGCGAGATAAATAGCGCACCTTATCCACTCCCCACCTGCCTGCGCAATCGTACTACAACGTCTAACTGGTAAGTTAACGGTAGTGCGATGAGGCTTCTAACCGTGTGTGCTGGCCCCGCTCCTCAGGCCTGCACACGGTTATCCCTGCTCTCGCTATCCACTAAACGCGCGCTTACTCTTACTTTCATAGTTCTTAACTGAATCTCCGCGCTCATCTAATCGAACTCGATCATCTATCGATCAACTACGCTTACATCTTATGTCGCATCATGCAGCTCAATCCCGCGGCGATACGTTCCAGTCACTGCTCGAGGCCGCGAGTACGATCGAGCAGCTCGATGAAGTCGTCAGGCGATACAATGCCAACCAGATCCCACTTAGAGAGGCGTACGCCACCCTCTCCGAAGCCGTCGCTGCGGATCAGTCCCTTGACGAGGAGCAGCACAGGGAAACGCTCGTCCGATACGGCGACGAACTGGAACAGTCAGCAGAGGCAAGGATCCGAGCTCGAGCACGAGGGGACCGTGACCTCGATGGAGGTATCGCCCGACAACAGACCTCGGCCCAGCAGGATGGGACTGTCCAATCGAACCCTAATGTCACGACTCGGACTACCTCTCAAGTCGGACAACCCACCAATCAAGCCAGTTCTGGACGGCTCCGTGGAAACGAGGTTTTCAAACGAGTTGCCGACGAAGAAAGTGACCATCGTGCCGAGTATGCGTGGAACTGGAAATTCGGGAACGGAGGACCACCTTGGGATGCCAGCGAGGAGGCCATGCTCACCAACGCCGAGAAGACACAACTCCTCAAGAACGCGTACAACACCAATGTCAAACGTGCCGTCCGAAGTCTCATCTGTCGGGGCGGTCAACCTGAATTCCCACCATACCTCTGGAAGGACATCCTTGGGGACCGACTCGTCGACTTCGGACACTTGGTCGAAGATAGGCGCTCCCATGCCATCCGATATGAAGACTCCGTTGACCTCGGGAATGGGGTTCAAATCTCGACTGGGTCGAGTAGCCGGAGCAAGACCAAACTGGCAAACGAATCACAATGGACGGAGGCGTGGGACAAATATGTCGCTGCGGTTGTATGGGCATACCCCCACCGTGGTCCGGAGCTCCATGAGTACCACCGTCACATCGTCAAGCGTTTCAGCAGAAACCGGAATGTCGCCCTCAACATCGAATACGACCAGGCTGCAAGGAAGTTCTTCCAGGAAACCCACCGAGCATTCTCCGACATTAATGCGCTCAACGAAATCATCCACGACACCTACCTCGGGGGAGGAGACGGAGATACCCGGGGAGAAGGTAAGCCTGGAAAGTCGGCTGGAGAAGCAGGGAGCGACAAGGCGACCGGAGCTGGGGAGAATGTCACCAAAAAACGAAAGCGTGGCAACAATGATTACCCGATCTGCCGAGAATTCAACAAAACGGATGGATGTCGACGCTCCGAATGTCGCTACCTCCACAAGTGTGGATCTTGTGGATCCAGTGCCCATGCCGAGCCAAAGTGTCCACAGCAAAAAGAGAAGACAACCACAGGATCTCAATGAGGCCGAGGAGAAGAGCAAACGACCAAGATACATGAGGTTCGTGTTCGGTCAGCATGATATTGGTCAGACACCATCGGCATCGTACACTGAGAGTGCTCAACCTGTCCCGAGCGTCCCTCAAAGTGATTATAGATATCAAGACATCACTATGACTATCAAGGACAACCCGAGCCTGTTCAAAATCGTTACCCCTATCAACGTTGACCGTTTCGAAGTCCTCCTGAAATCACACCCGAATCGTGATCTCGTCAGATCTGTATGTGATGGACTGCGGACTGGGTTCTGGCCCTTTGCAGATGTTGAGGACCCGAAGAGCGTACCGGTAGGAATCGTAGAGCGTGCGAAGGGTGCTCCTGAATTGGACGATGAATCAGTCGAATTCCTTAGACGGCAATGTGCTGCCGAGATGGGCCTGGACCGATACTCCGAAGCGTTTGGGGACCAGCTACTGCCTGGGATGGTGGCGCAACCTATTTTTACGGTACCGAAGAAAGGCTCATCGAAGCTGCGGCTTGTCAACGACCATAGCGCAGGGGAGAAATCCCTGAATTCGCTGATCCCGAGTGAAGGCGGGTATGTAGTCCTGGACAATCTAACTGACCTTGGGACCAATATCCGTGCCGTCATGAAAGAGAATGGAGGAAGGAGGCCAGCTTTTCTCTGGAAATCTGACGCATCTCAAGCTTACCGACGGCTACCAATGCACCCACGATGGCAGGCACGGCAGGCAACACTGATTGACGGGAAGTACCATGTGGACCGATGTGCAGTCTTCGGGAATCGGGCCTCTGGCCGGCTGTGGTGCTTGTTCTTCGGACTCGTATGTTGGATTGGAATCCATGTTTGCGGGATACGAGGTCTACTTCACTATGTCGATGATGCATTCAACGCAAGCTTCGACAATGAACTTGAACTTTATCCCCCATACAATAGGGAGTTACCACGAGACCAGACAAGATTCCTTAAATTGCTTGACCACATCGGAGTCCCACACGAGTCGGCCAAGCAACTCTTTGGGACCCAGCTTGAAATCATAGGCTTCCTCGTTGACGCAGAGCAACTCACGATATCCATCTCAGAAGAGGCAAAGGGAAGATTCTGCGCTGCGATACGAAAGTTCGTCCTTGACACCCCGGACAATCTGCGAAGGCAACCTCTGAAGGACTGGCTGAAGACCCTTGGGTATGCGAACTGGGTCCTCAACGTATTCCCACTTCTCAAGCCGGCACTGAACTCGTCATACGAGAAAATCGCAGGGAAGCGGATGATGAATCAAAGCATCTATATAAACAAGCAGGTACGAAATGACCTACTATGGTTTGCTGATTCAGTAGAGCGGATGGAAGGAGTTCGCATGCTGAACGCCGAATCATGGGGGCCAAGCGATGCTGATGTGGTTGTATGGGGAGATGCCTGCAAGATTGGGCTCGCATTCTGGGCACCGAAATACAAAGCTGCGTATATTGGCGACCCGGTAACCCAACCTGACGAGGCATTCAACATATTCTACAATGAAGCTATCACAATACTCGCGGCACTCCAATGGTCTACAACAATATCCCCCCCACCGAAACGACTCGCAATCTACACCGATTCGACAAACTCACTGAACATTTTCAACTCGCTCCGCGCGACAGACCTGTACAACCCAGTCCTCATGACGGCTGTCTCGACACGGATAGAGCACAAGATCGACCTCCGCGTCTTTCTAGTGGAAGGGAAGCGGAATGTTGTGGCAGATGCACTGTCGCGACGCAATTTTGAATTGGTGAAAGGTATGTACCCGAAGCTGGTCATCAAACACTTCATGCCTCCAGCGCTTATGAAGCTGGGGGCATTGAAGAAATGAATGATCAGAGGCGCTCCAAGACCCGTCAACCACAGCGCGAGCCTTGGTCCCTGGAGCGCCTCCGGGAGGCTCGAGCAGCTGCCCTGGGAGCCGCTCTTGAGCCTAGCACTGCTCGTACCTATATGTCAGCGCTAATGTCTTACATCAATTTCTGCGACCTCCACCATTTCCCACTACGACCAACGATCGACACACTCACCTTTTACATCGTCTACATGTGTGCCCACATCCAACCAAACTCGGTCTCTTCGTATCTTTCAGGTATATGTTCGGAACTTGAAGCATACTGGCCGGAGGTCCGCGACACTCGCAACTCAAAACTCGTCTCGAGAACGCTAACTGGATGCTCCAAAATGTTCCGCACTCCAGCTGTCAGGAAGAGGGCTCTAACCGAAAGTGACTTGCGGACCGTTCTACAATCAATCCCACCTCAGCCTTCACATGACGATATGCTCTTCCTTGCAATCACCTTCACAGGATGGCACTGCCTCATGCGGCTTGGCGAACTAGTGGACAGCGACTCGGGGGCACTGCGCAACTACCGAAAATCAATAAGAAGATCTTCAGTTAGATTCCACTCCGAACCGCGACCTCACTACGCGTTCATCTTACCAATGCACAAAGCGGACAGGCTGTTTGAAGGCTCAACGGTCGTGCTAGAGAGACGAGACAGTGACTTAGACCCCCTGGGAATCTTCGAACAATACCTGAACGCTCGAGACTATCGATTCCGACACCTCCCCGACTTATGGCTGCGAGAGTCAGGAAAGATCCCCACCCGGTCCTGGTTCTTGGGCAGACTGCAAGGGGTCATCACGACGGGAGATGTTGCAGGCCATTCCTTGCGCTCGGGTGGTGCAACGGCGTTAGCACTTGCAGGTACTCCTTTGGAGCGGATACGCGCTATTGGGAGGTGGTCTTCAGAAGCTTTCCTGATCTACCTGCGCCAAAACCCAATACTGATCCAAGGCACATTGGGGGGACGATCAGCATTCGACGGCCAGCGTGCAGATCATTGAGTCTAAGTACTCACCACCAACCACCCCTCCACCAGCCATTATACGTGTACAAGTTACGGCTCGCATCGCTGGCGCACAATCATACGCATTGCAGGTCCATACGGACCGTGTCCACTAACTCATGGACCGCTCACGGAACCGAACTGATTAGTCTCAGTTTAATCCCATTTCACGTGACTAATCAGGTGGATCCGCGCGCGCCTCAGAGGAGGCCGTCTTGTTCTGCACTGTCGCAGTGCGGATGGAACAAGACGGACGAAACCCTCCTCCGGGCCCAAACTTGGTCTCAGACCAGCTGCGGGAAGAGACAAGTTGCATCCAGGAGCGAGATAAATAGCGCACCTTATCCACTCCCCACCTGCCTGCGCAATCGTACTACAACGTCTAACTGGTAAGTTAACGGTAGTGCGATGAGGCTTCTAACCGTGTGTGCTGGCCCCGCTCCTCAGGCCTGCACACGGTTATCCCTGCTCTCGCTATCCACTAAACGCGCGCTTACTCTTACTTTCATAGTTCTTAACTGAATCTCCGCGCTCCCCACCTCCTTCCCCATCGCCTCCGTTGCGTTACATCATTTTTTCACTTGCTACCCTCTCCTGCATTTACTATTAATGTATTTAATTGACGTACGGCTCGCATCGCTGGCGCACAATCATACGCATTGCAGGTCCATACGGACCGTGTCCACTAACTCATGGACCGCTCACGGAACCGAACTGATTAGTGTAGTTGTAAATGACGATAAATAACCACGTTTTTCACCAAATTAACAATATTGTAAATGATGAAATCCGACCGGTAAATTACGGAATGCACCCTTGTAAATTGACCGTTTACAATCGTTATCATGGTGGAGAATCATTAAAAAACAGGTCATCTACCTCCTTTAACGTGGTAAAGGAATCCTGGTAAAATGCAATGGACCACATTGTAAAACACAGTTTTAATCATGTTAAAAATGAGTGTATTATACAATGGTTAAGATGATCTTTTACGCATCACTAATTCCCTCTGTGAAGGGTAAAGGCGCTGAATTTGCTTCCCTATATATTTGGGTCATCACCAGGCACACTGACTCATTCATCAGATCGGCGCGCCTATTTTTTTTTGCATGCCACTAGTAATTCGTTATAAGTACATAATAGGTGCCGTAAAGCTAGGGTGGCCCCGGGCCTGTCCATTCGCGGGGGTTGCGGTTTACTAGCCTCCACTGTATTAACTGTCCACTCCACAAACCCCACTAGAGGTTCCCCTCGGTCTTGTCCGTTCCATGGCAGGCGTTGAGTCCAACAGAATATCGATTGCAAGCGTTGCTTCGAAACTATCGACCCTCTGGTCAAAGATCCCCTTCTCTTCCAGGGAAATATCATCACCGCTCGCCGTCATATGTTCCTACATTGAGACTACCCCCGATGCCCAGCGGTCCCCCATCAAAGAATTGGTCGTTTACAAAGAAGAGGATGGTTTTCAGCACGAGTTCCTTCTTTTACGGCTAGCGAAACCTGCTGGAGAAGAATTCTGGGTGCGCCTGGAGAGAAAAGGGCCAAGGGGCACTCTTAGCAGACTTATCTCTAGTAAATGGGAAGCAAATGATATGGTGAGCGGGATTGTTGGCCATTGTCTTGTCTTGATTGCTACCCACCCAATTCCGGTCAGGCGACTCTTTCTGGGAAAAGCGCAACTCTATTAGGTAGCACGAAGAATGTTGAGAAGACGAAAATCATTTTCCGCGTCCCACCTTCGCTGACGGACTTGTTCTGTGTCCTCGAGGCACTCAGGGAGTCATCAAAATCCTACAAACTGTGGCCGGTATGCGCATGATACTCGCAAATCCTCTCTTGTCACATACCTTATCCTCTCGGTTGCTAGGAGAATTGTTACTTTTTTGCATCTGTAGTTGCTGAACACCTATACAGTCTCGATGAAAGTGCAGAACTTATTGGAACTTTGAGATGGCTTGATCTTGGAGTTGAGGCCCGTCGAAGAATTTATCAAGTAATTGCTTCATATGATCCTCTTTCCTTTCATGATCTAGATAGTGAGCCGGAAAGCACACCACCGACCGGATCCCTGGCATTCTCCATTGGTGCGTTTAAGACTGAGGTACGGTAGGATCGATTCCGACGCTCGCCGCAAAGACTATTTCCTAATTAGCTTGTCTGAAGCCTGATGTTGACGGGTCTCTCAATGCAGCTGCAAGAATTAGAATATTGGAAGAGGAAAACCGGAAACTCTATGACAGTTTGCAGTTGTGCATAGAGGAAATGGCGGCACTGCGGACGTCAAAGGTCAGTTCGCCTCAGGTCGTTATCGCAATCTTTCTCATTACACAGACCACTCCGACCGTTTCCAAGTCTGAGGTCAGCCAGCCAACTATGGAATCTAATCCGGCACTCAATCCATCAACCCCATCTGGCCCAAAATTTACCCGGAGCCCAGATGCAAGTTCGAGTTCAAGCTCCACAGCAACTCCGACGGAGGGAAACCAGTTAAAGAGCTTCAAAGTGAGCTTAGATCATCCATGCTGGAGAGTCCTTCCCGCCGCGCTCAAGAAATACAAAATCAACGACGACTGGCGACAGTATGTTATGTTTGTCTGTTACGGGAGTACGGGTATGTCTCCTGCACAACGATTCCGCACCTTCTGTGTGTTGACATTTGTCCTAATGATAGAACGCTGTTTGAGCTATGACGAAAAGCCCCTCTTGCTATTCCAGAAATTAAAGCACGCGAACAAGAATCCTGTCTTCATGCTGAAGCATATCAGGGATATACGTTCTCCCATTGCTATTGCGCAGAAAAAGGTATCTATGCGGGTTCATGAGACCGTCGCCAACAATCTATCCCAGCCGCCAAAGGATGCAGACGTTGCCCAGAATGCAGTTGAGGCAGAGTTGTACTCTCTTGACACGAGACTGCATCAGCCACCAGTTTTACTTCCTGTGAGCGCCCAGGCGCAAGCTGAGGAAGCTGCAAGCACCGCCGCTGGTGCGCAAAATGCGGACGGAAGCGGATTATCGCGACCCGAGACCGCTGACTCACAGCCTGATTCTTCACGCGGCAAGATACAAAGTGGGGATGAGCCAAACCCTCATCCTGATATGAAAGATAGTTCAGCTGTAGCTGCGGGTGGAGCTATTTCTTATGCTATCGCCATATATCCTTATTTGGCCGAACAGGACGATGAGTTTGATGTCGTTATGTGAGTGACTCCTTCAAGATGTCTACACGCAGTTCTGAACTCAGTTCCTCCCAGCGATGACACATATATAATCGTGTCTAGGTGGCAAGGCTGGCGGATTGTCCAGAAGGATCCCAGTGGCACAGGCGTGGTTGATGACAAAGCTGCAAAGGGCTGGGTCCCCACAGGCTGCATTCTCGAAACTCATATCCCCCCCGCTTTGGCTATGTCTGAAGCAAAAGCTACAAACTCTTCTCTGCGAACCACGGGATCAAATCCTAACGGGTCTCCGACGACCGCCCATTTGAAGTCTCCCATCCTGCCATCGAAAATTATATCAGCAAGTTTCCTCGGCATCGCGCTTATAGACTACCCTGGAAGGGGTGAGCACGAGCTGACACTAGCAAGAGGGGATGTTCTTCGGGCCTTCAAACGATATAACAATTGGTCCTATGTAAGTTTTAGAATCTGTGTTCATTGAAACCTCTGGAGTTGATTGAATTCTTTGCAAGGCAATAAAGGAAGACACAGGCGACCGTGGCTGGGTGCCAAGCTGGTTCGTCGGTAAAGGCACCCCTGGAATTCCGCTCCCGCCATCAGACATCCCTCCCCCAATTCTAACTGGCACCCATGCAGGCGAATCCTCCACTAACGCCCCGGAGGCTGCTCCACACACGAGGCCCGGTCCTTGACATCTAATTTCTTCCAGTCGTGTGAAAACATACTCGGTTTTACTGATATGTCGTTCTGTCCTATATGCTTGGGCGTGCCTTGATTGACTGTTCCTTACAATCCCACCTAAATATTCTCCCTCTAGCCTCCGCTCCTCATGTTCTCATCAGGTGACGAGCTTGGAAGACCTTCTGGCCCAAGATATGGATGATCTTGGTGTATCCGTTGTACCATGCGCGCTGCTGCTGAAGTTAATGTAGTCCATCGCCCCATGCTCTTGCAGCATTGCAGATCTCAAATCCTGCACCCTCTGCATCCACACTCCTATTCCCTTCTTGATCCCCCTGCACCCATGCACAATCTGACAATATTAGGTCTCTATTTTTAAATTCCTCATCCTCGTGCCTTTCCCGTGCCTCATAATTACTCGCACCAGTCCATTCTCCACCCTACGCATCCACCTTTATCTTCTATAATAAAATAGTCCCATCGCAGGCTACTTGCCGCTAGTTGCTCCAGATTTGCCGGAAGCAACGCAAGTCGCGGCTCGAGGTGGACGTGCCGTTCCATCAGTCTCCAAGCATAGCACTTCCCGGGCCTTTTGCCAACGCGAACGTACTTTTGCGTTCACCTGACTGTTCCACCCTTGAAAATGTATTCCATTGCATAATTGATTACATAGCCCATTTCTCGCAGCTGTCGCGGTTCAAAGGTCAAAGAAAAGGGAGTTTTTTGGGACTGCCGCCAAAGTTGGTACAATGGCTTCGGGGGAAAGCTAAGAGGTGGATTGTCGATGCTGTCCCTTCCGTCGAGCGCTGATATGTTAATGATTGGCTGCGACCCAGGTTAGGGCGGAGTTGCGGAGGCGTGAGAATTCAACCTATCGCACTGCCACAGAGGAATTTGCATGTCGGAACAGATCGTCGCAAAGCTCAGTAATGTTGAGCCTGAAGCAGCTGTGCGTACGGTAATATAGGGGATACCTTACATACGCACTACTCCCAACTTTAGGAAGGCATAATCCGAGAAGAGATCACCCAATGCTTAGAGAACGCATTGTCTATGGAGCCTTTGCATCAAGCCCTCGATCAGATCTACCAGAATTCTCATGATGCCTTAGTGAGCTATACATAACTGAAATTGTAACTTAACAGACAAACCCTTATGATAGAACCCATTAGAATCCACGGCATTGTCATGCATATCCCTCCTTCTGTCCACCCCAGCGCTCTTAGATCCCTGTAGCAAGGGAATATTGTCTTTCATAGCGCTGCACGCTTCTGCGAGGGAAGTAATTCTGCAACTCGATGAAATCATTGAAGGGATTTTCAATGATGAGTTTACTCATTCGGAGGAAGATGATAGTGCAATCAGAATATTCGATAGAGTCGTTCTCGTTCTGAAGATATATGCCTCTGGTAGGTCTTAAATCGAGGTGGATCACTTCATTCATTTCACCACTCCAATTTAGCCATCCCCCGTGTTAGGCTTCGGAAGAAACCCCTTTCTGAGATTTTATCCCCGATTCTGAACCGATTGACAAAAACTCTTGATCTTCTGGAATCCCAATCTCTCGAAAGAGGCAGAGAACTACTTGGCGAGGTCCTTAATATTTCAGCAACATCTGCAAGACGGTCATCTCTTGCTGAACAAGCATCAACTTTCCCATCTGACTCTGAGATTGTCAAGGTATAGACAGCATGCCCAGTCCAGAGGAGGTTTTAGAGGCCTGATAAGCTTTTCTGTTTCCCTTTACCTAAAAGCTAGCCTCCGTTCGATTTCTCCTCAAAGGTTTAGTGAACTGTTCCGAATACATTAATCCAACTATCGGAGGCTCAATATTTGCCAAATCGTACCCACGGTATGGCAAAATGAACCCTACTCCTAATGATACTGCCCAAACCAAAAAAATCCTCTTGGAAATATGGGTGAGCAAGGATTTCCTTCTTACGTTTCACTCCAGATTGATGGATTAACATAGTATACATACTGCCTTTCTGCTCCCACCACGGCTTCATCCAATCTTGTGACTCTCGATCTATCCTCAGCCGATCTTAAACTCCGCCTAGGCAAATTTGTCATGATGACTCACCTTCGACTTGCGGTATACCTCCAAATCATTACCTCCAACGACCTGCGTACAACGTCCTTGACATCCTGTAATATCGAACGTACGTTAGAAAAACTCGACCTCGATGATCAAATGGTCGTTCAGATTATCCAGCCTGCGCTGTCAGCGAACGCCGCTGTGGATACTATAATTTCTTTTCTTTTGGCAACTGTGCCTCCGAGGGTGTCTAGTGTTGGTTCTGATGCTATCTTATCTTCGTCACTCTCGGACCCGTTCATTGGGATGTTAATCGAGGTACGTACTGCAACTCGACTCAATCCCGAGCTATAGGATATATATACCAACTAATGGCATAATTCTCATTTCGATTTACGTAGTCGTTCTCTCCCCTAGCTGCCTTGCACCCTTCATCTATCGTTCGACACACGTCATTTCGTATCCTGTCATCCTTAATATTTCTCTTCAAGGATGATAGCATTCGATTAGCTACTCTGTTAGATCTCATTCGAGATTCTAGCCCATATCCGTTGCAACTGCGGTCGGGTGCGATTGGAATACTTAGGGATGTTATCATGGATGCGCTAAAATTAGTGAAGAAAAAAGGCTTGTTTACTTCTGAGGCCTTATTGGAAAGTGTCGGACCAGTGGTTTTAAGAGTACAGCCCAAGGAGTTACTTGGATTAGTTCAAGGAGAGGTAAGGGAAACGTATTCTTGTCTTAAGCTTGGTTTTGACTTTGTGTTTTTTTTTTTTTTGCACTTCGTTTAAAAAAGCGAAAGGCGAGGCGGAAAGACGTAGACGAGTTAATTCGTCGTTCTTCACCAGGGGTTGTCACCTTTATGACGGAGTCATTGAATCTTTACTATGCGGTGCTTATTGGTGATAAGGGCAATAGAGTTAGTATTAGAAGTTCTTGGACTGAACTCAGCGAGGTAAATGGACATTTCTAACTTATATTATTGCAGACTGGTATTCGATCGAACGGGAAGCTGAGTGAGGTACGGAAGGTATTCTTGGATCCAATCAAGAGGCTTCTCGATATTTACGAGGATGAGGAAGCACAAGAGGATGAAAAGACTGAAACGCGGGATGATTCTCATGACGAGCATCATGGTAGTTTTCACGGTATGTTACTACCTGCGTTCCGGAATCGGAGATCCGAGCTGTAGAATTGACGATGTCTCTTGTCATTGGTTCCAGCGCTAATCCATGAGAATGCTTTCTTTGGTGTCAAGGTTTCGTTGGAGCGAATTGAGGATAAATTAGACTCGCTGAAATAGCACGTCACATCCCCCTGGACAACCACACCCCTTTGGTGAGGTTGAAATGCGGAATGTTCTTGGCACCATTAAATTCCATTTAGGCTGTACAGTATAATACAATCTATGACATGGTGAAAGATGTGGGCATCTGATGCATTACAGTGACCTAATAAGAGAGGATATCGGGTAGGATAATTAGGATTGAACTTTCACCCATCCACATCGAGTGCAAGTCCAAAATTCGTGCGGCATACCCCTTTGATCACACACCCAGCATGTCCAGCTCAGACTTGACTCTTCAGGCTCAGAAGGCTCTCGCGGGGTCAGACAGATCTCGCATTGAGTGTTTATTGGGGGATTATTAAAAGTGCATGCTGCGCAGCTCCATTCCTGGAGTTGGAAGGGCGTCTGGTACGGATGTGGACGGTGCAGGGCGCACTTGGGGGATTCGATCCATGGAGAGACGCCTCTTCCTAGGGTTTCCGGTGTTGGTAAGTTGTGGTGGTTGGCTAGAGGTTGATGCACCGGACGAGGTGGGCGGAGTCTTCTTGACAGGCTCCGGGGTATCCGAGAGCACAGTTATATCATCATCTTCATCAGAGGATGTCAAATCGATCACTCCGTCTGGGTCAATGCGCAATGGCGGAAGATCCGAAGCTTTATGTATGACACCTTCCCGAGCGGCCTTTTCAGATTCAACCTTGGCAACATCGGCGCCCCCAGTACCCTGCCCATGACCACATGATTTCTCATCCCTCGTACGTCTCTCGGCAGCTTCAGCGGCCAGTTCCCTTGGTGATTTTGCCGTGACAGCTCCTCCCAAGCGGTTGCCCCCCGAACCGAGGACTTTGGAAACTCGGGCACGCTTCTCGGCAGCTTCGACTGCTTTGAGTCTAGCGGTATGAGGCGGGAGGTCAAGCGAATATCCACCGCCTAGCTTTTTTCCTTTGGAGAAGAAGCCTTCGCCTGAATAGCCGCTGCGTTGCAGTTCTGCATATTCGTCTTCAAGTTTGGATAGAAAGGTGTAGAATGCTGAGTCGTGTGGTCCATGAACATTGTGGGTCAACTAGGTGGCGGTTGCTCTATAGTTAGAGTGCAAGATCCGGAACGTTAGTCATTGTGAGGGGCGCACCTCATGGAGCATGACGGACACAAGCTCTCCTTCGTCGTAGAATGTATTGGGAGCCCATGCTGGGCGCAATCTGAGCAGAATTTGTTCACCACCATTGACATCTATATGTTCGGATAATTACCACTCTAGTACAACCCATTACGGGGATAAATATACGCTTACTTAGACCTACGGAGTGAAGATTTAGTCACTCTGAAGGTTCCATCGACGATATGGTACTCACCAACAAGGCTGGGATTATCTGGAAAGAATTCTGAGATACAACGCGTCAGCTTTGGAAGGTGACCAACTGCTCATCAAAGCTCACCCGAGAGTAACGGTAATGTCCAACCATGTTTACGCATGATGGGTTTGACGAGTGACGCGACCTTCTGGAGCATTGGAATAGCTTTTCCCTCGTGTGGCCGGCCTTTCAAGTGGGAATAACTAAGGACATAACTATCCTTGCTCGATGTCAGAGCGCGCTCGATTTGCTGTTTTCGACCGAAGTTAGAGCCAGGCATGGTAGAGGGGGGGCTAAAGGGAGGATGTACGGGGTATCAATGACTGCGCTAAGCAACGCAACTGAGGGAACAAGTTATATAAGCAAAGGCGATCGAACCGCCCAGAACCACAAATGCTGGCGTGGCCACGGACCATATTAGTGTTCAATACAGAAATCGCGGTCCCGTCGGAAGCAAAATTAGCAGCTGACGCGTTCTCGAGGCCCATACAATTGCATACCCACCACTCAAGCCATTGACCATAATGCCGGCACCGATTCCGACAAAGAAAGCTAATGGAGGGGGGATGAAGGCGTACTACCAGGCCAAGATTGAGGCGGCAGAACTGACTATCAACCAAAAAACGCAGAATTTGCAGCGCCTGGAAGCTCAGCGCAATGCTCTCAATGCGCGAGGTACGTCTTTAGTCTACTATCGTGATTAATTGCATTATCGATTTTTGTTGCCCTTGTCTTGGTCTTCTTTGAAAGTCCGTCTATTGCGTGAGGAATTACAACTGTTGCAAGAGCCCGGCTCGTATGTTGGCGAGATAATCAAAGTTATGGGCAAGAACAAGGTTCTTGTCAAGGTTCAGCCAGAAGGGAAATATAGTGAGTGCATGATGTTCCTGCTCTTGCAACATTGACGATGCTAACATCTCGCAAGTTGTTGACTTCGATAACGAGCTGGACATTGTTTCCCTAAAACCATCCCTCCGTGTTGCCCTTCGCTCCGACTCATACACCATCCACAAAATTCTCCCCAACAAAGTTGACCCACTTGTCTCCCTCATGATGGTTGAGAAGGTCCCCGACAGTACATACGAGATGATCGGTGGTCTCGACGAGCAAATTAAAGAAATCAAGGAGGTCATCGAGTTGCCCGTCAAACATCCCGAACTCTTTGAATCTCTAGGCATTGCTCAGCCTAAGGGTGTACTGTTATATGGTCCCCCTGGAACCGGGAAAACACTTTTGGCTCGTGCTGTTGCCCATCACACAGATTGCAAATTCATCCGTGTAAGCGGATCTGAGCTTGTCCAGAAATATATTGGAGAAGGGAGTCGTATGGTTCGTGAGTTATTCGTCATGGCGCGTGAACATGCGCCGAGTATCATTTTCATGGATGAAATCGACTCGATTGGAAGCTCAAGAGGAGAAAGTGGCAGCGGTGGTGGAGATTCGGAAGTACAACGTACTATGCTCGAGTTATTGAACCAGCTGGATGGCTTCGAGCCAACGAAAAACATTAAAGTTATCATGGCTACAAACCGAATAGGTCTGCCATAGACCAGTTTCTGCGATGTTATGGAAGTGCTAATTCCATGGTTTGCAGACATTCTTGATTCTGCTCTGCTTCGCCCTGGTCGTATTGACCGAAAGATTGAATTTCCGCCGCCGGGACCTGAGGCTCGAACCACCATTCTACGTATCCACTCCCGCAAGGTACATCCTACCACTTACCCAACATCATTTCTCTCACATATAATTCTCAATCCGTCCAGATGTCGCTCCAGCGAGGCATCAACTTGAAAGCGCTGGCTGAGAAGATGGGACAATGTTCGGGTGCTGAAGTTCGTGGTATCTGCACGGAGGCTGGTACGTAACCGAGCAATTCAGTCCTTGACAATGTTGTTGATTTTCTTCGCAGGTATGTATGCATTACGGGAACGAAGACAGCATGTCACGCAGGAGGATTTTGAGTTTGCTATCGCCAAGGTGAAATAGGAATCCTGTTTTCTGTTATGTAGATCGCTCACACCACTGGCATACTTTAGGTGCTCAAGAAGCAACAAGACGGAAACACATCAGTCAACAAGCTCTTCTCGTGATGGTTACAATATTGTATTTACTGCACACTCGACTATTTGCCATTTTAATGCAAAGTGGCTGGCCAATTCGCGTCCACCTTGCCCCCAGCCCCAGCTAATTTGGATTCAAATCGTTGAGGCAAACACCGCTTCCCAGCTCCTGCGAGAAGGTGTCTCGGGCATCCGTGCCCAGAGGCTCCGCTCAGCGGTGCAATTGCGGCGTTCAATTAAATTTGATCTTCTGACCTGTGACTGCACGCGAAAACGGGTTTTGCATCATTTGTAAGAGGTACTTTCAGAAAGTTGTTTGCTCCCACCGCCAGTATTTCAATTTGAGACAGGAAATAAAAGTAGCTGAGAACAGTATTCTGCCGCTGAGGAGCCCAACTCGCTTCGGCCTTGATGCAATGCAAGTTTTGGAACTAGCGGACTTGGCGGAGGCGATTTAGATTGTGATCCCGTCATGTCGGGAGGCGCAATCAGCATAGCCATGAAACATTCAATGTCGCTCGCGGCGTCGGTAATTTTGTCAAGGTCCCAGGCCGCAAGCTGATCTCATGACACATTTTGGGAACAACCGCATGATTTGTCAAAGCCCCGGGAGTTCACCCCCGCACTTGGTATGACCTATCGGAGTCGATCTGAATCAAGGTTATTTGCCGCTGCTCGAAGCACAGAAAGTTACACTAAGACTGCCGACGCAAGTCCTCGGTGGTGACGCAAACATCACTGATTGAACTGATAGCCTCCAACTGGGACACAGCCTCTATTTACCCCCATCTGATGCTGATAGCTCGATGGTCACACAACTGGATGGTTCGAAGTTTTCCTTGACTGGGGACTGATGGCCGCTGTTTGACTTCTGATCACGGCCCCAGCGCGGCAAATCTTGTCCGCCCCAACTAACGGGAACGAGCTTTCACAAGGAAAGGCCAAAGATCTGAAGACCACGCGGAATGTCCAGCATGAAAGGATATAAGGGCCAGAAGAAGAGGTCAAGGCAATTCGCCAGTTCTCCAAAGTCACAATGAGATTCTTGAGCGTCTTCGTCCCCATTGCGTTGCTTCTTCCCATCGTCGCAGCAGACTTCCATGCTGGCTCAGCCCATTGTGTTCAGCATTGGCCATCAGAAGAAGATGACACATTTGGGGTTATCCTCCCTTCAAACAAAGGTGAACCGAAGCCTGAAACGAAACCTGCTCTGCTTACTTTTCTGCTCATACAGACACCTGCCTTAGTGCGACGGGCACGTATTCCAATCAGGGTTTTGAATATGGGCCGGAAATGACCGCTACGCTTTGTGGTGCCACAATTACCATTCACAATACCCGAACGTGGACCAGCTCGGACGGGGGAAGCGGAAACTGCTATCAGATCAATGGCGGAAGTGGAAAGAGCAGTACGTGCACGAATGGGGCTTTGGGAGAGTGCGTATGGACCGATCATATCTGGTGCGAGTCCTACTTGTGCAAGTAGAAGGGGCAAGTAGTTCCAGGGTCTAGCGACGTTGTAGGCATACCCGTATCATTTCAAAGATTGTGACTCATGTAGAAATTGCAAAAAAGCCCTATGCAAATGTAACCTCCAGCGTCCAGGAATCACATTCACAGAAAAAAAGCTGAGAGTTTGCCCAAATGTGGCCCTTCCCGAGAAGCATTTGTATATGTAACCATACTTCCTGCCGTGTTGAATTCAATGGCTCCAGCGGACATTGCATGATACGACTGCCTCAAGCGAAGTGAATTGAAGCAGTCAAAGCAAAGGGAGAAGGGATGTCACGTTTTGGGGGCACACACTGCCCTTGCCGAGCAAGAGAGTTGGTGCAAGTGAACTTGCTTGGCATAACCCACGTACCGAACTCAAATGGCTCCAGTGAACACTGCGTGGTATGAGGTCGACGAAGCGTCTAGATGATAACAAGAAGTTCCGGAAGCGAATTAGAGGAAGCCACTCGTGGAACCTCGAAACAATGAAGGGATGTGCAGCGTGTTTCACATTATTTTTTTTGGTGGAACCCCAGTAGCTTTGGCAATACATCCCTGTATTTGGGGCTTGTGTTGGGAAATAGATAATCCCGTTGGTACTTTGTGATTTAATGGGGGAACGAAACTTGTATTCCGCTGACGCAGATCGGCTAAAGGAGGGCATCAAATGCTGCCTCTCTCCCCGGAAGGGGGGAACTGCGCAGACTGGAAATAGTCTGCGCTCATTTCGCTGCCACTAGGCAGCATTCTCTCGTTCTGAGAGGCTCTATAGCCCCTCAGCAGAAGCTGAGGAGCTCCATCCCTCCCTGACGCGCCAAATCCCTTCGCACCCGACTATGTCGGGCTTCAAGCAGCCTTGACACACCTTCACAAACCGCGGAAAATCGCGGAGGCGAACATCGCCTCCCAACTCCTGCGAGAAGGCGTCTCGGGCATCCATGCCCAGAGCTAGAGGGTCCACAGCAGTGCAATGCAGGTTTAATTAAATTTGGCCTTCTGACCCGTGACTGCCTTGCATGATTTGTAAGAGGCACTTTCAGAAAGCTGTTTGCTCCCACCACCGGTATCCCGATTTGAGAAACAGAAGCCACCGAGAACAGTATTTTGGCGCTGAGAAGCCCAACTCGCTTCGGCCTCATGATGCAGTGCAGCAGCACGCGGTTTTAGGACTAGCAGACTTGGCGGAAGTGATTTGGATTGTGATTTTGTCATGTTGGGAGGCGCAATCAGCACAGCCATGAAACGTTCAATGTCGCTCGCGGCGTTCGTAATTTTGTCAAGAACCAGATCTGATGACACATTTTGGGCCGCACTTTGTATGATCAATCGGAGTCGGTTTGAATCAAGGTTATTTGTCGCTGCTTGAAGCACAGAAGGGCACAGAAAATTGCACTAACGCAAGCCCTCAGTGGTGACGCTAACATCATTGATTGGACTGATAGCCTCCGACTGGGACACAGCCTCTGTTTACCCGCATCTGATGCTGGTAGCTCGACGGGTCGTACAACTGTACGGATCGAGGTGCTCCTTGACTGGGGACTGATGGGCCCACGCCCCGGCGCGCCTTGTCCGATCTCGGGAAACTGAATTGGAATGAGATTTCCACAAATGTTAAAGATCTAGACTTACTTCGACAGCGAAAAGAGATAGAAGGATCGAGGCTCAGCTCAGAGAAAATGTATCTAGGACCACACCAGCGGTGTCCATTGATGCATCATCAACCTCATCTCATCAGCACTTGAGCTCCATAATAACCCGTGCGGGACAGCGCTGAACAAGAATATTGCCACCGGTATTGGGCTCATTCTCGGAGTCGGAGTCGATAAAACCGGTGGGAGGAGACTTGTGATGTTTACGCGAGACATTCACAAGGTGACGGAAGAATTTCGATGCTAGACACTTGACGAAGAGTCGGCGCTGGTCACAGGTGGTCAATGTTGAGGTACTATGACCAGGTATTCTGACACACTCAATTCCAGCACTGGCGGTGCGTGCCTGTGTGATGTATGATGGGAGCGTGCTGTTGAACGGTGAAATATTGTATTGGCTTTTCCGATGCCCGTGAGTAGGCAGGACTATGACTTCGTGACATTAGATCCGTGAGCTTGGAAGCGCCAGGTCCGGCTCTATATAAAGCTATAAGCGCTAAAACGGTGATGTATTGACACTTAAAGTTGACCCTGAATTCCCACCCGTTTGTGGATACCCGCCCAGGTCATTCATCCAAAGCGGTTTTTGCAATAAGGGCCAGAAGAACGTCACGAAGAGGTCAAGGCAATTCGCCAGTTCTCCAAAGTCACAATGCGATTCTTGAGCGTCGTCGCCCCCATTGCTCTGCTTCTTCCCATCGTCGCAGCTGATTTCCATGCTGGCTCAGCCCACTGTATTCAGAATTGGCCATCAACGGAAGATGACGAATTTGGGGTGATCCTCCCCTCAGGCAAAGGTAAACAGAATCCTGAAACAAAAGCTACTCCTGCTTACTATGTTTGCCCCGACAGACGACTGCGCTACTGCGACGGGTCAATACTCCAATGAGGGCTTTCAATATGGGCCTGAAATGACCGCGAAGCTTTGCGGTCCTACAGTTACCATTCTCAACACACAAACATGGACGAGTTCAGACGGGGGAAGCGGAAATTGCTATCAGATCAATGGAGGATCTGGAAAGAGCAGTCCGTGCTCGAATGGGGCCTTCGGAGAGTGTACATGGACCGATCATATCTGGTGCGAGTCCTACTTGTGCAGGTAGAAGGGGCAAGTAGCCCCATGGGTCTGGTGACGCTGCAGTCATACCCGTTCGCAGTAGATGATTTCAAAGATCGGACCCATGTAGAAATTGCAAAGAAGCCTTATTCAAATGTAACCTCGGTGAAATCACCAGCGTCCAGGAATCACATCCACAGAAGAAAAGCTGAGGGTTTCCCAAATGTGACCCTTCCCGAGAAGCATTTTGTAAATGTACCGTGTTGAGTTCAATGGCTCCAGCGGACATTGCATGATACGAGATCAAGCGAAGCGAATTAAAGCAGTCAAGTTCTGGAACAGCAAAGGGAGAAGGAAATGTCAATTTTTGGGGGCACACACTGCCATTGCCGGGCAAGACAGTCGGTACGAGTGAACTTGCCATAATCCACGTACCGAACTCAAATGACTGTAGAGAACACTACGTGGTATGAGGTCGACGAAGCGTCTCGATGATAACCCGAAGTTTCAAAAGCGAATTAGAGGCAGTCAAGCCACTGGTGGACCTCGAAACAATGAAGGGATGTATTATCAGCTGGCCCCCACAAGGAGGGTGAAATCATAAGAGCTCGGGTCCACATTGCCCGGCCGCGGTTGTGGGACTGTCCAGCTCGGATATTCTCCCAGCTACATTTAGATTCAAATAGTTGAAGCGAACCCCGCCGGCTTCGGCGAGGGGCCATGGGCATTCGTACCCAGAGGTCCACTCAGCATGTGCGCTGCAGTGTTTCATTCTTTACGGCAGGTTCACCACCCGGGACACGGCAAGGATTGATTTGGATAACCTGAAAATGCATCTCACCCACAGAGGGGATCACAAGCGAAAGGGAGCCCTTGGTTTGTAAGATGCACTTTCGCAAGCTACCGCTAACACACGTCAGCATCTTGATCCAGGAGGCAATTTAGCTGCTCCGAAAGACCGACCGCCGAGCAACGACAATATGGTGACCCAATTCGCTTAGGCCAATGCAGTACATCAGCAGCCGGCTTTGGAGCAAGTGGACGTGGTGGAGTGACTCTGTTGTGATCTTGCCAGACGCATCATGCAGTGGAACAGTCAGCACAGCTAAAAAACGTCCAATATTATTCTAAGTATGATGATGGTTTTGTCAACTCTGCCAGGTGCCAGATCACAAGGTGACCAACGCAGGAAACCAGATCTGACGAGAGATTCCGGGGCCAACCGTATGATCTGCCACAGGATGTTCCAATTGCAAACTACTGCAGTCGCAAGCCTCGGAGTTCTACCCCCGCACCAGTGTGTATGGTGACTCGAGTGAATTTTCCGCTGCTCAAAGCACAGAAGGCTCAGAAAGGATGCTGGTAACGTAAGCCTCGGCTAACAAGCGATTAGCAATCGAGCTGATGGCCTTCCAAGCCTTTCCCACTAGGATACGGCCATCTGATGCTGGTGGGCCGGTGACCCGGGGCACAACCATATATGGTTTGAAGCTGAAGACTAATGAGCATTTTTCTTCGGCCGCTGAGCGCCTCCCCGATGCGGTGAGTGTCGCCTTTCCCCGGCCGTGGCATGTGGAAGGAGAGGGAGTGGAAAATAAGGATTCCGTAAGGAAACGTTCACGGCATGTGAAACACATCCAGCATGAAAGGATATAAGGGTCAGGAGAGTGTCACGAAGAGGTCAAGCCAATTTGCCAAATCCACAATGCGATTCTGGAGCAGCTTTGCACCAATCACTCTGCTTCTTTCTACCGTCGCAGCAGACTTCCATGCTGGTTCAGCCCATTGTGTTCAGCATTGGCCATCAGAAGAAGATGACACATTTGGGGTTATCCTCCCTTCAAACAAAGGTGAACCGAAGCCTGAAACGAAACCTGCTCTGCTTACTTTTCTGCTCATACAGACACCTGCCTTAGTGCGACGGGCACGTATTCCAATCAGGGTTTTGAATATGGGCCGGAAATGACCGCTACGCTCTGTGGTGCCACAATTACCATTCACAATACCCGAACGTGGACTAGCTCAGACGGGGGAAGCGGAAACTGCTATCAGATCAATGGCGGAAGTGGAAAGAGCAGTACGTGCACGAATGGGGCTTTCGGAGAGTGCGTATGGACCGATCATATCTGGTGCGAGTCCTACTTGTGCAAGTAGAATGAGAAAGTAGTCCTGTAGCGACGCCGGCACAGATTTGTGTTCCATAGCTCCGAAGTTCGAAGATTGTGACACAATGTAGAAATCGCGAAAAGCGCTGCGCAAATGTAACCTTGCTAAAAATTTTCAGCATCCATAAGCCAAGTCCATAGCCGCAAAGCTACGAAATATGATCCTTCTTAAGAAGCAGCTGCAGATGGAACCGTGCTTCCCGCAGCCTAGTTGACTTCGAATGATTCCGGCAGAGACAAGGTCGACGAAGTGACTCGACGCTAACAAAGCAAACCTGTCACCCACAAGACCGAGGGTGGTGCATGGCAGTCCTTCCACAGCCATAATGGGATTGTGGAGCATCTTCGTCCCACTCGCATTATGTCTCTTCCACCATGGCACCTGATTTCATGGCTCAAGCCAATTGCGTGCCCCTTCATCCTAGGCAACTTTGGAATGGCTGATCCAGATGACCGTGAACGACATGCGTGCACTGTGCACAGTTTTACCGTTCAGTTAGTCTTTACCTGCCGTCAAAAAATTACGTAAACGCTCACGCCGAGGTTTGGCCATATGTATTCAATTTAGAACTTGACACTAATATATTTCCCATTGATAGGTCATGCCCTTAAGAACGTCCCACTCTAATACCTTATCTATATAGCTATCGTCGGGAGATGCGCGGTGCCGGATACATATATCTCCCCATCCACCCAGAGCGTCCCTAACTCGTTTCGTAGAGAAGGTTGTGCTTCGCATATTAAATATTGTTTGGATACTGGCACCATTATGTTCTTGGTATTTAAGGATGTACATACTCTCCAGTCCAAGACATTCCGCGCTAGCTCCGAGTATTTGCCAGTGGTAGCACTTACAATGCAACTCTGGAGCTTTTTTGGCTCCAATCGCTTCAGCTCTACTCCCGAATTAAGGTTATCGCAGATTTCCCCACTGGCTCAGCCCATCGTGTCCAGTATTCCCCGGGAAGATGTCCCATTTGAAGTTATCCTCCCTTCAAACGAGGGTAAGTCGAGACCTCAAGTGAAACTTCCTCTGCTTAGCCAATGTTTTCCCAACAGACACTTGCAATAGCGAAGGGCACGTACTCTAATCAGGGCACTGATCATGGGTCACAGATGACTGACTCGCTTTGCGGTGTCACGATTACGATTTACGATACTCAAACGAGGACAAGCTCAGATGTGAAGCGGTCAATGTTATCAGATTGATGGTGGAACTCTGGAACGGGGCGCTTGGGGAGTGCACATGGACCGATCACATCTGGTGCTCATCGTACTCATTAGAAGGGGGGAAACAATACCGAGATCTAGCAGAGCCGACAGGGCACCTTTGTGGTCTCCAAGTCCGAAGATAATGGCTCATGTAGAAAACTGCGCAAACATACTTGGCCCGCTGAGATCTTCGACATCCGAAAGCTGGGTCAAGCGAAGGAAAGCCGAGAGTCTGCCCAATCTATCGGACCGCGGCCCCACAACCTGCTTTGTTGAATTCAGATGACTCCAACGAACACTGCTCGATGTCAGGTCAATGAAGCGTCTCCGTGAGAACTAAGGACAATCAAACCAACGCCGAGTCATGAAGCGGATATGGCTCGCCAGCCGCCCGCTAAGGAGGAGAGGGAAAGGAGCAGCACGAAATCCTAGAAGCCTCATGTTGTAGGGCATCCTGTGGAGAGCAAGTGTACGATTCACAAGGTCAATTGGAATATCCGAGACACCGTTGAGTTTGAAGAGGAGGCACCCCATGCCATGATTCACCAAGCAAGAGAAAGTGATAGAGAATCCGCTAGAATGGGGTGCTGTTGCCCACTCGGAGTGGTCTGGTTGACCGATTAGGCAGGGAGTCTGCCTTTGTCCCAAGAGTGAAAGCCGCGGACATGACAGTATGAGCCATTGCCACACCTGACCCCACTTCCCTAAAAGAGGGCTGCTACTGAGCAGTGAGATAGTGAGGTCCTCAACGTCTTCACGACGGCCCTTCAGCCAACCCTCAGCACCCAACTTGGTGGCGCCGTCATGGCCAGACAGTGGCCCAGAGATATGATCGAGGAGTGTATGAAGGACAGCTCAAAAAGCTGGCGCTTGAAATGTTGAAACCTTGCATTTCAGCGACATGACCAATTGATTGCAAATTAACCTCCTGTCTGTCATGTCCTCCTTAGATTGTTGCGTCGTCGATAGAACGGGACACCGTGCAGGTTCAATCAAGATTGGGTGGTCATGGACGACCATAGACGCCGCACACCGGGAATAAGTATGTACGTAAACGCACGCGTGAACGGTTTTTGCCGTTTAGTTCACGTTTACCTAACTCAACGCCCGACTTCACGACTTGTACGTTGCTCGTTGATCAGACACCCTACCTACAGCTTGCCCCAGCCTACATCCCCTCACGAAGTCAACACATACCGTCTTTCACGATCGTTAAATACTTTTTTCGCACTTTCCCTGAACGAACGAACGATCCATGAGTGGTGTCAGCATCCCAGCGAATGCACCGGTTGGAGGCATTAGCTTCACCAAACCGCCAGCTACGGCAGTGTCATACTACAAACTCGCCACCAATATCCCTATCACTATCGGATGGAACCTGACAAGCCTCTACGTTACCCCTACCTCCCTCACCTTCTCCGCGTTCTGCTCCAGCAACGGGAACACGTATCCAGTAGGGCCAACAAGCGTCCCGGGGACTGTAACGGAGCTTACTTGGACACCATGGACATATCAAACCGGTGCAGTTGGTGTCCAGACGCCTTTGATTCAGGGTACATATACGCTGCAAGTTCAAGACGAGCGAGGAACAACAGCTCTTGGGTCTCCTGGTCTATTTCAATATAATGATCAAATGACCTTTGCGTTTTACACGCCTCAACCTTATACACCTTTGTCTGGTGAGTCGCATCCCTCGACCGATGTGGTTCTTTTTCTGTCCTGGAAGCTGCCAAAGGCAATCCCTAAATCAATTTGCACGTCGTCAGCTCAAGGTTTGGTTCTGATAAATGTTTCTTTCCTGTAGAATGGCAATGTGCATCATGCCAAAAGGGTGCTGCAGGGATGACGCAGCCTCATCCTGCCTTGTTTGGGATAGTTGCAGCTACTCTGATCATGCTCCTCTCGGGTTGGGGTTTACTTCGATCATTCTTCCATCGAACGAGCAGGTGACAGTGCTTGATGTCCCAACGTTAACGCTGCTCAGGAGCGATGTCATGTCGAGGTGGTTGGGGATCCTTTCATCTCATTGGACTGGTTGCCGAGTATCCGCCGTAGTTATATTATTCCTCACATCAGTAATTAATGGACATGGTCCCATTTCGTTTCATTCGTCAAGCATCCGTGCGTTCCCTTATCTCAATACAAAACTGCGGAGACATGGGCTTCTGTAGATCGACACGTTTGCTTCTCTGAAAATTGTCGGTTCGAGGACAAATGTGCAGATGAGCGTGTGCAGGTTGTCATTTGATATTTACAGCGCGCGGACGGTTGACACGATTGAATTTGGCCAACTGTAGCACAGCTGCGATTGCCCAAGGGACAGTCACGCCTTGTTGCGAATCCCTTTTTAGGCTGCCCCCTCAGGCATATTTGATATTTGGGCTGCAAATTCCATTGAACTACTTGAACTCCATCGTGTTCAGAACACCGCGTGTCGGTCCTTAATATATCGCTGCGTGCAATCACTTGGTTCAATCTGCCATCTCCAGATCTAATACTGTAGCGGGCGATCTGCCGGCATGCCCTTTTTTTCTGTTCCTGGGGCGGAATAGCATGGGACCAATTGTCTTATGTATACCCAACGTTCAGCTTCAAGGATTTTTCCCCCTCACTGCCTGCTTCTGCGACGATTGACACCCCTTTGGCGATGTCCCTTACGTATCCTTTCGCTGCACATTTATATCAAGCACTGGGCGTTCTTCTGATCGTGTGCATTGCGTTTGTGTTAACGCGGAGCCGGCAACGGTATCCGCCTGGGCCACCTGGTGATTTCTTCTTTGGCCATCTGTTCGAGTTCAAAACTGGCGGTCCCAGATTCTCCCAGTGAGTACACTTTGGCTCGCTGCAGCACGACCTTTTTCCCACCCTCTGCTTTTATATCTAACTGGCAAATCGTCCAAGGTTGCGAGCATGGCATGAGAAATATGGTCCACTCTTTACTTTACGAATGGGGTGGAACTTTCCTCTTTTCGTAATCGGCGGTGACGGCGAGCTCGTCAGAGAACTTTTGGACAAACGAGGCGCGATATACTCCCAAAGACCTCTTATGTATCGCCATCTTTTGATGGACAAGTTCGAAAGCCCACTGTAAGGAGAAATATTCCCTGTGTTGGTTTTTTTTTTTCATCCACTTACCCGGTTATCGCAGTTGGGAACGTAACTGGGCAAGGTGGAGAATGAACCGTCGATTATTGGTTCAACGGTTCCGTCCTATGACCGCCGCATCAACTCAAGAACACCAAATCCCTGTGATAGAAGCCGAATCTACACAACTTCTCAACGACCTTTTGTCCGAACCAGAGCAGCTCACGGAACATCCTATGCGATTCGCTTCCAGTGTTATGACCTCGTTAGGTGAGACGTTCGGATCCGGTTTCTCTGTACACTGCGCCAGAACGCTGAGGATCTACCATGCTTCTAGTCTACGGGATACGTGGGCCCAAATATGATTGTTTCTCTGTCAGTGCAACCTATAAGATCATGACGAACGCCATTCTCTTTACAATGCCCCCACTCGACAAACTTTCTATTTTGCGGTGAGCATAAACAAATACCCCGCTGAACCAATCAATCAGAGATTATGGACTGAAATGAATGCAGGCTGCTTCCTGATTTTCTTTGGCCTTGGCGAAAGTCCTTCAGCGCGCTCGCCGACCTGCGCGACACTCTACACGAGGGCAAGCTGCTTCCCTTCATGACCATCTACCACGAGCTCACGTCCGTTTAAAGACCTCGCTCATCGATCCAAGGATCGATTCCAACAAGGACTGAATCCTGAGACGCTCGCCGAGGATTTATGGTCATCTCAAGAAAAACTCGATCTGTCGGATCGCAGGATACACAGGCTTCTTGGACTGGCTCACGAGATGAGTTATAGTCTACTTTGATATCGAATATATCATAGTCTTACGCATCTTTCATTTCTCCACGGCGGCGCCGATCCAGTAGGTTACCTCCAGATTTGCTGGACCCGCTACTGAGATTAATTCTCTCGTATAGGTCGCATTCGCTATTCTTTCCGGAATAATGGCGTGAGTGTCAGCTTCTCTATTTTAATTTGATCCGAACCGAATGCCCCTTAGATTGGTAAACCACCCGAGGGTCATGCGCAAGGCCCAAGAAGAAATTGATTCAGTCTGTGATGAAGGGACAATGCCTCAGTGGTCCGATTACGACAGACTTCCATATGTTCGGATGAGTGAGTTGTTGTTGCATTTGTATTGCCTCCCTTCTTCATTTGAGTGTTCCGATAGTCATCAAAGAGACCTTTCGCTGGCGACCCCCTTTTCCCTGGGGCGTTGTGCACGAACTGAGTGAAAGTAAGTCTTCATAACAAAGAGGCTGTGATCGGATGTGCGCTTACGTACTGAACCGCAAGACGATGAATGGGGAGGATATCACTTGCCAAAAGGATCCACTGGTGTGTTTAACTGTCGCATCTTTCTATCTCATATCTGAATCGTTCCAATCTTATCAGTGATTCTCAATATATGGTGGGTGTTTCTTTCCAGAGTAAAATACGTAATCACTCACGATTCTACAGGGAGATTCACATGAATCCCAGACGTTATGCAAACCCTGAGGAATTTATTCCGGAGCGCTTCGAAGAATTCCCGTTGCCTACGACGGACTATGTGAGCAGTCCGGACTACATGTCCAGGGATGTATATACCTTTGGTGCGGGTCGCAGGGTCGTGAGTTCGATTCTCAGCTTCGCTTCAGGAGGGATGAAACTGACATTGATTCTCATTACCTTTATCTCAATACAATGCATCATGTTGATTGTTGGAATCAGTGCCCAGGCTCTCATATCGCAGAAATGGATCTCTTCCTCGCGCTTTCGAAGATTATTTGGGCATTTGATCTTGCCACCCCAGATGGGAAACCCCTTAACGCGGACCCAGTTACGGCGTTTAAGGGACATAACCTGCGCGAGCCTGTACCGTTCAAGGTTAACTTCACCCCAAGGGGTGAAGTACGACGAAGCATAATCGCAAGGGAGCTTGCGACGGCTGAGGAAATTATCTTCAGCCGATTCGGATGCTCACCTGAGTCAAGGTGATCGTGTTGTCGGGTACGTGGTTCTGAGCGCCTAGGCCGAGCTTCTAAGACTGTCATTGCCATGCGTTTGATAGCCATTATCCCACGAACTCATTGGATACGACGATAACGACCTGTGTGGCGTATAGCACAAGCCCCACTGCTCACAATCCTTCTTCATCCCCTTCCCACTCAATATTTTTCAGCTCCTGCTCTTGGCTTTGCATTCACCTCACTGCTCGGGAGTTGGAACAGGTGTCGTGAGCTGCACGATGGATATTCCTTTTTTGCTGCCTTCACCGAAATGGCACCACGGTTTCTTCCCTTTGATTTTTTTTGTTCACGTGTTGGTATACATAAATGAATTCATTTTTGCCTTGCTTCGCTTCTATTCAACTGTCTCGTCATCCAACCACCAATATTCGCTGATTGCAACGGTGTCATTTATATGGGTGTGACATTTCTCCAAGAAGTGACCAGTGTTTTTAAGGATGCTACCGCTCCTGTGCCACTCTTTGACTCGCCTGAGCTTCCTTCGTTGTCAGTAATAGATGTTCTTGGTGCCCTGAGGCTTTCAATATTGTTACGCCAAATAAAGCGCCATAATGGTGGTTTGGCAGGGGAACCGAAGGGTGCTTGGGTCCACGATCTGTGGCTAACACTTGTTGTGGTGTTTGCGGGGGAAATATTGGCTTGTAAGTGGGATTCGGGCCAGTTTTCATAGGGGGTGGCGCTGACAGTTAAGTTTTTTTTAAAGGCGCAATGTTAACCGTACCCCCATCCTTCATGTTATCCCCCACTGTTATACTCCTCTTCATCGCATCGCACATTGTCGCACACGCAATACCTTCAGTTCTTATACCTGACATTTCACTGCTTACAGAGTTACCGCTTGCAATATTGGATGCGGCAACACGTTCGATGATGGTATGCGATGGTACTATTGCACTAGTTAGGAGTAGCCCACATCTCTCTGTGCAAGCTTCTCCTATGGCACTCTTAGTTACTTCTACCGTGAGTCTCTTCATGCATGTGTGTACTCCAAGGAGAATGACACTGAAGCACGGTTCGAATAAGACTCTTGGCAATGTAGGATTCTTCATTGTCAATGTTTTTTCGATGCTGGATCCTGTGGGGTGGAATGTTAATGTCCCACCAGAGTTGCGACCGTGGGGATGGACCACTATGGACCTTTGGATTGCACCGCTCGGGACGGCGATTTATGCCACCGCCACTCAAAGCCAAGCGTTTTGGACGCGGCTCCCTGCTTTAATCCTGGGCATCTTGAACGTGGATCCAGCTGTACAAAGCGAGCTTGACGCCAAACTCCTTACCGTCATGCCATTATCGAATGATGATGGCCGTTCGGTATGTTTCCTGGTAGTGGCGACTTTGTTCACGCTTCGAGCATTGTACAATTTCTCGCTGCCGTCAGTGGCTCCCAAAGCATCTCCACAATCGAACCATTCTACATCAACAAAACGCTGTAGGTTCGAATCCTCCTCACCCCGGGTCTTCGTTTCTTACTGAACTAATTTCTCGCCTGTTTTTGGAGCTAGTAGCAGGTGCCAAGGTGAAAAGGGCGTAGGGAGTGTTGAGTGCATATTAGAGACTTGATAGGCAATTAGGCCATTCTAGGTAGATTAGATTGAGTATCGGATACCAGGACATTAAAGGATATAGACACCATCGAAACGGATTCGAAGGGTACGGGTATAATACGTAACGAAGTTATGCTGTCATCGTTTGCGTTTATTGTTCAAGTTTGAAATCGACTCATCACGACGATTCTCCACTCTGCCGAGAAACTCGACCTTTTCTAGATAACCTCCTCCTCGCCTGTTTAGTTCGAGTTCATCTTTAAATGTTTGAGCCTCTTCTGAATCCAGATGTGCATTCCAATCCATCTTCGACTTCTGCAAGGTAGTCAGCTTTTTGGGCTTCGCTACCACGAGTTTGCTGAGACCCCCTTTCGTCTTCAGCTTGGGGGGCGGTCGAGTTGGGGTAGCTTGAACGGGTTTTGATAATTCTTGTTGGATGGCATTCGTGCCTTGTGGGGCTTCGGGAGGGGGTTCGGGATGTGGAGTTGATAATTGCTCAGCTGCTCCTGCCTCTGCCTGGGGTGAGGAAACTTGTTCCTGAGAAGCTAGCCATCGTATTCCCTCAGGTGAGTCTTCGGAGACTTCGACGATCGTACTGGAGGACTAACGTTACAAGACGTTGGGTCAGATACACAAACGTGGCTTAACGAACCTTCCCACTTCTCCCGCAAACCTGTACTTCTTTTCTATCTTGATCGTTTTAGACGCCGATATGACCACTTTTGGTTCTGATGAAGTGCTTGATAAGGACTCTTGGAACTTTTTCCAAGCATCCTCCCGAGCCCTAGACCCTTAATACAGTAAGCTTGGAGCTGGAACGAAAGAAATTGGGCAGACTTTCTGGAGCCCTCCGTGTCGGCTTCCTCAGAGGCACCTAGAGTTTTCAGCCGCTTGGCCTCTGGCGTAGAATCGTCTGAGTTAGATGATGAAGCTAAGGTAACATTTTTGAGTGCATTGCATACGAATCAGCGTCTCAGGGGTTCAAACCTACCTTCAGATTTGTCATCGAGAATGAAGTCGGGATCGTCCTCTGAATCCGATTCAATTGGTCTCGATAGTGAATCCGCTGCACTCATAGTGAGATCGCGAGTCGGAGTCAGAGTGAACACCAGGACTGTTGTACCTACAAGAGGTAAACGAATTCAGCGTCACAAACTCCGGACTTTGCCATTCAACTGTGTCATCCACCTTTCCACACCGCTGAGCTCGTTGAGCGCCAGCCTCCCAGATTCCAACTTATCTGATTGGCGTCCTACGGGCCTTCATTCAGAGGCTATCTAGCCCACGTTATTTTCCCGATACCTGCTTGACCCGTCCTCTCAACCGATAACCAAATGGCAACCCAGACTCAGACTGGCTCCGCGCTTTATTCGCTGAAGTTTAAGGATAAACTGCTCGTGAAAACTCAGTCTAGTGATGCTTTACTGAAGAAGATGAAGGTACGCGTAAACGACGCGCTTTTAATGTCTAGGGGACTAGAAATGGCTGAATTAGCCCTCCACTTGCAGGTATTGCATGCTGAGCTTTGCGGTATCGGCCAGGAAAACATCAATAAAGATTCTCTATCTTCTATAAAGAGTCATCTCATTGATAAGTCGATCCTCTTACACCGAGATAAGGGTGTGAAAGCCTATGCTGCCTGCTGTATGGCAGACTTGCTCCGGCTGACTGCCCCAGATGCACCATACACAGCGCTTGAGCTGAAGGTTGTTGTGTTTTGTCAGTTAGATGGTGGATTCTGCACGCTTATTCTGGCCAACCTCAGGATATGTTCCAATTCTTCTTCCGACAGCTCGTGACGGGTTTGAAGGGCGAGGATTCACCGTGGTACAACGAATACATATATCTCCTGGAATCACTTGCAACAATCAAATCTGTGTGCTTAGTTCCAGATCTTCCCAATGGAGATGACCTCACTGCGGACATATTTCGAGACCTTTTCGATCTTGTCAAGTGCGTAAAAATGTCTTCGATTGTGTGCCGATCCCTCATAACCTGCATCAGACTCGATCTCCCCAAAAAGGTGGAGCTGTACATGTCCGACATACTCGTTTCTCTGATTGAAGAGAGCCCAGCTATCCCCTCAAGCGTCGTCGATATCATCTTAGCTCAATTTACCCCCAAAAACGCGGCAAGTGCTACTATTAATTCCATAGAACGCAACGCAGGCTGATACGCATATGGTTCAGAGAATGGATCACCCCACTTTCCGGCTAGGCGTGGATGTTTGTAAAGCGACATCCGATCGATTACAAAGTCTCGTTGCGCAATATTTTGCAGACATCATTGTTCAGCACAACTCTGAGGATGACACTGGTGATCTTGCTAAGGCCCACAACCTTATCGTACAAATCAACAAGTCGTGTCCGGCCCTATTGAACAACGTCATTCCTCAGCTTGGGGAAGAGCTCACTGCGGAAGATCCGAACTTCCGGAGCCTGGCGACTCAGACGATGGGCGAGCTCTTTTCTGAGCAAGGAGGTGATGAATTGGCGCAGAAATATCCTCAAGTCTGGAAGTCGTGGATTACGAGGACGAGAGACAAATCGGCAGGCGTTCGCGTCACCTTCATTGAAGCCAGCAAGGGCATGCTAGGACATCATAGTTCCCTACGCCACGAAGTTGCGGGTTCGTGTCCACTCATTCTAGCCTAAATTCATCCCCTGATAAAGGCAATTAGAGGTCTTACGAAGCAAGATGCTAGATACGGATGACAAAGTTCGGGCAGCTGCCTGTCGGATTTATTCTCATATGGACTATGAAACGGCACTCCACAATGTCACTACTGACCAGCTGAAGGAATTAGCCCAACGTATTCTGGACAAAAAGGTGTGTTCGCGATGCAAATGAGCATACCAAAATTGGCTCAGCCTATTTCAGCCATCTGTTCGACAAGAGGCCCTTACGGCCATTGGGAAGCTATATCGTCTCGCGTTCCCGGAAATGTGCGTGATGACCTATTTCCATACATTTCCATCCTCACAATTAGCGCAGCGAAGCTGGCGAGCCGACGGCCATCGACCACTTCGCGTGGATACCCGAAGAAATCCTCCACTCCATTGAGAAATTAACGGAAACGAGGTTTGCCAGTACTTTGATCATAGTTGTTATGGTCTGGAGGCTTGTTGTTTAGGATGTGGGTCGAACGTGCTATCTTGAAATACATTCTCCCACTCCCCTCAAAGGGCGAAGACGAAGCTCAATGGTCTGATCAATTGCTCGTGGTGATGCGACATTTGGATATGCGGGCCATGCAGGCGCTCGTCAGCTTATCCACTATCAACGCCCCGTACGTCAGGGTCTTCCTTCCTGGTGACTGCTAATTTACCTGAATACAGCCAGCCAACGATGGAAGGCCGTTTCCTCGAGGCTTGTAAAGAGTACAACGTAAGCTCAGCCTGGGGGAAATTAGCTGTTGCTTAGTAGGATCCCTTGGCAGGGTGGTATCGTCGACAATAACGAAGAAGAGGTCACGAAGAAATTCAATGCCATCGTCACACAGCTGTCCAGTAAGTGGATTGGCTGCAGCATATGTACACTCTAGGCTGAGAATGTATGCGACAGCACGATTCCCTGACCGCGTCAAAGCTGCCGAAGATCTCCGAAACTTCGCAAAGCTGAATGAATCTAGACTTTACAAGCTGTTGTCTATTGCTCTGGATCCTCAGACGGACATGAAGGCGTTGGTCAAAGCCACGGTAAGGGCGTGTTGTTGTTGTTCATGCTGCATCATTAAATGAAGTTTCTCAGACTGAATTCACAAGACGCGTAGAGCAGGCAGCGAGCTCGATATCAGAAACCATGAATGATCTATTTCGACGGGCCTCCTTCTATATTATCAATCACTCCTCTATTCCCAGTCTTTCCAAGCGTATTCAGCGTTTCAGCGAAAATGACCCTGAAGGGGCTGCCAAAGCAGAGTTCATTTTGGAGCGCATCTGCAAATACTGCCCTGCCATGCTGAAGACTCATATCCCGGAATTCATCAAAGCACTGTCAGAAGAGGGGAATGTACCCTTGATTGGGATATCACTGCAAGCCTTGTCCTCTGCCACAAGGGCAGATCCAAGTGGCGTGAAGTATGTGTACCGGTCTCATTCATCGATGATTGCTTGACATCCCCTAGGCGGCTAGTAGAGAAAGCTGCTCGATTCGCCAAAGCAGGGCATAGGAAGTATGCTAAGTTTGGGACGCGCATTCTGGCATTCTCGAGTGGTGCTTCAAGCAAATGCCAAGAATTAGTGGAGGTCAGCAGCCATGTTTCTCTCGCCCGCATTCGATCTCACTTATTTTGTAGGAGATCACTAAAGCTTTAGACATTCATGATCCAAATGTCCGACTTGAGGGACAGCTTTGCGCCCTCGCCGAAGCCGCGAAGTCTTCACCAGATGCGTTTGAGGAACAGAGCGAAACTATAATTGGTTTTTTGCTCAAGCACGTCCTATCATCGTCACCAGATGTAAGTTGATCAACCTTAGCGCCGTTAGTTTGGTACTCATACTCCACAGGAAATTGACGAGGATGAAGAATGGGACGAGAATGAGAAAGCGCCTCTTGACGCCCGTCTCAAAATTCTTGCATTGAAAATATGCGTAAATCGTTGCATGGCACACGCAACGCGTGACTCTGCATTAGATATTGCTCGACCCGTCATTAAGATGCTTTTCGCTATTCTAAGCAATATGGGGAGTGTCAAGGCAGACCAAGCAGACCAGTGAGCCATTTTTGGGGGTCCCTCTATCGACACCTTATTCATTCTTTCCAAGCGCACATACGAAAGCACGCCTTCGGCTCCAAGCCTGCTTGTCTCTGTTGAGACTTGCAACTGTACAGATTTATTCTCAAGCCATCAACCCCCATTTTGTGAACCTTGCACTCCTCATACAAGACCCTTCATTCCAAGTGAGGATGGGCTTCCTGCACAAAATCATCCAGCTGCTGTTCCAGCGCAAGATCGACCCACGTTATCACACTGTATTGTTCATGACTGCTCTCGATCCTGACAAGGACATCACCTTGACGGCTCGTGCGTACGTGTTAACGTCGTTACGGCGACTTCCTCGTGGTATGTGAGCGACTCTTACAAGACCCGCATTTCGCTGAGTTAGTTCAAGATTTGCGCATCTTGTCATATGAGCAGATGGTTCCACGCTTGTTGTACCTCCTGGCTCTGCATCCGGACTTTTCTCTTGAACCCGAAAGTTTGCAGGATACCGTCAAGTACGTTTAGCCTGAGTAGTAGTTTGTGGAGCTAACATGCCTTCTTCCAGGTATATCGATTTATACATAGACACTGTATTGACATCCGACAACATTCATCTAATCACTTACATCACCCAGCGGGTTAAGGGTGTGCGACTTGAGGAACACCATTACAGCGAGGTGAGTCCGTGGACTCGAATAGCCTCCACTTAGCGGACAACCACTCTTTCTTCAAGAACCTATACGCAGTCAGCGAGCTTTTGCTCCACAGGATACGGTTGAAGGCAATGCGGAACTCATGGACTACCAATGCGTATCCTGGAAAAATTCAGCTACCCGGGGATGTCTTCAAGCCTCTCCCTTCATCCGAAGTAGCAGCGAAAGCAAGTTGATGCAATAATAGGTAGTCACTACAGTAACCAATAAGCTGATTAGATCCTACGGACTGTGTATCTGCCCGAAGAGAAATTGCAACTGCTTGACGAGCAGACCAAGGCCATGAAGGCCGCACCTAAAGTAAGCTATGTTCTTTTTGATAGAGGAACTCGTCTTCGATGCATAGTTTTAGCCGCGAAAGCCGCGCGGGACAAATGGGACACGAAAGCGAAAATCCTCTCCAATCAACAAGCAGCCAAGGTGAGACTTACTATCGCCTATCAATGAGTTTATTTCATCGTCAAATGCAGAAGACGTGTCAAGCGGCGGAAGAAGCCCTCATATGACGATGAGTCGTCTGAAACGGATGAAAGCGATGGAGAAGATCCAGATGACAAAATCGACGAGGATGAAGATGTGGAATCATCACCGAAGTCAGAGAAGATGGACGAGGACACAGACGATCAACCAAGTTCGCCAAAATCTGGGCGTGGAGCTCCTAGAAAAGCGAAGGTACGCACGGGTGTCTCCTGTGCATATGCTTTTGCGAATCTGATGTCTGTAGGTTCGGCCAACGCGAAGAGCAAGGGCTGGGGCGTGAGATGTACCCTGAACCGCTGACATTCAAAATATCCTGGTTGTCAGGATTTTTTGTTAATTTCATACCACATATAACCGTGATATCCTTACACTACGTTTGAACTGTATTTTATAATTAAGTGTTGGCGTTGATGCATTCAGCACCCAACATTAATGCTGGCGGGGGGTGATTCAGCTTTATGAACAAATTTGGATGTGTCATCGGGATTCTCCGGTCGTCGTTTGAAGCTGTCAGTTGGAGACAAGCTGGCAACTTGATCCATGAGTGTTGGTTCGCGCTTTTCCGTCAACTCGCCGCTTCTTAGTGCATAGGAGTTCATTTTTCTCATTATAGATTGGTCCTTGTTTGGTGGAGCGGAGACATTTGATTCATTACCGCGCCGGACTGTTATCCCAAACCTCAAGAATGCCAACCCGCCCCGCGGGCCGCCAAAGAATCCCCGGGATTTTCTGTGGGTCATGACCGAGGAACCGCACAAAACTCGTCGTCTAGAGATACTCAAATCCCATCCTGAGGTGTGCCCCCTTTGTTTGACTGCGCAAAAAATTGGACGTATTGAATTTGTGAAAGGTGACCGGGCTCATGGGTTACGAGCCATTAACAAAATGGGTTGTACTTTTTGTTATATCAGTCCAATTGTTGGTCGCCTTCTATCTTAGAAATACGCCATGGATGTCGACAAAGTTCCTACTTGCCGCTTACCTGATCGGTGGTACTGCTAACCACAACATTTTCTTGGCAATCCACGAAATCACCCATAACCTCGCGTTCCAAGGAGTCAAGGCGAATAAGCTCTTTTCCATCATTACGAACCTGCCGATCGGCATTCCTTATGCAATGGCGTTCAAAGTGAGTGCGCAGAGTTGCGTTGTTGAGCTTGTGGGTGTTAAGTGTTTCTCTAAATGCAGAGATACCACCTTGAACATCACAAGAATCTGGGTGAGGACGGCATTGACACGGATATACCAACATGGTTGGAAGTTGTGATGCTGGATAACGTCGCTGGAAAAGCTTTCTTTGCGTATGAGATAGTTTTCTCTCAGTGCATTGTTCATTCTATTTATCACTTCCCCACCTAGCACTTTTCAAATCTTGTTCTATGCCGTCCGACCTGGATTCGTGAGATCACAGAAGCTGACCTTCTGGCATCTCCTCAATCTGACATCTCAACTCGCTTTTGATGTCCTTATCGCGAATACAATGGGTCCTCAGGCGTTGCTTTATTTATTTACGTCATCTTTCTTTGCGGGAAGCCTGCATCCATGTGCTGGACACTTTATAGCTGAACACTATTTATGGGACGGTCTAGATCAAGAGACATACAGCTACTACGGGCCACTCAACCTTTTAGCCTACAATGTCGGTATCCTATCATCCCAGGACACTCGCATGCTAATCATGATCGCCTTTATAGGTTGGGTATCATAATGAGCATCATGACTTTCCCTCCGTCCCATGGACACGACTTCCTAGACTTCGTGCGCTGGTCCCCGAAGTTTATGATAATCTTCCATCTCATCCTTCTTGGCCTATGGTTATTTTCAACTTTATATTCGACAGCGACATTGGCATGTCGTCCCGATTAAAGCGAAAGAGCAAGTCGCCTGACGCAGCCAAAGACGAGCCAGTCGTGACTAGGGACAAAGTAGTAGATGACTGTGTTGTGACTCGTGCATACGCGGATTCGGGAAAGTTAGATTGACTATTTAGACGCGCGGTTGGACGTTTTTGGAAGTATAGCACTGCCACCCTAATCGAATTCAGCATGTCTGACACCCAACCCTTGACACCATCCGTGAGAGCACGAGGGCGTGGTCGTGGGAAGTCTAGAGGAGGCTTGGGAAAGTATCTCAGGGCATCCGGACGTGGTCGCGGCCGTGGACGCGCGGCAGAGTTCACTGCACCACTCGTTTTGGAGGAGGATCAGACGGTGGAGTTAAACGAAGAAGAACAGTGGGGACTTGAGGTGCGGGCAAATACCTGGCCCTTCGCTTGAAATGATTTTGAGGCATCGCGACGTTTCGGAATTTCCTCCAGGCTAAATATGGTCGCCGTACACTAAGTAGCAATGCTCATCGATACGAGGAACCAGAGCCAGGTGAGAAAGCCCCCCACACGACATCAACATCTCAAACAAGGTTCGCGTAATATGTAGACCCAGAAGAAGAACCAGAGCCTGAGGCTGATATAACCACTTTCCTTGCCAAACAACGCGCCACAGATAACATCGACCAGGCAGAAGATATTTCAGAGCCACAGAGACATGATGAGGAAGAAATTGACAAATCGTTAACTCAGTTCACATCCAAGTTGAGACGTACGACAAATGGATCTAATCAGAAGAAAGGAAACGTGCAGACGGTTGAATGGACCGAGGAGCTGGAGAAGTTGCGTCAAGAAAAGCAAGCGGCTGATGCCATGAGGGGTGGGCTTCGTATGAGTATTATATGATCACCTTTGCTAAAGTGTTAAGGAACAAAGACCTAAAAACGCGCCTTCAGGGCAGCAGTGCACTCCGCACCGACCCAAGAGCATCAAATCGAACAAAAAGAGGCAAGCATATATATGAATTCCCTCGTGATTCATGAAGGTGCTAAAATCTGGATACACGACTCAGCGAAGTCGCCCGTGGCTGACCGCCGCGGCGAGAACGCTCCAAATGTCAGCACCCAGGACGAAATGGAGGCCTTTCTGGACGATCTCATAGGATAGTGTGGTAGATCTACAACCCGGAAAATTTCCACTGCACTTGTGACAACGAGGCATCGTTGCAGTCAAGGTGCAAGTCGAGATGGAGATTTACATTTATGTGATAACAAATATGTAACAACTTACTACAACGTCCGAAGCAACCAAGAGGCATTATTGAAGTGGTGATGATAATGAACTCGATGACCCCGAGGACGCAAATTCCTTTTAGGGAATGGCTGCTGAAAATAGTATATCATCTAATCAAATGGCTTGACGATGGCAAAGGGCGGGTGGTCACCGAACAGCGAACAGGCCCAACTGAGGAAGAAAAAGTGACCTTTGAATAGTGACGCAATTTACAACCAAGTGGAGGGCGATTTTGGAAACCTAAACCGATGCCTGTGGCCCGGAATCCTGCTCCAGAGCACCGAGACGCATTTCTGCTTCTTGCTCTGACATCTCGATAATATTGACTCGCGAACTCATGAAGGATTTGGGTGAGGAGGATGTCTTCATCCAGCCTTTTTCAAGGCCAGCGAGGGAGAGATGAAAAGCTAACATATTGATCTGATCTGTCCGCTCGATGTGGTTGTCGGACGAACGAAGATAATTGAGGACTTCCGGCGACCCCGGATCAATGCGAATGAGCGTGTGGGAAAGAATAGCTGGATAGTATCTTCCTGCGACCATCTCTGCGCTGAGACGTAATATCCGGTCTGACGGACCAAGGCGTCTCCAAATTTTAGTTGGGGGTGGCGGGGGGAGACCTCTCTCAGATGTGAAATCCAGGAACAATGAATTTGCATCTGGGAGCCCCTCGGCCGAAGGACCAACAGGAACGTGAGCCTCCTGGGAGGGATTAGCAGTCGGTTCGGGATCAGAAGATTGTTCTGGCTTGTCAACTGCCTCATATATCGTCCCAGCAATTGAGCACTGAACCCTCCCAGACTCATCTTTTCCTGAAGATATGTCTTCAATCCGGAAAAATAGTGGATCCGGTGGCATGCTGCCGGGGTTCACAGTAGCACCGGCTTCAGCCATGATCTCGTCGCTTGATGTATGAGCAACCTCCCGCGCTTCTGGTTTTATTCGAACTACATCCCCCAGCCAGAGCTTTTCTGCGCCCCAGTATAACCCTTGGAAGCAGTCTCCGGAGGGGCTCCCAGGTCCAGGAGGGGATTCCCAGTGGCCAAACGGAAGGAAGTAAGAATTCACGAAAAGAGTTGCAAATACAGCATGAGCGTAGGGTAGCAATGCCGCGTCGAACGTAGGTAGCTCTGAGGATGGCTCTAAATCATGCATTGATATCCGCAGCGGGCGAAATTCTCGGGGGGATTGGATATCAGTCTCACTGACATTGGTAGGGGAGCGAACAGTATCCAGGCGCTTCTTGAGCTCGTCACTCAAAATGAAGCCCCTGTAAGGAAACATCCGATGCTCGTTATAGATCTGGGATTGTGGCGAGCAGAGCAGTCGAACTTTATAGAAATTGCGACTGACACTCGATTGGGGTTCAAAGTGATATCCATCAATCAATCCGGGCCAAGCAATGATATCCAAAGCGGGGTTATCAGGGGAACGGATCGGCTCGTCTAGTACTACCCATACGAGTTCTCCCCTGCGGAAGACTCGATCGCTGGTCCTGTCATCATAGAGTTCCGAGAGCATAGGTGGTTTTGTTGGTGGCGAACGAGACAGTGGGCCAGGAGCGGACCTTCTTCCGCTCCTAGTCGTTGTAGCCTTAGATTGCGCCAGTGCAGACTTGACAGGCGTTGTTTTTTTGGAGTCTGAAGTCGACGCCTTCGCATGAATACCAAGTGAGGCATTGATCCCCGCCTGCGACTTTGAACCACTGCAGTATTTGCACTTGCATGGCTTATTATTATTAATATCAAAAAGCCAAGAGGCATGGGGCAAGAATTCGTTCGTAGATCGAAAACGGTACAATCGCTGAGAATTATCTGGGCCTATAGGAGAAATACATGAGCCCATACCCAATTATCGCAATCTTAACGATTTACCAAACAGATAGAGGTCATGTCGCATCTTCCCTGGAAGTCCCTTGTGATGGTCATAAAGTTCGTAGCCATCGGGGAAATCTTTCATTACGTATCCCATGTCGTTGGTGCCTATCGCTGTATAGAAGTGGGCACATAGTACACAAAAGAAGACATGATTGAACACTCACATTTGTGCAGAACTTCCTGCGCGATGTAATTACCAATTTTCTTTCGCCACTCGAAGTTCGCCTTGTGGGTGCGCGTTGTCAACTTCATGTAATCGTAGATACCATCGCCATTAACTGCATCGCCAATTTGAGAGGAGCACTACAACACATCCGTCCTTGCACCCCTACCTTTTTCTTCTGTGTTTGTAGGAAACTTGAAACGATTACCACTGGAGTCCGTGCGAGGGAACTCGAGCACACGATCCTGCGGAAACTTGTCTTCTTCAGGAATGTTCCCCCCTCCAGCTGCCATCCTAGGAAGCGCTTCAGTCGAGAGTGTACTTTGAATGAAACTTCGTCGCTGTCGTCACGAATCCACATCACCTGACTGGACTGGTTCCCTGGGAGTTATATTAATAGCATGGTCGTAAAGTCATACTAGTATGAAGCAATAACTAAAATCCGAGTCTAACGAAAAATAACGCAACCCTGAATTCACATCATTCCGGCTCCACCTGTAGGAACGGTTTTGTCCACAATCGACAATGTCTCAGTCAGAATCATGGCAGACCTGTATGCCAGCTCAAGTTTCTCCCCAACTTTGGCGAGCACGAGGCTGCAAGGGAGTGCGAAATCAATATGGAGGCACTGACGGTAGAGCATAAACCGTGTCGCCTCACCGGAAGATCTCGATCCCGCCACGATGAGCTTCGGCTTCCTCCCGTAGTCCAGATTCGAGAGCAGCCTTGTAAGCTCGAAGAAGCACTTTGCTGGACGCCATCCAGTAAGAAACGCAGTAGGAAGGTAGGAGGGCGGGATCATAGGAACTCGCAAACAAGATGTGCACTGTATCCAAAACGGCCCTTGCCGCGTTGATAATCTTGCGTTTTGAGTTACACGTTGAAGAGAGCATCTCGGCATGAGGCTCATGCAGGATCATAGTAGCACTAAGACAAGAAGAGAAACGAAATAGCTCAGGAAGTAGACTATTAGTCAGGTGATCAAGGCTGCTTACATGTGCGGCAACACGTTCAGACAGTATAGATCATGGTCTACAGATGAAACTGATGGCCATGTGAAAATATTGGCATATCTAGACCTAGGTGCCCACGGGTCCCGATATTCCTTGGGTATGCTCATTTGGAATGCTATGATCATGTTGTCAAGAGATGCGAAGCCGGAAAGGTCACGTACGGGTAATGGACCAGCGTGATGATTGCTTGGAAGCATGATGAGAGGGGATGATGGCGAGAGGGAGAAATCGCAAAACAAGGAGTAAGGGGTGAAGGAGGCATCAGATGGAATGGCGCCACTATAAATGTCTGCTTGTCGATGTAGGCACGTCTGAATGTTGAACATCCCGACCTTCATCATGAGGATGCATGCTTTCAAATGCATTGTGAATGGGTCAGTGAGATAGGCAGGATGGTTTGTCAGGATGTCCACATCTGAAAGTCGTTGCCGAAGTCCAGGCGCTATGTTCTGAGAACGAACACTGAGGAAGATGATGCGTCTTATTGGAGCCAATAGACACCTACCCCTGATTCATAGTCCACTAGCCTTCCCGGTAGTTCCTGGGTAATAAGCGCCTCCGTAATAGAGGGTACCCAATGGGTAGCAAGAGATTGGCTACAAGTACGAGCTATGAGCATCATCTAAATGAGATAAGAAATCCCATGGACAGCTGACTGTATCTCATTCATGTATGCGGACCACCATAAGAATCTCCTTCTCTCCTGCTCCAATGGGTTATCTTTCTTCATGAGCGATGCTTGCAGCGCAGCTAAAAGCGCCGTGCTCCCCATGGGCATAAATACATTGAGGCCAAGAGAGACACATCCTCGAATAGTGGATGAAGACATCATCCAGAGCTGATCAGAATGCTTGGCGTTAGTATGTTCGCGCGGAGAGCTATCCCAAACGAATACCCACATCAACCCATCTAGCAACATGATGTGAATAAGGAGGTTAGAAAGATTACTAAAACGAACGTGCACATCTTACTGGGCATTGATATGCTGATAAAACCCAAATTAGCTGAGCACTATGGCATAGTGCGAAGGCCCAACTTACATAGTACCAGCACAAAACAACCATCGTTCGAGCGGAGTCGAAGAGTCTAGCCCCGATTCGGATATCAAACTCCATCAAAGCCTTCGATACGGATGCGTGTTCGACCCCGAAGGAACCCGAAAGCCCTGCAGACATACCCTGTTCCAATTCGAGATCCTCCAAAGGAATAAAACAGTCGTAGGCAGGACGACACTTGAGATCGGGCAGCGGTTTCCCCGGTATGTCAGGCGAATAAATAGAAGCGATGGCGCAAATGGCATGTAAAAGAGAGGGCGCGGGATACCTTGGCGAGTTGGGCCCCTCATGAAGGGCCGCCAGAAACGAGGGTCTGTGAATTAAGCGAGAAGCACGTGAGACATGGTGAAAGAATAAATCGACGAGATGCAGCAGAACATGAGCTGGAGGTAAGGTCGGCGAGTATGCCGAAGGGACAACAGCAGTTGACTGTGAAGTCGATGGAGGCGAAGGCGTGGTAGAAGTAATGGGAGAACCCAACGAGGGCGGAGATTCGAGGAAGGCCAGTGAAGAAGGATCTAAGTTTGCTATCACGTCTGGTTTCTCATGGATGTTTACGCGATGTTCGTGTGTTGACGTCCAGTCAAAACTATACATGGTACCATAGCGGGAGTTTTCCGGAAATATGATTGGATACTCAGCGGGTGATGGACCGAGTGGAGGTTCCGATGCAATTATGGGATATGGAGTCTGACCAATCAGATTTGGTGTGGTCTTTGTGTCAGCGACTCCTGATGAAGATGATTGCGGTTGAGTTTGGCTTGGACCTATTTCTGACGAACCAAAAGAATCCCCGTGGTGACGGTTCCGTCATGTATAGCGAGTTCTTCACGGCTTACCACGGGATGAAGACTCATCAGCAGGCTCATCATATGTGCAACTCGGGTTTGGGTCGAACGGTTGCCCCTGTCAGTGAAATCAAACGCACGTTAACTGAACTCTTGGGGGGAAACATGAACGTACAGACTCACCTTTACCATAAGGGGGGCAACCTTGTGCGCGTGAGCCTTCACACAAGTCGAGCACGGCCTTCCGGCATCGCTGCATAGCAATAACTCTTTAGCTCATGCTTGCCGCATACGTACAAGTTCATCACCATTTCTAACAAAGAGCCATGCGATTGATCATGAGAATCATCAGAGGGGGAACACAGAGCGAGACGCACGAGTTTCTTCTTGCGACATTGATGGCACTTGCGAAGCCAATGTTATTTCGGCACGGACATGGATAACTCCCAGTGCATACTCACGGCTTGGTTTCTAGGTAGATGGGGGTTATGTCGCGCATTCCTTGTCGTCTCCGTCACAGAGGCTTTCGCGGCCTTTGGCATCTTGGGATCTTCGGATTGTGAGCGCCAAATGCATGAGCATTTGCACAGCTTGACTCAGCCGGCTGCGTACGCCAAGCTAATTGAATATGTGCCGATTCAGATGATTCCCACACTATTCATGGGGTGACATGTGGTGACACTGCGGAGTTGGCCGAATTTATTCGTCTGTTCGCGTCTTTGCACAAGTCCAAATTACGAAAAAACCGAGCCGGCATCACGTGTGTGCCACTTGCTTACGTCGTTTTGGTTTGGAAGAGATGATCATCCGAACAATTACATGATTGATCATAGTCATAGCCTGATGCAGAAATGCAAAGCAGATTTGGATCCGGGGGCCGTTATCGTGGGTTGTAGTTACCTAGATGAACCGCAAAAAGGCCGCGTTCAAAACTTGCAATTGCAGCACACTTTGTCAAAAAGGAGTTGCAGGAGCATGACTTACATACGTAGCCTGTCTTTAGAATTAACGGGTTTGCATTTGACGGCCTCCGGACATCATGTCGTTCCTGGAACTCTTGGTCCATGGCTATGTATCCCGACAGATACATGGATTCGAGTCATGAATGCGGTGCTTAATTAACCTCACAAATTCAGAGCTGTGCACTGGGTAGTCCCACGGAGCGTTCCAATAAGGGCAATGAGGTGAAAAAAAGTATCCATTTTCGCGTCCCATGTGCAGCTTCGCAGTGATTGCCAATCGTTTCTCTCGAAACAATGGCGTTCCATCGCCGGCGGCTGATGGACGCATCCGCATCACCAGCGGCCAATCTGAAGTCCTGATTCAGCTAAACCCCTAAGAAGCCATCCTTCTGCGACGTTTGTACCACAAAACGGTTGTCCAATCCTGGAGAATCTCCTTCCTCTCATGAAGGTCTGAAAAATGGGCTGTGGTTTCATGATTGCGACCATGTGGCAATAATTTGAAAGTTATCATATCCCCAAAAAGCATCTATTTTCTTATGATGGCTATTCAACAGACAGGGCTAAGGCTTCTTGAGGAGCTCCGCTATTTGCTTCGCGAGCTCCGATTGCCCATCACCTCTGGCAAGCTCGGCAAACCATGGCTTGGACATATAGTTCCGTATCCTTTTTGTTACGGAATCGTCAGCTTTCAGGTCCAATGCAGGATATGAGTGGACATGCCCATCTGGTAGAATGATAACTGCGTTCTTTCCTTCGACACCACCTGCTGACATCATTCCCTCCTCGGTCGTAAGCCATCGTAATGCCCCGGCAAGGACAGATCCAGAGCTACCTCCCACTAGAAGTCCTTCCGTTCGCATCAGTTTTCGAGCAGCGGCCCAAGCTTCATTATCGTCAGTCTTGACCCATTGATCCACCTGATCATGAGACAATACGCCAGGGATGAAGTCGTATCTGGGTAAACTTCAACACAACCGTCTCTGTCATGTACTGCACAAGCACTGCGCACCCGATTCCCTCGACGACGTATGAAGCACTCTCTCCATCTAATTTGTTCAATTCCTCTGGCCTCGCGATCAAACTGCCTTTCTGGGCTCATTTTTCAGATAGGGATTCGATCCTCCCTGGAGCGTTTCGTAAGCAAATACAGAATGTACTTACAGGATCGATTCCGACCACAATAGAATTTGGATGGTGGCGCTTGATAGCTCTCGAGATCCCAGTAATCGTTCCCCCGGTTCCTGCACCAGCAAACAACACATCCACTTTCCCTGAGGAAAGGCGAGATGTCGTCGAAGGTGTATTTTCAATTGCCTCTATAATTTCTGGACCGGTGCCAAACTCGTGAGCGTCCGGATTAGCGGGGTTGTTATATTGGTCAAGAATAACCCCGCCGGGGATGAGTTTCTGAAGACGCTTAGCAACACCGATGTTCGACTCCTCGGATTCGGAGGGAGCTTCGGTAGGTGTACGAATAATTTCCGCCCCCAACGCTCGCAAAGTAATTTCCTTTTCGAGCGACATCTTTTCGGGAAGCGTGATAATGACAGGATAACCCTAACAGAGTATAGAATCGGCTTGTAATCGGAGATTAAAAGGACAAGAAAACTACCTTTATGGCACATGTCAGTGCGAGGCCAATGCCTAAGTGGAGAAGTTATTTGAGACGTGGATTATAATCGAGCACAACAGACATGCCGGTGTTTCCGCTGGTGGGTTCTATGACCACGCTTTGCCCAGGGATGAGACGCCCTTCTTCTTCTGCCTTCTCAACCATGCGCTTTGCTATTCTGTCCTTCACGGATCCACCCGCATTGAAAAATTCGACTTTAGCAACTATGGCGAGTGAAATAGTGGAAGGTGCTATCAGACGACGTGGACCCGGTAGCCGACCCGGACCATTCGAGCCGGAACGCACGTAGGTTGCACTTTAGGCTCTCCTCTGCTGCAATTCGGTCAAGCTTTATGAGAGGTGTGTTCCCAATGGCATCTATAGTGTGGGAGAGCATCAGGGGATGACCCTTCGGGCTTGCGGACTCCCAACAGCTGACCGAGTGCACTCTCCAGTATTGGCCGGATGGGCGGATTGGCAGAGGCCATATCCAGAAAAAACTAACCCTTTGGTCTCGAGGACGGTCTGGTTATATTGCGAACGTCGTGAGGATCGCCGATCCAATTACCTCATGGGCCCTGGTTACGTCACACGGTTATGCCCGCTGCATCCGAGTGGCATTTTATCCGGCAAGGTTGGATCTCAGCCCTTGTTATTCCCACCCCACCAACCAACCCACCAGTTGCAAGGCTGAAATACCAATATTAAGTAGGCGGGATCCCAGCCTCTGCTAGGGCAGATGTCTATATGGCATATTGGCGCAAGAGTACCCATACATGACGTGGTGTGGGGTTGTTGGCGGTGAGAGGAACGGGTGCACACAAGCTAGGATCAAGACTTTGGGCTTGTGATGACCCCATACAACGATATTAGTATCAAGATCAGTCTTCGCAGAACGCCTGTGCTAAAAGCCCAATGTCTGGATAGAGAGGCTTTTAGCTTGAGAATCCCAAGTCCGGATTCGCACTCATTCACAAGTATAAGGGTTGCTCACCGATGCACGCAACCGATCAATCAGGGGGTTGGGATTGGCAGCTTTCGATCTTAGGGTTGCACGGGCAAGAGTATCTCTGCATACCCATCCTCCCCTAATTGCTCGCCAATCTAACGTGGACCACGTTCGGACTCATAAAGCAGTCATGTCTACACATCCACGTCCGACCACTTCAGAGATCTTGGAGGGAAGGTATAGACAACGGATAACCAAGCATAAATATGGTTACATAATCTGCGTGTGGGGGCTTATCGGGGGAAACGCAGAGCAAGGTGCGGATCACCCGACATTCTGCCCTACCCAGGGTTGGGAATATGCATTTTGGAGTTAGTATTCTCCTCTGGGAAGAGCAACTATCTAGAGGCTTTCTGTGGTCGCTCCCCAATCGCGTGTTAACAGCTCCAGCAGCACGCCTAAAGAATCGCGCTTGGAAGATTTGTGACCCGAACGGCTCGCAGTCTACTTGATCTGGAAGCTCAAAAAGTTAGAGGACACCACCCATCAACGATGTTAACGATGTTCCATGGTCCGCTCCTTTCTATCCAAAACGCGCTAAAGCATCGAAGCACGTGTGTAACAAGCTGTGAATGATGCTCCCGATCATATCATCCGGTTGCGTCTGTACAGCTGGTCCAAGCTAGGACTCTGCCTTGACTAAAGTTCTCCCGTTCGTCGGCAGAACGGTTGCATGCATGATTCGAATTTAGCACCGATTGCAGAATAGTTGTTACGCGCAGCTTGTACCAGAATTAAGACGTCCCAAGACGGAAAGCCCCTAAGACCGCACTTGACGGACCCATCATCGGAATCAACAGTGTTCATATCATCAATCGAAGAGTACTTCGCCTCATGACCATCCTAGGACTCTATTCCTTTGAAGGTCAAGTCATTATTTCGGGCATTACTGCTGGAGTTCGCGGATTGGCAGTGCCGCCGGATTGGAACGCATCATCTCGCGTGGCTGCAGCATGGCAATCAACTCAAGCTCTGCCTTGATGATCCGATCCGGCAAGGCGAGGAAGTTCCAGAGCTTCTCCCGAGAGGTCCCCACTTCCATGAGTGCTTGCGCTTGGGTGTGGTGACGTACCATCATGCTTCGAACGGCAAGGAAATTCCACGATCGGCAGTCCAGTGCGGCCGGCAATTCCTATGTATTTCGGGGAATGCTCTTCGCGGGCGCCGATTTGGCCCTGTGCGGCTTAACATTCCTCCGCGGCACTTCACTCACACAGAATAAATTCAGTGGTATATGACTGGTAGAATATGGGATACTACAACCTGCATCACAGCGTCAAGTGCCACGAAATATTGACAATTACTAGCCATTGAGTGGAAGGTGGGCCTTAATGGACCCATGTGGCGGATCTCACGCGTATTTCGAAGACGATCCTGGCCCGAAGCCTCGTTCTCCCAATAGACCATCGATAAGAGACATCAAAGCAATAATTTTCTCGTCGTCAAATGGCCGCCCGATAATTTGTATCCCGATTGGGAGCCCTTCCATCTCATCTGGCCTATAGGCCTTCGGCTCACCCATAGATCCATAATAAACACCGGCCTCTATCATTTTCGAGCCGTGAGGACCACTATCATGAGGGAATTCTCTTTCAGCATTGGCGGGAACGTTTTCAGTTCCCGTGGAGGTTGCCGTTGCACTTTCAGCTGGAGTTGCAGATTTAGACTTTCGAGATTTTGGCTTGAAAGGTCCCTCCCACTCCTCCGTCAACTGGTCGAGCTGGGGATCTACCCGGGTCACAGGAATCACTCCAACTGCACTTTCGACAACGTTGTAGAGGAACGTTGCAACAGCCAGCGGGCTGAGGGTCTTTGTCATACTATTTCGTTAATGAATATCTTTTTGATAACTAAAGCCTAAGCAAAGGTGGGGACATACCCATGAGGAAGAGCTGGAACTGCAAATGCAGGAGCAATAATGGCATCGAACCCATGGGCCTCCCACACCTATTCCATTATAGGAATGTGTCAGTAAGCTCGCCGACTCATCGTGTAGTATCCCACATTCTTGTTCCACATGTCATTGTAAGCTTGCATCTCAGCAGCAGCTTCCATGAATTGGCGAACCGATCTACGCCGGGAATTTCGCAAACAATGAGCGAATAGAGGGTCTTTCATCCCTTTCTCTGCGACGAAAGCAGCCAATTCTCTCAAGAACTCTGTGTGTCGGACGCACAGCGATGAAACAGCTGAACACAAATGATCATCGGCTCACTTACTGGGCAACTTGGGACCCAGCGTCACGAGGAACAAGGACGGCTCCTAGAGCAAATTACGTCAGGTTGGAGCGGACATTTTGGAAGGTCAACGCACTGGGGGGTCTGGGCCAATATGTGAAGTCAGTGTCTTGTAGCCATCGGCTGCGGTCAAGGCAATGAAGATCCTCATTGCCTCGAGCACTGGCGGGAGTTCAGCAAAATGAAAGAATGAGGTGCAGGTGTCTCACCATTGGGAGGCCCGAATAACACACATTCGTGTCCGGCAGCTCTGAGAGCTAAAAACCGGACTCGTGAGCATGTGAATGTGAATGTGGGCCCAAAACTGGGGCCTGACCTTTGACAGTTTGGATGACGGCACGTTGACAAGATGGAGAGGCTTTGACAATCCCGTCTGGAGGGGGTTAAATTAAGACTGTTTGGGGTGGTTCGTTCGGCCTCGTACCTGAGAGATAATAACCAATTCTCAATTTCTTGCCGTGAGGAAGTAGGTTCAGTTCCTTCCGGAAAGGTAGAGGCACCCTGGCACGACTTTTCCCAAAAAGCGCTTCGCAGCTCAGCTTAATATCTGCAACGGACCTAAAGAAGGATGGGAGCAATGAGCGACTTGATGACAAGCGAAGACACTCGAGGTCTTGCCTGCCCATTGGTCCGAAGCAAACAGGTATAGCCTCGAATCCTGGATAAGGATCTAGGCCACGCACAAGTATTTAGCGAGGGGAGAGTATAGAAAGGAGAATTGCAAGCACCTGCAACGCCGTGATGGGTGATCCTTCCCGGCGTAGGTTTGATGGAGTATACTCCAGAGAAATGCGTCGGGATGCGCAGAGAACCGCCAACATCGGAAGCGAATCCCAGAGGAGAACCATCAAGTGCTAAAAGAGCTACTTCGCCACCGCTGCTGCCACCACAAGTGAACGCATGCTTTCCATCCGTCGTTTTAAGAGGATGGCTCGTGCGACCCCAGAGTGGATTCACACATTCAAAAGATAGCAGTGTTTGTGGGACGTTTGTCTTCAGGAACGGGATCCCGCCCGCCTCGCGGACAACCGCAACGAGCTATATAGGACGGAAGTATATGACTTGACTTTCTTTGGAGTGGTTGAAGGGAAGTTGCTCACATCCCCATCCTCAGATCGAGGTTTGTATGCCCATCTAAGTAATAAAATTGTGCGGAGGGATGTGAACATGGTTTCAATGCCACACAAGGTGTAGATTGTAATAACCTCGTGAATCCAATCGTCGAGTCTACGCCTTGAACGTGATCTGGAGGAAAACAGATTAGAGAATCTCACTGTCATCTAAGGAGACGAGAAGAGAGCGCACGCACACAAGTCCTTAAGGCTTATAGGGACGCCGTGAAGAGGTCCGCGGAGGACGCCAGTGTTGGCGAATTCCTCGTCGAGCCGCCGAGCCTCCTCAATTGCTAGCACGAACATGACTATACAATAACGTTCTCAATTACGGAACAAATCACGCCAACATAAGGACAACAAGAACCTTCAGTGATGCAATTTGTTTCTTCATGCGCGACAATCGCGCGACGAATATAGGCGCGCAACACGTTTTCAGCAGTCCAGCCAGTATCGCGATTTTTTATATGTTCCACTATCTGAGCGGCTATGTTTCGGACATAAGAATACTTTTAGTTTCATTCCCAGCGCCATGAGGGATGAACACGCACCATTAGCCCGCGTGTACTCATTCAACGTGTCGGTGTCGTCCGACCTAAAGCGAGCGATAGCACCGTCGCGGTCTTGTCTTTTTTTATTCGCTACCTGTTTCCAGCCCATGACTGTTCTGACACGACTGTAAATGAATTAATATTCTTGTCAGAATGTCTTCAGCAACTTGTCAACAATGATTCCAGAGAGCACGTGGCATGATTGTCTGCGTTGAATTGTCGGAGAATCCCGTATCAGTTGCGATGGGTCACGTTTTTAATACAGCGGGAAGCGTTTTGATATGTACAATAGAAAGCAAAATATTGCTCCCACGGGTTTAAACGTTAAGCATACGGGGGTTTTCTGACATTTCCTGGTTAGCTCTGAAAGCGTCATTGAACTAGGTGACCAGCCTCTATAGCGTTGAACACGCTTTAACATTTTCATAAGCTTAGAAGAACTTGGTTGTAACGATGTTCCAGTGACGGAACGCCACGAGTAGGCTTTCCTGTATAACCCTCTTTCATGCATCAAGCTCAATTCCACTATTGCATGTAAATGATAATCATCCACTTTTGCGGATGAACAGTTGGCAGCTCACATGGGTTGTTTTGAAATTACCAGAAAGCACCATGGCATTATCATACATACTTACACGACCGACCGAAGAATGGAATGGAAATACCTACTTTCACTGAGAGGCGAGAATCGGAACAATATCATGAGGATCTATAGTCATTGACTCGTTCATCCCACCGGAACACTCGCGATAGAGGACAACCCCTTGGTCGCATGGAGGATGGAAGATGGACGGGGGACCAACGTGCGCATCGTGGCTGTGCATCATTGACGCGCTGGGGCTGTGCATCGATCTCAACGCCAGGATACACGGTACAAGGTGTTAAATGACTAATTGTTCGTCGTCCACAACCTTAAATTGGTTCGAGTGCATTCATCTTTTGCTAGAATTCGTTTTATCCTAGTGTCAATATTAAGCACTCTACCCAGCAACAGTATTCATGCACACAGTGCTTAATTTTCTGGTTGGAGGGCTTCATGTGCACACATCGTGCTGCAAACACCGTGACGAGAATCCCCGAGGCTCATTGGTTCTATTCTTCAGTGACAAACGTTGTGGATCCTCTTATCTGGGCATTGGATCCGTTGACTTCCTGTTATTCTTCCGGGACAGCTTGGTCTTGGTCTCGGTTAGAGATAATACCGGTATCTATGGACGATATGACTTTACTGGCAGGGTTCGCTGGTAAAGGTTCATCCAGGCAATCAGAGGCGCTGCCTGGCTACCCCCGGGTGCGACAGACCATGCTTCGGATCACACCCGATCAGGCGAAGCTTGTTTGCGGCTTGAGTTTATCTCCTCTATCTTATGAAGGTTCCAGGGAAAGTAATGGCACTAATTGATGTCGCCACGGATGTGGCTTCAATTCCAGGTGTCAGTTAAATTTAAGCCCTGAGGTATGCTCCAAGCTGCCAGACAATCCACCCTCTTTCCTTCAATTTTCACTCTTCTGCGATGCGTCTATTAGCCAGTTTGGCGCTGATTTCTACTTGCCTAACGTCTGTCGCTGGCCTACAGCCAATCGACTACATTCGAGCCTTCCAAACTTTTGGAGAAAGGTCCGTGATACCTCGTCGATTTTTTCTGCAATTTTAGATTCGAATAACGTGTCTCTGGAAGTCTCCTCCCGCCCATAAATGGGATATTTGCAAATGAAACCACTCCTTCGTTCTTCTCGCCTGGCGTTGTTGGGCGTGTCGATGGCACGATAAGTAAATGCTCTCAACTACGCGGGTTTTCGTCCTTGAATGACCAAAAACCCTACAGCTCTTAATGGATCCCAGCCCAGTATGGAATACGTTTATGGATTGCTATCTCAACTTTCTCAGACCAGCGAGCCATCCCTGTTCGGCATCCCATCCTCGCTGACTACCCAATCCATGTCTGTCGAACCTCCGGTAGTGGCAGCAAGTGTCATCGTCAATTTCACCTACAACTCGATTAATTTCGTCCTCCCCCTCCAAGTGGACATGTGGGTGGTATTCGACGACGATTTGAAGATTTCTTCATTCGACGTCGCGTTCCGGAATCGGCCTGCCGCCTTCGACTACGTTCTTCCCAAACTCGTTCCATGGATATCTCAGCAAATCAACACAACTTTAACATCCCAAATAGATAATTCTTCCTTGGTGACCCAATTTATGGCTCAGGATGTTTGCCAAGTATCTTCGCAGTATTGCACGGGCAATAACCAACAGTATGCCACGTATGTCGACTTCGATTCCCCCGTCTCGAGCATTGTTTCACAATGATATACACAGCATCGATGCGTGCATGCAGTATCAGGCACTCCAACCCCCACCCAGTAGCTTTGCGTGGCAATTAGGAGACAAGGTACGAAATCTGTCGTCTTATATTACTTCTGATGAGAATTAATCTCCCGCCCCTCATTAGAATATCATGTGCAGATATCTTCACAGGAACTTAGTCCCACTCAGGCCCCAGACTTATTGTCCGGAGATAGGTCCTAATGGAACCAATATATGCGTCTCCAGGGATTATGTTAATGTTACAGCATCTCCTTTCCAGCAAACACTCATTGCTTGGAAATCCTCCTTACGACCGGCAGATATTTCTGGCCTTTCCTCAGGGTCCCAAGAAGCTCTGGTCGCTCTAAGCACTGAACGAATTTACCCCACCACTGTCGCATGGTTCCCCATATCGATGGTGGTATATTGGGTTATTCTCTATATCTCAGCAAAACTTGTTCAATCAGGATTTGAACGGTACAGCACAGTGTATCCCACGCTGTCATTTGAAAACCAGCGGACTGCTATTATTTGTAGGTGTTGGATTAGACTCTTTGCATTTGGTGTTCTAAGCCCAGTGGTCCAGATATTTTGAACGTCGTTTACACAACCATTGTGCTTTTACTCCAGCTCATAGCCTCTCCAGTGCTGGCTGGGAAGTATACCTATGAGATGATTAGTCTTATACGGGCATGTGGGGTGATGATCGCTGGACTATGTGAGCGTTTTCTCCAGTTGTTCAGTGCATGTTCTCTAGCTTCTTTGATACATCAGATTTGTTCGAACTGACGTATCGACCATCCATGAGGTGGCAACTCATCACCCATCACGTTGTTGTAAGTTGAAGTATCGTAGTCATCATTCTCACCTCATGCTCACGTTTGCACCGGTAGACCATCTTCGCTATAATCCTGCTCGTGAGCGCTTTGCAAATCACTCGTCACCCCCACATCTTCATCCTCGCGAACATTTGGATCTTCCAAGCAACCACTGAGCAGTCCATCTTCATTGCACTTCTAATGTGTGAGTGAAAAGCGTCTTTCTCGACAAGATCACACTTTCCTCACATCCCTCCTTCGTAACACAGATCGTTTCCGTTTCCCAAAAAATATAACAAACTTTGCATTGGAGTTCTCAGCCGTGCAGTCACTGTAGGTTTGATCAATTGGCTAGATTTGGTGTAGGGTCTGACTCATCGCGCCTAGTCTCTGCAAGTTTGCATTCGGAGTCTATCTGTTCGTTAAGTGGAGCAAGACCCAAGCGCGAAATAATACCTTAAAAATGGATATCGCGACAAACGCATTGATGGTCATCCTGCTGAGCTGTTTGATGGTCGTTCAAGTGTAAGTGGCCATGATAAATCCCTCGGGCGGGAACTAACCTAACTCCATTTAGATATGGTTCGTACATTGTATGGAGGATTGCCCAGACACTCGATCGAAGATACGAGCAGAAATCAAACTCGGATGTGGAGAAATCCTCGATCACGCAAAACTCAGCACCAGCCAGATCATCGCGAACAGTAGTTGGCTCCGAGTACCAAATTGCTATAATGAATCGATTGGACGGTTCATGAGAATAGGTTAGCTTGTCGATTTACCCAGTTTAGAACCGCTGTTACATAGCGGTACATCTCATAAAAAAACGAAGTGGGAATAATAATTTATGATTGGTTAAGCAAACCTTAGTTGAGCCAAAAACATCGGCGTGAACTCAATCTTGGGTGGTTGTAACTGTCGTATAATGCACCCGATGTGGAGAATAGACCCAACCCATACCCCCAGACCAAGAGGCTGCATGGCAATCAGAGCAGTATCAGACTGTCGGGGCCAATCGCAGTGGTTCGCTGCATACAATCAGCCGGTCTCCTAATCGTGCGTGGGAGGCACTCAAGATTTGCTGCATCGGCTGACAGCCGCAAAACGGGTGGTCTATAAGTACGCACATCTGGCGCGATTGAACCCGTTGAATGCTAAATCGCTTTCCATCCGTGGCTGTCCAGCTGGAACTCGAACGGTCACGGGCCACTGGACTTGAGCGCGAAAAAAAAAGAAAGAAAGGAAAACACGAAAACGAAAACAAACCAACGGCACGTGCGATTCCCATGCTGGGCTTTGACAGCCGACAGCAAGTGGACGCCCCGTTCGTGCCTCGGTCGGATGTCGTGCTCGACGGTGCTGGTGCATCGACTTCAGGCGTGGCTCGTCGGTTCGGGCCTCAACATCGATGGAGGCGGTTGCAGTTTGGCGGTTTTTGCGAGTGGTCATGCTCGACGCCCACAGGCCAGCGTCACACGTCTCGGCGCGCTGCCTTGTGTCCTGCCAGCGTAGACATGGATTTCGACCGTACTTCAGGCCAAGACAAAAGCCGTCCCCATTGCGGGCAAGCGCTCCGCCCCCCCCCCCCCCTCTCCCCATACACGGATCCCGAGCTGGTGCGTTTGACCCTCTTCTTACCTTATCGCCTCTGCCGACGTTCTGATGTTCTGATGTCTACTCATTCAGACTTGACTCATGTGCGGTGAAATTTCTCGATATCGGCAGCGTTCATCGCTCGCCTCTCTGCTCGCTTCGACACAGCCCGCCCAATTCCCCCTTCATTGTCGCTTCCACCGGCCAATATCGTTGCGATGAAATCGCCACATGTCAGCAGCGTTCATCTCGCCTCTTTTCTCGCTCCACACACCAGCCTCCATCCCATCATTTTGGCTCCATGCACCTTCGGTGGCTCTTGCCACCTGCCCATCCTGGCACACCTCGCTTCCAACACCCTCATTTTTGCGAGCTCCTCCCAACATCGTCATTTCTGCCGGCGGTCCCAGTCTTTTTTTTCTCATGTACAATATTAATATTCAACACTCCCTAAATACAATCGAAACAAAAGTCAATGTGAGTTTGAGAAGAAAAAGAAATGGGATGAAAAATTTTTTCAGTGAACCTCGTTGTGTATGTGTAAGAGCGATCACGAGGACTGGGTGTGTAAATTCGAGGGAAATATTGTATGAACGGTATTCAACGATCCCAATTCCGTGAGCCTGTTATTTGTAAAAGAAATAATTAATATGTGCGTTGTACATTACGGTGTGAATATTCAATAATATCAATTCAGTGAACCCTAGTTGTCTCAATAGTGGGACGTTGATGGCAGAAAACTTTGGCTTGCTTACCTGGTGAGAGAGAGTGGTTGATTTTTGGCTGGAAGACAGCGGCCTAGGTGGTGTGATCCTATCTCTGTCGAAGTCAGCCCCAAATATGCCACATTCAAGCCTATGGACAGTGTGCAAGAATAAACTCAATACAATAGCTGGACGGGGGCACGACTATTTGAGTGTAAGAAATTCATGTCAATTTTTGGCTGCCTGATAATTTACAGGAGGATGCAAGGTAGGAATATCTATCCTACATAATCGGTCTGCAAGGAATTGCATGGCCCCGTTGTCCTCAATAGAAGTGATAAGTACATATAAGTATTGTATAAGTGGATTATAAGCATCGATAGAAGGCCGATAGAAGGAGGATTTAATAATACATTCAAATGAATCAATGGTGGATTATTTGGGGGGAAAAAGAAAAGGTGGAAAGAACTATCGGACATTGCCGGGTTTGTCGCTCAACAACTCTCTGCCATGTGGCTGTTGTGCTATGGTCTCATCGTCTTGCGTGCCCCAGCAACCATGCAGCTCTGGGCTTGAGGAATCAGTCGTATCACCCTGAACCATTTTCTCTCCACTTCACGATGTCCGTCACACCTTCCTTGCTTCCCTAGTCTCGTGAACGAATTTCAGTCAGATCGAGCATCTCCAAACAAAGCCTGGGCCAAGCTTTCTGGGTTGCCAGCACAAGAACTCACGTGCTGTGAAATGTCTTCGGCTATGCACTCCAATGGAGACTGTGGGTTGGCCACGATATTTGGGTCGCCATGACCAACCTCCATCCAATTCCCACTGTCCTGTTATGGGAGTGTCTGGCATTGTATCGAGTGGGCGCTGTCTTAGCCCTCCAACATGAAACGTATTTGCAGATATGCTCAGAATGGAAGGGACTTCTCGCACAGGGCATCCACAGTGCACACGGTCCTAACGGGATACCTGGAGAGGCTGACATGATTGCCGCTCGTTTCGTCGCTGTTGTCCAAGCAGAGGGGGCATCACTCCGTCCCAACCTTATCGACTTCTCCACACATGTAGCTGGCCCTTACCCTGTGAGTCACTGATGAATGTTTTGGGGATATTGATGTTATAGCCAAGTCTGTGCTAACCCCTATCCCCAACTCTTTTCGCCTCGTTCATAGTTCATCCCCATGTCTGAGACCCCTCTCATCTTATTCGGCCCGCTTGAACAATATACCCCCACTGCAAGGAGCAGAAAATCGCTCGCCAAGGCCACAAAATAATATCCTCATTAAATGTAAGTGTTTGTGTGTTAAGTTACATTTGACACCCATTGAGAAAGCCCACCAGTTCAACGAATCCAATTCTGAAGATGCTTATGTGTGTTTTCGTCGACGAGATGTCAAGTCAGTCCGTAAGACCCATCGGATGGATACAACACCTGCCGAAAAGGTCTCATGGCTACAGCAGGAGCTTATCAAGGCGAAAGATCTCGCTAACTTAACCATTTTGCGTGAGGTCAAGAAGTTGGAGCTCAATAAGGATGCGCATAGTGTTCTCGAAGCGAGGATCAGGTTTATCGAATTGAAGAGGAAGCATCCACAGTTCTCATTGAGGACAGATGACCAACTACTCGTGGACCCTGAATGCGTGTTGGCCAAGCGGCTGAAGATGATGTTGGAGCAGAAGTAAGTCGACAAGGATGGAACTGAGGGTATTTAATTTGCTAACATGAAAAAGCGCCATGTCGCTGAAAATACCGTGACGAAGTAAGGATCCTACAGACTTAAATTTGCCCTATCTGGCCCTTGAAGAGCAAGTGCATCCACATGAGCGTGCTGAGTCATTTGCTAAGGAGATCGAGCGCCAATGCGAAGAACTCGGGCTGGGAGGATTATTTAGATGTCAGAGTCAAGATTCACATATTAATTGTCTTCTTTCTGATTGTCTGCCTATTTTAGCTCCCGATGAGTTTACCCATCTCAGCTCACTTTTTTCACGCTCTTTCCTTCGCTGTATCACCATCAAAGCCCTCGGTAGAGCACACAGGACGTTCACCATTCTCGATCTGAATACGTACAGGGCAAGGCAGGCCGTCATTCATCGATCGTTGCCCGTTCCACGGAAGAAGAAGAGGAGATCCTCAGAATACCCCACCCCCAGTTCCGCAATTATTTTCATCAACTCTCTCATCTGAGGGTGGACTTTGGTCCCACTCACCGAAAGAGTTGACCGTTCATATCAAGTCGGATGAGGGCGATGAAGGATGAGTATGTGCGGAAGATCAATGAGCAGTGGAGGTTCGACGATGATGTGGTAGTGATGGAAGAGGAGCAATGGGTATTGATTGATGACTTTGATGCTCAGTACGGTGTTTATTTGCATGCATAGGTCTTCGGGACTCATCTGCCATGATAGGTATATTCCCTCGCGTCTTTCTCTATTTGGGGAATCGGAACTCATTGGGTTATTGGTGGACAAAGGCCACATCTGCAACGCTGAACTGTATGCCAACGCTAAACAGGAGTCTGGTCAACGGGCACTTATGGCAGCGTGGCACCAGACAACATCAGCTTCATCGCAACCCCAAACCTCTGCAGGCCCAGCGCCTCCACAACCTACTCCATCATACAATCCCTCCCCTCATTTATCCCCAACTTCCATGCGTCCACCCACTCCCTCCGTTTCACCCATAGATCTTAACTCGGGTCTTACGCAAACTCTCCTACATGTCCACCTTCTCAGATCATGCAGTAGTCCCCCGTGGTCGTGCCTCAAATCACTGGCATGCCATTCCACAGCACATTACCGTTCAACTATACGCCGGGCCCCCAAGGTGTGCCGCAATATCCCATCCCAAATGGAACATCCCAACCATCTCAGCCATCTCAGATATCCGTGGCGCAACAGTATTACCGCAGCACCAAGTTTTACGGTGTACCTTGCAACAGCATGATGATGATGCCACCACCTCAAGCTTATCACGGCCTCCATATGGCGAACAATGCTGCGAATGGGGCGCCGCCAGTGATGAACATGTCCACCATGGGCATGCCGTTGGAGTTGCCTCCTGTGAGACAATGGCCACGTCATAGCGGTGGTCAGGCAGATATAAATGGCAACACTCCAAATGGTAATCCAGCAGGTTCTCCTGTCATGCAGCATCACATCAACTTGCCAAATCTTGGCTCACCCATACATATGAACGGGGAGTATGAACCCTCATCCATCCCTGCAACAGTTGCCATAACATCAACCCTCGCTGCTGATGGACGTACACCATGGGATGCCTCAAATTCTTTATCACGCCACCGCTCCTCCTCGTTCTGCCCTGTCAGTATCTGACATCGCGATGTTTCAATAACATCGCCAGCCACAATCACCTCACTTCGCAATGCCGAGCCCTGCCCACCAGCATCAGTGTTTCATTCTCATCAGCATCTAACCCTGGGGTAGCAGCGACGGCGACATCACACGGACGTCTCTCATCCATCACCTGCTCATTCGAGACAGCATGGCCCTCATCCCGACTTTCGTCATCATGCTGAAAATGCGTTCACGAACAACTTTACATCTTTCTCTCAATTCTCCACACACGTCCCCGAGCTGGATCAACAGGTTCGTTATCGAAGCCTTCCAGGAAACTCGACACCTCTGCTTCAGCACTCTCCCATTCTAACTCACTCGCACCACCATCAACTCCTTCAACGCCCACTTGTTCATCACCTCAATCTCCCTCGTCTCAACAAGCTGCTTCGAAGCCATTCAAATCGGTGACGGGTATGAGCCCAGGGATGCCTTCAAATACCGTTTCGAGTGCGACGATGATGACGACGTTAGCGAATACATTGAAGAATACCCATATCAAGAGTGGGAATACAATGCCTGTCACTTCAAGGGCCGCCACACCGTTGGGGTCGGCCACTTCATCGCCTCGTTCACGCTCTCATCATGGACACCCATTACCTTCCACATCAATTTCTTCTTCTTCCCGTTCACCTGTTAGCCCTCAGCTTGCCATGAATACATCTTTCTCTTCACCCACATCCTCCACCTCATCAACTCCCAATTCCACACTACTCTCAAAGTCACCCACTCCTATCTCCACCCACACCCACCCTACAACTAACTCAACTTCGATGACAGCGTCGTCGCCATCATCATTAACAATGATGTTGCCATGTCCAGCACCCGTAATGGGTTCCGTACCACCAGCGAAGATGGGACAGTCACCGCAAACAAAACATTACTTGCCGAAGCAGCAGACGCCTCCACAACTGTATGTTCAGGCTCAACCTCAGTATGTTACTAATGTGTACCGCCAGGGTGGAGTGCAAGTTGTGTGTCAATGTATGGACAGAGGATCGGTGGACTTGCGATGACGACGACATCAAATTGAGCTCAAGTTGAGTGGATGCAAACGAACCATTAATGAAGCCGAAAAAAGTACCATACTTCCGAAAAAAAATTTGGTGTTGCACGTCATACATCTGTGCATCTGTTCCGGGGGCGCGGGGGAGCACCCTGTGCTGGTATGGCATATCATAAAAAACACAAAGGTGCTTGCGATCACTGTCCGTTTGCCCCATTATCTTATCAATGGGGATGAGGGCAATCGAGATTACTCTCCAACTTGCCATCCGCTATCGATTGACCTGCAGCGGTGGGCAGTATCCAAAATTGTATGAGTATTGTATCTGATGTCCTTGCCGACTTTGTAAATATAGTTAGATAATTCAATCTGCAGTGGAAGACTCGGAATGGGGGGAGAGCCATAGGGTGTTGAGGAAGACCGCGCATCCTACTTTCTGTGCACAGACGCTTGATGCTTGTGACCCGGTACCGAGAACAGTTGGGCATTCAGTTTGTTTCTTGCTGCCTCTCCCCTCACTATTGTTAGAACTTGCGGATTCGGACGACTCCGGAGTGGAATCGGAGACTTAGCATGGAAGGACCTTGGCCTCAGCGACTCAGGTGGAGCGCTGTGCCATTGCTGGTTGTCCTGGGGGTCCCTAATTTCGGATCTAGCAGAGGGAAAGTCTCTTGGGGGGAATTCAAGTCGATTTCGGACTGAGGTTACAAGTTACTAGGTACATTGTATGTAAGGAGGGGTCCGGAATCAAAAGGAACAAGGGTAGGACAAAAGGAGACAAAGGGAGATGGAAAGAGGAACAACACCGAGGGTCAAGTGTTTGACTCAATGGTGTTTCCCAAGGGAGGAATGAAGGGCCAAGGCCCAAGAAGGAAGGAAGGAGGATGGGAGTCGGGAATGGCTAGCTGACTGAATAGAAAGGAAGCAGCAGCCCAAATAGGAATGAGGGAGAATAGCGGAATTGAAATGGACAATGCAATAGTTGCAAGGTCCGGAGTAAGTCCGGAAAGTCCGAACTCGGAGGTTAAACTCCGGAATATTGGCAAAGGTAATTAAATGGAATGAGCTAACCAATACAATGGGTATAAGCGGAGGTGGGGTCAAAGTCCGAGGTCGGAGCTAAGACCGGAGGTTCCGGAGACGAGACGTGAACGGGATACCGGAGTGGAGGTCCGGAGTCGGGAGCATAGGTTTTGCGTACTCGTCTGGAAGGTGTCGAGGTTGGGGTCGGACCCGGAATGTTCCGGAGTCGGACCGAAGGTGGTGTCCGAGCCGGAGGTGGGATAACCTCTTGGGAGTCGGCAAGGAGAAGGTGACAGAAGGGAAGTAGGGCTCCGGAAGTCGGAGTTCGGAGTTCCGGGAGCCCGGAGCGGAGGTCGGGATTGTATGGATATGACAACTATGCTGAAAGCTAAATCTGCACGCCCAGCTACAGCAAAGGCAACAAAACTTTGGAAGAAGCTGATTCCTTATGCTCAGCCGGAGTCAGGCCCAAGTACAGCTAGCGCATACATCCAGGCTCACCTTCGGTCAGCCTCTACCATTCGTAATTACAACTCCGCAATTAATGGAGCTCGAACCTGGCTCGAACTTAAGTGCATTAAGTACACAAGCTTGACTGAGGACCAAGTTGATGAGTCGGAGCTGGGTCTGTTCCGACACAAGGATGCGTGCATAGCCTTTGAGAAACCTGTTGAGGTCACAGCGCATCTGCTAGCAAAATATATTATGTTCCGGGTTGCAGAAGAAGACAGGTCAGTCTCCGTTGTGGACACCTTGCGCTCTGCCTTCAAGTGGCACTTCCGTAACCTGTCAGTGTCCGCTTCCGTGAGCAGTTTTTCTGGAATCCCACATCTGTCGCTTGTTATAGAGGATTTGAAGGCCCTTGGTATCCACGACCCGACCCTCAGGAGTGCAGGGGCAACCCATGCGACTCCCAGCTGATTATTGACCTTGTTAAGTCAGTGAAGAACCACCACGCATCTGAGGGCACAGTCCGGAATCATGCAAGGGCCATACGGATCAACGACATAAAGGCAATGCAGAGCATCACAGCTGCTTACTGCTCTCCGAGCCTTATCGTGGATGCGCTGAATCCAGAAATCCCCGATGATTTCTTTACTCTCAAACAGTGTGATGACATCCGTTCACACCTCATGCTTTGTGCCCTAACCTCATTGGGCTGGACGCTGTGGACAAGGCATCTTCACCTTGTGCTTATGGCTCGCTAGTCGGCGCTGACTACTACTTGCATTTCTAAATCTAGAAATGAAGAACTCATGTCCATCCTCATCCGGCACCTTGACTGGGGACATGAGGAGACTGCTCACAATCTTCAACACCTCCGCGTCACTTTGGTCAACCGAAAGGGTTGGCAGAAACGGAATCAGGATGGCGAGCAAGGTAGCCAAGGTAATCCATCCCAAGTATCGGGTCGCTGCATTGCCGTACTAAGATCAGGTTTCAGGGAGCCAGTACAACATCTATCCACTCTATGGCCGTGATACGTTTTCCCATCACCATGATCCTCACATGATCCCGCAGCTGGACACGTACGTTCATGTGATGCACTGGATTCAATTCCTCTCCACTCGGTATTGCGGCCGAACACCTTTAAAGGCTCACTATCCCCTCTTCCCCTCATGCTCGCCCCGTTCTCACGATATCCGCTGGGATACCACTCTTTCCACCACTGCCGTCAACGATCTCTTGGCATCCTATGGAAAGCAAGCACATCTGGAGACTGACCGGCTCACATCCCACTGCTTCAGACGTGGCGGACTCCAATACTGGTTCATTCTCGCACCAGTCTTCAGACGGTGGCCGCTTAATCACTGCCAGTGGTGGGGGGGTTGGGCTCCAGGAGAAAGTGTAGGCCGCTGTCCCTGGTTTTGGTTTTATGCACTCACATCTCCATTTTAGGTGTCAACCCTCCTCAAGTACGCTACTGACATGCTGGCAGATGTTGAGCATAACTACAGTGATGCCCTTGCACCAGTCCACATTGACTACTCCGAATCTCAGAACGGAGCGAAGTCACACCTCAATCCCATGACCGTGGAGGAGACCCGTTCTCAATTCGGTCACCTTGGCACGCACATAGGCTATGTCGAGTCTCAGCTCCGAAGGCTTGATCAGATCGAAGCTGGATTCAATACCATTCAAGCATCTCTAGATGAACTCAAGTACTATGCAATGGGGACGCTCGTCCCTCACTATCACCCACTCACCACCCGGCACCGCTCTCCAGGTGAGCCCATTCCATATGGAATTGGTAGGCGGTTTGGTTTGGTACGCTTACAACTTTGATTCAAACAGTAACAGTAACGCCAGTGCCCCGAACATTCCCATTCCCACCTCCTCACATCATACCTCCTCATCCAGCCCCGCGTCCACTTAACCCACACCCTCCCAGTCCCAGGCAACCTCAGGAACGTCGCGATGACGGTCGGCCAGCTCCAGGGGCTGGCCACATCACCATCCCACACGTCTCCACACTCGAAGATGCGATAAAGCAGTGGCTATGTGGGGATGGAAATGAGCTTAAAGTCCCTCTGAAGAAGTGGGAGAAGGGATGGTATACTGGCCGATACTCGGGCGTGCACAGGATGAAATACAACAACCGCCAACGGGTTGGCCAGAAATACAACGAGTTTGTGTAGGCTATTCTGGTCACTGGGCACTTGCTGATGTCGCTTTCCTGACCATGTAGGAATGGGCGAAGCGAAGTTCCTCAGGCACTACGGACTCAAGATGACTGACAATTTTGGTACGGCCCTCAAGGCGATCATGGAGGAAGGGAAGAGGGACGGGTTCATTCAGAGTCGTAACGGCAAAAAATCACACCGAGCATGAACTCTTTCTTTCTTTTTTCTCATTTTCATGTGGACTTACAATTACAATACAACTGCTTGTTTGTCGATCGTCGGCATTCAGAGTCGTAAGTCGTAACGGCAAAAAATCATGCCAACGAGCGTGAACTCTAGATCGGACATGTGTATAGGGGGGGGGGGGGGATGATTACAATGAATTTATTCATGTGGACTTACAACCGCTTGTCGATTATCGACATGCAGAACAACTTGGTTTGGAAAACCCCATCACCCATCTCCATCTCCTCTCTCTCTCTCCCTCAAATCTTCACAGTTCCGGGTGAGATCAACGGTGTTCGAATGTGCTCGAGGGGAAGGATCCAACGGACATTTTTCCGATTTTCTTAAGCCGTTTCTTGCAGCTGGGACAAAGAAGATCACGAAAAAATCGAGGGAATAAGGCGAGCGAGTCCAGAAAATCTCACGGCCCATATCTCCGTCACATCCCAACCGTTCGACACGAGACCGACAGCATTCGAAAGCCCCCGGGTGGGCGAATCCAACGCCACCTGTGTTGTTCCAAATGGTGGAGATCCGGTGGAGACACGATGGGAGTGCATCGGGCTGTTCCAGAACGAAACGCTGACGGCAGCGGCGGTACTGTATACTGCAAGCAATCCAGATGGATGCCGGGGGCCCATGGGGTGGGGTGGGATGGACGGACAAGGACCACAACATGATGACTGGGTGATGTGAACGAATGAATGAAATGATCAAAATATATATATATATATCCAAACCAACCAGGCTCACCAAACCAAAGCGCAAAGCGCACCGAAATCCAAGCGTAAAACCGTGACACTCCAGGCCCAACCACACACACACACACACACACACACACACGTTCACAAACGACGGAAGGACACGGACGGATGCAAAAAGCGACACCCCCTTCCCGATTGGGACGACTGAATGCGCGCGCCCTCAGGTTTGGATCCGGAGCGCTAAATCCCAGGATATAAGTTGAGTACATACACAATATTGGTAGTGGCAGTACACTTGGGATGTCGGAAAATCGCGAGATCAATCAAAAACACGAGACTTGACATTTAATTGTTGTTTAATGTCTTCATTTCACGAGACTAATCATGGGTTAGCAGTCTGCCCCCAGCTGACCTCAGGTTTCCGCCCTTGTTTGCCACTGGCTGGGAAACCTGACTGCGCCCAGTTGCGACCACTTTGGCATTCACATGCCTTCTCTCACCGATCGCGGTTTTCCCATGATTTATCACGCAACTTAGCCTGAACGGGTCAAATCATGCTGCCTCAGTTGTACGCTGAATGTTTTCGGCGCAGATGCGCGAAGCGGACCATTCAGTGGAGGTACGTACTGAATTTTCGCTGTTGAGGAGAGGTTTCATACTACCTAGGTCGTGCCTATAAAGGGGCCCTGACGGATCCCTTTTCCCCTCTCCCTATCGCCTGGTATCTCGCGCTCCCCTGGTGAGTGAGATCCAATTTGCCGCTTGCCTTTCCGGGCTCACGCTTTTGACCCGCTGCCGCTGCTGTTGGAATTTGTACACGTGGTCTTGGGAACCTAAATGCTAAAATATGGACATTCTGGGAGTCGAACCGCAGAACCCTGCATAGGTACCAAGAGTGTGTTACCATTACACTAAATGCCCGCATTAGGCGGAGGTGGTTTCTTACACACCCCCTTCACATTGGATTGAGCCCGTGATCCACATGTGACCCTAACCACCGGGCTTCCAACAGCCCGTGAGCCGTCACCCCCTGAATTCATATTCAGGCCGGACTTACTGCTAATCTCCTACATGTCCACGTCATGTGGTCTGAAGCAGCCGGATTTGGGTCCTTAGTGCTCTGAGCTACACCCCCTGAAACTTTGTCAGGCCGGTTAATTTAATGCTTGACTTCACGTGCCCATCTCACGTGGCAGCAACCGGATTTGGGTGTGCTCGGTGACTTCCGTAGAATGTCCACCATGTTGGAATTTGTACACGTGGTCTTGGGAACCTAAATGCTAAAATATGGACATTCTGGGAGTCGAACCGCAGAACCCTGCATAGGTACCAAGAGTGTGTTACCATTACACTAAATGCCCGCATTAGGCGGAGGTGGTTTCTTACAGCTGCTGCCACCTGCATATTACTCTATCCCGGATTTGCTGCTGCCAATACCGCGATTCTCGACTACATTCCCATCTGCTCCAGCCCCTAGCTTATATTTTCTTGTCTCCCTCCTCCTCCCCGATACTCCTCCATCTCTTCTTTTCGAATTTTTTCACATTGTCTGTTACTCTTTCTCTCCATTGTATTTCACTTTCTCTTCATTGTATTTCACCTCTGTACATTAGCTTCTGTTTGCTGTTTTAGTTGTTAGTGCTTTCAGTTGTGGCTGTCATCAGTTCTAGTAATTTTCCTGCTCTTCCTTTGTATGTACAAGAACGCGGGTCACGCGTCGCGCGCATGCGGCAAATTTCACATGGGCCCTTTGTGGCCGTTGCCCACTACCAGCAGTTGTTAGCCCTGATTAGAACGCCAAAATTTGACGTTTAAACGTGAAATTTGGCATCTAAACGTTGTGATAAATTGTTTATGGCGTTTTTTGATATTATTGAATGTGTTTTTATACCCCTCAAACGCTCTGAATATGTTTTTAATAACTTAATAAATGTGTCATAAATGCTTCCTACAGCATCAAAATCGTCAAAAATCCGTCTCATATAACACATAAAGTAACACCACATCTGACCAATGTATTCTCATTGGCTGTTGGGTAGTTGTTGTAAAAAAACGCCATGAAACGTTTCCCGGGCGTTTAAATGATATACGGGATTTTCCGACAGAGTCACGATGGAGTCACGTGATTGACATTGTCACCCCTTCGTTTGCCAAACTTGGAATCGCCGGCACTTTGGTCCAACTACCAATGCAGATTTTCAGCCCAAATGTGGACAGTATACTCCTTACAGTCCTTCTGGTGGTTCTTCCCAATATAGCGCCGTACGTTGTGCACGCAGTACGTCAGTATCGATCGCAGCAGGAGGGCGATTCTCCGCCTCGGACCCAGCTTCAATCTCCACTTCTTCCATTTCTCGGTTGGATCCTGATGCTCCATTCTCTACATATTATTTACCAAATACTTTTTTGCTATCCCACTAATCTCTTCAATGAGTTAAATCTTGCTGTTGTCACCTCTTCCTCCCTCCTCCGCCAAGCTCTTTTAAAAGGAAGGCCAGCGGATTCCGAGCTTCCCAATAGCGTTGAGGCGCTCCTTTCTCGACTCCAATCGTTAGACGCGCGCTCTCTTTACGTTCGCTTCGGCCATGATACGGTGGAACATTGCGACTATTGTCATACATTTGCGGACTTTGCGCTGTTCGCGTTCCCGTCTGCCGCAATGACTTATGTACAAACTATTGCCCTCGTAGGGCTCATGACAGTGAAAGGAAGTGGAAAACGCCGGTGGAGGTCAGTTGTACCGCAGCCGGAGAACTGCGCTTCAATTGGTATTATTTTGTAGGTCATGGGGAGTTGGGATCCTAGTTACGGCAGCGGTGGTCGAAGCATGGATCCTCACAACCGTGGACATTCAATTCACCTCCGACAATGGGAAAACTGTTATGGTATGAACTCCCGTTCCATTGGTGTAGATTTGGTGGATTTAGTATACAAACAGTGGCATGACGGGGCTTGGCTACTTCGACACAGCCTTTTCCTTCTCCTTCCTATAGGAATACAGGTCCTTCCGTACGAGTATGATTCTTTGGTTCTGCTTGCTTCTTTGCCTGCCTCCGTCCAATCCTTCGAAAGGACACTCAACTCTCTTCAAGCATTGGAGCATCTCCAAGCCGCGTCTTTGCGGAACGAAGGAACTCGTCCAATTGTTGACAGATATTGGGAGGAGCAGGCGCGTCTAGCTCGAGCGGTGAGGGGAAATGAAGAGGTGAAAGAAGAGGCCACTCGTGTAGGAATCGGTTTTGGGGAGGATGAGATTGGCACCAGCCCTGTCGTGACATTTGCGCGCGATACTGTACAGCGATGGAAGGCACTCATGGCGCCGTTATTAACAGACGAACAAATGGGGAAAGGGATGCCATCCGAAGGTTCTAATTAGAGACACACGTGCGGTTGGAAGTGGTCGGGTGTTACCGTGTTAGGAAACAACACTAGCACTAGTTCTCCAGCCCCTACATTACATTCCATCATCTTCGGCGAATATTGGCTTGTTATATCGCTATTAGATACCCAGAATATTGATACCAGTGCGTGCTCAACTCAAAGATGACGAGAACTGAGGTTGCGCCTCTGGATGATGGTCCTGCCGTCGTGCCTGACCTGACTCCGGACGACGCCCCGGTGGCTATCGCGGAATCGAACGATAATAGCGAGGGAGGCAGACTCAAGATGATCGTTCAGCTCCTCAAAAAGTGTTTGGGAGTCAAGGACATCGCGTCAATGTAAGTGGCAGGCTCTACTTGCACCACAGCGCTTCTCGAGGGGCCCGTCAATTTGTGTTGAATTAAGTGCCAATAGGCGTATTTCTCTCCCAGCCTCTCTACTAGAGCCTATCCCCAACTTGGAGTACTGGTCTTACCTGGATCGACCTGACTTATTTGTGGCGTGAGTCGGCGACTTTTTCAACCGTTCCCTATCGATGAGTTTACGAGTCGACTAATCGTACACTTCCCAAAGAATTAATGATTCCACCGATCCTTTTGAAAGGATGCTGGCCGTCCTAAGGTTCACTTTTAGCAAGGACCTTAAGTTCATTGTATGGATTATGTTTATGTCATGACTTGTTCCTTTACGTCTTCATGTGTAGCACGGAAAAGTCGTTAAACCCTACAACTCAGTGTTGGGGGAGCATTTTCGAGCCCATTGGACCATCAAGCCAGTAACCTACACATCCGATCCAACCGAACCTCCCATCTGTCATTCATACACTCAGGACCCCTCTCCGAGCGTACCGCAAAGTGAAACTGCCTCGTCACAAAGTGGTCGTTCCAAAAGGAGTGATGCCCGCCTGAGGAATGGGTCTACATCTGTTAATGGAGTAGATTTGATATCGGCACTCACCTCTGATGCATCCAACATCAGCGTGGGGGGCAACTCCTCGACTTCTGACAGCGAGCCCGTGCGTGTAGTATTTCTAGTAAGACACATACCCCCTTTTCCGGACCGGTAACCGAATGGCCCCCCGTAGACAGAACAAGTCTCCCATCACCCTCCTATATCTTCGTACTACTATGGTGCTCCCGATCGAGGCATTGAGGCGTGTGGAGTAGATCAGATTAGTGCAAAAGTTTCGGGAACATGTGAGTATGAGACACGCTACCTGGAAGCCATTACTGATATCCACGAACTTTAGCTGTTAAAGTCTCTCCTGGGTCACTCAATAAAGGCATTTTCATTGCATTAACGTCTGGCCCCGGGTCCGGCGAGAAATACCAGATCACACACCCGGTTGCGCTTGTCAATGGGATGCTCCGCGGTAGTCCTTACGCGTGCATCTGTGAAACAGTACGGGACCCTCTCTACAGCACGCCCGATAATTTATTGAGAACAGCATCATAGTCCATTATTACTTGCGTAAATCCTAATTCGCAGCAGCACCTTCGAACCATCATCGAGTACAAAGATGAGGTGGGTGCCAGCAGAATACATGTTGCACAGTTTATCTTTACCATATCTTCAGTCATGGATTGGTAAAGCGCAATATCTTCTTGCAGGCGTCATACATGAGTATGACCCATTGGATATCGATCACCTTGAGTGGGTCAGGCCGAAGCATGTTCCCGCTGAAAAAATTCTTGCTACGTTGGAGGGGTGTTGGAAGAAACGGATATACTGGAAAAGAACGGGTGACTCGGTGAGTATGATTTTTTCTGTGCTTTATATCTGCTGTAACACTGACTTTTTCAAGACCAAGCACACGCTAATAGACCTCTCGGCTCTGTCGATATTACCCAAGACCGTACGTCCGCTTGAAGAACAACACCCATTTGAATCACGGAAATTGTGGGGGAATGTTACTTGTGAGTCTTGAATGTTTTCAGTGGCAGCCATCGTGATTTCATACATACGGATGTTTAAAGCAAATTTATTGAAGAGGAATTTCAGCGAAGCCACCAAACATAAACAGTCCATTGAGCAGGCTCAACGAGATGATGCTGCTGACCGAAAGAAGAAAGGCAAGGAGTAAGGCAATGCGTTCTTTGCTCAAAACTGGTAGTATCTCATACCGCGGTTGCCATTTCGCTGCAGGTTTGTACCCGTTTACTTCGAACCCGACATTTCCACGGGGGCACCGAAACTCACAGGCGCAGGGAGACAAGCCGTCAAAGCGGAACTTGTGATGAAGCCGTAGTGGGCCAGGATGTACCCACCTACACCCATGCATGTCGATAGATGGACCACTTTATAGTATGGACTTTTATGTTTTCGATCATTCACCCACATGTCTGTCTTAACCTATTGTCACATATTTATACTTTTCTGGTCCATTTCCTATATTCTCATGATACACTGGCATTAGTTAACACGCAGAATTTCTGTCGAGTCATCGGTCAGAACAGTCGCAAACGGATCACATCGCGATGGGAGTGCTCCCTGATAATATTGAACGGCACTGAGTCCCGCCTTCAGGGTCCTCTTAGCCTACCACTGTCCACCCTAGAATGGCGAGAGGATCTTCTTCAGCAGAATTCCCTGAACCGCTTTCAGACCATCCTGGATCTTCTGGACAAAGCTGGATCCTGTCAATGTGTACACCTTAACAGAGTTGAATTCCCAATATGCGACGACGAAAGCAGATGGATTGTTGTTAACCTTGGGAAGAAAAAAGCTTAAGACGAGTAAAAGAACCGTCGTCCAACCAATCCACTCACGTAGTCTGTGTAATGTAATCACCAACATGCAATTTAATCTCCGCCACAACAGAAGTAGTCAGTACACTAACCTACACAAGTACCTGGGCAACCTGACGATGAATACGCACTGCCAGCCCAGTCGCCGCCTATCATCGTGGCGTGTTACCATCGGCATGGTTGTAAAGCAGCCATTAAGTACTTACATAATGACAAATTGATGATAATACGGTGTTTCGCGAAGTGTGACGGTATGTCGCATTGATCGCTGACGAATTCCGCATATGGGGTTCCCCACGCCTTCGTATGGATTACGGCCGCCCCGGTTTTCACGTCTTGCGGGACATCGCTCGAGTCTCTCGGCCAAAACCACACAGATATCCTGTCGCTTCTGCGTTCCATGGCGTACCTGGACGAATCTGAACAAGAGCAGGGATCTGGTTTCGACGGTTCACTTACCATCCTCCACCGACGGCGTCGAAGGATGGGCCATAACTAGTGCCATCTGCGGAATGAATTCCGCAACCAGCGTTCGAGTTGGCCCTAGCGTCGCAATTGGTTTGTGCCTGATTACTGGCAGTTTACCATAGTGAGTTCTGTCGATAGCGAATGTGGTAGGTGGAAACAACGTACCCAGTGTATTGCGCGGACCCTTCACCTTGGGGAGGCTGTTTACAATTTGGGCCAGTATGCAATGTCGACTGATTTGGACCGCCATCGTTAACTCCTGTGTGTGGAGTTCGTTAACATGATGGAAGTTCAGGGCCCATTTGACATGCCTTCTATGATATCGATCTCTCCTATCGCGTGACGTTACAAGGTCAAGATAGGTCGACGCTTCCATTGTTTCCCCTTACCTCCGTTGGGCCCTGATGTAGCACAAATTCAATCCAGAGTTAAGCTGCTTCACATAATCTGCACTTACAATTAGGTCCATTCTTGATATCAGGATGTCAAGTTGTTCAGTTCACAGCCTTGTAGATAGTTGCTTGATACATACCGTCCAGAATGCCGGCCAAGTCTAGGTGGGAATGGGAATAAGCATACAAGACACTGCACGGAATGGGCGCACTCACCGCACAACCTCTGGGCATATGAGTTATATCTGCAACGATGGTGCTAACGCCCCATTCCTTCCGGCTCTGCAAACGGACAGACTTGCGCCCTGGCCCATTTGGTGAAAGCTTGGCTCTCCAATCGGCTCTGATGCGAAACTTAGTTGCGCTTGCCCACGAAAGATTATTGCTTTTTGCGGTGGCTTCGTCAACGTATCTGGAAGAATATCAAGCGCTGACATGCCTTAGATATCGTATGACTCACTGCACGCGGCCATGCGTAGGGTCCGCGATTGCCTCGTGGGTAAAACCGGAGAAAAAGGAGTCTCCAATGTATGTGTCTGACAAGAACCACTGAATCCCTTGGACGAGAGATGAGAACTGAATGAGTAGAAGAATTAGGGGGATACAAGAACGAGCCATCATCTGTGCAGCGATCGCTTTACAACGTCTCAGACTCCCGGGGTGGGCTTTAATCCTGTCCAAGGAGCTTAGGGTGGAACATCTTAACCGCAGCACTGGCACATATATACCCCCAGTGCATGGGCCGAATTTCAGACGGACAAGCTGATCGCCACGAAAGGCATAAATCGCCTCATAACGTAAAGGCAGAGGATAACAAATTCTGCGCTAGGGGCAGAGGGCATCGCAGAGGCAGCTCCAGTACCTTGCTAACGCTGCCTATTGCAATTGGTTCATCCAACAAGGTTGAGATGGGGCAGGTAGTCGACCAACACCAGAACCAGACCTTACAGGATTGAGCGCACCAATCCCTAAACGAGATCTGATGAACGGAGGGCTTGTTGGTATTCAAGTAATTAGCGCAGAACTCAAATTCGACAGGGTTTAAAGGCACGAATTGGACTTCGGTCTGTGGCAGTGCGCGTCACGAGCGCCATATATTTTGCAACAAAATATTGTAATTCTACATGAATTTGCACACAGGGTGTGTTACCTCAGCTTGGTAATTGACGATGACCTCTGTATTTCAAAATTGTGCCTTTCTTTTTGTCAATGTTCATTTCGTTTCCTCTGATCAGCCAATGATCAGCTCTTCGCTCGCATGCAGTCATCGGGTCCGTTCTGCTGGAGTGTCACTCGGGCTTTGTTTCCTGCTATTGCACCAACAAGGACTCATTTTCGACTGACTTCCATTGCTGTCACTTTCCAGCTCAAGACTGAATTAAGTCAGAGAGAGTATCATATGCCCCCATGGCATTGTTTTGTGTTGACTGCTGCATGTATTCTGTGGGTGGAGGATCAAGCGGGCGGTTGAATCGAACGCAAGATCCACAGGTAATGTTGCCTCATAAATTTGAGGCCATGTGGCTGGGGCTTCAAACACCCCTTAGAGTGTTCTCCTAAATCATTTGCACAGCGTCGCTTATTCTGTATGGGCATGCTGAGCCCGGATTGGAGGGGAAAGGGTGACTTCGGCAATTACTGCAATCCAATTCTACTGAGGTCAGAGGAAAAAGTCGATTGCAGATGTCATAAAATATTCTACATCTCGTCCCGAATAAGAATCAATATTGTGAAGAAGTTGTTCAACACCATTATGTAAATCTATGACTTTCAGGTTCCATAATGACCCCGCAGGGACGGTCGCAGATGAGGGGGGGGGGGTAGCGAGTTTTGTAATGTTGCTTCCGGAGAGTGCGCCTCCTAAGCGAAATCCAGTGGGCGCCTGTTCCTATGATCGCTGGGCAAATTCGGTACAAATCAAGTAATCGAAAGCCCTAGAAATTGATATAAATATAATTACTTGCACAGCAGTTGGATTTTGGAAGCGCTCAAAATCCTGGACTTCTGCAGCCGCCCTCCGTGATCGGATCAACGACACATGATAAACTCAAGCCCGCGGGACATTGCCAAAAAGAGAGTCGAATCTTAACATGGCCAACTCCGCAACCAAACAAAGCCCGCTTAGTCACGTGGCTGTCAATCGACGTGACGCGTCCAACTTTCAACTTACGAAGACACGCTCTCGTTACAGTATGTCGAAGCTCTGCAAAATGGCCAATGCTTTGCATATTCACTAGCATTCTTTCAGATCATCATTAGGCTCAAATGGAGTGCAGTTTTGCTCTCATCGGTAGCAACTTCTTTCGTGCACGACGCGTGTCCCGTTGAACTCTGGGTTGTCTTTCAGGAAAAGGATATGTTCTAGTGGCGTCTGATACCACAGCTGTGCGCTCAATCGTGAAGATGAAGTCTGATGAGGATAAGACCAAGATACTAAGTCCTCACCTCGCAATGAGTTACTCTGGCGAGCCAGGCGAGTCCCGACGCAGTTCTACCTTGACATTTAAGTCTCAAACGATACGTAGGCGATACGATTCAGTTTGCCGAGTATGTTGAACGAAACATAAGATTACAGCATATACGGTATGTCTCTAGGCTGGCTGAATTGTCCACTTGAACTTCGCTAAATTTGCCAAAGTCACCATCACGAACTGCGCCCTCAGTCTGCCGCTTCATGGGTCCGCCGCTCTCTTGCAGATTCTATTCGGTCAAGACAACCATATTCTGTCAATGTCATGCTAGGTGGTTATGACCAAGCAACTTCCACTCCGCACCTGTACTGGATCGACTACCTTGGAACACTGGCGAGCGTGCCCTATGCTGCACATGGATATGGGGCCTACTTCGCATTATCTCTACTTGATCGGTGAGGCATGAAGGTTGGCTATTGAGTCCCATGACTCAAGCCTCGTTTGCTCCTTTTAGTTATCACGATCCATCTGCTTCACTGGAGGAAGGGTTACAAACACTGCGACGATGCATCGATGAGGTTGCTAAGCGTCTCGTTGTTGGTACTGACAAATACATTGTCAAAGTCATTGACAAGGACGGTGCCAGGACTGTCCAACTTCCCCCTTCCGTTCCAATCGCTTGACATTCTGTATTGTGATGATCAATTTCACTCCAGTGCTGAGCAATAATTACTTGAGTATTCCTGTGGCTTTGTTGTCATCTCGGTGTCTAAGGCAGGTGATCAGCTCTCTTTAGCGTTTGCAAGTTGCAAGGTCAATATTAATTCCGACTTTCCGGAGTGTGCTATTGGAATTACATGCTGGTGTGCCTTCCCTGTTACTGGTGCAGTGATGGCTTTGTTTTTGTTGTTTTCTGAACGATGGTTGTATTGTAGGGGAGTTGGCCCAGTTAACTAACTCCCTAGTGAAAACGGACATGGACGGAATGCCCAGACGACCAAACAAGCGATCCTCAATCGTCTAACGGCTATGATACCGCTCTCTCACAGCGGGGGCCTGGGTTCGACTCCCAGTTGGGGAAGTAGGGTCCTCTTTTTTTTAACTTACTCTACATTACCGAGCCGTTCCGGGAAGGGAACTGGCATAAAGCTCTGTATGCCAGAAATTTTCCAGCAAAAAAAAAAGGATTCCCCAACTGGGAGTCGAACCCAGGCCCCCGCTGTGAGAGAGCGGTATCATAGCCGTTAGACGATTGAGGACATCCGGGATTCCCGCGAATCCTAAGAGTAATACATATTTTCAGCGGTACATGAAATTCTCCCACAATTAATTATTGTTTAATGTGTTCATTTACTGTTATTCCCGCTACTCTGTAGCGGGTCTTGTAAATTTTTCGACCCTGATTGAATGCGTTTGATGACAAGGTCCTCTATTATTGCCAATCCTAGATAACCCAGGGTTCTCCCAACTCACTAACCAATTTCTCTTATACCGCACCACCTCACTGTGCCTCTCTCATGCTTTCCGGACCGCCGCTACCTTCCAGTTCCTCCACCGTTTGTACTGTGCCGCATATTCGTGATCGCCTACTTGCGCATATTCTGTTTGGTGACTGTTGCCAAATTCCCCCTTTCCCCGCGTGCGTCCATCTTTGCATCCGATTTCCGAATTATGACAGATATCTTCATGATGTCTGTATGCCCAGTTCGAATATCATTGTTGTTCACCCGATTTTGGTCGCGCATTGAGACGTCCGAGATTGGAAGGGCCAATGACCTCAACAATTCAGTGCGGGTCATGAAAATTGAATATCATTGGTTCATCTGACGCGCTGATCATTTTGCGTTGATGCATTTGTGCTCTGTTGTGTCTCGTTCGCTGCGCTTGTTTTAAATTTAATGGAGGAACGAGACCAAATGGCCGTCGCCAGGCTATTCTTGTCGCATTCGCTCACCAAGAGGACAGAAGAGTGGCGGGACCTGCCGCGTCAGGCGGTGTCCACCAGTTATTTAATGGAGGTACGAGATTAAATTAGGCTTGTGCGCACTCAGTCTAAACGCACTCATTGGTCTCTTTTCGCGCGTGGCATTTTTCCCGGTGGTGTTTAATCTTATGCGCCGTACCCGCTGTCGGCCTTACGCATACTGTGCCTTCCGAGGTTACAGTCATGCCGATTCAGGTTTTTGCCGCTGCATTCCTGGGTCGATTCTTCCGGACAATCTCATCCGTGAGTTTCGTCCGCCTATGCTACAGGGCTCTGGCCCTCTTATACCTTTCCTCTGCTGAAGGCGTGTTCTTTCTTAGTCTTTTCTTTTGTCCTGTATGCTGTTTTTTGACGAAGACATTCCTTCGTCTTCCTTGCTTCCGGTAAGCCTTTCGGTCTCGCCGAGGGGGAGGTGTTGTGACCTTCGGTTACTCTCGGTGGGTGGGATCCCGATTGCTTACTTAGGTTTTTCTAGGTTTCCTTTTTTCGGTTGTTTCCTTGCCCGCTGTAACTTCTGTCTTTCTTTCCTTATTGCTCGTTGTCCTTGTCGTTTGCGAAACCCTCCTCCTTCCCCGGTCTCCTCCCTATTGTAAATTAACCGGGTCGCCTTCAATTCCAGAGGTTCTGGCATTTGCCGGGACTGTTGCCCCGCTAATCGCTTGAGTCTCCTGCGTGCACACAAGCTGTACTATAACGACCATAAGTTCGTCGCATGTCGCATGAAGATTTTGGATTGAATTGATTTGGAGCCTCCGGCAACTTCCGGAGGCCGTGGGAATGAACTAACGGTCGTTATACTACAGTAATCTTCGTCAAAGTTGGAACTTACGCCCAAGTTTGCAACCATGAAACATGAGTCACACATGCCCCAGACCAACATGCCGACCTGGATCTACATCTCCTGCACAATATTTTCCGGGTTCTTCCCCCATTGCGCGTGATACACCTCTCAGCACCTAGGCAGGTTACCAGCCTCTATTAGTATAGACTCAGCACCCTGGACCTCTTTCTTACGTCCTCTCACAAACCTCCTCTGGGTTCTTTTTTGTTGCTCTTGCTCATGCGCCTCTGTTGCCCCGTGCTCATGTGTTTATCAGCTCTTTTCACAGACCAATCTCTGCCTCAGAATCAGCTGCCAGGCCGTTTCAGGATGTAGGCAGATTTTCACGCGATAAAACAGGCCTGCATTTAAGAAGAAGCTCCTTCCCCTCGCCGCTTCACGCTGATCGTCCCTCTGCCTAAGCTTGATCTCTATACTGATCCTACGGATATCAGGTACCCTCGCTGATCTCGAACAACACCTCGGGGCCCCAAGTGGAAACCAAGTCAGTTTCGACGAACTCGACTCGGTCATCTCCAACTTCGGTAATCGCACCTTCGGACTACTCGAGGCGTGGCGAAGACTCCGGGGACTCCTGGACCGCGCCCCTAACCTCTCCAAGGAAGAACAAGACCAGCTCTGGGACCGGTACATCGCCCGCTTGGAACAAACGGCTGTTTTCAGGGAAGATGCAATCACCCGCGGCTCACAGACCCGAAACCATCTTCCCCAACCAGCGCTCGACCACCAACTCAACGAACGCGAACTGGCCCGTGCGCGGGACCGACCTGCCCACCCAGGAGGCGATGGTCCTGAAGATCCCGCACGAGTCGACGTAGCAGTGGGCATCCGAAGACGACGAGAAAACGACGACGAGGGAGATGAGTTACGTGGGTGTGCGAGACGACTCCGTGAGGTTGCGGATGACCACGACCCACGTTACGCCTGCAACTGGGACGTCGAAGGGGGAAATATCCCTTGGGATGCCAACGTCGACCTCAGTACTGCCGAGAAGACCCACCGACTACGAAGTATCTATCAACTGCCAAGGGAGCGGTCCGCAGTCTTCTCGCTCGGGGCGAAGCACCACCCTTTCCACAGAACCAGTGGCGTGACCTTCTCTGCGACAGACACATCGACCTTGCCGCCATTGTCGAAGACCACAACGCGATTGCACCAAGTTGTCACGAAGCCATCAACCTGGGCGGAGGAGCCGAGCTTACCCTCAACCGACCAGCAGCAAAAAAATTAGGACCCAGGTGAGTGGATCCTCGGTTTTGAGAAGTATCAGTGTGCAGTCACCTGGGCCTACCCTCACCGGCGTGGGGAGCTCGAACACTACTGTGGACATATGCTCGACAAATTCTGCGCCTGTGCCGACCACTATCGAGTCTTCTGTTACGATTCCGCGGTTCGAAAGTTTGTACAGGAGCGTTCGTACCTCACCCTCGCCGACACCCACCTCTTTGGCGATATCGCCTTTAAATGGAGGAGGTGAGGCCGTAACCTCGGCGACAGCAACGCAGAAAGGACTGGGTCGAGGGGCAAGCAGGGAAGAAGCCAGTGGCCGCACTCCGGTCTGTGGCGAGTTTAATTCAGGAAAGGATGCTCCTTCGAACAATGCCGCTTCAAGCACATCTGCAAACTTTCAATGGCGACCACCCGCGATTCAGTGTCCCAGAGAACTGGCGCAAAAGAGATCGCCTGATGGGACAAGAGTGATGCTTGCGAACGCCGGAAAGCGACCAAGGCGCTTAAGATTCCTTTTTGGACGCAGCGACTGCGGGCGTTCCCCTTCTACTACTTACACTGAGAGCGCCCTGTCTGTCCCGCGAGTTCCAGCTGGCGATTACAAGTACCAGGATATCTCTGACACTATTGCTAAGCACCCTCACTTGTTTAAAATCGTCACCCCAATAAATGTTGACAAGTTCGAGGCCTTGCTGGCAGACCACCCGAACCGCGCGTTAATAAAATCAATGTGTCAGGGACTCAGGTTTGGTTTTTGGCCTTTCGCCGATACCGAGGATCCAAATCTACAGCCAAAGGGGATCGTAACCCGACCGACTGGCCTACCGGACTTGGATGATGAATCCCTTGTTTTCCTGCGCCGCCAGCGAGACATCGAAGTGGAGCTCGATCGATATTCCGCAGCGTTTGGCAGTACTCTCTTACCTGGGACAACAGCGCAACCGATATCTACGGTCCCGAAGCGGGGTTCCTCCAAGTTGCGTCTGGTCAATGATCACAGTGCAGGGGCCAAGTATCTAAATTCGCTTATTCCGGCTGAGGGAGGATTTGTCAAGTTAGATAACCTGACGGACCTGGTCACCAATATCCGTGCGCGAATGGCGAGCAACGGGGGCAAGAGACCTTCCTTCGTATGGAAATCTGACGCTTCCCAAGCATATCGCCGCCTCCCGATGCGCCTACGCTGGCAAGCGCGCCAGGCAACACTAATAGACAGACAGTACCACATTGATCGTTGTGCCGTCTTTGGGAACCGTGCTTCCGGTCGACTCTGGTGTCTATTCTTTGGCCTAGTCTGCTGGATTGGGATCCATGTAAAGGGATTCCCGACTTGCTCCACTACGTAGACGATGCGTTTTGTGCTACTTTCTCCCCGGACCTCACTCTGTACCCGCCGTACAAACGTCTCATGCCATCCAGCCAGGCGGAATTCCTTTCACTTCTGGATCTTATTGGCGTCCCGCATGAGGACCATAAGCAACAATACGGTGAAATCCTAGAAATCATTGGTTTCCAAATTGACCTTCCAGCAATGACAATCCGAATGTCAAATGATGCCAAACGCCAGGCAGCTGAGGCCATATATGATTTCCTGGACAACCCTGCTGCTCCACGTCAACAACCCCTTCGCTCTTGGCTGCGGATTCTCGGACTTAACTGGGCGCTCAACGTCTTCCCGTTATTGAAACCAGCGCTCAACTCGGGGTATGATAAGGTTGCAGGGAGAAAGTTTATGGGGGCGATGATCTACACCAACAAGCGGGTCAAAAACAACTTGATCTGGTTTGCCGAGCAAATGGAATTGCTGGATGGTGTACGCATGCTGGAAGCTGAGGAATGGGGACCGGAAGAGGCAGACGTGCAAATATGGGGGGACGTCAGTAGAATGGGTTTGGCCTTTTTCTCCCCCACTCACAAAATTGCTTTCATTGCAGACCCGATCGTCGACCGGGAGCGCAACTTTAACATCTTCTTTAACGAAGCGGTGACAGTTCTGGCAGCACTTGAGTGGAGTGCATCCCTTTCTCCACGACCACGCCGCCTTGCGATCCACACGTGCCATTTTCAACACTCTTCGTGCCCTTGACGTCTATAACCCGATTATCATGGCTGCGGTCGAAATACGCCTACGTTCAAATATCGACCTCCGAGTTTTCCACATTGAAGGAAAAAAGAATGTGGTTGCTGATGCACTTTCTAGCAGGGCTCTCGCTCTAGCGCGTTCTTATATGCCCGACCTGTCAATAAGACAATTAACGCCTCCGCTGGATATGACGGGGGCGGGGAAAAGATGAGCGGTACCAACCACCCCTCGACCATGCAACCTGCGCGAGAAAGGTGGTCGGTAAGGCGACTTCTGGAGGAACGTGCCCGGGCGCTGGGTGCTTCCCTGGAGCGCAGTACACGCAAAAGTTATGCATCTACCTTTACGTCTTACACTTCTTTCTGTGACATGCATAATTTTCCCCTCCAACCCTCAGAGAACACCCTCAGCCTTTATGTGGTTTACATGTGCCATTATATCCGTCATCGTCCGTCAAGTCTTACCTTTCCGGGATCTCTGCTGAACTCGAAGGAATTTGGCCCGAGATACGCTCAATCCGGAATTCACCGTTAGTCATACGGTGCCTCCATGGTTGTTCAAAGATACTTAACCTCCCCGCTCGACGGAAAAGGGCCCTCACAGAGGATGACCTCTCCCACATTCAGGCAAGGATGACCCGGCCCTTGTCCCATGATGATAAGCTATTTCTTGCATTAACGCTCACGGGGTGGCATTGCCTAATGAGGCTCGGTGAACTGGTGTACCCGGACGCTGCGAGCCTGCGGGATTTCCGCAAAGTGATCTCCCGCCGTTCAGTCCAATTCAAGAGGGACCCGAGACCACATGTCACGTTCACGCTGCCCATGCACAAGGCCGACCGATTGTTCCAGGGGTCCACGTTAGCACTGGAAGAACGCCGACATAGCTTGAGTCCGTTGAAAGCTATTGTTGAATACCTTGCCTCACGCGATGAGCGTTTCGGCCATGTTCCTGAACTCTGGCTGACGAACAGCGGATCGGTCCCTACCCGCTCCTGGTACCTGAGCCGTCTTCGCCCGCTCTTCTTCCCCAACGACGATGTCAACGGACACTCTCTTCGCTCAGGAGGGGCCACAGCGCTTGCCTTAGCAGGAACCTCACTGAGTCGAATCTAATCGATTGGCGTTGGTCATCCGAAGCATTCCTAGTCTACACGACAGAATCCCATTTTGATCCAAGGTTCTATAGCTGGTACATCTGCCTTTGACGCTGCTCATGTCCAGAACGAATCCAGTAAGTACTCACGGCCCTTCTCATCTTAATCCTTTCCACCACCGCCATCCCCTTCCGCCCCCGAGTTACGATGGTTCGGTTACGGGTCCGGGGCCGCTCGAGGCCTGGGCATTTATCGGCCGTTCCCGCTACAACTCGGGCCAGTACCCCTGATTAGCTGTTTAGTTACGACCTCAGCGGAGTTGTCGAATTTATTGCACTATAGTCATTTGCCTCCACCCTCGATGTTCACAGTAGCAATTTCTCAACAACCACTGAGCCTTTTCACTTCATTCTTTTTACATAACCTTCTGCTGTATGATACCACTAAATATTAGCCAAATCGGCTTTGCGGTTGTTGCAGCAAACACTGAAATGCATATTTTAACAAGCAATTCACGTAAGCTCATTTGGGACGTGTTTTCGCACCACTTACAACAGAGGAACAGGGAGAGAATGTCAATACTAGAGGTGGGGAAATCCATTTTCGAGGGTATTTGTCCTGAAGTGGACACTACATGCAAGCATATAGTCAGAATAAATACATCACAGTTTGTAAAAACACAAAGAAAAGGCCATACAAGTGCAGTAACAGAATGCAAACCCTAATTAAGCGCTGGACAGTGTGAAAAGATGCCTTGGAATAATTAGACATGATAGTCTGTGCATTGGCAACTTGGTGACAAACACTTTTCATGGTATGAATTTAAGAGGTCACCCCTCGATATCATACCTTAGTAGATTCACCATAGTGCTACGGAAACTTTATCAATAGCACCTGAAACCGGTGAAGAGGGTTCAGTGTTCATCTTCGGGGGCTGTCAGTGATTTGGACAATACTTATGGTTTCTTCATCTTGCTCCGTAATCGATTGCCTTTCATGTGTTGTTATTTATGTGCGCACTCAGTCTAAACGCACTCATTGGTCTCTTTTCGCGCGTGGCTTTTTTCCCGGTGGTGTTTAATCTTATGCGCCGTACCCGCTGTCGGCCTTACGCATACTGTGCTTCCGAGTTACAGTCATGCCGATTCAGGTTTTTGCCGCTGCATTCCTGGTCGATTCTTCCGGACAATCTCATCCGTGAGTTCGTCCGCCTATGCTACAGGGCTCTGGCCCTCTTATACCTTTCCTCTGCTGAAGGCGTGTTCTTTCTTAGTCTATTCTTTTGTCCTGTATGCTGTTTTTTGACGAAGACATTCCTTCGTCTTCCTTGCTTCCGGTAAGCCTTTCGGTCTCGCGAGGGGAGGTGTTGTGACCTTCGGTTACTCTCGGTGGGTGGGATCCCGATTGCTTACTTAGGTTTTTCTAGGTTTCCTTTTTCGGTTGTTTCCTTGCTCGCTGTAACTTCTGTCTTTCTTTCCTTATTGCTCGTTGTCCTTGTCGTTTGCGAAACCCTCCTTCTTCCCCGGTCTCCTCCCTATTGTAAATTAACCGGGTCGCCTTCAATTCCAGAGGTTCTGGCATTTGCCGGGACTGTTGCCCGCTAATCGCTTGAGTCTCCTGCGTGCACACAAGCTGTGGTTCATTCATTGTCCCTATCTTCATGCGTAGTGTGGGGTTCGATCTCAACCAAAATGAATTGATTGAATAAGCAAGTGGCGGCACTGCCGCGTCAGGGCGGCGCCACCATATTCAGCGAAGAGGGATCATTTGGCGACTGCTTTCGTATTAATTATGACTGCAAAACTCATACACCATCTTCAAGGTAGGTTTGTATCAAGCCCGAGAATACTTGCAGTTTCACACCTATTTCTTGTCGCAACGAAAACTTAGGTCATGAAGATCGAGCTTGGCACCTTGCGTGGAATCCGTCCCGATCCCTTGTCGCCACTTGCTCATCTGACAAATCCGTCCGCCTGTATTCTTATCGTCGATCACCCGATGGTGCAGAAGGATCACCTTCCTTAGAATTTCGTACAGCAGATGTTATTCCCACCGGCCATTCCAAAACTGTTAGAAGTATCGCTTGGTCTCCTTCGGGGGAAAATCTGGCCACTGCTTCATTTGACTCTACAGTGGCCATCTTTTCCCGTAGTGAAAACCGGGACGACGAAACTGCTAGTGGCGAGTGGGAATGCGTTTCTACGCTTGAAGGGCATGAGAGCGAATGTAAGAGTGTCGGGTATTCATGTACGGGGACACTTCTCGCTAGTTGCAGCAGGGACAAGAGTGTTTGGATATGGGAAGGTTTGTGGGTATCCTTAAGAGCTGGGAGACTTCGCTGAACATTCGATCCTTCTAGTCCAGCCTGATGCGGATTTCGAATGCATGAGTGTCCTTATGGAACACACCCAGGATGTGAAATGCCTGGCCTGGCATCCCAAAGAAGAGGTACTGTGTCTGCCGCACTGAGTAATCCGACTCCCATCTCCCTAATGTCGTTATAGATTCTCGCTTCAGCATCCTACGATGACACAATAAAGTTATACATCGATGATCCCGAAGATGATTGGTACCCTTTCACTACGTTGTCTGGCCATACCTCTACCGTTTGGTCTCTCTCTTTCTCCCCATGTGGAAATTATTTGGCCTCGTGCTCCGACGACCGATCCCTCAAAATCTGGCATCGAAAGCCTCGATCCGCTCCAAAAAATGCCCCTGGAGGGATCGGAGTTGGTGCCGGAAGCTCAGTGGAGAACTGGATTTGCGAGCTTACCATCCCGAATGCACATGACCGGCCGATATATTCTGTATCATTCACCCATTCTCGGAGGAAAGGGATGATTGAGGCCGAAGTTAAGGAGATTGGTTGGCTTGCCAGTGCGGGTAGCGATGAGAAGGTTAACGTTTGGTCCATATTGGTGGGTCCGGCATACTTAGTGAACTTGGGGACAGCTTACTTGACCACAAGTACAGGTAACAACAGCTGCCGAGCCAGGTTCGATCGGAATGTCGTATCAACACATTACGTCGTTTGAGCCATCTCAGGGCGACATCAATGCGGTAGCTTGGTGTCCTCGGGAAGGGTTCCAGGATTTACTAGGAACCGTGGGTGACGATGGGTCATTGAGCATATGGTCAATAGTGGAGAATGAAACCGGGATGCCTCTCAATCCCCTGTCGTCGCGATAACACTCCGCATGTGAGCATGTTATCTCGTTCCCGCACTCAGAACCTTTAGATTAGGAGCTCTATTTCCGCTGTGATCGTGGCGGCGCTTAGCAGGCTTTTCTGAAAGTGGTTTCTCACCATCATACTTGCATCATGGGAATAAGCTTAGGACGCACATTACAGTATTTAATTACTTTCCTTCCTTGGTCCCAATCTCGACCTGTGGGGCTGACTTCGCCTTTCCACGGACTTAGTACATGCTGGTGCCGATTCGAATTGTGACAGTCATCTGCAGTCGCTCTTGGCGTCACTCCCAGATGCCATGACCCTCCGACTACGATCGGTGCTGTCACGATGCTTTTGTCTACATTACATGCTAAACGTATCACCAAGAATCATCGACGCTCCTGCCGAGTCTGGCTGCCACCAGCCGCTTTCATGAGGCTCTTTAAGTCCGATGATTGGGTTTAGCTTACGGTCACAGGTACATATGTGACCTGATTCCGCCTCTGGATTTTGAATATTCGATGAATAGGAAAGGTTCAGTCAGCGAGCATGTGGTATCCACTATCTTGATTGATATTGGATTCCTTTCTCCGATACGCTCATATGCTGTCCCACGGTTGACCTTGATCATGACAAAAAGGCGTCGAAAAAGAAAATTTGGAATTCCACTCGATGCAATACATGCACGAGCACACGCTCTACTTGTCATGCGAGTCAGGTCATATTAAAGGAAAACGAGCTTTTCTCACATGCAACAGCGCCGACTGGGGGAAGTATCGCTTGGTTTTACATACATGGATGCAGCGTGTAGCATTGAGATGGCGATCGAATGCTCCTCGGAGTTGAAGTGACAAACACCCTGCAATGTGGCAACCATTAAGCTTAATTAAATTGAACTAGTGCTTAGTTCCTTGATTAATTGGTCGTCGCTAGTATCCATGGTCACTAGGTGAAGCTTGGATGCGATATGTACTTGTGGTAGTGCTGGTAGCAAAGGAAGTTCCCCTAGATTGGGAGAAAAGGCATATACGGCCTGGAGGCCGGCCCGCTTTGTATTGGTGGGGTCAATTTGATAGTGCTAACAAGGGGAACGAGTAAAGCATCCCACAGACCTATGGGAAGTGCCAACTAGGCTAGAGAAATTACTCACCTTTTCAATCGGCCGGAGAATTACTTCCACATTTCCTGATTTTTGCTAGTTGAACAATGAATCGAACGTTTGGAATTCCTTCATGTAGTCGCATTTGTTTAATCCTTGAATGAGATTACACCACTGAATAGCTAGATGATAACAAAGGCTGGGAGGAATGGCAGTTGTTGAGGTCAAATAAAAGGTCACTGCAGCTAGAAGTTGAGAAAATCGCGGTTGATTGTTACGCCGATAGAAGTGTGGTGCAGTTGTAATAGTAAACAGTGGTGCGAGTAATGTAGACGTGGACAGTGGGCGGGTGAAGTCGGTAAGTTTGGAGTATAAAGTTGAATATAAAAACAGACACCAAGTCTGTTGTGGTGAAAACACGATCGAAGGCTATGAGTAGAGGAAAAAGAACAAGCAAGCACGTACTGTTTTAAAAGAAAAAAGTATGAAAGTAAAGAAGCGAAACATCTCGGAGGAGCACAACCACTCATTTGAGGGTGGGTACAACAACACAAATTCCGTCGTTCATCGGATCAGAAGCGCAAGAGGAATTGCACTCCTCGCAGGTAACCCACTCACACTTCTCGAACTCGAACTGCTATGTCTACTCACACTAGACACAGAGCCAGAACTCATCCTACTTCCCGCCCGACTCGTACTTCTCCCTTCACCTTCAGCGACACTTTCCAAAGACGATCTCGAAGAGGTTGATGCCCCACGTCGAAGGTACCGCACCCTTATACTCTCCTGAGCTGAAAGAGAGGAAACTGAACTTCCTCTAGAACCCAGTCTTGAATGAGTCTTCATTTTTCGTGCAATATCATGCTTCGTTTCCGATCCGGATGACTCAGACTCTGAGAAGGACGAAGATAGCGAAGAAGACCCAACCGACGAACTGGAGGGTGGGGATGGTATCACGTACGACTTTGGTGGTGTTGGAGGCTTCTTTATGGGCGTTCGATCGTAAGGGGGCGTGTAGGGAGTATTGGGTGGCGTAAGAGGGGATGGAGTGGAAGGAATTGCTGAAGGGGGTGTTGAAAAGGACGTGGGAAGGGATATTGGAGACAATGGATGGGAACGAGAAGGGGGATGACGCGGCGAAGGGGTCGCTGCGGATGGTGTATGAGGTTGGTATGGATGGGATGAAAGCGATGGGGTGGGCGGGGGCAGTGGAGTAGAGGCGTGAAGCCGATTCTTGAGTATCCCTCTCGGCACAGTCGCATTTAGCGATATCGGTGTCGCAGGTTTCATTGGTAGGATAGATGACGAAGATGTTGCGGATGTTATTGGCAGAGTGTTCACGCGCTTTGGACTTAAACCCCGAGATTGCATGGTCGAAGGTCCTGGCGTCAGGGGAAGGAAATGTGTAGGTTTGGGCGGGACGGGTGGTTTTGTGTAAAGCGCGTCTATAGTTTCTCTCCAGGGCGAATTCACGCTCGTCTCTGTTGGAATACACGTTCGTCGTCGTGAAGGAGAGCGAGGTGCGTTGACTACTGGCGCTGCACTGATACGCCGGGGCGTGACATTTGCGGATGTTGAGCCATTTCTTCCATAGACGATGCAGATGAGGAAGAAGAGGTGTTCCTATCGATAATAACGTGCGTTTCCGGAGGAGGAATATGTTCGAGTTTCGCAGGTCTCTTGACCGCTCTACGAGATGCAAGACCACGCGAAGTCGACGCGTCAAGCGAAAACTGGGTGGACGGTAATGTTAATTCGATCGCTGCTAGTTTGAGGTTGGGTGTGGAAACTGAGCGCGCAGGTGGTCTCGGAGCGGGTCTTGGGTTCAGAAATGCATCATCACGAAACCCTGAAGCGCGCGATGGTAAATGCGGCGCTGGTTGCCCAAGTTGTCCCCTGACTGTGTTTCCCTTAACAGGCGAGACGGGAGATGGGAGAGTTTTCTCCGGACCCGACGTGGCACATGCTGAAGAAAATTGTGGGAGAGCGGGGTGCGACTGAGCCGGAGGTACGGCGGAGGGAGGCATTGGAAAATCAGAAAGAAGGCCACTAATAGAGGACACACTCGACCGAGCAGACTCGCTTGACGGAGGGCTCTGTGTCCCTTCTTCGCGCGTGATGTCAGTGCCATGTTTGCCAACCATTGCAGCTGGATCATTGGACTCGAAGCGAAGATATTGGAAGAGGGGAGTGGTCGGAGACTTCATCATATCGGCTCTAGAATAATGGATAATCTGAACATTCGAAAGCTCATGACCGAGATCTGTCAAGTTGTCTTCCTCTCTCCGTCCCTTTTCAGCGTTGTCATTGTCGCTATCTTCGTTATACCACCCCGATTTGAATGTATCGAGGTCAGAGAACAAGGAGCGAAACTGTGCGTCAAGAGGCGATTTCCCTCATCTTCGATGGCACTGAGGATGGATACTCGACGTGTCTCGTCAAGCTCTGTTACAGGGGACAGAGGGGGCGTTATCCTTAACAGAAGCCGACTCTTGCGTGGTGTAGCAGACGTGGACACGCGCGGGGAAGTCATGATGGTAGAAGGTGACGCGAGGAATATAGGTGAAGATGGCGAGACAAAATGAGCAGCAGGGTGCTCGTAGATTTGAAGGGGGGGTGGTCTCAGGGTTGAACGCATAGCTTAAGGCTCAGCGTAGTTCCAAGACAACCCCGAGTGTAGTTGTGCACCAAACCAAGCTAACTGGATCGTCCAAATCAGTCAAGGGGAAGGGTAGGTGAGAGTTGGGTTTTGCGACTCACAGGAATGAGAGAGTTAAGTCCAAGAGTGTGTAGGTAGAATAATAAGGATAAGGAACAATGGTAGTATCCAAAAGCGCCGTCTAGGCTGTTATGCGCCAGGACAAGAGAATGAACATTGTTGCAGAGAGAGAGTCTCTCGTTCTTCTGCCACATTGTTTCAGCGTGAGAAATATCAGTCTATTTCCTTTGTTCGGATGCAAACCATTCAATCATATGCGGGATGATCTTCGGTTTGAAATATAATGAATTGATGGATTTCCTTTGTTCAATTTTTTCCCTTCTTTTTGTTCTTGTTGTTTCCCCGCTTTAGCCTCCCTTCGTATCATTACCTCCATCTTTGTTTTCGAATCATTCCCCTGCTCTGTTGCTCACTACTTCGTACCTTCGCCCTAGCCTCCTTTCCTCTCTCACCGCAGTATGCCCAGAAAAAATCTCAACGCCAACAACCAAGGCGAACGTCATCAACTTCTCGCTGCACGGCCGGATATTCCCGGGACTTGCATTTGATCATCTTCTCTTTTACCCTTCCTTTTCGTTTCTTCCGCTTTTGGACGTCGCTCACACTTTGTACTTTTACAGTAAAGCATCCATATGCGCCTCCCTTTCACTCTCTTTGATGCATCATTTTCCGGTGCTCACAGACACCAGTGAATGTCTTCGCGACAGCCGGTCTGGCTGGCCTGGCTCGTGTTTCACCTCTGTGAAAATATTGCTCTCCCCCTAATATGTATCAGACCTCACGAGACCCACCAAATTTGTCAATTCGAGAGTATATCTTGTCTTGTTTTGTCTCGCAAGCTCAATGATTCAGTAAAGGTCCCAACAGTTGACGAGATAGTTTGTTGGAATCCTTTTTGGGATCCGGCCTGATATTTATGCGACGTCCAAATTTGGCCGCGCGGTGCCATTGCAATGCTCGGGGATTTTGTTGTACCCGCCGTTGTGCGCGCGAGTCTCGTCCAGCTGGTCGAGGTGTTTCCTGATGGCTGGCAAGCGTACCCCGCTTGGTACTTATCGCCGATCTGGATGGAATAGGCATGATCTGGGTCTTATTGACGTCGCCTGTAACACCATAGTTGTGCCGCACAATTCACTCTTGCCTCATGTGCAGGATTGTTGCAGTTGTATGAGCAGTACAGAGACACTCCGCCCGACGTAATTGCTCCACCTTGGCTTCTGTCTGGCTTGGTCCTTTATCTTTCCCGGACTCAGTGACGTTGCCTACGTCTCTGGCTCGTTTGGCTCGGCTCACGGGATGATTGTGCATCCTTACTTTGTTGCAAAGGAACCGCGGCTATTCTACGAGACCAAACTGAGCCTGCCCAGTGTTTGGGAAAATTCATGATCAAGCGCACAAATGTCATGCAGGGTCATATTGGACTCAGGCGCGATAATGCTCTCAGTTGATCGCAGAGCGATGACATGGCCTAGATGCGTTCACGGATACGCTCATGTCGCGTGGCTGATCCCAGCTCGTTCTGGCTGTCAACGTGCACGAAGCATACACAGTCGCCATCACACCATCAGGCCGCCCCAGTTCATCAAGCATCTATGTATTTACCAATCCTCACCACCTCATGACCATCAAACCCTCATCTCACTGCCCACTTACGCCTTCCTTGCTTCTCTCATCACCGGGACTTCTTTGCTTTGTGTGTTCATATTCACGATAAAACGTAACTCTGTGTTAAAGACTAATATGGACGATCAACAATGCACTGCACCCTGAACCAAACTCAATCCCTATGTCCGCCTCAAATTCTGAATCGTGGAATCCCGCCACTCTTGTTCCACGTCCCTACGCCTTCGGTCCGTCGTTCTTCAGTTTCCCTGCTTGAGAAATAGAACGAAGCAGGCGGGCAGAGTGATTCTCCGCCTATCACTCTAGCCGCTGCTTCCCTCATAGAACACAAAACTACAGAGTCCTGCGGCTTGTGATTTTGCACTGCTCTCTCGCTTCTGTCATTAGTACTCTGTGAACCCAACATACTGCAACTGACAATACCCTGCATGAAACATAATCATGATCAATTTCAATATAAATGGATCCACCGTCCGAAAGTTCGAATGAAATCGAGGTAGGCGAGCCAATAGGTTTCCCTAGACATGACTTAATTCACCTCCACTCCCCGTAATTACTTAGTCGCTTGCATATATTTCATGACCAGGCCATTTGTCTGACGCAAACAGACTCATCGATCCCTCTTGCAGTTAGTTTCCCCGTGACATATCAATGCCGCCACTGGGCTATTCACCGTTCATTGTTATTCCAAACAAACCCTGTACATTCCATAATATGCAACAACAAATCGAACTTGTGGAGAATTACAGGCTGCAATGCGAGACGTACCAGCGAGAGAAATCAATGACTTCAGGCTCATCGGCCCGAATGATAGAAGATACAGTTGAGACCTAGCACCTCGCCAAAATGAATGAAGCACTTTCGACCGGAGAAATGCAGACACGCGTACGGACAGGGGGGTGGGGTAAACAAGTGTCCCCAACCCCAGCGACTGATCAAGCGGTCATCGATCCCTTGGGCTGAGCGTGTCCCGTACCTCCAAACACACTCCCCTTCCCAAATATAGCAGATCCAAATGTGCTACCTGGACCTGGAGCAGGGCGGTGGTACGTGGTTGAAGAAGGTTGGACTGTAAAGAATTTCGAACGGATGGGTCGGTCACCAGAGTGATACTGCGTGCGCAAGTCCGTCTTAACACAACGTAGCGAAGGTGAGACGGGAACGAACCTGGAACTCAAACCCTATACCATCCTCCTGGTTTACGTCCAACAGCTTGAGCACCCTTTTGCCGATGCTGTTAATACGTTCAACATCGTCCTTCGACCTCGTCCAGAGCTGGATTCTGTCATGCTTGGGGCGTAACGACACGACTAAAGATACGGTTTGAGGTTTCGCGACGGGAAGGAATTTGTCCAAGACAACGTACCAGCTCCACAAATCTCGTCCCGTTCGTCTAGCTCTTCACCTACAAGAGCCATCGTAAGCCAAGACCAGCAGCGGTCAAGCAACTGTGGGTTTGACTTCATAGTTAGCACCCACTTGCCTCCCTGTAATGACGAATCGAACATTGTAAGTCTTCACGCACGTAACTTACAAGGTGGGTGGCGTATATCAAATGGGGGGCTCACATTTGCGTTAGCCTCATCCTCCCACATAGGCTTAATACCCTTTTTGAACAAGTGATAATTACTATTCATCTCCAACTGACTGGGCGGTTTCAACCAATTGAACCAACGACAAAAATCTTCGACAGTCTCAAATTCACCGACCACGGTTAGACCAGCGGCATACTCTTCCTCCTGCGAAGCGGCATTTTCAGCAGCATCTGTAAATTTCGTTTGGGCTGGGTCAGCAGTCATCACAGCTCCGCGTGACTTGCTGTCATGGAAGAGGGCCCATGCGTGCTGGAGTGGATGAAGAATGGGCGATTCAGGAGTGCCGGAAGTTGCAGTTGAAATAGTATTATCGGTCATCTGCGCTGCAGAAGAAGCTGTCTCAAGCTCGGGGCTCGAGAGTGTCTTCTCAGTTTGAAGTGGTGATACGGGTTGGGGGGCTTTGAGCAGCTCAGGTGATGTTTTTGTATCGTCCAAAGTGAGACTGGAAACCCCGTCCGCGGCAGATTGTACTGGGTCCGTTGGCGATGGGCTATTGGCGCTCACACTCTTCGCGCGCAATCGTGAAGCGATCGCATCAAGCGATGGAATGTTCTTATAGCCGCGATGTATTTTGTCCTTCGGAATCTCTTTAGGAGGCTCATCCCCTGTCAGGGCATTGGTCCCCGAAGATAAATCCCCCTCTCCTTTACTATCCGTAAGCACGGAGCTCCAGTTTAGTAAGTGGTGGCACGTACTGGTGGCACGGCCAGCAAGGATAGATTGGGGCAAGCGTGACCGCGAAGCTTGAGGTGGGCCAGCGAGAACACCACTGGTGGAAGAGCTGTGCGAAGGGTTCGTCGGTACGCCATTTGGAACGATCCTAAGGCGCGCCGACGCAGGGAGTCAGTGCGAGCAGACAGTGGCCACTGCGCAGTCATAACTCATCTACGCACCGCTTGGCCAAGTCTTCCAGTGTAGGCAACCTACTCATGACTGCTAAGGTTCTTCAGCTATGAGCCGAAAAGTGTTGACTGAAGAGAAGACTTGTTGACGGTATCGAAGCGAAGGCTCAGTGATCGCTGACGATTCGATTGGAGGCTGTGATCGGGCAGAGATCCCAGAATGGCATGCAATTCGATTTTGGGACTCAAACAACACCAGTCCCGTGCAACGGGGTATCTAACCGCAGACACAATGAACATGAGACTACAAATGCTTGAGAGCTTTCTTACTCCCGCTCCGTATATTTTGTCGCCGTTTCGTTCGTCCACTTCTATCCTCACCTTCCAATTCAGGTTCCTCTTGCCGTCGCCCTTTCTCCATGCCAGCACCGAACGTGTCAAATCCTCTCTTTGCTTTTACCTTTTCATTCTTCTGAGTTGGTGATGTGGTTGGTCGCGGCCGATCGTCAAACAGCGAATCGCCATCTCCAGATCGTTGAGGAATAAATGAAAATTCCATTCCGCCTCCTTTTATGATGTTCACTCTTTCGGTTGAGAAGGAATCCGAAGTTGAAGAGACTTGAACGGATTGCTGACGTTCCCCGAATGATGCATTCTTGTTCCGTATCTTGTCTGCCTCAGTAGCTGAGGTCGTTGGCTTTGCGGCTACCATCTTCGGCTGTGGTAGCGGCACCGCACGTTGCGGAACATGCACCATAGTTTGCGAGTCCTTCGCGACTTGAGAAGGGTTAGGTTTAATGGTTGTGAGAGTGAGGTCTATTGGTATCTGCGTAAGCGGAGAATGAATCCCGTTTGTCGGATCAGACACACCTCCTTCATCACTGCTGTCGTGCTCTGATTTGGGCTCGTCACTTTCACTGTAGTTACCGATACCATCAGAAGAACTTCTGTCACTTTCTTCTTCCTCTTCTTCAACAGCCGTTTTGGTTCGCGGTGCCTTTTCCTGTGGGGATTGTTGTGAGGTCAAGTGGGATGGTAACAAACAGAGACCGACCATAGTGGAAGACGCCTTCGGGGCCGCTTGACGCCGGAGACGGAGGTACGCATCGCTGGTTTTGTCGATCTCGAATTCGGGATCCTCAAATAGACTTTTGAAGCGAGAATCATTGAGAACATTAGCAGGCTCTGTCTCTTCCATTATTTTTTCTTCTGTTACTGAGTCTGTTTTCGTTGATTTCTTCTGCTTCTCGAGCTCTTGTTGTCTCAGAATCTTCCTGGCTAGAATTTTGTTCACTTTGACGTTCGAAAGGTCAGCGCCAGACGACCGGATGCGGCTGTCTGCAAGCTTGTCCAGCTTCTCCTTGACCACTCTTTCGCGGTGCTCCTCGTAAGCGAAGGGATTGGAGATTGCGCGAGCAGTATCGTAGAGTTTGAGAGAAATGAAATAGCCATGCATATAGGGCTTCAGGGCAGGTGTGCCGACCAGTCCGTCCAAACTTAGTCTGAAAAATAATGCCATTCATGGTATTTCCGACATGAGACCATGAAGGCATAAGTGATGATGGCTCGGCACTCACGCAGCAAGTTCTCGACGGTCCACAAATTTAAAGTCATCATATACGGTTCGTGCCGTTTGTTCCTCCATTTCCTCGGTAATATTGTCAAGGAAACGACACCATTTTGGGGCGGGACCCAGCGCGGGGATGTAATACGATGTCATTCGACTTCCCTCGTTTGCCGCCATAAGAAGGCCTGACGAAGGTACATGCACGAAGTGGTTGACATTATTATCCGGAGTTATGGATGTTAGGTTAGAATCGGGCTAAGTACGATACTGAAGTTAGCAGAGTTTGTCGTCCAAATGATCCGACTCACCGCGTTGCGATCCCAGAGTTTAATCACTTTGGCGTCAGCGCTGATTACAATTCCGTCGCCTGCCATTTTGTTCGAAAGACCTTCTGCCCAGGATATGCATTTGACAGGCAAGCCATACCCTTGGTCCTTCACGGCATAAGCTCTCGGTGAACGGATATCATAAAGAAGGGTGTGACCGGTGGAAGTTCCAACTGCGAGGGTTAACCCATCGGAACGAGAAGCCAGAGAGGTGATGGAGAAGGGGTCTTGCGGCAATATGGAGGTGTTGGGTTTGGGGGAGCAAGTTGAGACCATGGGAGGGGCAATATGCCAACTCTGGATCTGGACCGATGATCCCAGAACTCAACAACCCCGGGAGCTTGCCCAGAAAAACCCTCAGTGCCAAAGGAGAGAAGCTGGTGCGCTGGGTTGATATCAATGCAATTGACGCCTTGTACTGTTTCGGCATCCAGGGTCAGTGGATTGAGAAATTGACCCTGGTCGAGGTTCAGGCGAAATACTTCATGGCCAGTCCCACCGAAAATAGCATCGCAAGAGGGGTAGTGATATGCAACAGCTCGTCCAGACTTCGGTATTCGGGTTGAGTAGTGAAGGCCACCTTGTGCATGGAACTCCACGGAGCGATTTGCTTGAAGTAATATTAATTTGGTCCAGTCGTCAGAGAGAATCTCAGCAAACCTTAATGTCAGAAAATAGATGAACGGCTAGAAAGACAGATAATCAATACTACCTACCTGGAAGTCGACATTCTCTATGTCTGAATGCCGTTCGAATTTCAATGTCATTTGATCAAGATCGTAAACGTGCATTTGCGGTTTGTAAACGCCAGTGGCAATGGCATTATGACCATCTCGAGTAACTCTTATCTTAATGCTAGCTTCAGGGAATCCAAAATCCTGAATCAGATCAATGGTCCCTTGGATGTGCTCGCGTTTTCTGCCTTTGCTCTTCGCAGCTCGCTTCCGCACAAGCCAGTCAGGAAGAGACATCCCGGAGCCAGCAGCGGCTCCATTGACCGTGTAGACTTTCGCGGGCTCCCCGGAAGAGCGAACCATGCTGAAGTCGGAGAGTAAGCTCACGCAGGAACTTCAAAAATCTTGTGGCCGGAAATGCAATGCGGGTCACGTGGGAGCGCCACTCCCGTCGTGTTGAATGAGGCGGAAGCAACATACGGCTATATCCGGAGGCAATCGCCGAGACTAGCTTAGCGCCTCGTCCCCTATTACGTAAGTTACCTAAATCTGACCGTCGGTATATCATCGTTCGCTCTTGTGTCCTCATCAGCATTAGGCAACGAGATGACTTCCAGGGCGCGCTCACGTATCTACACGCTTTCCGACGTCGCTATACATGTCACTAAGGACGACTGTTGGGTCGTTAGGAATGGGAGAGTTTACAATGTTTCCGAATTCGTGAATGATCATCCCGGAGGTGACGATTTGATCCTGCAATGGGCTGGAAAGGATGTTGGTGACATCATGGCTGACTCGGTTTCTCATGGACACTCTCAGTCCGCCTATGACATGCTCAGCGAGTATTTAATTGGTAAAATTGGCTCGGAGTCTACTACCGTTAACGAAGGTGAGTTGAGTGCGAGAGCAAGGAAAAGATTTTGCTAATGTGGTGATGTCATTCCACAGACTGGGTGGCCACGGAAGACTTCCATCCGGACGAGACTTCGCCCGAGGAGGATTTCAAGAGACATGAGTTCCTCGACCTCAGCAAACCTTTACTTCGTCAGGTCTGGGAGAGCAACTTCAGCAAGGAATTCTATTTGCAGCAAGTGCATCAGCCTAGACACGTCACCAAAACTGCGCGATTGTTTGGGCCGAATTTCTTGGAGGTGAGTGTTTATGCATTTCTCTATATCTGATGATTGAATCACAGCTAGATGTTTACCCGCACGGAGTGGTACGTGGTACCAATATTTTGGCTTCCAATTGCCACCGCCATTTTCTTCCGTTCCGCTCTGCAATTTGCCCAACTCGCTGAACCCTCCATTCTGGACACGAGGATACTTTCTGTCGCCTCGATTCCTTCGTCTGCCTACTTGAAGACACTTACTTGCTTTCTCACTGGGAACGTAATATGGACTGTACTGGAGTATACGCTTCACCGATTCCTTTTTCATATCGATAAATTCCTCCCCGATCGCCCATTCTTCCTTATGCTGCACTTTCTCCTTCATGGCATCCATCATTATCTGCCCATGGATGGGTAAGCTCGCATCAGATGCACCGCAACACGCGCATATTCATGATTTTATAGATTACGACTCGTCATGCCCCCTATCCTATTTTTTGCTCTCTCCTACCCATGGACACAATTGGCTCATACTCTCTTCCCCGCTGCCATTGCCAATGGATTAATTGCAGGGGCTTTCATCTTCTGTAAGAGAACACGTATCCCCTGACGGTTGAGTTCTCTGATTGACGGCCTCCTTGAAGACGTTCTTTATGATTGCATGCACTACGCTTTGCACCACAAGCGCCTGCCTGCTTACATGCGTGAGCAAAAGAAGTATCACCTCGCTCATCATTATAAGAACTTTGACCTTGGATTTGGCGTCACGAGTAAGCACCCTTGCTTGTTGTTACGCCCATCCACTAACTTGAACACGGTTCTGAAGGCAAAATTTGGGATCATGTCTTTGGCACTCTGTTGAAGATCTGAACCATTCACCGGATGACCTTGTTTGATCATAAGAGTTATACTGTTTATTAGGAGCCCCCACTCGGTCATCCTTCCTTCGCCGTCTATGATATCTAATACGACTCTAACACATATCCCGTACTAAATGGATGAATACTAATGTACTGCGAGAGTGCTGGTTGAACAGCTAAGATTACTAGCTATCAAAACAGGAGGGGTCATTTCATCAAGGGAAATTACAAAAGCGTTGAGCTTTTCATACGACGATAAATCAGATTCCTGAAAGCTCCTAGGGTGCCTTCAAGCTTTGTCCTCATCTCTTCCCACTCCCCGAGCGGGTCTGACAGAGCAGTGATTGCTCCACCAGCACCCACGTACCAGGTTTCGCGGTGAGCATCTGAGGCCACGGACGTCGTATTGGGAAGGTTGTCACCATCGTACCTAAATGCAGAGCGTATAATGACGCTAAAATCACCTCCACCGCCTACACACCAATAGCCACATACGCCAGAATAAACACCACGCTCGTGGAGGGTTGGATTTGAACTTTGGAAAGCACGCGCGTCATGGTGCTCGTCTGCGAATGGTACCGGCATCGATTCGAGAACTTGAAGCAACTCAACACTGCGTTTCTTGGGGGCTCCAGTCATACTCCCTATCAACGGATGGATAAGTAGAGTGAGCGAGATAGATTAGCCTGCGCACCTGGTGGAAGACTTCCAGAAAGGACATCCCATCCAGTGTAGCCTTCACTCGTATCCACCCTACCTTCGATCACACTGACGAGCTGGTATACAGTCTCGTACTCTTCAACTTGGAAGAGTTTTGTCACTTGGACCTCATCCTCCGGCCGTATACTTTTCCTATCCCTGGAGGATGTGGGAGCAGACACTATTCGTGACATATCGTGTCTGACAAGATCTACTATCATCAGGTTCTCGGCCAATTCTTTGCTCGATCCTAAAAGCAATTGTTTTGCTTCTTCCAAAGTCACCTGCCCCCCATCGTTTCCAGGCTTTGCTTTTCTCACCGTACCCTTTATGGGGCGCATTTGGCATCGTCCGTCTCGAGTCCACGATAGGAATCGTTCGGGGGATGATCCAACGAGAGTAGTTTCGCCAAGACGTATAAAGGCTCCATAAGGTGCGGGATTCAGAGCACGGAGCGCTTTGAACAATGGCCATGCCACCGCAGATGACTTGGTCAATGTGGGGTCATTAATTAGACACGGGGAGGTGGACGGAAGAGTGACGTCTACTCTCGTGAGGGCAGTGACACAAAGCTCGTACGAGTCGCCTGCAGCTAGATAATCTTGCGCCGCAGCGATCCGGTGGAGATATGTTTTCTTGTCAGGCAAATTAACACTCAGGTGAGGGGTTCCCTGCTTCACAAACTGTGATCGCCATTCCAAGGGAGATGGTGTGCGAGGGTACGGAGATGGAGCAGGCGTAAAAAATGAACTCGTTACGACCTCTAAGAGCGAGCGCGCCTTTTCGATCCATCGGGCCTCGGCATCAACATCCCTAGAAATAGATTGAACGCGAATCTCGCGTCGCTCATGATCAATCACAACGCTGCGCTCGACGAAGGCAAATTGGACGTCGGGATGATGAGGAAATCTACGGGCGGCAATGGGAATGCCAAGAGTGTCGACGCCTGATTCGTACGAGGCATAGCCAATGAGTCCACCCCAAAATGGGGTTTCGACATTTGCTGGCAGGGATGGCGGTTTTCGGGCGCCCAGATATATTGCAAGGAATTGCCATATGGACATATTACCAAGGACAACGTGCTGTGGTTGCCCCATGCCTTTCCAAACTTCAACTACCTTATTACCGACAAGGTGAGTGATCCTTTCCATAGTTGTGGTCGAAGCTCCGATTATTGAGAACCTCCCAGGCGAGGCGCTAGAGTCCAGTATGAGTGTATCACTGCTTCCAAGGGTTTTCATCCCGCAAAGCGCTTCAGCGATGAGTGGCACAGGGATAGGCTGGTCCCCTGCACAATGCAACGTGCGCCATTGCGGAGCCGACGTACCGGGGCACGAAGTAGAAATGTATTCCATAACTCCGGAGTTCACTTCGGGATGGGCATTTGGTAGTGGCGCTAGGAAATGTGAAGCGGACCTCAAGAATTGATTGCGCCATTCCTTGGGAAGGGGGGGAAAGCAAAGCCTATTGTGTGCCCGGTTCCATGTTTCAGCATGGCGCCAAAAATTGGCGATGACATGGATTCCACCACCTTCTGATGTGCAAATGGATTCGGGGTGATACTGTACACCCCAGAATGGTTTGCTCGTGTGTCGGGCACCCATGACCACCCTGGTAATAGTAGACCCATTTTCGTCGACAGCATAGGACAAAACCTTCAAATCGTTGCAGTCCTCAAGGTGCACGACATGAAGAGAATGATATCTCGTTACGTTGCGAATCGGATGAGACGGGGTGAAGAGGCTGTATGGATCGGTTTCATCGACATCGACCAGGAGCGAGCGTTGCCCATGCTTCACCACAGAAAGCCGTTCAAGTCCACCACCGAAATGTATACAAAGACATTGATGCCCTAGGCAGACACCAAGAACGGGGAGCATTAGGTCATCGCAGACGGCCCAGACCTCGGGAATAACTCCTACGGCTGCGGGGTCATCCGGAGACCCTGGACCGGGGCCAACCACAGCAGCATGAAAAAAGGGCAGCAAGGAGTGCAGTTGCTCAGCAGTGCAATCATCATTCCGAATCACATGAACGGTGGCCTCTGGAATGACTTGCCGCAAAATATCAGACAAACTACATGAAGATGCATCACTCAGAACCCGATCACTAAAGTCCCAACGCCAAGGCTTACTTGTACGTGAAAGAATCGTACGAATCGATGAGAAGAATGTTCACCATTGTGCACAAATAAAGCCGCTCGCTCTGAACTGCAGGCAGCCCCAAAAAAAACCAAAGTCAGAGTCGGGTAGCCAAGTGGTAAGCACTGAGGTCAACTGAGCGATCTCCACTGGCCACCTTTCTGCTGAGGACTCTTCTGCTGGCTCTACGACTTCGCGGAATGGAGATGCGAAAAGAGAGGTGCACTTTCTGCCTCATCATGTGCCGGAATGGCGGAACCGATTCCGATGTAACGCTGGGCGCCTTCCCTGTACCAAATGGAGTCCGTCACGGGAAAGGCAGAACATGGGCTATCCTTTGACCTGGCTTCCAAGTTAGCAAGGATAACAAAGGTATTTCGGCGGTGGGGCGGCAGAAGTCTCGGAGTTATCCGTCAACCCACACCCTTGAAAATGTCCACGACACAGCAATAGTCGCCACTATTTATGACCCGCGTAACTAATTTTGTTGCTAGAAAAAGGAAGTACATCTCGGAGCCAGAGCCTCTACTCGTGGATTCCAATTTCGTGGCTGATGGAGATGAACCTGACCCAAAACGTTCAAAAAATGGTACTAAGAAGACATTGAAACTACGGAGAAAAGGTAGAAGATACTTCTGTTTCTTTGGTGTGACCAATGCCAATTTTTATTGAAGGGAAATCGAAGGCTTTGAACGATAAGGATAAAGGTCATGGTGACCGGCAAGCGAGGGCCAAGGTGTGCTTCGTGTGTCGACAGCCGGGCCACACTGCCAAGGAGTGTCCAAGCGCTACGACTACCGAGGAAGGTCGAAAGGTTGTTGGGATATGCTATCGGTGTGTTCAACTATCTTTTCGGTTGTGCTCACGGCTCCCTTTTTACATCCTCCACACGCAGATGTGGTTCTGCCGAACATACCCTTAAGGAATGCAAGGAGAAGACAGATCCTCAGAATCCTCTCCCTTTCGCCTCCTGCTTTGTTTGCTCTGAGAAGGGTCATTTGTCTGGGAAGTGCCCTAAGAACGAAAACGGACTTTATCCAAACGGAGGTGGCTGCAGGATGTGTGGAATGAAGGATCATCTGGCGAAGGATTGTGACGTGCGTTCTGCAGGTAAATAATAATTCATTGCTAGACAGTTCTGGGTTGCTTTTCAAAGTTTCATAATTTGACAACTCACAATCAACGACAGCGGCGAAATCCACTACGTCTGTCGTTGGTCTCCCATCACAGCAAATTGGAGCCGATGAAGATGACTTCCACGCCTTCGAGAGGGCTTCAAAAGTAGTAACACAGGAGGAGAAAAAAGAGCGAGAAAAAGCTCGACTGTTGGAACGTCAGGAAGCAGCGGCCACAGCAGCGAAAGCCATTACGTCCTCCCCAGCATCATCTGTCATCCCCCGATCAAGTGTCCCTTCGAGGAAATCCAAATTAGTGTCATTCTAGCCTTATCCATTATAAGCTCCAAGCATGACGAGGAGCAGGAGATGCTAGTCAATCAAGTGTATGATGTCCGTACTCGCGTATTATATTGAATCATAATGGGAAGATGAACTGTCCATGGCCAGTCGCCATTAACTTTCAGAGATGCGTCTTGAAACGAACTCTATCTTCATCCAAAGCACTCTCTTCCCAAAGCTGCTGTATTGACCTTTCGTCAGCGGCTTGCCATGTCCGGACTTCCCCCGCTTGGACGTCGACTTGACCGTGCAGAATCCAATGCAAGTAAACAAGCCAAATAGTGTTCTCGCGACGAGGGAATGGGGTTGGAAGTTTAGGATTGATAAATCCCCCTGCATGTCCAATGCGGGGCCACGATATATTCTGAGAGGAGGGAGATATCCATAGTGAATGCTTCATGTGAGTTGGATGACCATGTGAGAAGAGAGGCATCATGCGATTCATTTCAAGTCTAAAGGAAACGGTTTATGTTGAGCGTTGGAAAAAATCGCACAAATATTTGGCCAACGACCTACTTCGACATGGTGGCGTCGTCGTCAAATCCAACATATAAATATGGTTTGTTTACTTTCCGCATGGTTGATGCGTTTTGAGGTAATGAAGCCACACATAGAGGATGACGACTAATGAACAGGGTTTATGCTGTCATGATTTCTTCTTCCAACAGACATAGTCGCTCGGAACTCACTAAAATTCAAGCCACTGCCGACCTGGCCCGTACGGAATGTCGTATCCCCTGTGTAGAATCAAGAAGACTACTCAGAGTCGAATCACCCTCTGTATCGAGACAAGGACGTACATTCCGAGGCTTCGACACCGGAAGACCCCATCTGTTTCAAGTGATTTAGCTATCTTCTTTTCCATCTCTGCCAGTTGCGCCGAGGATTCGGCTTGTTTCCATAATACGCAAGACCTATCATCATCATCACCACCACCACCCGAGGTATGTAAGAAACACAACTCCTGCAGGTTCCCCACGAACGACTTACCGCCACAAATGTTGAGAAATCGGGTAATGATGGGGAACTCTTCTTCGAGCAAAGTCATGACCTCTGTAAGGCATTATTTGTGGTCAGGGCCAACTAGAGGGAAAAACGTGTGAAGCACACTCACGTCCACCCAATGAATGTCCGACGACAATCAATGGTTTTCCTTCCCTTTGGGGCTCTTTGCTGAAGTCCGCGAAGCGTGGCGCACAACACCACCCAGGTCTAGTCGTGCCCACGTTTCTGATATGTCAATGTCGGCCGGCGCGGTCCGAAGAGCCTTATGGCGTTCCTCTGGTGTGAACGTAGATGGTTGATAAGGTGGGGGGAAAGACATGCCAAAATAGCGGTAGTCAAACGTGTACACGAGAATTCCATGGGTAGAAAGCCAACTTTTTGAGGGAATAAATGGGAAAGGGCATGAGATGGATGCAAGGGAATTGCAAACGAAGAGGAGTTAGACAGACCGAGAGAATGACGCATAGAATGATTGATGTAGACCAGTGGCGCTAGCAATGACGACGACAGCAACTGGATGAAGAGTGGGCCCGTAATAGCGTGCAGCAAGAGGGAAACCGTCCTTTGCAGGGATGGTTATGGAACCTGCCGGCGCCGGTGTCAAAGTTTCGAAGCTATTCCCTAAGCTCATTAGATGGATGGGACCGACGATCGTCCCTCCATCCCGGAAAACAACCCTACTTATATACTGCGCCTCCGTGCAGCGCCCAACGAGGGGGGTCGTGAAGGGAAAGGATACAAGTGAGTGATCCAGATGTACTGGTGTGATCCGAGCTGTGCAAGGAACCCGAACAGGAGGGCGGAGGGACGCGGTCATCCCGTCGGAGGTATGCGTAATCCCATCTTATTTCTCAATCAAGATTATTCGGGGTAGGGAATCCCGCAGAGTGGTCACTATGACTGATGTTGAGTAAATTCAGGAACACACCTTTCCCCCCTCCCCCCTGCGGCCACTCTGATGACGAGGAACGAACATGCCACAAGGGACTTCCAATGGATTCTAGTGCGGTTCTGGCGAGGTGAAGGCGGTGCGGAGAGGTCCTTCGGTGTCCCCCCCCTTGCGCCACAAATCAAGGTTTTAACACGTAAATATTATCCCGTAGTTCATCAACCATATTGATGAATGCTTTTAAAATGCTCAATGGGGATTAGACGGAGCAATTATTCGCCATCCGCGTCTTAGCTTTGCCACCCCCCGCTCCCGCTTTCACGGAATCGGCCCCTCGAGCACCGGCCTCCACAAGGCGCGCATGAGAGCATGTTCCTCCTCGCTTAGGCAACAGAATGAGTCGAGCCTCCTACCTGAACAAGAGGGGGGTGGGGGCTTTCTCGCTCAATGCAATCCTTTGATCATGATCGGGAAGCGGTGGTACAGCCGTGTGCCACATGCACTAGTACTGGTTTGCGCCTTGTATACACAATTGATCATTGAAGATGTAACACTCTCGATCTTAGGATGAGATCAATCTGCTCGTAACCCCCTCGGATGATCGAGCCTTGCGCAACAGCGAGCTACAGACCTCGTGGGCGCCCCATCCTTTTTTTGGAATTTGACTCATTTTGGCCATCTGATGGCAGATCCCGTGTTTTTTCCTTTTCGGGATTTTTATCGCGTGCGAACCTAACATCTTCGACTTTTTGGTTTTATCGTTCCCGAGTTTAGTTTTTCTTCCTTCCTCTCTCATTTACGTCTCCCCCCCCTCGCTTAACAAGGATTAGGAGTTTTGGGGGGACATCTAGGCTCCGGTAATTCTTACATTATGCAGACCACATCATCGCCCGGTACGGTAGTGGGGAGCCTGAGACGTGGTGCAAATGACACAGCTACACCGGAGAAAGTCACCTTGACAATCGATCATCATTTAGCTCTGCCACCACCTCATGGCCCTCTACGTACTTCATTCCGAACCGGGGGGCTGGACAACGGGTTGTTTGATGTGAAACCGTTGATGATGTCGTCTGGTGGTGAAACGACGGAGGACTCATCATCAACTCAAGTAACGCATCTTACGCACTCGCCCGGTACTCAGCCTGATTATGTGTATGATTCGTCCATGGCTTGGTGGAGAGCTGGAATACGAAGATTTCTCGTTCAAAACTTGAAGGCCGAGAGCAGGTGGATTGCTGCTATGCAGGTGCGTTTGTTTGGCGAAAGTGCCAAGATGTTGTTGATGTAAAATCCAACCATAATGATTAATGGATTCATTTTAGAAATGCATACGGAATCCATGGCTCGATACCTATTTTGTCTACACGTCATCATTGGGGACCCACACGTTCTTCATGACGATTCTACCTGCTTTGTTTTTCTTTGGGTATGCTAAAACAGGAAGAGGGTATGTTTGATATCTTCACATCATTCCTGGCTCGATTGCTAATATGAATAATTCCTACGTTCGCAATAGGATCGTAAACGTGTTAGCCTTGGGAGTGTATTTCTCCTCTCTTGTCAAAGACCTCATATGTTCGCCGCGACCTTTTGCACCGCCGGTGACTCGATTAGGTATGTTCGCGCGGTCCTTTTCTCACAACCCCGGCATCCCCTCTAAATGATTTTCGCTCCCCTTAAAGTGATGGGAAGCCATCACCTCGAATACGGTTTCCCATCAACGCATACAACCAATAGCATATCTATGGCATTGTATCTCTACACGATCCTTCGACAATACAGACCATCGCTGGCGGCCAACACAGATTTCACAGTCGTATCCCCTATTACATATAGCCTCACATGCGGTATCTTAATCATCTACGCAGTCAGCATCGTTTTCGGGCGGTAAGTTCCCACTTCCTATTCAGTTTGCTCAGGGTGGTTTTAGACGTGTGTGTGTGTGTGGTGCGTGATGACCCTTGCAGTGGGAAATTACTTAAAAGTTGTTTCTGTTCCTCTCTCTAGACTTTATTGTGCGATGCACAGTTTTTCCGACTGTATCATGGGTGTTGCGCTTGGTACAGCCATCTGGGCCGCTCAAGTCGTGTTTGGAGACGTATTTGATGACTGGTTGATGACGAAGAGCTGGATAGGTATGGTTTTTGAACCCGCTTCCCTGGTCCCGGACACTAATTGTTTATTTTTTTTTGGTGCCATGGTGTAAAAACAAGTTCCCTTCGTCATCATTTCTTTGGGACTCTTTATGGTTCATCAGCATGCTGAGCCAGTAGACGACTGTCCCTGTTTCGAAGACGCCATTGCGTTCATAGCGGTCGTTATTGGCGTCAGCATAGGCCACTGGCACGAAGAGACGTACTCCCTCTCTGCCACCTCCGGATTCTTCAAATCACGAACACCAGGGTGGGATACGCCCTTCTCACTCAGTTCGCTGGGATTTTATGTCTGGTTGTCGTTCGCTTCGTTGAAGATGATCGTGGGTGTGATGATCATCTTTGGATGGAGGATATTAGCCAAGTGGGTTATGCATACCGTGTTGCCGCCTTTGTTTAGGCTGTTGGCGACGCTCGTGGAGTTGCCTCGGAGGAGGTTTTATACGCCTGCTACGGATTACAAAGGGAGCGTGCCGGAAGAAGGGGTTGGATTGTTTTACCCCATTCCGAGTGTGATCGATATACCGGGGATGATTCATGGGGACGGGGTGGAGGTTGTGGCGACTGGGGCGAATTTGTTGCCTAGGTATTCGGAAGGTGGGATAGCTTTAAGGGGAGGAGGTGGCGGTGGCGGTGGCGGTTCTTCTCGCTCTGGAACCGCTGCGGTTGGAAAAGGGAATGGAGGAACGCATACGAATACGAATAGTGGGGGGCAGAGAACGATGGTACGTGAAGAGAAGGAGGATGAGGATAAGGTGGCAAAGAAGCATTATGACGCTGATGGTGAGTTATTCTGTATTCGTTTTAAGAGCAAGATCGAGGGGGGTGACCCTCTCTCGTTTCGACTGTTCTCATTTGGTGAACTTTGTTAACGTGCTACACTCCTTCCCTGTATTAGTCCTCACAAAAGTTGTGGTGTATGCTGGTATAGGATGGGGAGTTTCTGAGTTCATCCCGGTGATGTTTGAACTACTCGGGTGAGTTTTGGCTTAGCGGCCGGGTTTCCTAATTATCTTTGTTCATCGAATGCGTTTTGGCGATTTTGAAATAGGTGGGGAGTATTACCCCGGTGATCAACCGTGTTCGCTTAGATGTTCGGAAGAGGTCGGAGGGTTTTAGTTTGAGGGGTGAGAATTCGTCTGGTGGTGGGAGTGAGTAGTTTGTTGCGAGTTTTGGACGTGGGTGTGCGGCCACCGCCTAGTGTCGCCAAGCGTGGAATCGATGACTAATTCCTTGTTTCTCGATCTCATTGACGCTGCTTCGTAGATACGCAGAGTGCAGGGGTGGTTGACTAGTTGGTAGCTTATATTCGTCTTTTCTGGGCTAGACTGGTCGTAATTCCAAATGGGCTGTTAACGTTCTTTAACTCGGGTCGACGTGGAATACATAGGTTGTTCATCACCGAGGGAAGCAAGTACGGAGGGATCGAAATACGATTATGATTCAATGGCCGGTTCGAATACATAGCCTAGCCGGGATGTTAGAGCATTGTTGTTCCTCGAATGTATGGTATGGAAGGTACTAGAATGATGCAGAGCTTGCCCCTTTTTTCGTTGGGATGGCAAGCCAGATCAGTGTACATATCTGATATGAACATGCAGGTGATGGAAATACACAAAAAAAGGTTGGGCTTGCGCGTCCTTCCATCCGGAGATCCGTTTTCGATTATTTGAGTCATCTTGCCCCACTTTGCCAACTTAGCGCTCGGCCAATGATTACTAATCACATTCGTCACCGCGGCACTCTCCAACTCATCCCGTTTTTCTTTTCGCTGCGTGCAATCTTTGCTGCGAGATAAGCTTATCGCCGCTCCTGATCTTGGAGGTGAAAAGCAAGGGGCACTTTTGTTTTTTTTTCATTGTCGCGTGTTGAGAGAGAAACGAGGAAAAGAGTGGGTTTTCATATGTATGTAGCTTCGGAAGCAAATCTAGTTCCTTTTCCTCTCAATTGACCGCTCCATCATCACAGCTCTTCTCACCAACAACTCACTCACACTCACCACAACCACACCCACACACGCTCCCAACTCGTTTTTTCTTTCTTTGCTTTCCCCTTCCTTCCTCCTTCCTACCTTTCATCCACTAAACCTTCCTCGCCAGTCGACGTCTGTTTTAGCTCCAGCGCTCTCCAACCATGTCGAGTAGCACCTTAGCTACTCCCTCCTTCCTACCTTCACCCCGATCGCCAAGTATGGACGACATCATCGATTTGTCCGCTTTCGGAGGTCCTTCTTCATCTCGTGAATCATCTCCAGCTCTCCGTCTCCCTTCAACGCCTCCTCCAATGGATCCGACCTTCACCGACGCCTTTTACCAATCTTTCCTCAACAATCTCGGTCCCTTGACGTCTTCCAACTCGGCGACAATGGGCACTGCCCCGACAAAACTATCCTCGGAACTTGTCGATGGTAGCACACTTTTACCTGATTCACCAAGTAGCCCAAGCAACGCTCGTCTTTGGGATTTCGATCGATATCTTTCATCCTCTTCGTCCTTTTCAAATTCAAACATGTTCCTAACGAACGAGTCGTCTAACCACCCTCTGGACGAGATACCCCTTTTTTCGTCTTACGCGCCTAACAGTCCTCCGCTAACCGTCATCACTTCTCCCAGTGTCAGCGCCCCTTCACCGTTTAGCCATTCCCATCACTCTACGACGATAACGGCGACAAATGGATCCACCACTAATCCAGAACTTGGTCATGCTCAATTCGCTATCGATCCCATGCTCGTGGCGACTCCTAGTGCCGGCGCAGTTAATTACCCGAATGGGATGACTCCTAGTTCTTTGGACGGAAGCACGCCTTCTTCCACGCTTTCCGCTTCTTCCGCCGTGAGTGTGAAAAAGGAGCGTCAATCACCTGTTTCCCTAAGTCGTTCGGGTGCCGGTGGGAACTCTCGTGCTCAGTCCGTTGGGGAAGAGGAAGAGGAAGAAGAAAGCGATGAAGAAGAAATGTCTCTTTCCCCCTTTTCTGCTGCGGACGTTCCCAAATCGAATGGTGGGAATGGTGGGACCGGGAACATTGGGGCCGGTCCTGGCGGCGTGGGGAAAGGGAGGAAAAGTGCTTCCGGCATCGTTCAGAGTGGGGGCGTGAGCAAAAGGGTGACTTCTGCTGTTGTGGCCCCTGCCGATGGTCCTGTTGATCCGGATGATTGGAGACCAACTCCCGAGGAATATAAAAAGTTGTCTAGCAAGGAGAAAAGACAGCTTAGGAATAAGATTAGCGCTAGGAATTTCCGTGTTAGGAGGAAAGGTTAGTCTACTTTTTTTCTTTGATCTTCCCCTCCCGCCTTTCCTTCCCATGTGGACCAATTTACTTTTCGTTGTTCACCTGCTTCTTTTCACTTGTAATGAGTTGGATGATCTGGGGATCGGGCGGTGGCTCCGTTTTCAAATTTCATTCACCATTTCCGTTTCCATATGCATCATTCACCGTTCATTTTCTCACCTTCTCACCCTCTTGAACAGAATATATCTCTACACTGGAATCTCACATCGCTGACCGGGATCGTATCATCGACACCATACGAGAGGAACTAGGTCAATCAAAAACAGAGAACAATGAACTTCGACAAGAAGTCGAGACGCTTAAACGTGCCCTCCTTGAGGGTCGTTCGTCCGTCCAGGGATTAGGTCTCCCTCCACCTGTGCCTCTCGATGCCAATGGAAACCCTGTCACGGCTGCTGTAACGTCGTCACCCGCGACAAATACTCGCCGCGCTGCTGCAACATCGCAATTCAGTAAACCGAATACGAGGAAGGATGTCTCTGCTACGCCTGGTTCGCCTAGATCGGGACGAGCGTTCTGGGGTGGAGCTGCTTCGCTTGGAGGCGTCACACCTGTTCATGCGACGCTTGTCCCTGATTACGAATTCCCGCCGCTGTCAGAAAATGGAGGGACTGGTGCTAGGAAAGGGTCAACAGGTGCTTTACCCAGTTCTGCCTACGTTCCACCTTTGTTGGGTATGGGTGGACTAGGTGCGAATTCAGGGAGTATCTCTAGTTTGTTGAGTGGGAAGAGGAGCGTCGGGGTTGCGAGTGCGAGTGCGTTTTACAGGGAGCAGGAGAATTTGAACCCGCTTTTGAACCAGATTCCGCCCAAGCCTACTCAGGCCAATGGGGGCGCTACGGGACCAGGTGGAAAGAGTGGTGGATGGCCAAGATCGGATGCGCTTTTGGACGTCAATCCGTTTACGATCAAGAGTACGGATGATTATAGAATGCATCTTTGGGCTCAACTTACTCGCGAGGCGAGTGCTCGGAAGCAACAACAGCAGCAACAATCGCAATTGCACTCGATTACCGGACAAATTCATCCACTTCCTGGTGCAGGGATGAATAACGCGCCGGTGACGAACGGGCTGTTGGAGGCGTTGAAACCCGCCTGGCACGTCGCTTCTGGTGTGACCGGTGAGAAGGATGGCAAGACGCCTAGCAGTCCCAAGTCAACGCTTGCAGCACTGTTATCGGGGAAGACTACTTCTCCCACGTCGTCAACGCCCAGCTCTCCTTGGGGACTGCTTTCTCCTCCTTCATCACCTCGTTCGAGCGTCTCGTCTCTTCACTTGACGCCGCAACAACAGCAACACCAGCCGACGCAACAACAGGCACTCGCCGCTACGCTTGCAAGCGGATCGTTGCTTTCTCGATTGGGGAGTTCTTTCTGGGATGCGTTTACGGGTACAAGTGTTTCCAACCCTGCTCTCTCTACGTCCACGTCGACACCCACTACCACTGCGTCGGCTACGCCTGGGGCTACGATGAAGGGTGCATGGGATGTGGAGAAGGTGAAGAAGGTCCTTGATGGGAGGGCTGTCGTTCGCGTTGTGGATGTCGAAAGGCTTTATCTGTTGGATGAGAAGAAGGCTGTAGGTGCGGGCGCAAGCGCGGGTAGTGGGTTGGATGGGTTGGAGGAGAAGATGGGCAAGATGGCATTGGGTGGTTCGACAAGTGCGGTGGTGGTGGCGGGTGAGGAGTGTCATAAGAAGGGGAATGCTTGTACTTGCCGGCCGCCTATCTTTACGAACTTGAGGGGGTGAAAAAGAACAAAGCAAAGATTGGAAGTTGCTCGGGGGCAGTAGCATGGACTTTGGTTTTTTTTTTATTATAAATCCGCAGAATGCGACCCCAACTCTTTTCAACCAATCATCTCATATTCCTTTCCCCATCCCACATCACTCCAACGTATTCCCGACTCCGAATTACTCACTCAAGTTGCCGCGCGCGTAGTAATGATAATTGCGAACTCGGCCCTCTGGTTGCATGTTGCCTCTTTGATTTTACACGAAATTCTCTAATCGATCGTCGTGTACTGCCCATCCTTCCATGGGTGGACGACTCCTCCGACGTTGCTCTTGCCTCTTATCCCTTCTCTGCAATCCAATCTCACTGCAATTCTAAGAATCCCTATTTTTTTTTTTTATCCCTCTTGTATCAATCATTATCTCTAGCCATCGACATCCTCATCCTCATCTCGTCACGTCATCCTCACCACATGTCTTTGCTTCTCTCCTCTCTCTTCCCTGATCAGCTTGGTCTCGTTTTCTCGTTTTCTCGCGTTCTCTTTTTTTTTCTTTTTTTTTTTTCCAAAACAATCAGTGGTCCGTACGTTACGTATCTTGAAAGTCAAAGTCAAAAAGTTTTCCACAAAGTTATGTATAGCAAAAAAAAAAAGAAGAGTTTATGAATAAAGCCATCGATGTGAATGATCAAAATTCCCGCTAACTCCGTATAGCGGGTCAGGCCCCACGCTGTGCACGGGGTCCTCTGTAACCTAAGGTCCTCTTTTCCCATTATGACAATTACTCATTATGGAGAACGTCACTTCGCGCTTGCGAACACGGAATTACTTAAGCGACGACGCGACGAGTTCTTGGATAGGTGTGAATTAACCTTTAGCTGGTTTTGAAACGAATTCCTCATTCTCCAAAATCTTTTTTTTTTCTGAGACCTCCCGCTTCCGCAGATGCAGCTTATAAGGTTTACTGCCTGAAACCTAGAATCAACTTGGTTCAATCATCACCACAATCATCACCCCAATGGCATCTAAAAGTGTTGCACGCCGTCTCGTTAGACAGTACGATCTGGATGTTTTAATAGACGACTCAGGTCTGATCTCCCATATCTCCTCCGTCTTGGAATCTTGGTGTGCTTACCGGCTTTGACACATGGACATAGAACATGGTGTGAGGATTAACTTTTCCAAATCCATATATCAGAAGGTCGCTCCTTCCGTCGGACTTCACCCTTTCGGGGAGTTGAACGACATTGGAACCTTTGAAATCCACCGCTGTCGTATTCCCACAAATCTTTTCAAGTCAATTGTGATGGACATGGATAACATGTTAATCGAATATGGCGCCCCCTTCGATCATGAGACGGATACGGCGAGATCGAGGTTCATCTCTCCGGTACGGATAACTCAACTGATTCTCTTTGCGACCCCCCCCAAAAAAAAAAAAATATTAAAAAAGTTCACCCCGCAAATCCCAAACAGATTTTCAACCACCTCGTTAGCCAGTTCACTTTCATGCTGAGGAATCACCCAAAGAATATGCTCGCTACTGTTGGTGCAAAAGATCACATCGGGAATTTCTACAAAATTTTTGGTGCTGTTGCGATTATTTCCGTCGAAATGATGCACGCCAGGAGAAATAGCGAGGAACGTTTGAAGGGTATTGCTCAGATTATGGTTGAAAGTAATGGTGAGCTTTAAGCGTTTCAGGGTTTACACTTTCTGTTCCGACCTTCACCCCCCCGGGCTGTACAGGCTGCGACCTCGAGAACTACGCTCGTGGTTTTTCTCTACCTATCCACTGCATTTTCCACAATGGCCCGTCCTTTGAATTTTTCAAGTTTGAAAGCACGCCAAATCCAACTTTTCTACGTGGCTGCTTTCAAGGAGATCCGAAACCCTACCGGCAGGGCGTGTGGCTAGAGGACCTCGGCACCTTGGAAACTCCTCTTCCTTTCGTTCTCCAGCTTCGCTGTGTATGCGAGACAATATTTGATGTGATGCTGAGCGCATATATCGCAGGCTTGAAGGCAGGTTACAATCACTCGAAAAACGAGGGGAAGACGGAGGGTTCGAGTTTCGATGAATGGGACCGGGCCCTTCGATCCGCTGAACGTGCGCAGGCAACATTTAGGAAGGCTGAGGTTCAGCGCCAGGAGGGTAATATTGTGTCTGCGGATGCGACCGTTGACGAGGCTCTTCTTGCACTACAGGAGAGGTATGCGTTCCACTCATCTGTGCGTCAGATCTATCATTCCCTACCCTATCTCAGTACAGGAGCAGTGACTATATACAAGTCAGAACTCGTCATGCCAGTCTGGGATGATGTTGAGGTTAGCAGAGCATGAATCCGCCCGGATTGTGTTCACTGCAGCGATTCACGTTGTTTAGTTTCCCATGGATCTCGGCATTTCTGCGAATACTTTTTACTTTGTCATACGTTAGAGGTGGAAGTAGAACCAAAATCCCAATTAGTTCAAAAGTATTTTCCAACTTTGGGCATGCACGGACTGCTCGAAGGAGAGCTATACGTTACACATATCCTGAATTTTTCTTGTGTAGCATATCAAAGCAGTATGAACAACATAGGAGGAGCATAGCTAAACAAATGGCAGGAGAACAGTGATTGAGAAAGAATGAGATGAGACTGACGGGCTCTAAGAGGCCCCATGCATAGATAGGATATAGTCTAAAATAGCATCTGGAACTGATGGTATTAACTGAGCGCACAAGAAAGGATATTATTGAGTTAACCGAAGGCCATAAACTAACGTGCGACCTCAGTTGATACGAGCAGCCACGCGAGGTTGCTGAACAGGCAACATGTTGATGAAGATATCGTCGGCAGGATGACGGTACAAAGGAGCATGAAGTCTCTTCTGGTCAAGATGGTGACCAATGAAACCGATGCTACGACCGAGGACGAACAGGCCATTCAATGTCCCAATCTTGATGTACTCATCAGCCTCCTGGCGACCGAACGCGCCGCTATCACGAAGCAAGTCAACGAAGCAGACGGCAATGCAGCCATCGACGTTAAGGATAAGAGTATCCTTTTTAGCAGTCGTGACCTTCTCCACGGCGAGAGCGTAGTCAAGGAGAGTGTGACTGGGGAAGTTTTTCTGGACGTACTCCTTAACGAGCTCGACACGAAGATCAGGGTTGTTGACCGACTTGATTTTGTGGCCGATACCGCTGATGAGCTTGTTCTGCTTCCGAGACTCGTCCACGAATTCACGAGGTGTGAGACCCGTGTCACGAGCATTGGAGAACATGGAGGCAGCCTCGTCGAGAGCACCACCGAAACGGCTACCGATGGTGAGAAGACCTGAACAGAGGGAAGAGATGAGGTCCTTTCCAGCACGAGAGGTGACAATGGTGTTCATGGCACTAAAATCAAGGCCAAGTCAGCGCTGAGTTCGGTCCCAACAAGACGATCCACTGACCCAGAAACGGCGGGACCATGATCGGCAGTAAGCATGAGTACCATCTCGATGAACTTGGTAGCCCACAGTGGCAGACGACGCTTGAACCACAACAGCGACACAACACCACCGATACCAATATCCTCCTTAAACACATCCGAAATACGCATACCAGCGTACAACAACTCTTGTCCACGCTCATCCGAAATAGTCGAGATGAAAGCAGCTGGCTTACGGATGAGACCCAATTCCTGAGCCCATTTGTAATCCATAGGAATAACAGGTGGGTCAACCTCAGGCTTCGGCACAATCTTGCCCGTTGCCACCAGCCGTTCGTAAGTCTCCTTCAAGACAGCAGGAAGATCTTCAAAGGTATCCGGAACGATGAACCCAGCAGCTTTCATAGCAGCATTCTTGGCATCGGCAGTCTCGAGGTCTGAGTTGGCCATCGAACCAGCGTGCCCGAACTGAACTTCAGTCGTGAACATCTTGGCGCAGGTCCCGATGGCCCAGGCGACGATGGGTTTCTTGATGATACCCTTCTTGACGGCCTCAATGACGCGATACTCCTCAATACCGCCGACTTCACCAAGGAGAACAAGCATCTTGCATTCTGGATCAGCCTCATAGCGAAGGAGATGGTCAATGAAGGTAGTCCCGGGGTAGCGGTCACCACCAATAGCAATACCCTCATAGGTACCATTGGTGACAAGGGAAAGGATATTATTCAGTTCGTTAGACATGCCACCGGACTTGGAAACATATCCAACGGAGCCGGCGCGGTAGAGCTTCGAGGAGATGATGTTATCCATCATACTAGATTGCAGGAACAGGTCAACAAAATCCTCCATTCAACTAGGCAGATACTCACCCCCCAGAATTCCCAATACGGAAACATCCAGGCTTGATACCACCAACAGTAGCGGGCCCAATAATAAGAACGTTCTTCGCCTTTGAAAGGTGCAAAATCTCCCTTGCATGACGCTCCGGAACGCCCTCAGCAATAAGAGCAATGGCCTTTATTTGGGAGTAACTCAAGATATCGAGTGTAGAGGAGTAAACCGAACGAGATGAAGCAAAGTTCACGACGACATCGGCATCGGGGTGCTTCTGAACGGCTTCCTTGACGCTCGTATAGACGGGCAAGAGAGTCTCCTTAGTGCCCCAGTAGAATTTCTGGATGTGGTGTCCACCGAAGGGATAAATCATCGCAGCAACACTAGGGGTCTGACGACCACAACTGTAGTCAAAGTCAAGCATACCCTGAATAGCACGAGGTTGGAGACCGTACACGAGAGAACGGGTGTTCTCGTCGAAGGGTCGATACCATGGGCGACCAGATGTAGGTTGGGCATCGAAGTGGACAATCTGGTCGTTAGGCTGCGCGCGCTCTCCAGAAGCCTGGATCTCGCCAACGCCAGCTTCCTGAATCTCGACCTTGCTGCTCTGGACAGGAGTGGGAGGTGTGGAGGTGTAAGGAGCAGGCGTCTTGAGGCCACCGCTGGAGCCTTTGCTGACGCCAAGAGCAAGAGGGACGATGTCGGTGATATGGGTCTCTGGACCAAAGACTCTAATTGGGACACCTAAGTTTTCGCCGAGGAGACGCATGGCCTTAAGGCCTTCCTGGTAGTTGGGGCCGCCACGACGGACAAAAATCTTCACCTGGTGCGAAATCAAGGGGTTCTTGTACTCCTTGAGGGCACGAATAATTCCCTTGAAGGTGGCGGCGACATTGGTGAAGTTGGCAATGCCTCCACCGATGATAAGGGTCTTGCCCTTAGGGTTTGGCTTGCCACGGCAGATCAAATCAACTGAAAGATGGAAAGCACGTGTGAGCGGCTCTGCCGGTGAGTAAACTGAAGCAAAATTAAATACGCACTGATGGTCTTCGCATATTCATACGTCTGACCCTCGGTAGGCGCACCGGAATATTCACCGTAATTGGCAAGCTCATCAGCAAACCCATGAGCAGCGATGGCGTCACTGTTGTAGGGAGAGTCCTCGGCCACCAGCGCAGAGATAAGACAATGCATACGCACCTGTACACAACCGAGGCACCCCCACCAGCGACCATAGTCCAAATTCGCCCTTCGGGATTTAATACAGTCAATTTTAGCGAGGCACCCGTGCTTCCATCTAGTTTCTGTATGTACGCCTCCTCTTTGGTCAGGTCACGACCCCATGGAGAAGGGAAAACTGAGCGCAGGTCAGACTCCCGAGTCATCTACGGTTGAATAAATGGAACTCACCCATCGGCGGACCACGATCTGCTGAAACAGCACCAGACGTGGGTTTCGCGCTCTTGTCATAGATAGAGAGATCGCGGGCAATAGCCCACTTAGGTCCACAAATCGACTCCGCGGTCTAAGCGCCCCGTCATAGTTAGTCATTCGTCAGAAATTGATTCGAATATGAAATTACCTGATCAAGCTTGGCAGCCATGTCGAGATAATGAATGGTTGGCGGTTTGCCATTCACCCCATCAAGACAAATGAGAGGGTTAATTTCAAGGTAGGCGAAATGAAGATCAACATAGACGGAGTACAATCGGACTAAGAAGTCGACAAGCGTGTCCTTCTTCTCAGTAGGGACATGAGTGAGCAGGGTGCTCTTGATAATGTCACGGGAGGGGAACTCTTTTCCGACAAGGATTGACAGTTGAAGGGCTTTAGCGTCGACATCACCAACGTCGATACCGCCCTCGTGGGTGAAAAGTATGTTATCCCCTTCACGTGCGGAATTGATGCAAACGTAGTATTCGGTGCTGGAAGGATGGGGCAAAAATGGCTCGACAATGAAAGTGTTCAGTGTACCAACCACTCCCTCAACCTGTGACCCGAGGGTTATGAGAAATCCCGGACAAATTTTGGAGCCCAAAAGATCGACTTACATTGGTTGGCTTCCCAGCGCGCTGCACAATCCAATCCTTCGCCTCTGACCATTCCTTATTGAGAAGGAGGAGACCACTTTTGCCACGTCTCTTAATGAGCTGATCGGGCTTAGCAACGAGCTTGGAGGTGAACACCCAAGGAGGGAGAGTGGTGTCAGGCGTGATCGTGTTCGTCTCTACGTCCCACTTTATTTGGGCGACGTTTGGGCTAGGGTAGATGAAGTTGGGGGATACTTCCGCGTTATTGGAGACAGATGGAGCGCGGGCGAGCCAGTACGCCAGAAGGAGTTTGGCATCATATTCGTGAATCGCTGTTAGATGCGATATTGAAAATTAGCGCCGAGGAAGAGTAGTATTGCACACGACCAAGAACCAAGGATCGGCGACGACACGAACGCACCTTTTGAAGACATATCTATGAATCGGTGGAAGGGAGATCTAAGGGAGGAGACTAACAAAGGAGTCGAAGTTTTTATTCGATTCCAAAAAATATTGGGTTGGGTGGGCTCACTCTTTTTTGAGTTGCTGGGGTCGAGCCACTGGGGTTCTCACGATTTGGTTCCGGGTCTTACCCCGACGGGAATGATGCGAGTTACGCACTGCCACGTCATCACGAGGCCGCGGGGTTATCATATATGTACCACGATGCGAGTTTACAAACACATGGTTAAATACAGCGTCTCGGGGCAATAGCCAAGCGCCTATTGTGCATCGTAGAAAAGAATCTAAATAAAAAGTCGTTCGATACATCGTTGGGCCGAAAACCAATTTCGAATTCGGCACCGCCACTGATACCCACGTTTCCCCTCTGCGATCACTTCTAGCGGATAACCCGTCCATGGCGCAGCTGGCCATGAATCGTGCTGGGACAATCCATCTTCGAATCTAACGAGTAACCCAAAACATATGAATCAGCACATCTGATCTGCAGAGTAGTCTCAATTGCCTTCATGAAGTTGAGACCAAAATAGAAAGAGCAGTGAAACCCGCAGCTCGAAAATGGAAGCTAACTCACAAACACGCAACCCTAAGACCAATCCGTTATCTGTATCCCGCTGCATACGCGAACAAGAAGCGCGCACAACAAAAGGATGTTGTTTTGAGCAGTCAGCAACGAGGATTCCGTGCGTTTGATTACAGGATACACGCGACGAGCTCAACACAGTGATGACAACTCACCTCGATGGGTGTTTCCAGAAGCACTGCATCCTTCGGTGACGGAACCATCAGCATCGTGTGCGTGCCACTGAAATGAATCTTCTGGGCCTTGCAGTTGCTACAAAGGTCATAATCGGGGCAGCTGATCCTATTGTTACCAAATAGCATAAGTGAAGGCAATATCATACCCACTACGCCTTTTGTCACTTACTCCAGGCACTTGTACCGTGCGCCCACGATTGGGTTCATCTGCATTTCGGGAGTTGAACACGTGATTTTACTGTGCCTTCGACCGTACAACATACCCCGCATCCGTCACACGCGCACCCGTGGTGAATTTCAGGACCTTTCTGTGGCTGTGGCAAAGGCATCTCCACCGGTGTCGGAGGAGAGTCGGGTGCCGCGGGATTGACAGGGTCCGGTGAAACCGAATTTTGACGCTTTGAATCAGCAGCTTGCCCAGTCTGTGGATCAAAATCCAATGTCTGAGAAAGTTAGCTTATCCCCAACCGAGTATCGGAGTGCTGTAACCCACCACAGGCACCCCTGGAGGAGTTGTGGTCATAGGGAGCGCATATTCATCATGAATGATCCGGTCAATGACAGGTGAGGCTTCGGAGGTAGAGGCACTCGGAACAACCGGAGTAGCAGGCTCGGGATCAGCGCCTTTCACGACAATTGGCCTCGGCCCTGGCTCCCCTAAGCCAGAAGGCACTGGTTCGGGCTCAGATACAGTTCCACCCCCACCTCCCGCATCGGGGATAATGGGGGAGTAGATATCTGCGACGCCATTTGGTAAAGGAGTACGCAGTGGCGGCTCGCTAGCCTGGCGTTTCGCTGTCAGGCGGGCATGGCTATCAATCTCAATTTCGTGCAGGTCCCGGCCAGCAAAGAGCTCCATTGGGCGAGGAAGGGAATGATCCTGGAGGCTTAAATAAATAGCTGGGTCAGTGGACGCGAAAAAGGATCAAAGAATTCGCCCTACTCAGGATCAAAGTCTATTGACCCAATTCTATAAGACCTCATGACATCAGATTTGAACCCATCAACTCACTTGACGCGATAGACTCGCTGATAGCTGCTTTGCTCATTACATTCGCTAACTTACGAGTGTCCCAGGACGAACTCTGTGATGCAACATAGTCCTGCAATATGAAAAGTAAGATGCACTTAAACTATTCTCTTGAAGAGCCCACCTTGGGTCTACCGGTCTCAAACCGTCCCACCCGTACCTTAGGAAGCACAATAAATACCTGATTAGCTCACCTGTGTCTCACGCCAAGAATACTCTTCTTACGTGGACCACGTACTCGCCACCCTCGAGTGTCAACTCGGTATTAACGCTCCGACTGCAAAATGTAGAATGGGAGGACGTGGCCAGAACATCGCTGCTACCTTTTTTGTAGAGCTTGAAGTCCAACGACCAATCATACATCCCAGAAACTGGTTCAAAATATCGCCTGTCGAGCTGAGACAAAACAATCACAACGGGCGAGCTGCTGGGAAGCGTGAAGGTGACTTGATGCAACAATTGGTCAGTGGTCGCTGGTGATGGCAGAAATAAGACATACATGACACATCTCCAAAATCCCAAGCTGAAGACGGCAGCCGAACAAAGGCCTTGACCCACAAAGATGACACAACCCATGTCGGATCAAACAATTTGGTTCTATGCACCAGAGTCCAAGTTTCGAGGAAATCCTCATCTTTATGGAATGTGTTGGACTTTTTAGAGACGTCAAGTGCATCGATTGCATACATTCCATGATGAAAGCACCATCATCGCCAAACTCATGCCCGAGAACTCCAAGAGCATCCAGCCACTCGGGGATCCACTCCTTACTTCCATCTGCCCAACGACCGGTCCCTGAAAATGCCGACCTCCGTGAGGCATGGGGCCAAGAACAGGACTGGACGCACGAACATTCGTGATGACCCCATGGATTCCTTATCCTTAAGAAGCGCTTCCCACGATATTCCACAGCCTTCAGGATCGAATACGCGTGCGCTGGAATCCGGTTTAGACAAATATCCTTGCTACACCAACACAACTCTACCTGTGTTTAAACCTGACTCGAAACAAGAATCAGAATGGTTTTGAGTTGAATGCAGAACCAACCTACCGCTGATAGTCTCTGAGGGAGGCTCTACTCCATCATTCTGCAAATTGTAAATCGAACAAGAGAACAAACGGTCCTCGTTGACGCGCATGAGCTCATAGGTCCAAAACCAGTCGGTATCAAGAATGTCCTGGGAAAACGGCATCAATCCATGAAGAGTCTCGTCACAACAGGTGCTCACATTGACATGAATCTGCGAAGACACGCCACTGGATGCCAAAGGTAAGTTCGGGGAGGGGACCCATGCCAAAACCTACCCAGTTAAATCCTCTGCTGCATCTCCGGTTTCGCCCCACCCGAGTGACGAATAATCACCATGCAGCTTGGCATACGCCTTCTCAAGCAATGGTCTGGACCTTCGTAAGTTTCATTATGAAGCCCCGGGAAGACACCTCTTACACCCAAGTCTCATTCTCCGTGCCGGATTTAGCAAAATATAAACCTTTCCCTCCCTGACGAGCAATTCGGCTATACTGGTCTTTATCATGGTGGTACAGCCCCCTTTCCTGCAAGTTAATATGTAGATGTAATGCCCCGGCCTTGTCTTGTGGAGGGACGCAACGGCATACCTTGTGTGACAATTCCTCAAACTTCGGAATGGAAGTGAACAAAAAACTTGAAAAATGAGTGAGAAAAGGGGGTCAAAGGACAGACTGCACCGAGACCCACTCGTCAATCTGAAATTAAGCAAACATCAGCGGAGAAGAGAGAGCAAGGGGGCAGATTACGGACAATCACGTCTGTCCAAATCCCATCACGTTGAAACGTAAAGCCGTATACCCCGACCTCCTCGTCCCTCGCTACACAGAACTTCTCAACTAAGTCTGGCATAGTAGCTACTGTAGTGACGCCAGATAGAAACCAGCAGTCATCAATACCTCCCTGAATAACATCCGACGAATTCGGGCCCTCGTGGAAAAATTGAGGCTTCTTGAATATCTGTGTGACGCGTTGTACATCTGGGGGGTTTGGACGAGGCTCGGGGGGAGCGTCCAGGCCATAAAGACAACTATTTCTGTCTTCCTCTAGATCAAATTCGATATCCCTGCAAGAAGGGGAAGTATGTGTTCAAGTGATTGGCAAAACAAGCGCCCATGAACAGTGTCTGTATGACTGTTGCCCACCTGAATTTGCTATTGCGTGCTCTGCATTGTCTAGCAATGTCAGAAACGTTCTTCTTTACTCGTTCAATTGCGGTGTCCAGTTCTTTTGTGACAAGTAGGCCTGCTTTCGCCTTCTGTTGGGCATACTCAAAAAAAACTGTGGGACTTGGAGGTGTGGAGACTATAGGAGACTGAGAGTTTGGATTAGGCCCCGAATTGTCTACAGCTTGACTAGACGATCCTATGAACGAAAAACGCCCCGAAAGGATGGACTTCAGCATTTCGGACGGTCAGTGGAAGTAGACAACTAAACAACGACGGATCACCGAGTCAATATGATTCGGACAACTCCGCTACATGACAGCTAAGGTCTCGTTGACCAATGGGAAACTGAAGGCAACCCCAAGGAAAATACACAAACACAACAAAGCACTGCACACCAAAGACTGTCACGAACCTCTCGGGCGCTAAGAGCGTGGGAACAAAGTGGAGCTAAGCGAGAGTCGTGAGATCACCAAGCACTTGTTCCGTTCTGGGTCTCACCCGACGGGGATCAATCCAATTGTCCATGCCTGTAGTGTAGTGCACTAAATATTGATCCGTTTGACCACTCTCATCCCCGTGGGAACCCTGGGTTAAGGTTGTCCCCCCGCCATCATGAATGCGTGCGTCGTTTGACGTTATATCTGATGTCTTGTCATTCATTCCGAGTTTACTGAACGGGCTTCCAATTGCCACCTGGGAAGGCGCCAATTCCCATCCATGAAACAGAGGCCGCTAGCTCTGTGCATTAGACTGGTATACTTACAGACCCTTGCTCAGTGTGCATATCATTTAAGCCCTACTGATAGATTACGTTAATGCATGTATTGCATTAGCCGAGTTCAGCACAACTGTGCATGTGAGATACCCTCAACATCAGTGTCGGTACACCATCTCAACCAATTTGAACTCCCAATGAAAGGATGGTAATGCCTGGGGAATATTCATGGCATGAACGCGTCAGAATTATTAATGTGTGCTTCGGCCGTGCGATATAACATGTTTGAAGGAAAAAGTTGCGTTTTACAGTAGCATGTCTGTTCCCCGTTCAACTCATGTTCTGTAGCATAATTACAAAAATCAAATGGATAATTTTAATTCTGATGGTTCCCCTGCCATGTTCATACCCATCCCTGTCCAGAGCCAACCAGGGACCGTACTCCGTTTGAGTTGGGCACATTCATACCCGACCTTGTATCGACCAGCCCCTCATGTACAGATGTCCGCCGGGGAAAAAATAGAGTACAACAACAACCCCATATCACGAAGAATTCCGGCTGGCGAGTTACAGACAGTCTTTCCATACAATAAATACAGCAACCTTGAAACAACAACCAAGCGCTCGAAGAAGAAATCTAACCAAGAAATCGTTCGATACAATGTTGTAGGCCAAAAAAATATCGAATTTGAGCTTCGCCAATGATACCCATGCTTCCCCAGTTCCTTCTACAATCACTTCCAGCGGATTACCTGTCCATGGCGCAGCTGACCACGGATCGTGCTGGGACATTCCATCTTTGAATCTAACGGGGTACCCAAAGCATATGAATCAGTACATCTGATCAGCAGCGCAGAGCCTGATCTCCTTCATTACGATGAGAGCAAAGGAATAGAAGGGTCGTGGACAACAATGAAACCCGCAGCTCAAAATGAAAGTTACTCACAAACACGCAACCCTAAGACCAATTCATTATCTGGATCCGGCTACATACGCGAACAAGAAGCGCGCACAAAAGGATTTTAGCAGTCAGCAACGAGGATTCCACGCATTTGGTTGCAGGAATCACGCAACAAGCTCGCGAGTTCCCGTAATCACAACACAGTGATGAGAACTCACCTCGACATACGTTTCCAGAAGCACCGCATCCTTCGGTGATGGAACCATCAGCATTGTGTGCGTCCCACTGAAGTGGATATTCTCAGTCTTGCAGTTGCTACAAAGATCATAGTTGGGGCAGCTGATCCTATTGTTACCAAAACGGTATAAGCAATCATGTATCATGCCCACGACACTTCATGTCACTTACTCCAGGCACTTGTAACGGGCGCCCACGATTGGGTTCATCTGTGTTTCGGGAGTTGAACGTATGGAGTTACTACGCCTCTCAACCGTATGAGCAACGTACCCCACATCCGTCACATAGGAATCCTTCGTGAATTTCAGGACCTTGCGGTGGCAAAGGTTTTTCCTCGTCGGAGGTGCAACTGCTGAATCGGGTGTCGCGGGCTTGATAGCGGTCCGTGGTGTCGAATTTTGGCGCTTTGAATCAGCAGTTCGCCCAGTCGGTGAATCAAGATCCAATGTCTGAAAGAGTTAGTTCCTGCGCGAGGATTGGGGCACTGGAACCCACCAGTTTCAAGTCTGGCACCCCTGGAGGAGTTGTGGTCATAGGGGGCGCATATTCATCATGAATCACCCGATTAATGATAGGCGAGGCAGCGGGGACCTCGAACGTTTCGGACCCGGTACTCGGAACAACCGGAGTAGCTGGCTCGGAATCAGGGCCGTTCACGATAACTGGCTCCGACCCTGGCTCCACGAAGCCAGAAGGCATTGGTTCGGGCTCAGCTACACCCATGCCCCCCACATCAGGGATAACGGGTCAACTACCTCATCAGACTCCGATCCATCCGTTGTATCATCTTTCGAAAGTGGGCTTGGGCCAAGTGATGGTCTTTGCATGGGCACCACCCCAAATGGGACATTGAGGGAGTAGATATTGGCGGCACCATTTGGTAAAGGAGTGCGCAGTGGCGGTTCACTTGCCTTGCGTTTCGCCGTCAGGCGGGCATGGCTATCAATCTCAATTTCGTGCAGGTCCCGGCCAGCAAAAAGTTCCACTGGGCGAGGAAGGATATGATCCTTGACGCTTAAACAGCTAGATCAGTGGACGCAAGGGGGGCCAAAGAATTCGCCCTACTCAGGATCGAAGTCTATTGACCCAATTCTATAAGACCTCATGACATCAGATTTGAACCCATCAACTCACTTGACGCAATAGACTCGCTGATAGCTGCTTTGCTCATTACACTTGAAAACTTACGAATGTTCCAGGACGGACACCGCGATGCAACATAGTCCTGCAATATGAAAGGTAAGATGCGCTTAAACTATTCACTTGGAGAGTGGTCCACCTTGGGTCTACCGGTCTCAAACCGACCCGCCCGTACCTTAGGAAGCACAATAAAGGTTAGCTCACCTGCGGCCCACGCCGAGAATATTCTTCTTACGTGGACGACGTACTCGCCACCCTCGAGTGTCAACTCGGTATTAACGCTCCGACTGTAAAACGTAGAATGGGAGGACGTGGCCAGAAGATCGCTGCTACCTTTTTTGTAGAGCCTGAAGTCCAACGACCAGTGATACATCCCAGCGACTGCTTCAAAATATCGTTTGTCGAGTTGAGACAAAACAATTACAACCGCCGAGCTGCTGGGAAGCGTGAAGGTGACTTGATGTAACAACTGATCAGCTGTCGCTGGTGACGGTAGAAGTAGGGCATACATGATACATCTCCAAAATCCCAAGCCGAAAGCGGCGGCCGAACAAAGGTTTTGATCCACAAAGATGACACAATCCACGTCGGATCAAACAATTTGGTTCTATGCACCATAGTCCAAGTTTCGAGGAAGTCCTCATCTTTGTGGAAGGTGTTAAGCTGTTTGCGGACGTCGAATGTAGTGACCGCTTACATTCCATGATAAAGGCCCCATCATCGCCAAACTCATGCCCTAGAACTCCAAGAGCATTCAGCCATTCGGAGGTCCACTCCTTACTTCCATCTGCCCAACGACCGGTCCCTGAAAATACCAACCTCCATGAAATGTGAGGCCAAGAACAAGACTGGAAGCACCAACATTCGGAGTCACCCCATGGATTCCTTATCCTCAGGAAGCGCTTCCCACGGTACTCCACAGCCTTCAGAATCGAATACGCGTGCGCTGGAATTCGGTTAAAACAAACACACTTGCTACACCAACATAACTCCACCTGTGATTAAGCCTGACTCGGAACAAAAATCAGGACATTTATAAGTTGAATGCAGAACCAACCTACCGCTGATAGTCTCTGAGGGAGGCTCCACTCCAACTTTCTGCAAATTGTATATTGAACATGAGAACAAACGGTCCTCGTTGACACGCATAAGCTCATGGGTCCAAAACCAGTCGATATCCAGAATGTCCTAGGAAAAGGTTATCAATCGACGAAGATAGTCTCATCACAACGGGTGTTCACATTGACATGAATCTTCGAAGACACACCACTGGATGCCAAAGGTAAGCTCGGGACCCGGGGACCAATGCAAAATCTTACCCAGTTAAGTCCTCCGCTGCCTCTCCACTTTGACCCCCATTGAGTGACGAATAATCTCCATGTAGCTTAGCGTATGCCTTCTCAAGCAACGGTCTGAATCTTCGTGAGTTTCATCATGAAGCTCTGGAAAGATACAGCTTACACCCAAGTCTCATTCTCCGTGCCGGATTTAGCAAAATATAAACCCTTTCCTCCCTGACGAGCAATTCGGCTATACTGGTCTTTATCATGGTGATACAACCCCTTTTCCTTAAAGTTGATGTGTAAATGCACTGCTTCGACCTCGTTGTTGTGGGAGAACCCAGCGGCATACCTTTTGTGACAATTCCTCGAACTTCGGAATGGAAGTGAACAGAAAACTTCAAAAATGAGTGAGGAAAGGGGACGAAGGGCAGAACGACACCGAAACCCACTCGTCGATCTAGAATTCAGCCAAGATTAGCGAAGAAGAGAGCGCAAGGGGATAGATTACTGACAATCACGTCTGTCCAAATTCCATCACGTTGGAACGTAAATCCGTACACCCCGACCTCCTCATCCCTCGCCACACAGAACTTCTCAACCAAGTCTGGCATAGTAGCTACCGTGGTAACGCCAGATAAAAACCAGCAGTCACCAATCTCGCCCTGGATAACATCTGACGAATTCGGCCCCTCGTGGAAAAATTGAGGCTTCTTGAATATTTGAGTAACGCGTCGCACGTCCGTGGGGTTAGGACGAGTCTCGGGGGAGTGTCCAGGCCATAAAGAGAATTGTCTCTGTCTTCTTCTAGATCAAATTCGATATCCCTGGAAGAGGAGACAGCATATGTTCAAGTGATTTTCAAAATAAGCGCCCATGAATAATGTGTAGCCCACCTGAATTTGCTATTGCGTGCTCTGCATTGTCTAGCGATGTCAGAAACGTTCTTCTTCACTCGTTCAACAGCGATATCCAGTTCCTTTGTGACGAATAGACCCGCTTTCGCCTTCTGTTGCACATACTCGACGAAGACTGTGGGACTCGGAGGTGCAGAGACTATAGGAGACTGGGGGTCCAGGTTAGGCCCCGAAGTATCAATATCAGGCTTCTTGTCTGCGGCTTGATTAGACGACCCTATGAGGGAAAGGCGCCCTGAAAGGATAGACTTCAACATTTTGAACGGTCAGTGAAAGAAACAACGCGTTCCTGATTCAATATATACTTCAAGAGTGGGACACGTGGACCATCGGTGTACTATCGCCGGGCTAGATAAGCTGAGAATACAGAACTCGTACTAATAAACCCACAGGGGCAGTACTGATGCTCATCAGCAGTTGAGCGACTTCGACGGCGCAGCCACTGATGAAGGCTGTCTGCTTATGTAATCATGAATAAGTATTACGTAAATGCAAATTTATTCACACGTTTGCTCTTGACAGCCAAATGTCCGTGCACCAATGGACAACGGGGTGTCCGCAAACCGAGGAAGGGTGGGTCCTATCAATGCTGTGCAATGGTTGTCTCGCTTGTTGGCAAACGACTGGGTATCGAGGCACATTGCTGAGTGGGTGATGCATCTCTCCATGGGTAACAGTGGTGCATGCAGCCCATACGGGGCCATCATGCTGAAAGGCACTCTCGTCGCTACACAGCCCCGTACGGCAAGACATACCGAAAGTAGACCAAAAACAGAAGTTGTCCACTACTATTCTGAGGGACCTTGCAACCGGTCCTTCCAGCATTTAACATATTTAGAACAATGGAGAGTGATGACCAGGGACTTTTCCTTTAAAAACAAAATTGCAACCGGACTCACTCCTTCCACAGACATGCTGAAAATCGACTGGTTCGGACCGTCAGACCCCAGTGGGATCAATTAAACTCGGGGCCCTGAACATTGCTCTATGCGTTTCACGATGGTTGCATGGTTCGAAAGAAGCCTTTTGTGCCTCATTAGGGATAACGATGCTCATGGCCTTCGTCCGATTTGCGACAATCAGACAATAAAGTAATCGTTCCCAAGCGATCCCAAGAATCGGTTCCAGAAACTAGCTTTCATCCTGACGACCTTTCAAGGACTGTTGATGTCGACGAACCTTGATTGATCAAAAGGCACAAAACTTCAAAAACAAATCGATCGAATCTATGGCAAATATGGCAGGCCGGGGAACTACGCTTTCCCGGTGTACGCCACGTTTCGGAGCGTCGCGTGGCGAATGAGTTGACTTTTGAAATGAAAAAAGCGCGGAAACATGCCGGCACTTGGATGTTCTTCGTCTCCAGGCTGAAGCTAAGGAATACATCCCAATTTGTGGAAGCGAGCTAATATGCTAATGCAGCAGATTGGGGGCACGGAGGAATAACACGTTCTACACGGTTGTTGTTCCGCAGACGCGCACGCGATCAATGGTGCCGGCGGAAAACCGAGCCATATCCGAAGACCCCTGGTCGTAAGAAGCAATCCTTTGACCTTAGCACAGACTCCTTTCGATTTTCTTTTGTCAGGTTAGATTTTCTAGTGACTTCCGTATCGAGTGACCCTTCCTCACAATCGTTGGGTAGCCGAGTGAGCAAGTAATTGCTCAGGGTCACTGAGACTTGAACATGTGCAGTCGTCACCGTGTTACGGTCCTTTGTTCACATCGACGTATACCATGAAAGGAAGGACCCATTTGAACCTGAATTTTCGTGACAGAACATACTGTTTCAGATGGCACCGAGCAACGAAATTTGGAAATACCCGAATAATATCTAGTCGTCGCGATCGTCGTGCCTTTGAAGTCGGGCCGCTACCAGCTGAAAGGTTTCGATTTCGATGTCGGGGCTTGCCAATACATGAGTCACTCAACATCACAACAAGTTGGATCGTACGCGCAGTTAGTAATACAAGTGGGTGTATTCCTGCCAGGTCCTTGGATCGCTGACGTGAATTGACAGGGATTGGTGCAGCTATCTCCCAGGTAGCCGCGCTTGTTTGCGTCCGCAAGATGCCGGCGGCTGCATTGAGCGCCCAACATCCAAGTGAAATTATGAAACCATTATGGGTTCTGAGAGAAGGTAGGTCCTTCAGTGAAGTGGGAACGTCTTATTTCTTTCCTTTCTACTCACTTTATTCCTTTCCCTTTCGTTTTCCGATTCAAATCTCAATGCATGGGGACAATTTGCTTCTAGGTTTTATTTTTCTTTTAGCTTAATCGCGTACAAGGAATATAAATTATAAATTCCTCATAGTGCACCGATTGGAGAGCTCGGGAGATTGTCCTGAGATGAACGGATGCTGGCTTGGACTCTCAGAACTGCATTCGGAAAATACCGTTTATCCAGCCCAGCACGAGCTATTTCTTTTCCATGAAGATTTGGCACAAAAATTCTGCTACAAGCCACCTTCAATGCCCGGACACTCTTGGAGCACAATAAGACAAATGCATATCCATTCATTCCTCTATTTTATCTAGAAAGGTCGTCAGCGTGATATAAGAGTGTAGTTCTTGCATATCCTGCGCCTCCCCCAACAGCGATCCCCCTCTTTCTCACTCCCCAGCTTCGCGTCAGCTTTCTCATCCCAAAGTTATCGTGAGCACTATTCCCACTCACCATCTTTGCAAAGCCTTATCCCCATCCGTCACCCTAGATGTATCATCCCACCATTGACTTCCCCGAACTCTCCCTCCTCGCTGAGGCTGATCATTCCCCCTTCCCCCACATCAGAGGTTCGCCGATCCACTGTTTATCTTAACATCGCCAACCCTAACCCGCTTGATTTTCGTCGCGCAGAATCCTCGGGCAATTATGTTAGCTATCTACCCACTGATATCGATCACCATCCATCTGCTCATGCACTGGTTGCACACTCCCAATTTATAGAGCACGGTACGCTATTATATGCTTTTGAAATGTTCCGCATTGCCTCACATCCAGTTAACCAGCAGGACAGGCCAATGCTCTACACCCTATGCTCCACGGATCTCATCACGACGTTGAGCCTGCGACACCCGGCCTCGCAAGTGTGATGGGTTTGGAATTACCATCATCCTATCCTCCATCCGTCAGCTCCCAGGCCCTCACCAATCACATCCACGATGACCCTCGCGTCGACACTATCAACGGATATCCGGATCCATCTCCTCCCAGCGCCAGGCAGATCACTGGAATCATATTAACTTCCGGCCTAACATGGAATCCTTTCCCACTAATAACCACCCATCTATATTGCCGTGGCACTCTCCTACACAGTCGCCAGGCTGCAGCGAGGCCAACCACATCCCTTGCCATCCCAACTCTTCGGTGGACCAAAGTATGGCAGACGCTTGGGTCCGTCTTTACGCTATCGGGTGCCGGTCTCCCGCGGTGCATCATACGGACGCCGAGTACTGGACCCATCCATTCGTACCTACTTCGTCGCCCTCTGAGCTCGCGGACGATGGTGTGAGCGACTTGAGCGCTTCCACTGTAGCTTCCCTGTCTCTTCCCTCATCTCCATCGCTCTCCCTGGCTGATCAGATCTCCGAGGTTGGATCGCAAGGTACCGACCCTGAGCTATCCCCCCAAGCGGTTGAACCTTCGGACGCCCACCCAACGACGACACTGTTCTCCACTTCTCCTACGACGCATAAAGCTCGGAACCAAAAGGCTCAGGCCTGGCGCGAAAGGAATACCTCAAAGGGAAAAACGAAACCGCGGAAGCTACATCCCTGTGACGAATGTGACACTTTATTGTCTCGTGCCTACGACGTGCTAAGACATAAAAGCGTTCGGCATGATCCAAAGCCTGTAAAATGCGCTGCTTGCGATGGCATCTTCAAGCGTCCTGATGCGCTGAAGCGTCATCTGAGATCCCATTGTGGAGGCGGCCGCAGGAGGGCAGTCAAATCTGCGCCGGACAGAATGTAGGTGCCTGTCGCGAACCATCGTTCGTGTGCCTTCTGGGGGACGTTAATTTTGTGCGCCCCCAAGTCTTAGTTTCATAATGAACTCTTTAATGATCCCATCCAACCGCCTTTTACGGTCTCTTCATGCGATTTCCCCCCTAGAGCTGGCCTCTTCTTTTCTGTTGCTATGTATTTCATTCCTCTCGATGATTCACACCCGGGTCCTGCATATGATGTCCACCACAATATACGCAATACTAATAACGATGACAATGATTATGATTTTCCTCATAGTCGCGGGCCTCTCGCTCTCCGGAAATGTGAGTCATAAACTGAATTGCTGAGCAACGATTGAACCCAGTTCCCTGGAACACTAATTGCATTTGCATTCGGCACGGAGTTGGTTTCGGCGCGAGTGGCCTAACCTCCAATAACCACCAAGTACTCGTTCTTCATCGCAAAGAGTCTCAAAACCTCGGTTGTGAACATTAAATTCGTTGCCAAGAAAGAAGTCTTTGGGGTTTAGCTCACACCCGAAAAGCTGTGTTCGGATTTTGTTCGGGCTGTGCCGGGCGCTGTGATGAATACATTGGCATAATTAAATTGGCCAAGGGTCACCAAGCGAGCAGGTGATATTCTTTGGTGTAGCATATAAAAGAGAAGTTTCGATGAGATCCCCCTGAGGTTTCCCCTTCAGGTTCTATCTTGAGCCCCCCCCTCCTGCTCCTTATTATCACCCTCTTCTCGACCTCTCGCTACAAGAAATGTCTGAAAAGGTAGGCTGGTCATTACTTTGGCTTGGCATCTTGTAATCAGCAAAACTAACGCTCTTCCTTTTTCACGTTCTCTTCAACTCCAACGGTGATGGAACGTGTCTCTTAGCCTATCGTACAGCAACCTGGTGCCATGCCCCAAATGTTGCCGGGTGGGAATCGCAATGCCCTCAACAAACCCTTTGACCAACAAGGCGAACGTGAATGGTCTCATGGGACGTTCGACTGCTTCTCCGAGTGTGGGCTGTGCCTCTTCAGCTGGTGCTGTTCTTGCTTCTCGTATGGGAAAAACAAGTCCCGCCTGCAGTACCTTCAAATCAACGGTCAGCCTCACCCTCAAGGTGGCGAGATGGTCAATAGCGATTGCGTCGTTTTTGCTGCACTCCTCTACTGCGGTAGGTACCCTCAATATAAGTTGCCGCATAACCTTGTCAGGAGTTTCAGTCACCTCTGGGAATCCGTCACTTGCTGTTGTTATTGCTATTTTGGGATCAGGTGCTGATTGAGTTTCAAATTCCTTTTTCACACACAGGTTGCCCCTGTCTGGTTTCTATGGGCACACGCAAGGAGATTCGTACTCGTTACAAAATCCAGGGCGGTGGAGGTTCCGATTTCCTCTGCAGCTGGTGCTGTGCTCCTTGCTCACTCGTTCAGGAATCTCGTGAGCTCACGCTGGAGGAGAACAGCTTCCACCATGTCAGTTTCTTTTCGATTCATCTGGTACTCAATGAGATACTAACGTGACGTTTCACCAGTAATCTTTCCGGATCTGAAATAAATATTGAGACTTTTTTGTTTGCTACAATTTGCGTCTATCGCTCACTTCTGCGTTCGAATTCAAATTTTTTCCCCGGTAGGCACTGCCGGCTACACCGCAAACGGTGCTTGAGTTTTGCATAAATCGTAAATCGTATGAGTGCTGACAAAATATTGTCACCCTGCCAACGCCGTGCGCCAGCTTGGAGGGACCCCATTAGTTGCGTGCCTGTAGTTCCCATGCTGTCCTGTTGGTTCTCGCTCTGCCATGCTGTGCTTGACTTGAATTCTCTGGAGGAATTTTCGGTTGCTAGGGTTTGGAAGTGCACTAGGTATACCTGATCGTTTGGTCCACATGCTGTAGGAGGCAGTACATACCGTGCACGGCAGGTCGTTCTTGCGACCCTGGGTTGGCATTACCGAAGCGGGGGATTATGCAGCGGACTTGCCACCCCGATTCGGAGACACATGATATACCAATATTGACTTGCCTCGAGTCGAATTCATTATGTATCTAAATATAAATAAAAATGTCGGCACGTTCGCCAGCAATTGCACAGCCCGTTGCTGTTTGTTTGACTGGCTCATTGCGATGTCTTCAGTGACAATTTATCCACCCCCGCATACGGTACGAACGTTCGCAGACCGAACGTTCCCGTCCAACCTAATTTTGGCATATGATGTGAGAGAACTAGCGTGTACAGATCAGCGCTCAGTTCACGATAGTGCAACTAAATTGTCAAAGATATTACCTAGCATGTACAGATCAGCGCTAGACAATGAAAGATGTTTTAAGTAAAAAGGTCTAATGAGACCAAGAAAAGAGACCTCACCTCAGTTCACGATAGTGCAACTGAGGAGAGAGAAAAACAGTCGCGACGAGTGGCTTTTAAGCCTACAACGCCGCCTATCAACAAGAAAGATGGATTGGGAATTATGGAAAATCTCCTGCGGCTGGTGAGTCCGTGCGCCATAATAGTGGGACGTCGACCTTGTCTCTAATATATGATATTGGCAACCAACTCTTTGCAAGCGATGTTTCTCAGCGCGATCGAAAGATCCCTGACCCTACATAGCTGTTGCGCAGAGCTTTTATCACGTCCTCTGGTCGGAATTAACTGCTTTATGAGAACTCCTAGGTCCTTCGGCCACACGGTCAATTAGAGCCGATTTTGGGCGCCTGTCAGCTTAGTCAACCCGAAGGCTGTGTTTGCCACGCCACAAAATCTGGAGCCCTAAGTGAATTGGAGAAGCTTGAAACGCGCGAATCTAATATTTAGCGCGCAAAAGGGAGACCCCAGATTTCACACTTGATCGGTTTTCCTCGCAGATTCTCTCTATCTTCCCCCGCTTGCTTGTCGCCTCTCTCTCCGCGTTTTTAATATTACAGCCTTTTCTAAAATTTCTGTCCGATCAAAGTGAATGGGTATTGACCCCGTTCGTAAAAAAAATCACCCAAAAATGATCAAATTTCTCGTATTTTTATTTTTCAATACAGTAGAGTTAGCGCCGCACAGCCATACCTATTCCCGACCACAATGATTGATCCTACCCTTCACACTGGCCATGATCAGACCGTGTCCTAAGCTACCGTGCACGAAAAGTTCTGGAAATCATCAAGTTTTCCTCACCTGCTTTGATTCTCTCCGAAACAGCGACTGTGTGTCAACTATCATGTTCTCAACAAAGACAAGCGCGCCCACTGGAATGATGACCATTGGCCCCGCACCCGCTCCTGAAAACACCCCAGCAAGCATTCCAACAGTGCTTGCTGATGTATGTGAAGCCTCGTTGCTTCAGGCTGAGCCGGTGGGAGACAGAAACACCATACTCACATCCAGATCCTAGTTGTCAAGTTCGCGACTACACCCACGGTTGCCAACTTTATCAAAGAGGTCCCTTGCTGGTGAGCTGAGAGAATGCGGCAACTCTGCAGTCACCGAGATGGGCAATTTGTGCAGCCTCCTTGGTAGTGAGGGTTGAGGACATGAGGACGATGTGTCACTTCATGTCTGGAGACGCGTGTTTGGTACCCATGAGATGGTAATGGTGTATAGAAGCTCGGCTGGGCTGATGTGAGGAGGATCGAGAGCAGGATCACTGTTTCCAATAGAGGCTGGCGACCTGCCTAGATCGCTGTGACCGTCAGTGCCATGGTCATCATTCAATGAGGAATGGGGACTAGCTGTGGGCGCTAATTCTACTATATGGAAATATAATTCTATTGTATTGAAACATAAAAATATGAGAAATTTGACCATTTTCAGGTGATTTTTTTACGAACGGGGTCAATACCCATTCACTTTTGATCGGACAAAAATTTTAGAAAAGGCTGTACATAACGGGAAAAGCGAACTGGACAACACTTCCGCTTGAGACACCGATGGCATCAGAAGCTGGAACATGCCTTTCCGTCGCGTGCCCCGACCCCCCCCCCGTCCCGGTGGGTATCGGACTTATCCATTTTGGTCGCCTAGCCCTTTGTACAACAGCCCAGTGCTACCCCCTTAAATGTCACTGGTTGGCAATCGCGATGGGCACCCTCAACAAACTTTTCAAGAACCAGGTATGGGGGGGTTCAGCGGCTTTTCCGCGCCGCGTGTGGGCGTGCTTCTTCGCTTTTTACTGTCCTTGCTCCAACACTGGGGGCTCAAGTCCCGCTTCCAGCGCCTCCAAATCACTAGTCGTTGATACGATTATCATGGATCGTCTCTTTTACGCTGCACCCACTGCCCCGTCTTGTGATAATGTCACAGGCACTGAATGATGTTCTGGTCAACTCTAATTGGGGGATACGTCTTGTTTCTTACTTCTTTGAGATTTAAACTCCCAAATTTGAAATTCCGCCTCGACTTCTCGCAAGGCGGTTCGCTATCGTTACAGAAGCCAGGGAACTGATGGTTCCGACTTCTTTTTAACCTGCTACTGCGACCCTTGCTGCGACCCTTGCACGCTCACTTAGTGAGATTGTGCTGGAGGGCAGGTCAGTCCCTTCGATCAATTTGGTATTCTGGGTGATACCAACGTGTCCCTGGTACTCAAGGGTGGACATAAGAATAGAAAACGCGGTACTGGTAACCAAAGGCCGCCGCTTTGCCAGTTGCCCAGCAGCATTGTGTGGCTGAACCTGTATTAGTCGTGTTGTGGATGAATGAGCGTACACGATCACGTCGACGTTGAATCCCATAAAACTCCGCCATCACTTGGTGCTATCGTGCCTAGCGTCATCGAAATGGGGGATCATAAAAAAGCCCAACGGCTGCGCACTAATCGTAATACACCCTGTTTGGGGGGCAAGAATTGATTTGCATCCGGTGCAGACGCTGGTACAAGAACTTGTATCTCAGCGCGAGTCTCTTCTATCATGCCCTCAGGTCCTTAGGTCGAATTCCCTCATTAAATTCTCAGAACTCCTGGGCAACACGGATTACCGAATTAATGCAAGAATCTCGACATTTCATTTTGGTTCTGCTGCGCCTGGCACGCGTGAGCCTGCGGATTTGGAGTCCTGAATTGAAGGAGCCTAAAGCGTACAGGCTCACATTCTTGCATCAATGTATAAGAGGGAGGCCATGAGACCCTACGATTGATCGGTTTTCCCTTCAAGGTCTCCCCCCACCTCCTCTCCGTTGCCTGGCTTCGCGTTTTAGCATTAACAAGGATGTCAGAAAAGGTGAACTAGACAACTTTTCCAGATGTTTTGAATCAGAACCTGACAGCCGCCTTTTCCTTGCGGCGTTCGCTCCCCCCCCCCCTGACCGCAGCCTATTGATCAGCAGCCTGGCGCCACTCGCCAAATGTCACCAGGAGGCAATCGCAACGCCCTCAACAAACCTGTCGATCCTCAGGGTGAACGCGAGTGGTCCTACGGGATTTTCGACTGCTTCTCCGAGTGTGGAACGTTCTGCCTCAGCTGTTGGTGTCCTTGCTTCGAGTACGGGAAGCTCAAATCCCGTTTCAAGCACCTCCAAACCACTGGTAAACCTCATCCCCAAGGAGGTAAAATGCTTAACATGGATTGCCTCACTTATGATGCTCTCCACTGGGTCGGTAAGTGTTTCCGTGACTGCCTCCTGGCCATGTCACTGAACTTTTGAGTCAACTCCTGATTGGGAACACGTCTCGTTCCCTACTATCCTGAGGATTATACGCTCATGATGAATTTGAAACTTCCTAGGTTGTTCTTGCTTTGTCACTAGGCCCACTCGCAGGGAGATTCGTAATCGTTACAACATCCAAGGCGCTAACGATTCCGACTTCCTTCTAATCTGTTGCTGCGATCCTTGCACACTCACCCAGGAATCTCGTGAGATTGCGCTGGAGGAGGATAGCTTGCGCCAGGTCAGTCCCTTCGACGAATCAGGCATTCTGGATGATAACGACGTGACCTTTTGTGTCAGAAATCTTCCGATGTCTGATATGAATATCGAACCTCTCTTTGTTTTCTTCTGATCTGTATCCCTCATCGTACTCTTCGAATCCAGTGTTTTTCCCCTCTTCGTGCTAGGCGTCAGACGCGGCGGGGACGACAAATGCAAAATTGATAAGAGTCCGCCGCTCAGCCTGTTGTCCTCGCTGATGGTATTGCATAAGGTCGAAAAAACTAAACAGTCACATGCTGAGCTAGACCTCGTTGACCGATGAGGAACTGAATGCCAACCAACCCCAAAATATGCAAAGTACAATCAAATGCCCACCCGTATGTTCTTTGGGCCATTCTCTGGTGTCTTTGGTGTGGAGTCCAGGTGAACTAATAGATGGAACCAGGACGGGGAATTGCAGAAATTGATCTGTCTATAGAGGCTGGTATCTGAGGCAGGACTCCAGCCTCTGGGACTTAGATGGTATCCTGCCTCGGAAATTGGTGTCACCTGCCCGTGTCATTTGCCGTAGCACAATTACGTAACTTCTGATGCTAAATTGGCCCCGGGAAAAAGACTCTGCTCTCAATTTCCCGACTCTCCTGCGTGATGGAGCAAGGTGAACAGAAGCATTGAGTCAGACAAAGGATATTGTATCGTGTGCGAACTTATCATTGTGTAACAGCCTGGGATAACTACGTAGGAGGTTGATTGGCTCGGGATCAACCGTTGATACTTACAAAAATGCATGAACGCGTAGTACGTCAGGCTTTCCGCGTTGGGTACAGTCCCACCTTCAGAATGCGGTGTCCCCAGGTATTTCAAACGCGACATATTCTGGCCGTACGCAGAACAGGGGCAACAAACCGCGAAAAGACACGTTTGACAAGCGCCAAAGAAATCACATAATCCGAAGGACCAATCACGGTGACCTGTAGGTCCGTTCAAGGGTTTACTAAGGGCATTCTCAATTACCGTCGAGGCCTTCACCGGAAATGGCCATTTGGGGACCGGTGGAGGGTTGTTGGTCGTATTTGCGGGTCGTGCTCGAAAGGGTGTTTGAGTGGGATTCGGCCTGGTATGAGCAGTTTGTGACGATAGGGGCGCCGAACCGCCGGTACCACGCCCAGTCAAACGCTCCGGCAAATCAGATGGGTGGAACTGCGGCAGCGGTTATGAACCTTGAGATCTCCTTATAGGAGGGTACTGTGTACCCGCTGTCCGAGTCCCGAATTCATCATAGGGTGGCGCCGGCATTCCTTTTTGATGTGCAGGAAAATGTGCAAGGGTGCGATGGTGGGTCGGGGAAGTAAACAGACCAGGTAACTGCATCGCTGGATTCTCCCCAGCCGATGTTACGGCGCCACCACTGCTAGCTCCCGAAGGTGGGTTGTAGCTACACGTCTTCCATCCGACGAATGACCAGATATGACTCACTATCTCTGGTATTTCCTGTCAGTCAACGCAAAGGGGGGCGTTCCAAGGAGTCAGCGAGACCAGAATTTAGTCCATATATATCACGGTAGACGCAGCACCAGCACAGTCACTGGATCGAACAGTGTGGAGACAGTGGCATGGGGGCGTCAATCAAAAGCTTCTGATAGGCTGAGTTTCCGTCAAAGAGTGTGGGGCCATTCTAGCAGTCACGGCATCTCGTCTAAGCTAGGAAGCAATGGGCGGTCGCACCTCATCTCGCAGCAGAAGTTAAATGCTGTTCAGAGGGTATCCAGCCTTTCGAGCTTAGCTACTCGCCCCTTTTCTGACGGCGCAGCGAGAAGCTGCAATAACATTAATTATAGGCCCAAAATGGGACACCTTGAATTCCGCAAATTTGAAATTATGACCGATTCCGGATAACTCCGCTCAATTTCAAAACTTGCGAGGGTGCTCACCTGATCTGTCGGACATTTGAAATTCATGCCAAGCTAGTAGTTCAACAAGTCTGGTCTAGTCTTACCCTCACACTCACCACACCACGGCCCAATCAATGCAGCGATGATGGGACACTCAGTTAGGCGCACGCTCAACTTGCTTAAGGCTATCGTCGTCGCAAAGAACCCTATCTATAGAGCCTGGTATCCTGCCTAGCAAAGAACTGACCCCGAGAGGTCTTATCTCTGATATTGCCTTTTCAGCCTTGCAATTTATCAACAAATTCCAGCACCTGACCACCAACAATCCCACGTTTTCCCCGCACAGCAACCACCTTGAATTATTGGCCCACGTGTTGGTGTGTTGATCGAACAACGTTGAGATCCCCCTGGCGCTCAGCGCGATGGTGTTCTTGCTACATATCACTCTGAGCCGGCTCAATACGGGTGGACCTGGAGGTACTTATGCTTGTTCAGACGAGCTCTTCACAACATGAGGTTAGGATTGGGCTTTTCCTTCTCTGCAACTGCATACTGTGTCTGAGATCATATATACAACGGGCGAATCCAAGAGCCGAGACGTGAGAATGCCGCGATGCCGGCAGGGTGCTGAGCCATCGAGGCAACGAATCTGAAACGCAACCAAGAGGCATGGCGTCCTCGTGTGGGTGGTGTTTGAAATGCCGAATAGGACAACGCGCGGGAACCGGATCGAGCTCAAGACTACCGCCGGCACGGCCATACAGAGCATTGCTTAGAAGCACTTCACCGATCCATCATTGTGGTCGATATATTCAGGGTAGTACAAATCCGGGAGGCGATGTAAAACCTACCGACCCGAATACTCACCCATGTCGGTAACGCAATGAACAAAGCATTGAACTCATGAGTTCGATTTTCGCTGACGCGATGCGGAGCAAGGGGTCGGCACGGGAATATGAGATGAAGGATACAAGAAACACGAGCGTGGAGTGCGGGCGACGATGAAAAGTAAACCCCAAACAAAGAGGACGATCCCAAATGACAGATGAAGATGCGCTCAGCCACGCTGTCCGCCGAGCTGGCTCTCTTCCTCAAGCCCAAGCTCGCGAGATTCTTGCGTCAATGAACACGATCTACAGAGAGTATGGCACATGCAATCCTCCCATTCGCCTCCTTGGATACTGTATCGTCGACGAATACTAGCCCTTCCATTCATACCGGCGAGGCAATCGAGATCTGAGAATAGTTAGACTGCAAGTACCGACTCGAGAAGAGAAAAGACATACGGGCATATCCAAGTAGCTCATATAGGAGGCAATCCTCGTTGAACATTTCGCCCCCAGCAGGGTGTGGTCTTCCGTGCGTCTGCATATGTTTCAGCCTAGACATATTCCGTCCGTACGAAAGACAAGGACAGAAATATGATAATACCCATGTTCCGCATACTTCGGTGCAATCACAGGGCCCAAACGACCACTTCCGCTGACCGGCCGCATCGAATGGCTTGTCCAACGCGTTGCGATTCCCACCTGCACCATAGACCATCTGGAGGGCAGCCCTAGGTTGCTGAGCGATATATTGCTGTTGTTGGGGCACACCCTGTCCCTGCGCAGGGTAACCCGCCTGCACGGGCTGCTGGGGAGGAAAGGCATGCGCATGCGGAGGAGATGTCTGATAACCGGGGGGAAGCTGACCGGGTTGATAGCTTTGTTGTGGTTGTGACCCTTGTTGCTGAGGGAATGCAGGGATCGGATTTTGAACTCCAGGTGAGGGTTGAGGTGTCGATTGGGTGAAAAACTGCTGTCCACCCTGAGGGGAGTGTTGCTGTGGAGGAAATGTAGCCTGACCGTAGCCGGGCGAGCCCCCGTACGGGGGTTGGACATAGCCAGGAGCACCTTGCTGATACTGCTCATAGGGATTGAATGTTTGCTGATAAACGGGAGACTAAAATTCTCAGTTCATTGTATTCCCAAAAAAGGTTCAGGACAGGAACTACGGACTCTCACCTTGTCAGCCATGGCGGGAAAGTAGCGTGCGACGTCTTAGGCCGCAGGCTCTCCTGAGGGTCTGGACGAAAGGCTCTGACATCCCCAGTTCGAAGTAATATATTGATCCGACACAAACCAATCAGCGATCGCGATCCGTGGAGCGTATCCGCGCTCTTCATATAGTAGATATTGATCGGACACAATTGAAGCGGTCCAGTTCTGTCCAAGTGTGCTGATTGGATTAAGAACCTCACATTCAAGGATGCGACGGACACAAGAGCGCGCACTGTGCATGTGTCTGACCGCGGAGGTCGCTTAGGGGTCCTCACATGCAGTAAGGTTGAAATAAACGATACTTTAGCACCAGCACCGAACGGTGCTTTTAGGCCATTCGGGTCGGTTGACCATAGAAAAGAGGGTTACATAACATTCGACCAAGCTAGGCAGGTTAAGTATCACCCTCTATTAGCGACCAGACTGGGTCTACATCCGATTCCCATATTCTGCTTCCTGTGAACTGCTGGAGGTTTGCGTTATCTCCAGGGTGCGTGCACATCAATACCTTCCATCTTCAGCTGGGTCGCATGTACTTACACGCGGCCAAGTATCGGAATTCATTACTGCCAACAGCGCCTCATTTACGATGAAAGAGTGAGCGATACCGATTAGCAAACAAACCAAGAGGACAAGGGGTTGGAAGGACTCAACAAAGGAGAGTGGGAACAGAAAGTGGGTGATACGATGAAGCAGGACCAACGTGATCTTGTAATCAAAAAGGGGGGAAATCACGTAAGAACGGCAAAGGTAATTCAGCGTCACAAATTACGTAATTGTGCTACAGCAAAGCAGGTGATAAGGCAGGATACCGGTCTAAGTCATAGCTATAGAGGCTGGGGTCCTGCCTAAGATACCAGCCTCTGTAGATAGATCAATTTCCGCAATACCCCGTCTCGCTTCCACCCATTACATAAGTAGTTCACCTGGACTTCCCTTAGTGTGCGGGCATTTGATTGTACTTTGAATATGTTTGATTTGGCCTCCTTCTGATTACAAGATCACTCTGGTCCTGTGTCATCGTCCATCTTACTCTCCTTTGTCAAGTTCTTCCAACCGCTTGTCCTCTTGGTTTAATTGCTAATCGGTATCACTCTTGGCGTATTGTTGACTGTTCAATTTTTTTCGGCACAGGCTCATTTACAGGGGGGTTGACAACTCACATATCGACCTGATACTTCTAAACACGGGAAATGAAGGAGTCATCGGAGTTGATTTTGGCGCTCCCTCAGACACCGAAGAGGCATATCGATAATTTATTGTACGCAATAACTGACTCTGAGTGCTCCAGCAGGTCGAGAATTTTTCACTTGCAGTTTGAAAAACTTGGACCATGCGGGCCGATAACGTCCATCAGCAGGCAGCGCACAAAGAACCAACTTGGCTTTGAGGGATGGCCAGTACCACCACCCGTAGTGTTCGAGTTCTTGAGGGTAATGGACAGAGAGGAGTGGAGTGGCATGGGATCCATATGGCTCGCAAGTGAACAAAGCCGGCGTGCACGTCAGGCAAACCTTGCGACACTAGCGTCTCGCACTTCTAGAGATTGCGATGAATCCATTTTGTCGGTACTGACATTGTAAATGATCGACCCGTTTTCCATCTCATCTATGCTCGGCAAGAAAGTCTTATTTTATTAGTACAAGCCAACCTAGCAATGCTAGGATATCACACCTCCAGTGATGGGGATTCATCCCACCACTTCTTCCTTTGAAGGTGCCGACTCCAACCGTTGATCAATTAATTTGATGCACGCTTGTGATATTTTTTGGCCGTTTTCTAACAGAGCAGGACGCCAATTACCTTGCTTGCAAGGTCACTTTCCAGCCTGGTATTCCTTAGCCTTTTTCCCACCCTCTTTATATTGTTTGTTTTTTTCCCACCCTCTCAGTCTCTCACATGTGCGCTTTTCTCCAGTAATGTCACGTTGCTCCTTTTCCTGCCCCCGTTCAGCAGATGCAAGGGACTGGGAAGAGGGATTGGTGTTAAGGCTAGATAGAACTTGTGTTATTTCTTCATTTTCTGC